GGCCTCCGCGGTTTTCCTGTTAGTTTATAAGAAATATCTTAAATAGATGAGTTTAGTGAAACATATATGCATTATTATGCTACGTTTCTTAGACTTCATACAACTCGAAGATATTAATAATGGTACAGTCAAAATTGATTTAATTCTAGACAGCAATAACTTGATACATATTTTAATGACACATTATTTAAACGTGTAAAAAAGCTTAAATGATAATGTTGATACTTTATAAAAGATTATAATATAGATAATAAAAATACATAGAAGGGTGAAAGTTTTTTGAGAAGGAAAACATATCTCATATGTGCATATATTTTATATAATACAAACATATTTTAGTACGCCTTCTTAAAAACTATAATACACCATCATTCTAATAAGATAAATTTGTTATTTAAATTGTATATCTGTTTAATGGGTTTCAGATGGGATTTCGAAAACAATTTGCTTACCAGTTAGCTTGGAGTAAACAGCTTGGAAAGATTCTAGTTTGTAATCGATTTGTTGAACATCCTTGGAGTCCAATAGGATCTTTTGGATCTTGTTACCACCGACTAGGTATCTAACTCTCTTACCGACGATTTCGGTTGGGAAAACCATGTCTTCTAGAATCTTTTCGTGGACAGCAGTTAAAGTTCTGGATCTTGGTCTCTTTTGGGAGTTCTTGACACCTCTAGCTGGCTTTGGTAGAATTCTTCTTTCAGCTAGGAAGATGATGTGTCTGTCTTGGAACTTCTTTTCTAGTTCTCTAGTCAACTTGGTTTGAACCTTGTGGTAAGCAGCAAGTTGTGGAACTGGAACGAAGACAATTAAAGCCTTCTTACCTTGAGCAACATCGATTTCTCTGATGGACTTGAATTGTAGAGGTCTTAGTTCAGCCTTTAGGTCAGCGGAAGAGTTTTCCAATTCGGTGAAAGCTTGGGCAACTTGTAATTCTAATTCAGTTGGGGCAGCAGATAGGATTTTGGCAGACATTTTCACTAGTTTGTTGATCGATTCTTTCAAAATATAGTAATATTAAAAAAATAATAAAAAATCACTAATAATACATATATACAAATATATAATTTAGTTAAAAGCTACCGTTGTATTAAAGATTGAATTATTAGATGTTGTGCACAAGGCCTATACTAGGTGTGAACATGCGAGTACATTGGACCAACTATGTTGATAGTGATGATGATGGTGATACATACAGTATTGCCAAAGAATACAAAATTCAATTTACCAATTTACAATAATTGAAAATTTCAGTTTGAATTGAGATTAATATTATGTGAGAGAAGATTCTATTGGATTGTAGGAGTAATGTACAAAATGCGGTACGGCAATTCACTGAATAAATTCGATAAAATATTTCACCCATAATATTTTCACCTCAATTGATGCCTCTGTTCTCTGTGTTTTTTTTTGCGAGCGGTTACATTTTTTCTCGCTTACCATTATCTCTGAGAGAGAAAAACAAAAAATTAGAAAAAAAGTTTGAAAAACAAAAAAAAGTTTTATAAAAATTTGAATATATAAGTATATGGATGCACGGATGTTGTGAACTTGTTCAGTCACAAATATGTATTTTTTTTGCAAAAGAGATTTATGTTAAATCCCCGAAGAAGAAGTGAAATTATAATGCAATGAGGAATGAAAACTCAGACTTTTTATACTTTTAATTGAACCATTAACATATAAGTTACTAGGAATGGTAACGATATTATCAGTAATGGATATTGTAAAACGATGAAAAATGAAGTACAATCAATTTGAATATGTTCTTCGGCATCAGCTGGTGTATAACTTGCAGTGAAATAAATTAATGTAGTCATTGTAGGTAAACCCCAGGTCATTGCAATAACAAATAATAACATTTTATCATCTTCCCATGTACACCAACCTGCTTTCACTAATCTATCACACCATAAGACGCCAAATATTGGCATTATACATAATTTTAGAAATACTAATAAAGTAGCAGTTTTCCAAAATCCAGGATATAATGAACTAATTTGTAATCTACCCAAGGTGGCTCCTAATAACAACAAACCAAATGGAACCGAAGCTGCACCTAAATATCCAGTATAATCCATTATAAAGCTTAATACAGGTTGATTATCTGGTGCCAAACCAACATAAGGAGTATGATTTGATGTAACGAATAACGCCTTTAACCATGGCATGAATGCAATGAAAAGACCAGCAAATACAGCAACAGAACATGGCCTTAAACAATTTGTTAAAAAAAACATTAATAGGTGTGATCCTGGAATCTTTATAATCATTCGAGGCAATACACTTTCACCTGAGATATCAATATCATGTTTATTCACTGTCGCATCTGATGTAACCATTCTAGTTAATCTTGAAGATCTAATACGATCCATTATAGGTAATTTTTTACCTGTTTTTTCTTCCATCGAATATTCACTACCAGTTCCTTCACTATACATAGTTGTTGTTGAGAATGCAGATGCTGAAGATGGACGACGTTCTTTCCCAAATTGATCTACATTTGAATATTCATAAATCATTTCTGGTAACCCTTGAATTGGCATAGTAGTTCTTTGATCAATAGATCTAACTGAATGCAAAGTGTTCATAGAATCTGCTCTATTCCTTAAACCTGATGCAGAAGAGAATGATGAAGAAGATGTACGAGATGCAGCAGCGGCAGCCAGACATGATGGACAATTACTGAGATTACTAGATCTTCCATCATTAGTATAATTGTCATCATCATCTCCATAAGCTTGAACAGATGATTGTGTCATTGTTGAAAATGTTGATACTGATGGTAATGAGGATATTGCTGTAGGGGCTATACTACTTCTTGTATGTGTTGGAGCTAAAGAAGCTCTTTGTGTATCTAAAGTATACATTGATCCCTGACTACTTTCTTCTTCTTGTAATTCAGGTACAGAAGTTAAAGTAGATCTATCTGAATCTCTTGTTCGTTGTTCATCTTTCATATATGAAGGTGATATTTCTAAACTTGGTGTAATAGATTGAGATTCCACGTCGGCATATTTAAAATCGTGTTCAATCAATCTAAATCCACCTAAATTGAAAACACATAATAGAAAAGTTGTTAAAAAAATAATTGCACAAGCTATACCTCTTGCACCTTCTTCTTCTGTAAATACAAATGTATCCATTGTTTGTAAATAAGCAATTGGCAAATCTGAAATATTTGGAAACATTCCGCCTGCTAAAATCCCACCTTTCCATTCTGGTGGACATGGTAATAATGAACTTACAATCAATGCAGCACCAAGTCCAGTTGCATAAACTAGTACAGCACTAATTGCCACTATACCAACAGTCTTTGCATCTCTTGCCTCCAATGATCCAACAATTTTGTTAAATGCTAAACATGGTAATAATACCGCTAGTACAACATCTGAAATTGCACGTGTAGTTTCTACAGATAATAATGCTAACCGACTTAATACTATACCTGTAGCTATAATTAAATATATTTTAATAATTGGTTTTACTGAGGCCCATATAGCCTCTCCTAATGTAATTGTCATTGTGTGTTTATAATGACTATATATATATATATGTATGTTTTAATTTGATATTCTTGTTTAACAGATTAAGTTGAAATACTATTCAAAAATAAAAGATGTGTAGTATTATTCTACTGGCAGTATATTCTTTATACATACATTTCTTGATATATATATATATATACTATAATCAATAAATAATAAGCTTTATCTAGGTATACATTTAGTTTAATCAAAAATAACAAATATACACACACACTTGGTTCCTTAAAATTGCCATTCTCCTCCTTAACCATCCAAGAAATGAATCTTTAAACGATCATCTACATAGAAAGAAATGAAAAATGTTATTAATAGACTATGAGGATTAGTGTGTCTTTAGTTATAAACTAGAGATACCCCTGTTTTTACAATTAACTAACTATTAGCAAAGCTGTCTTTATCGTAACTTCTTCTTCTTCTCCTCTCAACTAGTTAACAGTCAATAAAGGGTCAGAAGTCCTCTGATTTTATTTAATAGTATTCAGCCGTTCAATTTGCCTGCACCGTTAATAATAGCACGGAGAATAATCAGATTTGTTTTTGCTAATTAAAAATTTCCGGTTTTCTTCGTTTTCGTTTTCGTTTTCGGTTCGGGGGAGCCTTTCTCCTCTTTTCGAGAGAACTCCCCGCACAGAGAAACGGTGAGGAGAAAACTTCGCTTGTTCACGTGACGTTTTAATCTATTTTAATTTTAGTACAGAAGAAAAGGGAGAAGAAGACTATTATTGTAAGGAATCATCTGGTAACGGGACACGAACTAATGGTTCGGGTAATGGAACTGTATCAGCATCATCATTATTCTTATTTGTAGTGGTAGTGGTAGTGGTAGTACTAATAGTACTATTCTTAGTATTGGAGTTCTTGTCACTGTTTTCATCATTTACTGATACGGATGCATAGTCGCTATCTACATAACGAAGAAGTCCTAAACCAGCTTGTGATACTGCCCTTGAGATATTATCCCAAATTTGCATAACATCACTAACACTACTTGAATTTTCTTCTAATTGTTGAACTTCTAAGCTTAATGAATCCAATTGAGATTTAATGTTTTCTGTTAAATTACATATTTGAGTTAATTGTTGTAATTCACGTTGTTTTTGATCTCTTTGTTCAATCAATGACATATTTAGCTGTATGAATGTATGGGGGTGAGGTGTATCTCTCTCAATCTAATTACTTTATTTCCGTTACCAACAGTTTTACTTTCTTTTCTTTGTATCTCTCTCTATAAACTTTACAATTAATGCTATGTTTATTCTTTTATTAAGCTTGTTTTCACTTGAAATAATATTTTCGCGTTGTGAAATATTTTCTATTTCAAATTTGAATATTGCACGGAGAAAAGCAAACAGATCAAACATTTTCCTCATTAATTGTAGTAAATTGGCATCGTTTAATAATTTTAAATTTTTTTGTTTGTTTGTTTAGGGGCATCCTTTCCTACAAGTGAAATTCTTCTTTCAAAATAGTAATAGTCATCTGCTAAAATTACTATTAAAGCTTTATTTGTTAATAACTGGACGAGAAGAAAATGTTGTAGAGTGTGCGATAATATCCCCAGATCTACATCTATATATATATATTCACTTATTTATTATTTTTTCTTTTTCTCTTTCTCTTTTTTATGGCTAATTGGCGTTCATTGTATCGTCTAAGGAGACGTATTAAAATGGAACAACTTTCAAAACAACGATGGTTCAGTAATCCAGATTCTAAAATAATACCATTAGATACATCAATTTTATTTTATCCAACTTATACATGTTCTACAATAGAGACTACTAAACAAGATTATTTAACTAGAATACGATTATTAATTGCTGCACCAGGTAATGAAAATTCAAGAAAAAATAAAATTATTTTAAGTTTATGTAGACAATATTTAAAAGAACAATCAACTATTACGCAATCAAGACTCAATGGTTTTCTATCAAGAAGTATACCAACATCCAAATTAATTGTAGATTTAATTAATCATAATAATATTGTAACAGATACGAAATTTTTAAATACTGATCCAAGGGGTTTACTTACAACAACTTTAAGAAGTTCAGATATTCCAGACGCTATAAGAATTACATTAGATACTCCATCAAGTTTCCCGCATTTGGTATCTAATGTATATCCAAGCCATTACATTAAACCAAATGGAATTGGTGTAATAAGTGATATAGATGATACAATTAAACATACAGGTGTCACTGGTGATAAAAAATCAATGTTTAAGAATGTTTTTGTTACACCTTGGGAAGATTGGATAATTGAAGGTATACCAAAATGGTTTAACTCAATGGCATCACAATACAATGTAGATTTTTTTTATGTTTCAAATTCACCTTTTCAATTATATCCAACTTTACAAAATTATATTTCGAAGACTTTACCAAATGGCCCAATTTTCTTAAAACAATATGCAGGTAATATATTTGCAAGTATAATGAATACTTCATCGGCAAATAGTAAAAAAAGTACAATTGAACAAATTTTAAATGATTTCCCTCAAAAGAAATTTTTATTGATTGGTGATTCAGGTGAAAAAGATTTCGAAACATATGTTGATATTGCTTTAAGATATCCAGAACAAATCATTGCAATTTATATTCGTTGTTGTAAGGATTCAATTAGTGATGGTAGTTATAATGATGTAGCAATGGTGCAAGAATTGAATAAAACCATTGCTAAACAATACATGAAACCATTTCAACCTCCAACAATACCGAATAAACCAACAATTGTACTATCGGATTCTCAAAAGGAGTCAATCAGAATATCTAAGGAAAGAGTACCTCCACCTCCACCACCACCATTGCCAAAACGTCCATCCACTATATCATCGATGACCTCCTCCTTATCATCTTCTTCTGCATCTTTTACAGGGTTAGATTCAGATTCTCATGAACGACCTTTAAGTTCAAGGGAAAGACATTCGAATAATGATGCCTATGTAATGCCTTCGACACAAAACGATTATAACACATATGATGAATATTTCGATAAAAAAGCCGATTCTTGGAAATTAAGATTGAATATTGGATTACGGCAATTGATTAATTTACCAAATTTTAATATAGATATTCAATTCTTCATCGATCCTACTACTTGCATGACAAATTCAATGAAATTAATACGTACTCGCAAATAAGACAAATTACCATTTCATCAAGCATAAATATATATGAACACACATAAATACAAATTGTTAAACAATGACCATCATGTAATTACATCATGCAACTATATATTATTTAACAATCAATTAAACATCCATACCTATCTATTCTTATAAGTAAATGAATAATTACTATTAACCTACTTCGGATATTATTATACCCGGCGAGCGCCCCAAATTCTGCGTTGGCTTTCGGTAAACGCAAATGGAATGAAAATTTTGTTTGTTGGTGAACTCACTTTAATTTAGATAGGCCGATTGCTGTAACAGTTCAATTTTGTTAAAAAAATAGGTGGAGGTAGTTATAGCTGTCATTAATAAATAAAGATTGGAACATTAAGAACAGATATAACAATAGGAATAAAAAAAGCTATTAAGCTATATAAACTTTCTAATCCATCATACTATTTGGGTAATACAAGATGGCTCCAAGTTCTAAAAATAAGAAGAAGAAGGCTAAGGCCAAACATGGTAAGAAGAATCATTCTACCAATGATATCAGCCCATCGCGACTACCAACAGATATGAATGCAGAAGTGTTCGATAGTTCCGAAGAATACCCTACTAGTCGTGTTATTAAGAGTGGTCCAAATGGTGATGTTATTGTTGAATCAATAACAACCGATGATGACGATATGAAGCACAAGAAGAAAAATGATGGAAAAGATAATACAGAAAATATCAATAACAGAGAACCTTCTTCTATGGCCTCTGTATTAGATAATCACTGGGAAACATTGTCACCAGAGATCAAGAAGAAAATATTAAGAATAGATAAGAATGAGGTCTTCGATGTTATTCAAAAATATCAAAGTACTCATAATTGTAATTGTACTGTTTGTGGACGTCGTCACATGTCTATGGACCAAGAGATGGAAAGAATATACAATACATTATACGAAATCGATAAAATAAAAGATCCAGAGATTAATCCAGTGAAATTCCATCTTGGTATAATTAAAGAACTTCAACTATCTAGACATACTAATGAAGATAATACAGAAGAATCGCCGTCTGAGGTACAACACGACGATACCCTCAATGATAATACTCCAATAAAACCTTTTATGCCTTCTAATAATGTAGAGTCACTCAAAGAAGAAGTAATGCATTTTAAACAGAATAGACAAAGAAAATTTGTAGACGATGAATCATCTAATCAGAATAAAGGACAATCAAACACTGAAGATGAAGAAAACATTAGCCAGAATGACGAAGAAGAAACTGAAAAAACTGCACCACATATAGCTTTAGCACAACAATATAAAGATTTCACAAAAAGTTTTATATCATCTCATCCAAAACTAGCAAGTGAATATGTCAACAAGATGATGCTCTACCCTGATATGTTAAATGTAACGAATAATATGATGGGTATTGGTTCAGATAAAAACTTTGTTGCAACAATGACAGATTTTGTGGCTCAAAAACTAAAGAATGGTGCTGATGAACTAAACAAGGATGGCATGGGTGATCCTAAGGTATTTACGACGATGCTACATAATGGTACACCATTAACTCCAGAAGAATATATTGAACTTCAAAGAAATATTGCAGATAGAATGACGAACTCCTATGATACAAAGAAAAGGGAATTTAACTCCATATCACCTCTTGAGAAAGAACTATTTGTAAGGTTTATGCTAAGTGATAACAGAAAACAATTTGAAGAAATTGTTATGCAATCATTTCGAGAAAAATTTGATTATGAATTTGGTGGATCATCTATTAGTGCATCATTAGCAGCAGCTGCTGCCGCAGCTACATTAACAAACCCCCTTTCTGCATTAAGTTCTTCACAAGATTCTTCAAAATTTCAAAATTACGATGCCCGAAACGATGTTTCTGACGACGAATATGAATATTCGGACTATGATGATGAAGAAGAAGGAGAAGAAGAAGAAGAAGAAGAAGAAGAAGATGATGATGATGAAAATGGTGGGAGTGAAATATTATCAGATTATTTGGAAGATGAAAACGAAAGTCACTTAAAACCTGGGTACGATAAAAATGGTCATTTTGATCCAAACCATCATATAATGACACATCATGCAGAACATATGAACTATACTCGTCACCACGGTAATGACAATTTTCATCAATATATGGGATCCGATGAATTTGAAGAAGATGGAGACAGTTATGACGAAGAAGAAGGAGAAGAAGAAGAAGAAGAAGATGAAGACGTTATTGGTGATGAGGAAGATGGCTATGAAAGTCCTGTTGATGAGGCCGATCGTTTAGAAGAAGGGCGTAAATTGTTACAGATTGCAATCACCAAACTATTACAAGGTAGAATATTAGAATCGTATCATGAATCAGAAGCAGAAAACAATAGATTAAAATTATTACAAGAGTTAGAAGATGAACAGAAATCTAAAGAAGAGAAGAAACAAAAGAAACAGAAGAAGAAAGAAAAAGAAAAAGAGAAGAAAAAACAACAACAACTGGCTAAAGAGGAAGAGAAGAGAAAAAAAAGTGAAGAAGAAGAAAGAATTAAAAAGGAAAATGAAGCTCGTGAATTAGAAAGAAGAGAAGCTCAACGCAAGAAAGTCGAGGAAACCAAAAGAAAGAAAGATGAAGAGAGAAGACGTAAGTTGGACGAACAACGCAAAAGAGAAGAACTTCAAGAACGCCAAAGAAAACTAAAAGAAGAACAAAAACGTAAAAGGGAAGAAGAAAAGAAAAAGAAAGAGGATGAAAAGAAAAAATTAAAAGAAGGCAAAAAGCTGATACAAGCAGAGGAAACCGTTACAATTGGGGACTACGAGCAACAAATCACTGAGAAATCACACCCCCAATTGGATGATACTACACCCACTGTTAAACAAACGAACATCTCAAAGGAAATACCCACTTCAAATGGGATTCTGGCACCACAGAAGCTTGAAAATATTAGCAACGACATTGCTGATATCATCAGTACCGTAACTGCCTCCAAATCTATTTCTGGGTCTCCATCACACCTTCAAAATTTGCTACATCCACAAGCACCCAAGGTTGGTACACCTGTCTCGAAAGCTCCTCAAAGTGGCATTACTCAAACATCTAATTCACTTGCATTAGATTCAAATCAGTTGTTCCCTGGAAGTAACAGTATACTTTCGACACCCATCTTACCAGCATCAAGGCAGAATGAATTCGATAATCTATATTCATCGTTGTCGAATAACCCACCTTCAGGATTACAAGGCTTATCTGGTGCTAATATGGAGACACCATTATGGAATTCTTATTCTTCTCCAAGCATTTCACAAGCTATTGGGAACCCTATGTCCCAGACAGACCCATTGACTTATCATTCTGCTACAGGAACACCACAAGCCAGGCTGGCCTCATATAACCCAATTGCAACTACAAATCAAACAAGGCAATCTTTCAATGATGAATTAAATTCTTTGACGAATATGCTTTCATACTCTGGTTTGAATGATTCAAATTTTACAACCGGCTCAGCTGACCAAATGTGGAATAATGGACAGAGGAATTCTATATCTGCACGAATGGCAAACCAGCCAATGAATAGCTTGAACAATTCAGGTAGTTCTCTTCATAATTCTGTCCCTTCGACAGCTATGCATCCTTTTATGGATACTAACTCTACACGTTCAGGTTCCATTTGGAACAATAATATGATTGACCAAACCAGCCAAACTCCATTAGCTAATACAACAAATAATTCTTTAAGAGTTGGAGCTAACACCTTAAATAGACCGCTCCAAGACCAACCTGCAGACGTATCGAATTTGTTACCTTCCAGTATCTGGTCTGAACCATCTCCAACTTTCATGAATACGAAGACTAACTTGGCGCAATCCACATTGAATAATAATAGTTTCAATACAGAACAATCCATTCCAGATATGATATATAAAGAGTGCAATGTATTACAACAACAAGACCCATTACAACAACCATATATTTCTACTGAAGCACTATTTCATCGTATTGCTTTTCTAGGCTTAGATTACAACACTTTCATGAATATTGTAATGAATATGACAAACAGTTATGGAATAGAGACAATCCCAAATACCAGCGGAACAATCACACATGTTATGCTAAATAAGAATAATAGAGTGCCAGTATTATCATCAATATCTGATATTAGTATCGGTTCTCAAGATTCAATGAACGTAGCAAACGGCGCTTTTAATTTAGCTACTACTAGTAATTCCATGGGCCAAGTAGATTCAAGACAAAACGGATTCCCTTCTGGATCTTTACTACATAATTCAATCCCATCATCTGGGATTTCACAGTAAATAGAATGCTACGCAAAAATATCAGTTTAATTAAATAAATAAACGAATAAAATAACGAATACCTTCAGTTTAACGATGAAATAATATTTATAAATCCTGAATACGGCTACATGAAAAAGTATACATTAGTGATGGTCGTCAGAATAAAATAAGGTTTATCCTTCTAAAGTTCTCCCCTCATCTCATGCATCTATTGTATCTATATTAAGAATTATTGTTACGATAATAACATTCGGAAAAATTATATTTTTATATAGCGTACCGGTAAGCCTCAGGGCGCATGCAGTAAATAACGAAGCCAAACGAAGATGTCATTGTTATATTTTAATGTTCTTGAAATACGGAAGGGTAAAACTTAGAGGAAGGTATTAGAATTTGTAAAGTGAAATAACCTTATAAAGTTATTATAACTATCTTTTCTGTTATTTTTACAGAAAAACTCGAAAGACCTATAATCGATAACTATTCTCTAAGAGGTACCATTATCTAACTTATAACTTCAACAATCCATTTATATTTAAGGATCAAGTTTCAAAGAAGTAAAATAAAACATAAACGCACACCACTTCATAGAATTATATATCAGTTTGAAAAATTGGAATATTAGAAGCGTTGAAAAAAGTACCTCTTAATCATAATTTATAGACCCACTTTCTCACTATGCCTGAAAACGCAATCAAGAGAAAATTAGTTATCATTGGAGATGGTGCATGTGGTAAAACATCATTATTATATGTGTTCACACTGGGAAAGTTTCCTGAGGAGTATCACCCCACTGTGTTTGAGAACTATGTGACAGATTGCAGAGTAGATGGAATCAAAGTGTTACTAGGTTTATGGGATACTGCAGGCCAAGAGGAATACGAACGATTAAGACCATTTTCGTATTCTAAAGCGGATATATTATTGATTGGGTTTGCTGTCGATGATGTAGAATCTTTAGAAAATGCACGAAATAAATGGGCAACGGAAGCTCTTAGATACTGTCCCACCGCTCCTATAATATTGGTAGGATTGAAGAAAGATCTTAGAGAGAAAGGACGAAATGAACATGGCGAGAAAGTTAAAATGGTTGATCCAAAAGATGCCCAAGAGGTAGCAAGAGCCATTGGTGCAAAGAAATATATGGAGTGCAGTGCGTTGACGGGCGAGGGGGTTGATGATGTCTTTGAATTAGCAACTAGAACAAGTTTACTGATGACGGAAGACCCAGGTACAAAATGTTGCACTTTATCGTGACCAAAGGTTAGAAGATGTTGATAATATCTCTAATTTTAACCTACAATTTTAACTGCATAGATAATTGGATAAGATTGCTCAGATATAACGATAAATAAATATATATAGTCAATTCCACAAACATTTAGATACACTAGTAAGTTTGAATTTTTAATTTAATTTTTAATAAGCACCAGAAAAGGTGTACAAAGTTCTAACATTTTTGCTCCAGTTTATACATTGCTTTAAAGGAAGAAATTTCAAAGCAGTACATCTTTTTGAAAACCCAGATCTGAAGGTATAATAATACGTGTGTTACGTATGGTCTAGAAACTGCAACAAAAGTTATGATGACCCAGAGTAAAATGAAGTGAATAAATCTTCTTCCCTTAAGGAATTTATCAATATTCCCAACGAAGGTTATTAATGGACAAAGAACTTTACAATTTGAATAACAGGACGCATTATACACACCCACGTAATTTAGAAAATGGTTTATGATATCTTTTGTTTGTAATAGTCTTAGCTTACTATTTAAGAAAACGATTTCATAAATTCTAGTGACATCATTTTTAAGTCCCAATAGAGATAAAGAATAAACATAGTCATTTCTAGCGTACAACATTACTTTAAGTACATGAAATATACTTTCTTATACATAAATTCGATGCTTATATTACTATTAATCCTGTTAATCTACCATAAATTCCGCGTTTCGGCGAACAACAAAACAAAAAAAAGACACGAAAATTTATATATAACTATTTATTATTGATTTTAAAATAAACAAATCAATTATTTCGTAGACAGAGCAATTGATATTTTGGTTTAGTTGTTTTATATTGAACTTTTTCCTATATACACAATAAAAACCATATTCAGTATCAACATTTGGTTCTAGTGAAAGGGATCCAGCCATGTCCAGAGCACAGAAGACAGCCACTGAGAGATACCAGAAGATCTCTCAACTGGAACATATCTTGAAAAGACCAGATACTTATATTGGTTCTGTTGAGTTTCATGAACAAGAACAATGGATTTTTGATGAGGCTACCGAATGCCTAATGGAAAAGCATGTTAAAATTGTCCCAGGTCTATTCAAGATCTTTGATGAAATTTTGGTTAATGCTGCCGATAACAAAGTCCGTGACCCATCGATGAAGAAGATTGAAGTCACAATCACAGCCGAAGAGAACTTAATTGAGGTTAAGAATGATGGTAAAAGTATTCCTATTGAAATCCACCAAAAGGAGAAAATATATATCCCTGAATTAATTTTTGGTCATCTGTTAACTTCTTCAAATTATGATGATGAAGAGAAGAAAGTGACAGGTGGTAGAAATGGTTACGGTGCTAAGTTATGTAATATCTTCTCTAAAGAATTCATATTGGAGACAGCTGACCCAAAAAAGGGTAAAAAATATGTTCAAAAATGGGAAAATAATATGAACGTTTGTAATCCACCTACTATAACGTCTTACAAGAAAGGGCCATCTTATACAAAAGTCTCATTCAAGCCTGATTTATCAAGATTCAACATGGAAGTCTTAGACAACGACATCCTAGGTGTTATGCGTCGTCGTGTTTATGATATTAATGGGTCTGTGAGAGATATAAGTGTCTATTTAAATGGGAAATCTTTGAAAATTAGAAACTTTAAGAATTATGTTGAATTGTATTTGAAGTCTTTGGAGAAAATGAAGCAAATAAATAATAATCAAGACGCTTCTAAACAAGATACCCCCACAATTCTTTACGAAAGAATAAGTGATCGTTGGGAAGTGGCATTCGCAGTTTCCGACATTTCTTTCCAACAGATTTCATTTGTTAATTCTATTGCTACAACATCTGGTGGTACACATGTTAATTATGTGACTGATCAAATTGTTAAAAAAGTTGGTGATTATTTTAAGAAAAAGAAAAAGAGAATAAAGCCATTTCAAATTAAGAATAATATATTCATCTTCGTCAATTGTTTAATTGAAAATCCTGCTTTCACTTCTCAGACGAAAGAACAACTAACTACCCGTGTGAAAGATTTTGGTTCTCGTTGTGAAATATCCAATGACTATATTAATAAGATATTAAAGACAGACTTGGCTACTAGAATTTTTGACGCTGCTGATGAGAACGATGCTAAAGCCTTAAAACAATCCGATGGTTCAAGAAAGAGTAGAATCACTGAGTATCCGAAATTAGAAGATGCCAATAAAGCAGGAACTAAGGACGGTTATAAATGCACGCTGATTTTGACAGAGGGTGACTCTGCCTTGTCGCTGGCTGTTCTTGGTTTGGCAGTTGTTGGTAGAGACCATTATGGTTGTTATCCTTTACGTGGTAAAATGTTAAATGTTAGAGAAGCAAGTGCTGATCAAATTCTGAAAAATGCAGAAATTCAAGCAATTAAAAAAATTATGGGTCTACAACATAGAAAAAAATATGAAGACACTAAATCCTTAAGGTATGGTCACTTAATGATCATGACAGATCAAGATCACGATGGTTCACACATTAAAGGTTTAATTATCAACTTCATAGAATCGTCGTTCCCCGGTTTACTAGATATTCCTGGTTTCTTGGTAGAATTTATAACACCTATCGTCAAAGTAACAATTACAAAGCCTAAGAAACAGTCTATTGCCTTTTATAATATGCCTGATTATGAAAAATGGAGAGAAGAAGAGAGTTACAAATATTCTTGGAAACAGAAGTATTACAAGGGTTTAGGTACTTCCCAAGGTAGTGAAGTTCGTGAGTATTTTGCTGATCTAGACAAGCATTTGAAAACTTTCCATGCTCTAGAAGGTAATGATAAGGACCTTATTGATTTGGCCTTCTCTAAGAAGAAAGCAGATGATCGTAAGGAATGGTTAAGACAATATGAGCCAGGTACTGTATTGGATCCTAATTTGACTGAAATTCCTATCAGTGATTTCATTAACAAGGAATTAATTCTTTTCTCCTTGGCAGATAATGTCAGATCCATTCCAAATATTCTTGATGGTCTAAAACCTGGTCAAAGAAAAGTTATGTTTGGTTCGTTCAAACGTAATCTACGTTCTGAAATCAAAGTTTCGCAACTTGCCCCATATGTTAGTGAAGCAACATCATACCATCATGGTGAACAATCGTTGGAACAAACTATCATCGGTTTAGCTCAAAGTTTTGTCGGTACAAATAACATTTATCTACTAATGCCAAATGGTGCGTTCGGTACGAGAGCTACTGGTGGTAAAGATGCTGCTGCATCAAGATATATCTACACAGAGTTAAACAAATTGACAAGGAAGATTTTCCATCCAGCAGATGATCCTTTGTTTAATTATTTACAAGATGATGAGAAAACTGTTGAACCAGAATGGTACTTACCAATTATACCAATGGTACTTGTGAATGGTGCAGAAGGTATCGGGACTGGTTGGAGTACAAATATTCCCTCTTTCAATCCGGAAGATATTGTCAGAAATATTAGATATTTGATGGACGATCAAGAACTTGAACCCTTGCACCCTTGGTTTAGAGGTTGGACTGGTACAGTCGAAATGGTTGAAAGACAACGTTATAGAATGTACGGTAGGATTGAACAGGTTGGACCTAACAAACTTGAGATTACAGAACTACCAGCAAAGACATGGACATCCACTATTAAAGAATACCTATTACTTGGTATAAGTGGGAATGAAAGGACTAAATCTTGGATTAAAGATATGGAAGAACAACACAGTCATGACATCAAATTCATCATCACTCTTACTGACGAAGAAATGAAAAAGACAAAGAAAATCGGTTTCTATGAAAGATTTAAATTAATATCTCCTATTAGCATGCTGAACATGGTCGGGTTCAACGCACATGGCAAAATCAATAGATATAATGATCCAAATGAAATCTTAACTGAGTTTTATTATGTTAGATTAGAATATTATCAAAAGAGAAAAGATTATTTAACTGAGATTTTGCAATGGGAATTGGAGAAATTGTCCTACCAAGTGAAGTTCATTAAAATGATTGTCGATAAACAATTGACTGTTACTAACAAACCTCGTAAACAAATCATCGAAGAGTTTGAAAATCTAGGTTTCCCAAGATTTAATAAAAAGGGTAAACCATATTACGGTAAGATAGATTCAATTGAGAAGACAGAAGATGAAGATGCTGAAGAAAACGGCGAATCAAACAACAATAATCTTGAAGAAGGAAATGAAACTGTAAATGGTCCTGAAGAAACATACGGTACTTTCGAATACTTACTAGGTATGAGAATTTGGTCGCTGACAAAGGAAAGATATGATAAATTAATGAAACAACAGCAGGAAAAACAAACCGAACTTGAAAGCTTATTAAAACTATCTGCCAAGGATATCTGGAATAATGATCTGGATGAATTTATGAAATCATACCACGACTTCATTAACTTAGATCAAGAGATGAGAGAAGGTGAAGCCGAAGGTAAGAAGTTAAAGACCTCTGCTAAGCGTAAAAGAGGAAGAAATGACGATGACTATGACCCAAGTAAAAAGAAGCCTAAAAGAAGAATAACCAAGAAAATAAAAGAGGAAGCAAATTTCAAGAGAGTTTTGCTTGAACCTAAGGTTGTTGTAAAACCTAAACGTGTTGCCAGGATAAAGAAGGAAACTACTACAGAGGAGGTGAACCAAACTCAATCTCCAACCCCATTTACTCCAAGCCAAAGCACTGCTGATTCGATTACAGAAACCAGCAAACCTACAACCATTTTTGACAATGTTGTAAAGAAAGAAGAACCTGCAACAGGCATTAGCGCATTCACTAGTAAATTTAAGAAGATAACCGATGTCTTTGATAAGATGGATTCCAAGGACAGTGAAGACACTGTCGACATAACATCAAAGGATGGTGAGGATTCCACCGGAACATCGTCAAAGGATGAGCTAGCTACACTTGTGGAAACAAGCCAAAAACCTCTCGATAAGAAAGCAGCTCCAAAGAGAAATAAGAAGGCTGTAGAATTATTAGATGAAAGTGATTTGGAAATATTAAGTGATGCACAAGATGACGCCGAGGATGATGAAGAGATACAGCCACGTAAAAGAAATAGCAGAGCTAGAACCCCTAAACAATCATACGTTGAAGAAGCAATCGAGTTATCAGATGATAGTTTCATCGATGATGATGACGAAAATGAAGAGGCAGCTGACGATTCTGATGCATCATTTGGATCTGATGAGTAAGAATTGTACCATAAATAAAAATATATATATATTGAATATCCAAATAATTATGACAAAGTTCTAAATAAAATTCCATTTTCAGGTAGGACACTCTCCTGATCGGATATCAATTGAATGTTATGAAAGTTTCCTGTATATAAATAAATCTTAAGCCAAAAGCTCGAAAATGAAAAGTGTGGAATCTGAAAAATCACGTCTATTAAATCATCGCGCAGAGATAGAGAGGGCGAACACAGAAGTTTGACTCATCGTTTTATATATATATATATATGCATACATCGAACAAGATTGTTAACATATTACTTCAGAATTTTATTATCCATATTTTTAGTAGATTCATTCATAATATTGTTAAACAATAAATAAATTATTCCAGAAATACACAATGCTTCGATTCAGAAGATACATTTCTGTATCCAGAAATCTTCTCCAGGCGATCTCAAAAGATCAGTCACAAAGCTATACAAAATTATTTAAACAACCCTATTTCCATAAAATTAATGAGCAATTGAATAAAAGGATTGAAACTTTAGAACCTTATGAACTCTCAAACGAGATAAATAATGTAGTGAAAGATTTGAAATATACTGAACAAGAAGCATCAGTTGTCCATAATAAGATTATTGAAGAACTAACAAAGTATAATTTTGGTATAGCCACTATTCAGTCACGAATTCTAAACGAGTTAAAACAAAAGCTATCTACAGAAGCTCTTTTACAACTGATTGAACATAACCCTGGTAGAATTAAATCATCTTGGGAGCTATTTGTCAATAACGTGAAGGATTTTGAAGAAGTACCAGATGAATTATTAGCTAAAGTTTTGTCAAAAGTCGTAAACTTTGATTTCGCGGATATCAAAGATGGGAAGAAAACAATGACAGTAGCTGATGTCACCAATGCATCTTACATCCTTACAAATATAAAAGACAAAACATTGATAGATCAAAAACTTATTGATCGAATTACTACCGCAATCTTGGAATCAAATGCAACCAAATGTCTTCCAGTAATTTTGAGTTATTCTCCCTCACTCAATGTCTTCAGCCAAAAATATGAGGAACTATCCAATTTACAGACATATTACATCTTTAAATCATATCCATTCGAAGATTTGAGAGCTTCTTCATCATATGTCTATAATCTAACCAGGGCAACGGGAAGACCTGATGCTTTAAAAGCTACCGAAGAAGAAATAGAGACAAATAAATTAATTGATGAACAGATTACAAATATCAACAAGAGTTTGAATAAGAAATGGACTATTAGCACCCCTGAACTTGAACCAGACCAAGTTGAAAAGAATTTCTTCCGCATATTGGAAGATTTACAAAATGGTAACAGAATAGATAACGATTTTGGTTTAGCAAAGTTAATACTTAGAATATTTTCGTTAAGTAGGGGAAACATTGAAGAATTTATGAATTTCTACGTAAAATGCGGTGATAAATTTGAAGAAAGAAAAGATGAAATCGCATTTGAGGCATATTTAGCATATAGCTATAAAGCCTTTAAGACAGGTGATGCATCGTTCCTACAAGCTGCTCAGAATTGGCTACCTAAACTACCTCAAGATGCTATTTTAAGAACAAATATACTAAGGGTGGCAATTTTAACAGATGCCAGATTCGATATAGAAAAGTCATTGAATATTTTTAACGATAATGTCCAAAATCTAAGCAAAGAAAAAAATGAACACGAGGCAGGATCACAATGTGATTTAGTTACAGAATCATTGATATTAGCATATTTATACAAACAAGATATTGATTTCGCCAGAATGGTCTTAGACAAAGCTATGGGCGAAAAACTGTTTTCTGGTAAAGCTGCAGTTAGGAACATTAAGAAGCATTTAGCTGGATATGGGGAAGCTGTAGAAAATAAGACCCTACAAATTTTTTTAGATGAAGATATTTGCGAATACCTGCAAAATCTATAATTTAAGTCATTTATTTAAGCGTAAATTCAGTCTGTAATCATATATAGGTTTAAAATCCTCTAATACGAAACACTTTCAAAGTTGTATATTCTAATGATTCATTATTCTCACAGTGAAAGCCCTTTCTTTTTCAGGCAGTAATTTATTAGTAGTTATGCGAGCTATTGTTATATTTTTATTTTGTGCGACGTTTTCACTTAGAATGAATTTTTTAGGCGTGTGGAAAATTTTTTAAATGGAAAACTTAATCCCATCTCATCGCAAAATAAAATAGATTTTAGTCAAAAGTAAAGACATAGACATACGTCTTATATAACTAAAAAGTGGAGAGTGAAACGTATATAGACTATCGACAGCTACTATCTAACGCAAGCAATACACCAAGTCTATCTCATATCTAATTTATAGAATGGCTAGGAAAAATAGATCACAATTTTCTATCCAAGAAAGGACAGCCAAAAAAAGACAACACGAAGATGCACTTCTTGCAAGTGGTACTTTTGATGATGTTGGTGAGATTCCTGCTGATATGATATCTTCCGAGGTTGAGACTCATTCTAGAAAGAGACGTTCATCGTCCTGGGATGATGAAGAACAAGATTATGAATTGAAACCAAGAGTCCTAGATAATCCTGAAGAAGATATGGTAGAAGGTCTTCCTATTAAAATCAATGGTAAAGTTGAAAGAAACCTCTTGAAGAGACAAAAGAAAAAACACGAAATTGAAGAAGAAGAAGAAGAATCTGAAGAGGAAACCAAGAATGAACAATCCAAAGAAGAAATGAAAGGAGGAGCTGAAGAAGAAGAGGAAGAAGAACCTGATACGGAAGAAAAAGTTTTACAATTGCAAGAGGAGATCGCAGATATGGTTGAAAATATCATGGAAGACCCAGAAGAGAACACCAGATACCTTACCCGTCTTGTTAAGATGGTTCAATCTAAGAACCCAAATACTTGTAAATTTTCAATGCTTGCTTTAGTTCCTGTGTTCAATAGCATTATTCCAGGTTATAGAATCAGACCATTAAGTGATATCGAAAAGAAGGAAAAAGTATCCAAAGAAGTTTCTAGATTAAGACATTTCGAGCAAAATTTAGTTGTAAACTACAGAAATTATATTGAACGATTGAATGTTCTATCCAAAGTTGCCAATAATGAAGACCCCATTAAAGTTGCACTTGGTGTGAATGCAATGCAAGCAGCTACTGGTATAATCTCTAATGCATCCCATTTCAACTTTAGAGCAGAGGTGTTCTCAATTTTGGTTCGTCGTATTTGTAAACCAAATCTACGTGTAGATCCTATTGCACCAACCATTATTAAGAGTGTGGAATCTCTATTTACTGGAGATGATGAAGGTAGTATATCTGTCGAAATTGTTAGAATCTTCTCAAAAGTTCTAAAGGTAAGAAATTACATGATTGATGAATCTACTATGAATATCCTACTATCCCTTGACGTTTTACAAGATTATGATCCAAATACAAGAGAAGAACAAAATGAGATGAAATTCAAAATTAAGAAGAAGGATAGAGTACATTTATCTAAAAAGGAGAGAAAAGCTAGAAAGGAAATGAAAGAGATTGATGAAGAAATGAGGAAAGCAGAACTTGTAGTCTCAGCAGAAGAAAGAGAGAAAAATCAAGCTGAAATATTGAAATTAGTTCTTGCGTTATATCTAAATATTTTAAAAGTTGGCCATACCAATCTTGTCGGTGCCGTATTGGAAGGTTTATCTAAATTTGGTAATATGGCCAATTTCGATCTTTTAGGGGATTTCCTGGAAGTCATGAAGGAGATAATTATTGAAACTGATCTAACAGAATTAGATCCTTCTGAAGTACGAAAAGTATTACTGTGCATTGTGAGTTCCTTCTCATTAGTATCAAATAATAGACATATGAAGATATCAGTAGATTTATCTACATTCGTCAATGCATTATATGCTATCCTCTTCAATGTTGCGTTAGATGCTGATATTGAATTATCCTATAAATCATTGAGACTTGCCGATCCATTAAACTTGGAGTTAGTAAAACCATCAGTCAATGTTTCTACAAAGGCTGAATTACTCTTAAAGGCTCTTGATTATACCTTTTTCAGAACAAATTCAGGAACTAGAGAAAGGGCCGCAGCATTTACTAAAAGATTATACGTTGCTATAATGCATACACCTGAGAAGACAACAGTTGCTCTTTTGAAATTTATTGATAAATTAATGACAAAATATCCAGATATTGGAGGATTATACTCCACTGAAGACAGAATTGGTAATGGTTCATACAATATAAATATGGACATCATATCGAGATGTAACGCTGGGGCTGCCACATTATGGGAGAATTCATTGCTTTCAAAACATTATTGTCCTGCAGTAACAAAAGGAATCAATTCATTGTCAAAGAGATCTAAGGAATCTAAATAAATAATTAAAAAATACGTACTTCATAGAAATATGTAAGACAACGTAAGAAATGTAGTAATTGTAAATTTGAATAATAATATTAATAATATACAAAAAAAATTAGAAAAAAATGAAGAAGTAAAAACAGAATGGGTGTATTATTAACAATACTAGAATATAAAATACAAGTAAATGTAGATATATATAATGCTTTTAAAAAAATCGGAACTAGAATACCCTTTATGCGATGATAGCTGCACCGATACCCAAAGTTGAGAAAATAATACTCATGAATATGGTAGCATAACAAGCGATTCTTTCTGCAGGTGTGATTGTATCTTTGCAAATTCTGATATAGAAGCAACATGGCAAAATAAGACATATCATGAAACATAAACCTGCACCTAAAAATGCGATAATTTTATCAAATTGAGGGAATATGATTGCAATAATAACAAATAAAATATTGACAAAAACGGCATTAGTAGATTGGATAATCTTGGCAATCTTCAAACGATTACCTTCATATTTCTCTTCAGCATCTCTAACATTTAGTAATGTATCTAAGACCGAAATAATTGGTCTTGCATTTAATGGAGTCTTCGCAATTGGTATCAAGGTCATTAAACCAGAAATTAAACCATGTAAATAACTTGGAAATTTATCTAACAGAAGAACATTCTTAGTAATTTCATCCTTCACAGTTTCACCAAACATTAAATATCCAACTACTGCAATACCAATATCAGTAACTGCCGTAATTTCATATGTTGTCTTTAAACAATCTTTAAATTTAGTAGGATGTCTCATATCTGATTTCAAATTTGGGAAAACTGCATGTCCACCCCAAGAAGCACTTAAAAGACCAATTGAAAGACAGAAACTTTTAAAATCTTTTGGCCATAATTGTGTTTCCATTGGATGAAATAAAGAACCTGGAGCTGTGTTATTAAATATACCACATGCGGTAATTACTGCAACAGTACCAATAGTTGAAAGAATACCTAATAATGATATATTAGATAAAATGCTTAATGGTAAGAAAACTGGTGGGGTTATCACAAAGAATGCTAAAATTTTAAATGTAGTTACAGAAATATTTGGAAATAATGCATTTAATGAATCTGCAAATAAAATGACTAAAGATACACCACAACCAAGTAAATCTAATGTAAATAATGCAGAAATTAAAGCACGTCCATTGGTACCAAAAGCTGCAAACCCTAAATCTGCATATGACATTAATGTTAAATCTGTATCCAAACATCTAGAGAGAAGTTCTGCAGTACAAAAAGTGGCACCAGCGAAAAGAGTCAATAGTGATAAACCAATGACCCAACCTGCATGTTTTAAACCTAGTGGTAATGCTAATAGCCCAATACCTATCAATACATTAATTGAATTAAAAATAGTCTGAGGGGCTGTCGATTGACCTGCCAGGACAGTGACAACTTTCCCATCTTTATCTTCAACTTGTTTCAATACCAATGAATCTACATCACCTGCAATGACACCTTTATAACCATCTCTACTTAAATTGTCAGCTAATTCAGCCATAGAGATGGAACCTCTTAGAAGAGAACTTTGATCACCAGCACCAATTCCAGTATGGCCTGAATATGTAGAGCCATAATCTACTGAACTATCATCAAAGAAAGGATTATCACCTGTAATTCTACTGCTATCTAAATTTGTTATGGAAGGTCTCATTGAAATATTTTGAGACGGACGTAATGCTGTCGATAATCTTCTACCATTTACTGCAGGTGCCAAAGTGTCAGGATCAAAAATTTCATCATGATTATCTTTAAAGAAAGAACGTTCGACACTTGAATTGACATCAATATGCCTAAACGAATTAGCTCTTCTTAAAGATGTAGCAAATCGTCCTAAAGAATTGACACCTCTGAAGGAACCTATTGGTTGGTCAAGAATAGATTGTCTTCTAGTATTGAAGGATGCTTCAACAGGTGTGTTACCATTCTGAGTGTCTACTTGAAAATCTGCATTTCTATCTATAGGAATTGAGATATAATGAACTTGAGATCTTGGATTACCATTTCTGGCATTTTGTAATGGTTGTTGTTCTGGATCACCGTTCATGATTTTACCAGATCAAATCTTGAACTTACTATATTTTTTTTAGAATACTTTGAATAACCGTTTTCTGATATTATTTTTAATATCAATATGGCTGAGTATTTATATTTATATAACTAGCGTGCAATTTTCTCCCCTTATTATTACCTCGAGAATAAAAAAAAAATACAAAACTATCAGAAAAGAGCAACAGTACAGATTTGTATCAAAACAACAACAAACACTAAATATATAACTGTCTACTAATATCTTATCAAGAATCAAGAAAAAGGAAATGCATATACAATTACAATATTTGTCTTTTATTATTTATTGTTTCTTTTATTTACATATCTTGTTCTCACCCCCATAAAAGAAACAATCGAAGAAACTCTCGCGCCATTTTTTTTTCTAATTTTTGTTTTGATTTCGAAGGCTGAATGAAGAAGATAAAGAGAGGTTCTGCAAGATATGTAGGTATGCAGTGTGATGTTGACTAGTTTATTTCATTTTAGATATGTTCATGTCAGACTGGTGTTGATCTGCTCTTGTAATCTGTAAGTAAGCAAACATATAGTGTCTTGGTCGGTCGCAAAACTAAGAACTTATTGTACTATGATGTCATTTTGATAAACCTTCGTAGGAATTTTTTCTTTTTTTCACCAAAAATTTTTCAAAATTTTTAATTTGATAATTTTGGCTTTTTGATTAAAAGTAAAGAAAACAATTGATTAAAACACAGAGAGAGGGTGTGCATGTGCGAGTAAGTATATATACTGAGAGGACTAGCAGTAAACAACAGGATTACACCGTTCAATTGTTTTTGTTTTTTGCGTTAATATATTCAAGCTGCACAAATATGCCTATCCAACAGCCATCTGGTCAAATTAAACTGACAAATGTCTCTTTAGTGAGATTACGTAAGGAACGTAAGAGATTCGAAGTAGCATGTTATCAAAATAAAGTTCAGGACTACAGGAAAGGTATCGAAAAGGATATGGATGAAGTCTTACAGATTCATCAAGTATTTATGAATGTATCTAAAGGTTTAGTTGCATCAAAGGAAGATTTACAAAAATGTTTTGGCACAACTAATGTTGATGATATCATTAAATTAATTTTACAAAAAGGTGAAATTCAATTAAGTGAAAAGGAAAGACAAATCATGTTGAATAAAATTAATAATGAGATGTTAACAATTATTAGTGCTAAATGTATTAATCCAAAATCTAAAAAAAGATATCCACCAACCATGATACATAAAGCATTAATTGAATTAAAATTTAGTCCTGTAGTTGGTAAACCTGCAAAATTACAAGCATTGGAAGCAATTAAATTATTGATATCAAAACAAATAATACCAATTGTAAGAGCTAAAATGAAAGTTAAAGTTAATATCAAAGCACCAACAGAAAATGAGGAATCATTAGAAAAGATTAAAAAATTTATCATTACTAAAGAAAGTGAATCTAATACTTTAGAATCTTATGAATGCACAGGTTTAATTGATCCCGTCGCATACAGAGATTTGGTCACATTATGTAGTCAAATCGGTACACTTCAAGTATTAGACATGGCAGTGATAGATGAAAGTAATTAAGCAACTTCAAACGAAGTAAAAAAAAATATTATAATCATTTCACACTTACGTCTTCTATTTACTTTTGCATTAATATATACACATATAAATCTACATACAGTCTTAGAATTACATATGCATCTAATTCATTTAAATACTATACATTTCTTTAATTGTCTTAAGTACAAAGACTAATTTGGCAAAATCAAGTTCATTATCGGGGTCTTGATCTTCACCTTTGGGTTGGCGAAATATTTTACTACTTATAGTAATAATTAAACTTGATCCATCGCATGTCAATTCATTACTCTTACCACTTGTTCTTAACATTGGTATTATTACAGACTGATATAATTCACCCATCTGTGTACATATTACTGGCATCTTGTGGTCTGTGGTATCTCCAAGTTTAGTAACCACCTGAAAATCTGCTAGATTATCCCTTACAACATCTGCATTGTATGAAAATTCATCATCATCATTCTGTTCTTCCGATGGTACAGAATTGAACCCAGCAATTGGTCGACTTATCCCTTGATCCAGGGCATTCAGCCCCCTCTTTGTAACTTCATAAGTGGAATCCATCTCCCCATTTAATCTGATTTGCAATAGTATTTGATTTGAGAAGTGGATACTGGTTATATCCAACGGCAATCCACTCAAAGAACCTTGGTCATTATTAAATGTTGCACTAGCTGTATATTCTGACATCGCAATTAATTACTTCGATGATACTCAACCATATCTGAGACTACTAATCTTGCAAACAAAACAAACGCCTTCATCGTTGAAATAGTACACCTTTAAGTATCCTGTCCATTCATTTACCGGAGCCAACAAAATTCAATGGCACACACACACAAAACAAAACATTTCAGCGCGTTACAGTTGATTGATGGACAATTTCGTAATAATAACATACAACATTTTTAGTTGTGCATCATTTTATCTAAAACAAACATACTATATGGAATAACCTGTTTACCACCATATAATTTCTATTGACAATAAAGTACTTACTAGTTGATCTAAAAGTATTTTCCTACTTGCTTTTTAAAACTGATACTTACAGTCTGCATTGACGTTCGTTAGTACATTCTCCGATATATACAAATACTACATTTTAGGTCGTTCATAACATTCAATATATCTGTAGGTGGGAATGTTTGGGATGTTACAACAGTTTATATCCTCAATAATATTGACGAGTTTCCTGTCCGTACTGTTTTTCCTGTCACTATGGCATAATTTTGTCACAGTACACTTTCAAAGTAAACCGGATCCAAGAGATATCAGAAGCTCAAGAACAAATATAAACCCACGTAAGAAACCAAGTCCGAATAAGATTAGACGGTACTCTAGAGAGTCGACTTCTTCATCATCACCATTAGACTTGGAAAACGATGATGAAAATAACATCGAGTATGATCATACAATAACCAGTCTTCGAGCAAATTTACCGATGGATTATTTTAAACCAAATAATGGAGCTCCAAAAAACCTAAATCATGATCACGACGCAAACGAACAAACACGTATATACGATAATCCATTCAAGGGCGATACATTATCTCTGGAAGATCATAAATTGGTCCCTGATTTGAAATATTACTACCGCCAATACAATATTGAAGTTGAAGAATTTAGAATCACTACCGATGATGGTTTTGTATTAGACTTATGGCATTTTATTCCTTTAGGTGGATCCTCCAAGGATCAAACGGGGAAATATCCACTATTACTCTTACATGGGTTATTACAAAGCGCTGGTGCATTCGCATCTAGTGGTAGGAGCTCATTAGCATATTACTTATATGAACAAGGTTTTGATATTTGGTTAGGTAATAACAGATGTGGGCTTGATCCAGATTGGGACATGCAAAAATTGAATAATGATAAAAAAAAAAAATGGGATTGGGATATTCATGAAATGTGTCAATATGACTTGAAATGTTTGGTAGAGACTGTTTTAGAAAAGACTATTCACTTTGAAAAATTAACATTGGTAGCTCATTCACAAGGTACGACACAAAGTTTATTAGGGTTAGTCAACGGTGAAAAACTTTATGGCTCAACTTTTAAATTGATAGATAAGATAGATAATTTTGTCGCATTAGCTCCTGCTATTTATCCTGGCCCATTATTACAAGAAAAAGGGTTTGTCAGATTTATGGGTATGGGTATTGATTCACCTTGGATATTTGGTACAAAATCATTTATCCCCTTGATGATGTTTATGAGAAATATTGGTGTCGGAACAAAAATATTTTCATTCTTTTCATATATTATGTTCAACTATATGTTTGATTGGAATGATGTTTTATGGGACAAACAATTAAGAGATCGAAATTTTCTATTTTCTCCCGTAAGTATATCAGTCAAATTGATGCAATGGTGGTTAAGTTCTGATGTTAACAAGACCAGTTTTAAGTATGGTTCGAATAAAATGTTTCCTCACGATAAGACGTGGTTCCCAATAAGACAAGAGACGAGTACAACTGGACAAACAGAACAAGATCTTCATTTAAATCCACCTCGTGATTCTGCTAAACATTTCCCACAGATCATGTTGTTCATTCCAAAACAAGATAGATTAGTTGATGGTGAACGTTTAATCAATCATTTCGTAAACCATGAAGATAATTCAGTTTATAAGATATGGTACATTGATGAATATTCTCATTTGGATGTGTTATGGGCTCATGACGTTATTGAAAGAATTGGTAAACCAATTATCAATAACATAAGATATCCAAATAATCCCTTGAATGACAGTGGTACAATAATAACAGCTACCGCATAAATGAAATGCATCGATCCAATAAGGACAATAAGGAGACAATATTTCCATATATATACATAAACATAGACAAAACATTTATAATATAGAATTTAAATTTATAGAGCTTCTTAAATATGGTGAACATCGTGCGACGCGATCTTTAACACAAGAAAATTTTGTGAAAATTATTGTACCTCATCGGATTGCATGTCATCGATTTTATTGTGCAAACAAAAAATAATTCAAATTGTATAAAATACCATAAGAAACCTTTTAGTAATTATAACTATTACGATTCTATTTTATAAGGAGTTTCATAATAAAATAAAACCAACTGAGTTCACTCCATTTTATTAAAATGAAAATCAAAACTATTAAAAGAAGCTCTGACGATTATGTCCCAGTGAAGAGTACCCAAGAATCACAACTTCCAAGAAATTTAAATCCTGAATTACATCCTTTTGAAAGAGCTCGTGAATATACAAAGGCTCTGAATGCAACTAAGCTTGAAAGAATGTTTGCACAACCTTTCGTTGGACAATTTGGTCATGGCCATAGAGATGGTGTCTACATGATTGCTAAAAACTATAATAACTTGAATAAATTGGCAACGGCGTCTGGTGATGGTGTTGTGAAATACTGGAATATGTCTACCCGTCAAGAATATGTTTCTTTCAAGGCTCATTATGGTTTAGTTACTGGTCTTTGTGTTACACCAGAATCGCTATCAAAGAATCAAAATGAAAATTTTATGTTGTCCTGTGGTGACGATAAGACGATAAAATTATGGTCTGTTAATAATGACGATTTTTCTAATATCAGATCAGATGATGAGATAAATACCAAAGGTCTGATAAAAACATTTGATGGTGAACATGCATTCCAAGGTTTAGATCATCATAGATCAAAGCCAACATTTGTCACAGGTGGTGCCAAAATTCAATTGTGGAATTCAGAAAGAACTAAACCATTGTCAAACTTGTCATGGGGTGCAGACAATGTTACAACTGTTAAATTCAATCAAAATGAAACCGATATCCTTGCCAGTACAGGCAGTGATAACTCTATAGTATTATATGATTTGAGAACAAATTCTCCTACCCAAAAGATTGTACAAAAGATGAGAACTAACGCTATCTGTTGGAATCCAATGGAAGCCTTTAATTTTGTTATTGCCAATGAAGATCACAATGCCTATTATTATGATATGAGAAACATGTCTCGTGCATTAAACGTCTTCAAGGATCATGTTGCTGCAGTGATGGATGTCGATTTCTCACCAACAGGTGATGAAATTGTAACAGGTTCCTACGATAAAACTATCAGAATATATAAGACAAACCAAGGTCATTCTAGGGAAATATACCATACCAAGAGAATGCAACATGTTTTCCAAGTCAAATATTCTATGGATTCTAAATATATAATGAGTGGTTCGGACGATGGTAATGTAAGGATGTGGAGAAGTAAAGCATGGGAAAGATCTAATGTTAAATCTACTAGAGAGAGAAATAAATTAGAATATGATGAGAAGTTGAAGGAGAGATTTAGACATATGCCAGAAATTAGAAGAATCAGTAAACATAGACATGTTCCAATTGTTATTAAGAAAGCACAAGAAATTAAGAATATCGAATTAAATTCGATAAAGAGAAGAGAAATGAATGAGAGACGTACAGCTAAGGATAAACCTTTCATTGCTCAAAGAAAACAACAAATAGTTGGTACCGTATTTAAGTATGATGACAAGAACAGCCGCAAACAGCGTGATGATGAGGAAGATCAAGATAGTGACTAAAAATAGTTATTTGTATATTATAATATCTAACAAAACTTTCAAAAGGTGAGAAAATTAGGTATAAAACCTGCATAAATATATAGAGCTAGAAATACATATGTTCTCTGTGATATAAAAGAATAAGAAATAATAATACTTTTGTTATAAAATGCATGTTATTTAGAAAATATTTATAGGTGAATAAATGTAACATTATATCCAGTGTTATTATTTCTTTTATTGCTTACAATATTTCATTATCTTTTGTTATCATTTCCTTTATTAAGGTTTTATATGTGTTGCTAATTTTGGTAGTTAGTTATCTCATTTTTTGAATGCCCATTTGCAGATAAAGGAACGAAAAAAAAAAAGATTATACGTTAAAATTATGTTTATAACAATGGGCAAAGAGAACATTATACTATATGTAAAATAAATGAAAATTCCTTTTGAGATTAATTATACAATGTTCAGATAATATCAATACTGGCAATATTTCTAATAATAAAATATATTTTAAGAATATGATAATGGAATGTTACTTTTAACGTTAAAAATTATGTGTAAATGTCATAGAGTAGGTGTTGCTAAATATTAATAATGGAAAAAAATGCATGTGTTGGTGTTATTAACCACCAAATCTATAAGAAGAAGTTGATATATCTGGATACCTTTTCTTAATTTTCTTCATCTTTTTTGTTTAAAAAAACAGAAAAAAACATTGATATAGTATAATATGATGCTAATAAGTAAAATGTATTAATAGGTATAGTAAATGCATATAATTTTATTTCTTTTGAATGAGTTCCCTTTTTTTTGCCTTCTTTTCAGTTTTTAGTTCAATTTACTTTTCTTTTTTTTTTTGTAGAATAGTGATAACAATAGTACTATTATTAGGGTCATATGGAAACATCCAAAACTTTACCTACATCCAAAACATTTTCTTTGGATAAATCTTCTAGTAAAGGTATGATATCTAATAATTCATTGTCATGAGTATCAGAAAACCATGATGATATTGGAATTGCATGTTGTGGATGGAAAATGTATGATGCAGGTGAATTATCAAGTATAATAATATCAGAAAGTGGTCTACCAATTTGAGATAAATTTTTAATATAATTTCCTTCATAATTATAACAAGCTTCTCTAAAGAGTCTATGATGAATAGCTTTGTTGATGTCTAATTTATCTAATAAAGGATCACCATATCTGGAGACACTTGCTGTAAAGACTACTACTTCATATAATTCACCAACTCTTTTTAAAAATTCATCAACACCTGGTCTCTTAATAACATAAACATTATGTATTTGATCATCAATATCAACTGGTAAAACAAAATCGGCTGAGCGTAAATATTTAAATGATGAATGAACTAAAGTTTCATCTAAATCTAATACTAAACATTTTTTATGTTTAAAAGATTTTGTTATAGGTGGTAAAAGTGTATTAAACCCAGCTGCATGATATTGATCAGGTTGTAATTCTGTTAAATCAACATATTCTTCAGAATCTTCATAATTTGATACCATGTTATAATCCATATCATTTTGAACATCATTAGCATTAGAATACAATTGTTGTTCAGTTTGTTTATCTGACGGACTTATTGTATTATTAGAATATTCTGTTTGTTGTTGTGTATATAATTGGTCATTATTTGGTTGTTCATCATTATTTGAAATTGAATTATCACGAATTGAAGGTTGTTCATTAATAATAGGTGTCGAAACGTTTGTTATATTATGATTTTCATCTGTCATATCATAATCTTCATCACTATTTGGATTATTATTAATTGATTCAGATATTATACTATTATCATTTTGATTATTTAAATTTGTTGTTGTTATTATATTTGATGAATCTTCAATTTTAATTGAATTTGCATCATCAAATGTATCTGTATAAGAAGAATGTTCATTACCTTGTGATGATTCAGAATTATAATATGCTGTCATTTTAGTACTTGTCTTTTCCTTTTCTGTACTATCTTCTTCGTCGGAATTTCTTTCAATAATATTTTTTTCCTTTTCAGAAACTTCTGTAAATTTACTTGTTGATGTTCTGTTACTATTTAAACTGTTATTATTATTATTATTATTTTGATCTTCAATAGAATTTTTTAAATTTATTGGAATTTCAGTAGTAATATTATTATTGTTATTATTATTATCTTTTAATAAATTAGTATCAGTAGTACCCCTTTTATTTTTTAATTGTTTCGCGCTTGCTGTGTTTGTATTTGTTGTTGTTATATTATTTTTAGTAGTACCAGAAGAAGTCTTTGATTTAGTTATATTTGTATTATTAGAACTAATCTTTGTATTATTATCTTTTGTAATATTTCTTTTTCTATTTTGATTATATCTTTGTGATTGATTTGTTAAATTTTGATCTTCTGAACTATTTTCTTCTGTACAACATAAAGCTGATATTAATCCCATTTGATTAAGAACCTATAGAAAGGGTGGATATGTTATTCTTTAAAGAAAAAGATATAAAACACACGAACACACAATGGGAAATTAAATTAAAATAGAAGTCTGCTTTAAAAGACAAAAAAAATTTAATAACTTAATTAGTCCTTCTATGTTCTAATTAAAATAAAACCAGCAGAAGAAAAATAAAATGAAAGAGAGTGTGTTTGTATTGAAGGGGTGAAAAGTGAACTATTATTTCTTCCTTCTCTTTGTAAAAAAAAAAAATAAAAAGAATTAAAAAAAAAACTTTATCAAAATTCACGAGGAGTTTAAAACAAATTTTTTGAAATTTATTTTGTTTTGTTTTGCTTAACGAACAAATAACGAATCGGAAAAATTCAATTAATATTAATATTAATATTGTTTTGCGTTAAATCTTAATGGAAACTAACAGCGAGATATCTGAATAATAATTCAATTTACAAAAATGAGATGATCAGTAGTAGTATCTTCAAATTTTGTACTGTTGAGAAGTGATTGTATTATCGCAAATTAGTAGAACTAATATTATATGGCTGAGTGTAAATGCTATGAGATTAATTAATTAATTGAAAATGGATTGAAATGAATATTAACAGATCGTTATCGTGGAATACTGTATGTTCTTTTATTTATAATAATGCAATCAGTATATGTTGTGCAAAAGTTAATCCGGATGATAAAGTAAAATAAAAATGTATCTTTTTTCAGATTAATGCATTAAACAATTAAAGACAATTTTTTAACTTGACGTCTGTGTATATAAGTTCTGTTTTTATATGTAGATGGTGCTTGTCGCTATTTTTGATATTTTGTTTATTTAAGATCTTGAATATATATATTTCTTTCTTAACATTAATCAAATCACAAAAGCTTCTTTTTTTATTCTATTTCGATTCAGCAATTTTTTTCTCTCACTGATTGAAATTGTTTTTTTTTCTTCTTCACTAAATAATACCGAAGAACAAGATGATGACTAAATAATTAAAGATTAAGAAAAGTATGTGATGATAATGAAATCAATGATACATGATATTAAATGATGAGGCCATTATCAGCACAAGGGAGGGGAAAGAATCTTTCTGCATTCGGTGAAGGATTCTCTATGTTGTTTCAAGATATTTTATTATTTACTATTAGTTATATTAAATCAAAGAATACATTGGTAAGTTTGCCCTTAATATGTATGTATCGGTAAACTAACATCAATTCTATAATTCAATTGAGTTGTTTTTATTTCTCTTTTTGTATTTTTTATTAAATTAAAATATAAGTAAAGAGAGTGTTGCCAATACGTAATATTCATAATTATATTTCCTGCACAGAAAAAAAGCGGTATTATAAATTTCAATATATTATTTTTCCTGTTACTAAATGAGGGAAAATTAAAATTAAAATTTAAAAAAAAAACACATAAAATATTCTGTTTTGTGTGCTGTATGTGGTTACTTTAAGTAGTAGAGTGGATTAAATGGGAAAACATTACGTTTATATAATACAATTTAAAATAATTTTTATTCATATGATAACTGTTTGTTGTGCGTTACTTAATTTCTCTCTATGGATTCATATGTAGTTGTTTCGCGGTAGGCGGTTAATTCTGTTGTAACCATATAACAAGAAGTACATAGATATCTTGCAATATTCTAGAGTATCTATCTTCATGTAGGATATAGAATATCGTTTAACTACAACACTTAATGTAAAAATATTAATATCTTCAATGTATTCTTTTCGTGGATGCGTAGAAAGTGATACAGGTGCTATCACTCCAGACGAAGGGTCATCTCACTTTTTTTTTAAAAAAAACCTACGAGATTTAAAATGAATAACAAAGCATATTAAAACCCAAATTATATAATAGCAATTAGCAATAGTAAACAAATTATATGTGTTTTTTAATAGTAATTGAAAGAGTAACACACAGCCGATCATTACTAATTTGCTTTAAATATTGTGGCGGGTATTTCACATTCATAGAAAGAATTCCTTAAATCAATAGAAATTATTATTCAAAACAAAACTAAAAATTTAACTAGAGATAAGATATCAGACAGGTATGAGTAAAAACTTTGTTAGTCCATCTCGCCCAATCTCAAGAGATCAATTGAATTCAGTTAGACAGAAATTTGTTAGAGATTCTCCTAATTTATATAAACAAAATATCTTATCGTATCCAAAATTAGAACCTCATTCTTCAGATTCAAACACATTTACAAAGACTTCATCATCACAAATAAATGATCCATTATTTAATTTAAGAAATTTAAGTTTAGGAAATCTATCAAATAACAAGAATGAAGCCATACCAATTACACAACCATCTCAAACGAATGTGGAAGAATTATCTCATCCCATTGAGAATGATGACACTTATCAACTTACTGAATTAGGTAATTTTGAAAATCCTGTACTTAGAAAACTTCTTAGACGATCTGTTAATAAAGAACAAGAATTTCAAACAATTATAACAAATATCATTGGAGTAAGTCTTTGGAATTTAATTATTAATTTCATTACATTATTTATTGAACATTCAAATACTGGGAAACAATTATATTGTACATTATATAAACGTTTATGGAGTTTTAAATGGTTACAAATAATTTATGGTAATAGTTATTTTAAATCATTGATTTTAGGAAGATTGACGTGGAATCATATTAATTATATTTTCCATTTAATTATTTGTTATAATTTAATATTTGCAGTTTGGAGATTATTTTCTAATGGTAAGACAACAGATTTAAAATTAACTGATAAACAAAAACAATTATTAGGTTTAAAAAACTATAATGATAATAATGATACAAATAATAATGGTACAAATAATAAAAATTCTAGAATTCAATTCAAATTTGGTAATGAAAATATTAATAAACCACATATTATTCAAATGAATAGACCTGGTCAAACGTTATTACATCAAAACAATACAAATGTAACTGTAAATGATACACCAAGTACACCATTTTTATTCAAATCATTGAAAACACCACAAAAATTAAGACAGGAGCAACACCAACAACAACAGCAATCTCATTTTCAACCAATGAATCATACTATAAACAAGACTAATGCATTTGGTGATTTACGTAGGACAGCCGTAACCAACCACTATTCAAATAATAACATGAATAATGGAAACCCATACGCTACCCCATCGTATAATTCCATGAATAATAATAATAACAATAATAACCAAAATGGTCACGCTGCACCTATGATTAATAAAGCATATGTTGCCAGCCCAAAATATTCATATTTAATGAATTCTCCAGGACCAAACCATCTATAAATAAAAATACATAACAAAATGAATTTCTAATATTATTATTATTACTATTTTATAAAATATGTATCTATATATATATACGTTTTTTCAATTATATATAAGGGATTCACCAATATTCTGGGAATAAGAATCTGATATTTTGTAAAGTTTGTTCTGACATAACATCGGCTTTTGTGGCTACAGCCATTTTAATTGAACCCTTTAAACCATCTCCATTAATCATAAATTCAGGAATTTCTTTAGCCATTTCTTTAACAATCTTAGTAGCTAAAGCATTAGCATTTCTACCATTATTCGCCAAATGACCAAAGACTGCATCGACTGTAACAGATTCTTCATGATCTCTCCAAGCATCATAATCTGTTGACATACAAATCATTTGATAAGGTAATTCACATTCACGTGCTAATTTTGCTTCTGGGATAACACTCATATTAATAATATCACCACCTAACATTTTATACATTTTTGATTCTGCACGAGTTGAAAATTGAGGACCTTCCATACAAACAACAGTAGTTTCTTGATCGTAATGCATTAAACAAGGTTCTGTTGATTCAGGATTAGTTAAAGTATCTTTAAATTGATAAATAAAATCAGCAAATTTAGCAGAGAATGGATTACCGAAACCGACATGTCCGACTAAACCAATTTCATTAAAATATGAAGAATCTCTAATACCTTTAGTACGATCAATTAATTGTTGTGGTAATACAAAATCTCTTGGTTTAATATGTTCTTGTAAAGATCCGACTGCACTAAATGATAATACAGCTTTACATTGTAATTTCTTAATAGCTGCGATATTAGCTCTAAATGGTACATGAGTTGGTGGGAATTCATGATTAACACCATGTCTAGATATAAATGCAACAACAAACTTATTATGATTGGTTGTAGAATCACCAACAAAGACAGCAATAGTAATTGAAGAAGATGTAGCACCCCATGGAGTTTGCATTGGTGGAAGCACGGCTACTGGCTTAAGACATTCTAATTGGTATAGACCTGTACCACCAATAATGGCAAGATCGACGGGTTCATCGAATGTTGTTGGTAAATCAGAGACAGTCATAATAGCTAAATATTGTCCTTAGATGTGTATGTTATTAAGATAATGTTGACTTTATATATATAGCTTCGTTTGCAAGTAAACTAAGACCTATTTCTCCGTATTTTTGTCTAGATGTATCTAAAATAGTTATTTAATATTCCTATATGTTCTTCTTCCTCATCAGAGAAAAAAAAATCGTTTAAGCTCATCGAGAATTCTTTTTAGTGTCAACAAAACCAGACCAGACTATTGACAAAGTATGATCAAATCAAATATCTCTCACTCATAAGAACGACAAAAAAGAAAACGCGCGCGGTGAAAAAGAAAAAAAAATTTTCTTTTCAAATCCCATCACCGCGCTCGGTCTTCGCTTGTTGTTGCTGTTATTTTCTGGATGGGATACATGAATATAACATAAATTGAGGAAATGCATGGCGATTGCCAACATACAGAGCATGCGTCATTATATACGAAGCCAATATCTGTCCTCGCTTTCGCTCTCGCTCACGCATTGTGTTTACTTGTATATTTTTACCTTCCCCCTGCATTTAAATGAGCATCTCACAAGAAGAAAAAAAGTGACGGCAAAAATGTTTACAGGCGGGCTCTCTCTCTCTCCGTCAATTTACTGTGCAAGATGTTAGTTTATTTTGGCTATGTATAATGTCATGTTATAATGGAGTTAGTAACATTGCATTGCATATGATATATGTAATCATACCTATTAAAGACGATGAGTTGGATTATAATTAGTGTGGAAAACAAGCAAATATAGCGGTAAAAATAAGTTTTACATATATGTGATCAATGGTGATGTTTATAATAGATATAGATGGAAATATACCGTCTTAAATATATACATTTGTGTGAGTGTGTACTTTTCTTGTGTAGATAGACCGCATTTACGTATGTTTGCATTGTAAGATATTGTAATTCCTAGTACTATTAAGTTGCATGATTAAAACACCCTCAGTTAGAATAGAAACCCATATCGGTATCTCACTCTTGTATAAGATTAACATTATATAGAATATCCGATTTAAATTCATTTTATTCTTCTATCTTTAGCGCTGTTTTCATCACCCTACTTTATCGCCCTAAGAAAATCCATGTTTTTTTTTTTAAAAAATAATTTTTTTGTTTTTTTCCTTCATTGGGCTTGTAGAATTCCAAGACAAGTTCAATATACGTTGAAAAATTTAAATGAATAATAAGGATACTGTAACCCCTGATACAATAAACAATTAAACAAAAACAAAGAAACAGAAATCCAACCAATAATTAATAATTGGAAATTATAATAATATAGTTTTTGAACATTGTTTATTACAATTAAAAGAAAATCAAAAACTTATTCCATTTTAATATAGATATTGTCCTGTAATAGGTTTATTATACAACTATCATTGTTTTGTTATTTTTTGCAATGCCACCAAGTTTTCATAGTAATTCATCAAGTTTAAAGAGTGGACATCAAAATTCAAAACATGTGGATTTTAAAGAAATGGATAATAATAATAATGATAATTTAGGAAATTCAAATACTCCAAGATTTGATAAATCTATTCATGATGAAGTACCGCATTTTAAACAACAATATGATGAAAAATCAAATAATTTAAAGAAAAAATTACAACAACGTGGAAATAATATAAGCACAAATTTTCTAAAGAAAACAAGAAGCAAAGATTCTTTAAGAAGTGTTAATGATGATGTTGCATCTATAGAAAGTTCATCAAAACCGCAAAGGAAAACACAAACTTTATTAAAAAGAACAATAAGTAGTCTTTCAACAAATACATTATCCTTTGATAATGGATCAAAAGAAAATTTAAATAAATCTAATAATGATTCAAAAAATAAAGAGAATAATAATATTAATAATAATACTTGTAATAATAATGATAATAGTAGTGGAACAAGTTCAACTGGAAAATCGTTATTCCATGCATCAAGAGGACCAAATCATAATCATCATCATTTGCAGACATCTAATAGTAGTGGCAGTTCGGAAATTGTTCCACCAAGAAAGACTTCCTTTGCTGGAGCATTATTTAAAAGATTCTCTAGTGCAGGTTCACATAGTAGCAATAATAGCAATAATAGTAATAAAAATTCAACTTCTTCTAATTCATCCAAGCATTCAAGAAATACAGCATCACCCACTACAGAAATTCCTGAAGTAAATAGTCCCATGCCATCCATTGCTTCATCGGCACAATCAACAGCAACATCTTCATTGAGGTCACAAAGGCGAGATTCTCGAGATTCAATAAATTTAGGACCATTAAGTCATCCGATTGAGAGAGTTCCAAATGCAATAAAGAATAAAGTGGTTGATGTAGTATCTAATATAGCACATGAGCCTGAAACTATGAAACATGAATTGTCACATAGCACATTATTTACCAGTGGAGGGAAAGAATCATCATCAAAACAACAGAACGCTAAATCTCCATTATCTAATATAGAAACGTCTGAATCTGGTGTATCTCCATCAACAAGTGGTTCAAAACGTAAACCATCTACTGTAAATACTCAAGTTCCTAATCTATCTTCACAAAGAAGATCTTCTATTATGAGTGGAATCTCTCCTTCTACAACAAATATTAAGTCATGGACAACGCAAAAGGAATCTACAACTCCAAAGGATATATTTATACCGAAGGAATTAAGAATGTCTAAATTAGCTACAGTGAAAAAAGAAGAACCTGTTCAAAATATACAAAATGAAGATACTAAAGATGATAGTAGTTCTAATGATAGTAGTTCAAATAAAGCAACATTGTTCCCTCTTGATACAAATTTGGCAGATTTAACTGATATTACAAAGACTGCACAACCTAATCAGGGTGATTATAGTATTGATAGACGTGATAGTAACGACTATATTCCCAAAGAAACTGAATTATCTGCATATAGTAGTGACAATATTAAAGATTTAAAGAAGTCTGCAAGTGGTACAAGTACAGATATGTCCGAGAGAAATTTTAGACCTTTTGGTAAAAAATCACATTCATTGGCTGATATTCAACGTTGGGCAACAAATTCTTCCGCAAGTTTATCGCCATTTGCATCACATAAAAATACCAATGAATGGGTAGCTCCCGAAAGTTGGGACGTTGAATCTGATTTAGAGAAAGCGAGAGCCAAGAAGAAGGCGAAAGCTAGAGCTAGAAGAAGAAAGATAAAAGAAAAGAAGAAACAAATGGCAGATGACTTACTAACTTTCAAGGTAAACACTAATAGGCGTAACAATAAGCAAGTTAGTCAAATCGATTCAACCCTGGAAGAATCCGGTGCAGAAACAACAAACGAATCAGCGAATGCATTAGAAAGAACCAAATATATGCAAAATGAATATGAGTTTTCAGAAACATCATCTTCTAACGATTCGATTTCTGATATAAGCGCTGATACTCATTCATACACAAGTTCTTCCGAAGAAGATGAAGACTTTTATGATATTCAAACTGATAGACGTGCTCGTGAGTACACTCCCCAAAAGAGCAATACAGATTTAAATGGAAGAGCATTTTCCTCCATTAATCTGCTGTCATTAAATAAACAGGACTTCCCAACAGCTACAAAAAATGTCGATGATGAAAAATCAGATAAAGTGGAATATGAATTGGAACGTTATTATAAGGATTTTAGTGATTTGGATCCAAAGAGACATTATGCAATTCGTGTATTCAATACTGATGATACATTCACAACATTATCGTGCACTCCAAGTACTACAGTAGAAGAGATGATTCCAACTCTAAAAAAGAAGTTTAATATATCTGTCCCAACAAATTATCAAATATCTTTGAAAGTTGGTAAACTGTCTAAGATTTTAAGGCCATTATCAAAACCTATTTTGGTTGAGAGAAAACTTTTATTGTTGAATGGTTACAGAAAGTCAGATCCATTGCATATTATAGGTGTCGAAGATTTGAGTTTTGTATTTAAATTCTTATTCCATCCAGTTACAGCCTCCCACTTTACACCAGAACAAGAAAAAAGATTACTTAGAAGTGATTTCGTTCATGTAGATTTAAGAAATATGAATTTAACTACGCCTCCTATTATATTCTATCAGCATACAGCAGAGATTGAAAGTTTAGACGTGTCTAATAACGCTAATATTTTTTTGCCATTGGAATTTATTGAGAGTGCAATTAAATTATTAAGTTTAAGAATAGTTAATGTGCGAGCTTCAAAGTTTCCTACAAATATCACTGAAGCTTATAAGCTGGTATCTTTAGAATTGCAAAGAAATTTTATTAAGAAGGTTCCAAGTTCTATATCAAAGCTTGGAAATTTGACCATTTTAAATCTTCAATGTAACGAATTAGATAGATTACCACAGGGGTTTTCCCAATTGAAAAACTTACAATTATTAGATCTTTCTTCCAATAGATTCAGTAGGTATCCATCTGTCATTAATAGCTGTACCAATCTGTTACAAATTGATCTTTCATACAATAAAATTCAAGTACTCCCTGAAAGTATTAACCAATTAGTCAAGGTTGCCAAGATAAACATTTCGCATAATAAGTTGAATAGAATAAGTGATTTATCTGGTATGAAAAATTTAAGAACATTGAACCTGAGATTTAATAGAATTACGTCTATAAATACGAATGCAGCCAACTTACAGAATTTGTATATAACCAATAATAGAATCTCGAAATTTGAAGACGCGGTACCAAAATTGAGAGCCCTAGAAATCCAAGAAAATCCGATTACAATTATAGCGTTTAAGAACTTCTATCCTGTTAATATGACCTCATTGTCTTTGAATAACGCCCAGTTAGCTAGTTTACCGGGTAAATTGTTTACAAGCTTGTCAAGATTAGAAAAACTGGAGTTGAACGAAAATAACTTAACAAGACTACCATCTGAAATTGGGATGTTGGAAAAATTAGTTTATCTATCTGTGTCAAGAAATAAACTTGAAAGTTTACCACTGGAATTTTGCAACTTGAAGAACTTGAGATCTCTTGATTTACATTCTAATAACATCAGAGATGTCTTTTCATGCATGGAAAATATCGAATTGACTACCCTAAATATTTCTTCCAACATGTTTGGTGCTGGAGAATTAAATCCTGATTTTTCACATAACGTTTTGAGTAGCTCAAAATTAACCAAAAGTTTGATGTTTTTCATTGCTGCAGATAATCAGTTTAACGATGATATGTGGTCTTTATTCAATTGTTTCGTTAATCTAAAATTACTAAATTTATCTTATAATAATTTATCTGATGTTTCTAACTTAAAACTGGAAAATTTAACCGAGTTGTACCTCTCAGGTAATGGTTTACGTACTTTACCTAGTGATACGGTTATGAAATGGAGACAATTGAAGACATTGATGTTAAATGGTAATCAGTTGTTATCTCTTCCTGCTGAACTATCTCTCTTGAAGCATCTAAACACACTTGATGTGGGTTCCAATCAGCTTAAATATAACATTTCAAATTTCCACTATGACTGGAATTGGAGAGATAATAGAGAATTAAAATACTTAAACTTTTCTGGTAACAAAAGATTTGAAATTAGGTCATTTTTTAATTCTGAATTAAGTGTGGATATGTCTGATTTCACTATATTACCTCAGTTGAAAGAGTTGGGGTTAATGGATGTTACTATTAATACTACTAGAGTTCCTGATGAAACAAGTAATTTCCGTCTAAGAACCACAGCTTCTACAATAAACGGTATGAAATATGGGGTAGCTGATACTCTGGGTCAACGAGATTATGTTTCATCTAAGGATGTAACTTTTGAGAGGTTTAGAGGTAATGATGACGAGTGTTTGCTGTGCCTACATGACATCAAAAACCAAAATGCTGATTATGGACACAATATTTCTAGAATCGTAAGAGACATTTATGATAAGATCTTGATCCGCCAACTTGAAAAATACGGGGATAAAGAAGATGATGATATCAGAAAGGCTCTTCGTTTCAGTTTCTTGCAACTTAACAAGGAAATCAACGGTATGTTATCCTCGGTTGATAGTGGCACAAACGTTGAGAATTTAACCTCTGCAGATCTTTTAAGTGGTGCTTGTTGCACTGTCATCTATATCAAAGGTACTAGATTATTTTCAGCCAACATTGGTGACTGTATGGCAGTCCTTTCTAAGAATAATGGTGATTCCCAACAATTGACTAAATTACATATTCCATCTAAAAGAGAAGAATATGAAAGAATTAGAATATCTGGAGGGTACGTTAATAATGGAAAGTTGGATGGTGTTGTAGATGTCTCGAGGGCAGTTGGCTTCTTTGATTTGTTGCCTCATATTCATGCATCTCCAGATATTTCTGTTGTTAGTTTGACCAAAGCGGATGAAATGCTAATCGTTGCAACACATAAATTATGGGATTTTATGAGTTATGAAGTTGCTTGTGACATTGCAAGAGAGAATATTTCCAATCCAATGTTAGCTGCCGAAGAAATGAAGGATCATGCTATTGCATATGGGTGTTCAGAAAACATTACTATTTTATGTCTTGCCCTTTCTGACAGTACCGAACAGCAAAATCAATTCACTCTAAACAAAAACTCTTTGATGACCAGAAGGACCACTTTAGAAGATACAACTTTGCGGAGGTTACAACCTGAAATTGCTCCACCAACCGGTAATCTCGCGGTTGTATTTACCGATATCAAAAGCTCTACCTTTTTGTGGGAAATGTTCCCAGATGCTATGAGAACTGCAATTAAAACGCATAATGATATTATGCGTAGACAATTACGTATATTTGGTGGTTACGAAGTGAAAACTGAAGGTGATGCATTTATGGTTACATTCCCAACTCCGATCGGTGCTTTAGTATGGTGTCTGAGCGTTCAATTAAAATTATTAGATGCGCAATGGCCAGAAGAAATTACTTCCATTCAAGAGGGTGGTTTACTGAAAGATGAAAATGGTGTTAAAATATACCAAGGTCTTTCTGTCCGTATGGGTATACATTGGGGTGCACCAGTTCTAGAACTAGATTTAGTTACTCAAAGAATGGATTATTTAGGTCCTGTAGTTAACAAAGCTTCAAGAGTGTCAGGTATTGCAGATGGTGGCCAAATAACTTTGAGTAGTGATTTTGTTTCTGAATTTAATAAGATTATCAAATATCATCAAAATGTAAGAACTGGTAAGAAAACATTAGTTGATGCCTATGGGGAAGAAATTATCGGTGAAGTCTTGGAGAAGGAAATAACAATTTTGGAAAATATAGGTTGGGAATTCTTTGATCTCGGAGAGAAAAAATTGAAAGGTTTAGAAACAAAGGAGTTTATTACTATTGCTTATCCAAAGATTTTAACATCAAGACATGAATTTGTCACCGAAGAAGATGAATTTAAAACTATCGATCAAGATCTGTTGTTTAGGCTAAGAACTGCTTCAAACAAACTAGAAACTATATTATCAATAGTTAGTGGAGGTCATTCCGAAAATGATAATAAACGTCAAAATTCTAATTTTATAATGTTAGACCACAAATCGCAGGATTCAATTATGAGCACTATAAATGAAAAGGATATTGCATCGTTTTTCGATCATCTGATAACAAGAGTTGAAGCAGTAGTTGCAATCTTACAATTACGCCAAAAAGTATCTAAAGGTTTGACCATACATACTAGTAATGAAAGAAATGCTCCACCGATGAGTGTATTCGATCTTGTTGATAAGTTATTAGCTGACCATGAAGCTATGATGAAGTCTACATCTGAAAATAAATAGAAATGCATATGTATGTATATATATATTGTATACATGTTTAATAATGGTAATTATTTATTAATTTATTGTTGTTTATTTTACTTGTATTTAGTTTCCATCAATTTAATTAAAGTAACCAAATTGATAAAACTCAATGAGATGATTCAGTATATGTTTTCCAGTCATATAATGGAAGTTAATTGTATCGAAAATAATAATAAGGAAAGTTTTATGCTTTTTAATCAGTTTTCGTTTTATAGGTAACATATGTAAAGAATTTTCATTGTTGTGCTTCTATATCTCTCATCTCTATTGGCTTGTTGTTGATGATATTTTCGGAAGAATTAATATTGTTGATTTGATCTCTATTAAGATCATCGGTCGATAAAGTGTCAACCATACCTTCGAAGAATGTATCTCTTAATTCTCTCCATCTAGTGGTATATGTGCCTAAGAATATTAATATTAGAGATGAAAAAATTTGTAATATAAACCATGGAAAAGAAGGAAGATTGCCTGAATAAATCCATACCACTATTAAATTTATTGCGTGTATTGTAATTGCAAAATCCCATGCTAATTTACTTCTCCCTACAATAACAGTTAAAAATATTACACAAATTAGAGAGTCTAACAGCCATAATAATGATAACGTTAAACCATAACCATTTGTAAATTCGATGTATTTTGAAGTGAATAACCAATTCTTCATCTCTATATGTTGACCTGATAATTTTGCCCAACAAAAAAACAATACAGATGCAGTTGTGTAATAAAATAACTGTAATAATGCAATTTGTAAAGCGATTTTACTAGGGGACAGTGAGTCCTGTTTGAATATCACAGAGGGTTTAAGCTCATTAGGTATCCTCATATATCTTCTAAATGAGACCATTTTTTAATTGATATACTTATAAAAAAACACTTCAATTACGTTTTTATAATATCTTATCTTTAAATAGGAGATGTTGCAATTGTGTCTCTAAAACTGCAAAAATAATAAATAGAGTTGAAAATAACTAAGTTCGATTGTAACTGAGCAATTCCAATCTCGACAATTTATTCCTTATGTACACTCCTACTCGAAACTGAAAAGTCTATCTCGATTTCTATCAAAGAGGATAAGAAATCATCGATGATGTATCTAATAAGATTATTTGAAGAACTCTTTTAAATCACAAGAACCAGCGGAAATTAATATCGCGTTATACGATACGCAGTATAAAATGTTCCCATTTCGGTTGAGATAAACTAAATAATTAAAATTTACGGAGTGAGCCACTATGACCATTACAACTCCCCTTTGTTTAATTAGATGTGGATTTATGATTCGATGTGTTGATAATAGTAGTTCAGTTGTAGGTTGACATTATAGGGCTACTACAAAAACTACTTAAGGTTTGTGCATATTTATCAGTACTATTTGAATAAATAATAAAAATATAAAACAATGTCTTTTGGAGCCAAGAAATTTAGATCGAGGAGACAGCAATTAGCTTATGAAGCCTCTTTTGCAGGAAAATATCAGAAACATCTTAAGAAGAATCCATTTCTATATTTCGGATTACCTTTCTGTGGAATGATAGTATTAGGTTCGTACTGGTTAGCAGGTTTCACCCAGGTAAGGTTTGAACGTGATGATAGAAGGGTGCAAGAGATGAATGAAGCAGATATTATGAAAGTTAAGAAGAACCAAAGAAAGTTTGACATAAAGGATGAATATTATAAATTACAAGGTTTATCAGAAGAAGAATGGGAACCTGTTAGGGTTAAGAGATTAAAGGATGAATCTGAGAATGTATGGTGATTTTGGACAGTTCTCATGTTTGATAAAACGTGTAAGAACCAAACCAAGGTAATTTTGTGTTTTTTAAGCAAAATTAGGAATTGCAATTTAGAAACTGTATTTTCAAGTGGGTGTGGGAAATTTCGCCAAGGATGGTACAATTTAACGACATCATCCCCATTTTTGTTCATGTTTTTTCTGCAGAGAAACAGACAGGATATTCGTGTTGAATCTAGAGGAGGCCAGAAAATGTTATTATAATGATTAGAGGGTGTAACTACGCCTATTATATTCTCATTCCCGATATGTTTTGATCTACTTTTTAATCCAAACGCAAATCACTTGTACATATACATAGCCAAATTAAACAGTTCTTATCGAGAACATTGCAAATGCATGTATCATTCTTTAGAATGTATATAACAAACACTTATCAATTTTAGATTACTATGCTAAAAGCATATAGATGACCAATTGATAACATCATACAACATTAGTTTTTAACAATCAGAGTCATTTATATAGTCATTCCTTATTAAGAAAATGATATTCTTCGAAGGAAAAATCCGATGATTTAGATGATTCAATTTCGGTCTCAGAAGGTTACGGAGCAAACACGCGAAAAACAGTGTTCACGTAATCAAGAATAGAAATAAGTCACTTAATATTTTTTGATTAATTCAATATAATTTACACTATCAGTGGTGCTTAAATTGGGGGTAATTTAATTAAATTTTTAATCGTTACTAAATTTCATTAGTTTGAATTGAAACGGATAGATTCCACGATACAAAAAAGATGAAAAAGAGTCAACGGAAGAGGTATCTATGTATATACCACAATGACAAGAAGTTTCTCGAATCAAAAAATGGCTATTTCCATTAACCATTCTAGTTTATACCCTATTTCTAGTTATCCTACCATTCCAAAATGGTTCCATGTCAGCTCACGCTCTAGGTCGAGGTGACGATGCTGAAAACTACAGTTCCGCTATTGGTATCAATTTAAGTACTACTTATTCCTGTGTTGCTGTTATGAAGAATGGAAAGACTGAAATTCTGACTAATGAACAAGGTAACAGAATTACTACATCGTATGTTGCATTTACTGATGATGAAAGATTGATTGGTGACGCTGCTAAGAATCAAGCTGCCGCTAATCCTGAAAATACTATCTTTGACATCAAAGAGATTGATCGGTCTAAAATATAACAACAAATCTGTTCAGAAGGACATTAAGGATTTACCATTCAATGTTATTGGCAAAGATAATAAGCCAACTGTTCAAGTTACTGTTAAAGATGAAGAAAAATAGTTTAATGCAGAAGAAATCTCTGGTATGATTCTAGGTAAGATAAAACAAATTGCTGAAGATGATTTAGGTAACAAGGTTACTCATGCTGCTGCTACTGTGCCAGCTTATTTCGATGATGTTCAAATACAACCTACTAAAGGTGCTGGTGCTATTGCTGGTCTTGACGTGCTAGGAATAGTTAACGAACCAACTGCTGCCGCCGTTTTTTTTCGGTCAAGATAAATCTGAAAAGGAACATCAAATTATCGTTTACGTTTTAGGTGGTAGTACCTTCGATGTCTCTTTAATATCTATTGAAAACCGTGTCTTTGAAGTTCAAGCTGCGTCTGATGATACTCATTTAGGTGGTGAAGATTTTGATTACAAGATTGTTCGTCAACCGATTAAGACCTTTAAGCAGGAGCACGGTATTGACGTTTCTAACAACAACAAGGCTCTAACTAAGTTAAAAAGAAAGGCCGAAAGGACCAAGTATACTTTATCCAGTCAAATATGAACCAGTATTGAAATTGATTCCTTCGTTGATGGTATCGATTTAAGTGAAATTTAACCAGAGCCAAGTTCAAGGGGTTGAATTTAGACGTATTCAAGAAGACTTTGAGATCTGTCAAAAAGGTTCTTGCTGGCGTTGGTCTAGAAAAGAAAAAGATTGATGATATCGTATTGTTGGTGGTTCTACTAGAATTCCAAAGGTTTAACAGTTATTAGAATCATGCTTCAACGTTAAGAAGACTTATAAGGGTATTAACCCAGATGAAGCTGCTACTTATGGTGTAGCTATCCAAGCTGGTGTTCTATCGGGTGGAGAAGGTGTCGAAGATATCGTTCTATTAGATGTTAACGCTTTGACTCTTGGTATTGAGACCGTTGGTGGTGTCATGATCTCTTTGGTTAAGAGAAACAAAGCTAATCCAACTAAAAAATGTCGAATCTTCTCTACCAGGGGTGATAACCAACCAAATGGTATGATCAAGGTTTACGAAGGTGAAAGAGCTATGTCCAATGAGAATAACTTATTAGGTATGTTTGAATTAACTGGTCGCCCTCCAACTTTAAGAGGTGTACCACAAATTGAAGTTACTTTCTCTTTATATGCTAATGGTATCTTCAAGGTTTCTGCTACTGATAACGGTACTGGTAAGTCTGAATCTACTACCATTGCAAATGAGAATGGTAGATTATCCCAAGAATAAATAAAAAGAATGGTTGAAGAAGCAGAACATTCCGCTTCGGAAGATGCTTCTTTTAAGACTAATATTGAATCCAGAAACAAGCTTGAAAACTATGCTCATTCCTTAAAGAACCAAGTCAACGCTGAACTAGGCGACAAACTAAAAGAAGAAGATAAGGAAACTTTACTAAATGTTGCAAGCGACACTTTAGAATGGTTAGATAATAACTTCGAAAATACCACAGCTGAAGACTTTGAAGAAAATTTAATGCTCTGTCCAAGATTGCATGTCCAATCACTTGTAAACTATATGAACTGGTACTGAAGGTCCTAATGGGACCTATACTGAAGATTTTGAAGATGATGAAGATGATGATGGTGATTTCTTCGAACACGATGAATCATAAGGGCTTTTTAATGGACTTTCCCCTAGTATTAGTCTGTAAAATCCACTAGGTCTACACGCTTTTATAACTAATTCTAAAACAATGTAAATAATAATGGTATCTATCAATATAGAGAATCGTATTCAACTACAATTGGATATTTTCAAGAGAGAAATGTGAACCAGAAAGAAGGTAATTTAAAGTTGGTAGTACTTTATAAATATACATATGTCTTTTTTTACGTATTTTTCGTACATAAGGTGGTCATGAGGAATCGTTGAAATGGTATGCAAATGTTAAAATCAGCTTACGAACATAAATAGTAATTCATATTCAGAGTCTAAATCGAATTCCGAGAATAAAATTAAGTCCTCGTTCCTTAGTTCAACATATCTTGCCCTCGGTATAAGGATACCGTTCAAGGTGGTCCCATTTGAGGAGTTTAAATCCATGATATACGGTAAGAGTTTCCCATTTTTCTCTCTGAATTGAATAACACAATGTTCCTTCGAACAACCAGGGTCAGGGATACCAATATCAGACAAAATTACTTCAGGAATTTCTGAATCGGATTCGTTTTCATTGCTGTCGTTGGATGTATTTCGTTGTTCCTTCCGAAGTTGTCGCCCTATAATGTAATGACTCTTCAAATCAAGATTAAATTCACTCAGGGGTTCTTTTACACCTTTCTTATACAATATTGCTTTTATAATTGGTCTTTCAGATATCGGGAGTTTTATGCTATCCCAATATTGATCTGGTGATATGGCATCTGCTGGTAGTATATGCTTCAAAGGTTCACCTTTATTATTATTTGATTCTGCCTCCAATATACCGGATGGTTCGAATATTGGGAGTATTTTGTACTCCGCTTTTGATCTCTTAATTTGATCGTAACGACTACTTTGGGATCTTGAGTACCGTTTCATTCTATTCACGGAGAAGTTCTTAATTACTTAGGAGAAGTTTCAAATTATGAGGATATAGTTACAGTATTTTTATTAATGATTGAATCAAAATATGGTGGTTCGTATGGAAGTCGGGAGAAAATAGGTATAGGTTCATGGATTACCTTAATGTGAATTGAAAAGATCTCTGTAAACAATAAAAATTTCGGATTAACCGCAGCAAATGTAAGAAATAAACCCTAAATAGGGTTTGTGCAATGAACATATATAACTAAATATTTAATTGATTAAATTGAATTGAATTGCACCGTGATAAAGGTGTGTACCTCTGATGACTAATATGTGACACCAGTGGTTGTAGCGATCAAAATTATTCAATTAAAGAATTTAATTGAAAATAATCATTTTTAAAATCTTTCTCTCTAAGGGAAACGTTAAATTTTAATTAATTTACTGGAAATGAAACCACTTTTACAAAAAAAATACTCTTTACCTTGAAATTATGCAAAACCATATTTTGAAACAACACAATCAAATCATGAAAGTTAATGGGCAATAAATATATGTTTCAAATTTGTGACCAAATTTCCAAATATCTTGCTCAATTAGTTTAACTAGGTACTAAAATCTAAATCATGTTTTACGAATAATATTTCATCTCATTATATAACATGAAATTAAATAAATTTGAAGGCATTTAGGATATAAGTTACTTGAAACAGAAACATATATAAAGAACCATTGCTGTAGAATAACCATCTGCGACCTATTTAAGAAGAGATTTAACATTGATAAGGAGTGTTCTAATTGGAAACTGAATATCTACCTTCTAACTTCAGTCATTTATTCACATTTTCATTATTGTTACTCGTGTGCAAGCAAACATGTCGTCATCATTTGAAGCAGAACTTATATTATCTAGGCCATACCTGACTCGCAAACAGATATCCAGAGCTCAGAAGAATACGATTTCCGATTTACGAACATATTCACAAAAGAAATTATTAATTATTAAATATTTGAGTGATATGTGTGTGCAGTTGAAACTTCCAAGAAAAACATTAGAAACTGCTATCTATTACTATGAAAGATATCATTTATTTAATGCATTTGAAACAGAACTGATACATCTTTTAGCAACAAGTTGTCTAGTACTAAGTTGTAAACAAACAGAAACACTAAAAAAAATCAACGAGATTTGCCAAGTATCATATAAAGTAAGAAAAATTTCAAAAGTAAACCAAGATATGATGGAAACATTTAAAAAAAGAATATGCCAGACAGAATTACGAATATTAGAATCATGTTCTTTTGATTATAGAGTCAATAATTTCCTCCATATAGACGAATATATCATTAAAATTGGGAAAAGTTTACAATTAGAATCTAAGGTATGTCATTTAGCTTGGTTAATCGCATATGATGTTCTTAAATCTGATGTTTTATTGATCATTCCACAGCATTCTATTGCAATTGCAATACTTAAAATTTCAGTTGAACTTTTTAATTTGAAGAATGATAATAACGGCAATGAAGAAAACAGTTCGAAATGGTCTAATGTAGATTATTCATATTTTGAAACTAATGAAAATTCAGTTAACGAAGCATACTTTGAAATTTCTAATTTCTATATCAACACGTTTGATATATGTGACTTACAAGGAAATATTCCACATGACTATCCGCATATTGGAATTGAATCATTTATAGAATTAAAACAAACTGCCGGCTCACAAACAGGGTTAGATGAACTTCCAAATGATGATATCGATAGAGATCCATTCTTATGTAATAGTAGAAATTCGAGTGTAAGAGAAAGAAGACATGTATTATCATCCAGATTGGTCATTGAAGAATATAATTCTATAAATAATATACAGCATAAATGATATATACATATAGTATTTTTTTTTACTTTCAATAAAATTTATGAAACCAAAAACGAGTTATGAAATAGCCTAGATCTATTTTGTATACTTCAAAATTGTAATTCAAACATTCTGTGGAAAGTAACTCTAATTATATTATTTGGATAATAAATGTAAGTATCTTTTTGTCCTTTGAGGGTCCAATTCAATTAATTTCTTTAAATACTCCTTTGTGTGTTCTTCTTCTACAGCATGACCAGTTGATTTTAGAGCATCTTCTATCACTATCAAAATCTTTAGGCACCAACTGTTTTCTGTACCTGAAAATTCTAGGTCATCATTGTTAATTAGAACAATATTATTGTTCATATCTTCCAACATTTTTATATATTCATCACCAGTCAAAATCAAACGAACAATCTCATTTTCAAGGAACCATTTGGTATAAAACCAAACGGATTGGTCATCGGCGTCTGTATATATTGCATTTGTTATGTATAATATTTCTTCCAGTACCATTTTTTTCATTTCTTCTTTTTTCAGTTCGTGTTCTTCAAACAAGTTAGTTATCAATTGAACCCTTTGATGCCATGCTGAATAATTGGAGATATTTTTATTTATGATTGTGGTGACATATGCTAATTCCTCTGTATTCATCGATTTATCTGTTAAAGTCTCTAATTTTTTAATAATTAATCTTCTATAATGCCAACCATGATAGTTCCTGGCATCCATTGACAATAATTTATCTACTATAGCTAACTCAACCATCCATATTTTAGTAGTTGCATGAGGAAAATTATTTAATACCCAAATTCTATGATTCCAAATCCAGTAAACTTTTGGAAATCTTCTCAATTTCTCCATCGTGAACTGCAATTCATTCTCCCAAAACTCAGTAGGAGCGGTATCTCGTAGATGTAAAATAATGTCACGTCTATAATTCCATACCGTGTTAAATTCGGGGTTTAACTCAAGGACCTTGCTGGTCAATCCTAATGATTCGGAAGTAAATATTTTATTATCACGAGTATCTAGTGTTTTATCCACTAATTCTTTGTAAGTTTTTATCTTCAACTGATCTTGTAAATGCTTTTGCTTTAGAATTTCCCTCGAGTATTGTTTTCTTTTGACTCCATGCTATTTATATTAAATATGTTAGTAAAAATAAAGTAAATTTAAACTGATAAAAGCAAATCACAATTAAACTGTTTCCCATACCATTTCTAATACCGAATATTTATTCTATAAAGATGGATTTAATCTTATTAAACAAAATAAGTGCTGTTTTGTGCTATTCCTTTTATTAATAGGGTCTCTTACTTCATTATTTTCTTAATGGAATATTCTTGATCTTTAAGCATTCGGTTATTTATCGCAATAGTACATTCAAAAAAGAAAAAAAACATGAAATTAAACAAAATGATCTAATTTCACCCCAATAAATAGATAAAATCATAAGAATCCAGTAGTCGAGATCAATATTATAATACAAGGTGAATTGGCGACTAGCAAATACATCAATAATAGATTTCTTTCTCCTTTCATTTTAGTACGTCATGTCATCGGGTAAGAGCATTTCATTGAAGGGATCAACTCGTACAATTACTGAATTTTTTGAATATAGTATAAATTCAATTCTTTTCCAACGAGGTATATATGCAGCTGAAGATTTCACAACTGTAAGGAAATACGATTTAACATTATTAAAGACACATGATGAGGAACTGATGACATATATTCGTAAAATATTAATACAAGTCCACAAATGGATCCTTGGTGGTAAATGTACCAAACTTGTATTATGCATTGTAGATAAGGACACAGGAGATGTTGTTGAACGATGGGCATTCGATATTCTACGACTCGATAGTGGAAGTACAGAAGAAGCCGATAATGATGAAAAATCGACAGAGATAGATCCAGAAACGACTCAGAAACAGATAAGATCATTGATAAGGCAAATTACCGCGAGTGTAACATTCCTGCCAGAACTAGTAAATGAAGGTAATTATACATTTAATGTATTAGCTTATACAGATGCATATGCAAAGGTCCCTTTAGACTGGGGCGATTCTAATAGTAAGGAGATCGAAGATGGAGAAAAAGTGCAATTCAAGTCATTTGAAACAAATGATTATAAAGTCGGTGCACACGTCAGTTATAAACAGGATTGATAAAAAAAGAGGTTAATATGTCATGTATGGAAGAAGGTAATGATAACGATTATAATGATGATGCTATTTCATTTCATTAGATTTATATATGGTATATTGATGAAATGTGTTTGTATTTATATATATAACAAAACAAATCAAGTATAAATATGAATCATTAATTGTATGCAGATGGGAATGATAACGTTGAATGAGCTTATAATGTTTTAAATGATGCCATCCCAATTATTCTTGGTCATGTAAAATTTCATCCCATTCCATTAACTGAAATATGAGCCCCATATTGGGGCTAATATCCTTTGCTACTAATTTTAACTTATTATAGGCATCATTCAAATTGAGTTCATCATAACGCATTATATAAGCAACAATTAAAGATGCAGATCTTGAAACTCCACATTGGCAATGGACGAGAACTCTCTTCCCCTTGGTATTAGCCTCATGAATAATTTTTGTCAAGTATTTAAGATCTTTAGCTATCTTTGAATCATGAGACCATTTTATATGATGGTATTCTAGTGTTTCTTTAATATTTCGTGGGATCTCAGTTTTCAAATCGTGAATTTCTTCTGCAACATTGATGACCACGTCAAACTTAATTATATCATCAATAGTGGGTTCAGAATAAAGATATATATTTGGTGAAACAACCTGTATTGGTCCATTTGGATATACGCTACGACGATATATTGGTAATTCTTCTTGTAAAGGGCTCGGTATACTAATACCATTGTTACTATTAGTATCATCCTCACTTGATATATCATTAAATGGGACCCCAGGTAAAATCCATAGTCCCTTGTCTCCATTTCCATTAGTACTATTATTCATTGAATAATGATTATTATTACTCGTCAACGAAACAGGTGTCTTAATGGTCGTGGCAGCAAGTGTCTTTGACCTGGATCTTGTATTGTTAGATAAATTATGTGTTTTTATGGATAAAGATAAAGAATGATTTCTAGCCAAAGTGGGTCTTTTTGCTAATCTTGGAATAATGGAATCAGGCATGAGGTTATTCTTTAACAAATCTGGTGATGTATGACTATTATTAATAGCTGATATCGTTGAAGTTGATTTATTAAAGGATAATTTTGAACTAGAACTCTTATATGTAGGGAGTGAATATATCGAAGAGATATCAGTTTTCTTCGAAATTATGGATGATGTCGATGATTTTGATTTAGAATTAATATGCAATATTGTGTCATCATCTAATTGAGATTTGTAAATATTTTGTATACCTAATTTCATTGAAGTAATGTTATTTTCATTATCATTACCATATGTAAATTCTGTATCATTATTATCGTTATAAGTCGATATATTATTCATTATCGATATCGATTCATTGGAGTTATTATTAAATTTTATATTGTTATTGTGAGTATCTTCAATGGTAAAATAATTTGACTTATCTTGTTTTGTCTTATTATACATTGGATTGCATGACATCTTCATCTCCTGAGTGGTTGAAGGGAGCATTGCTAGTAAATGAACTAGAAAAATATTTGTTGTATAATAGTAATAAATGGGAATCAAGAGTCAATATACACCTATCCTTGGAATATTTAGTTTTTTTGATGCAATTATATTTATATCTATTTATATCTTGAACACACTGAACTGCAAAAAATCCTCTATTACCTTATTATTTACCTTTCACCGCTTCCCTAAAATATATCTATCAATCAATCAATATATATATATGTGTGTAGTTTGGATATGTAGTTATGATTTAGCAGAATTGTATTTAATTATAGACAAAATTATTATTATCTAATGTTTAAATTTGGGACCTGTCATCTCATCCAAATACGGTGTTTAACTTTACCTTTGCCAAATGGAGAAAACCTCATTTAATCAGTGGAACGATTAAATTTCATTGATTTTCTCTCTGTTTGTTCAATTTCTTTACCTTTTTTGGACAATGCGAATTTTACGCAGAATAACCCGTAGTCAAAGAAAAAACATTCGATGGGCAGAAAAGAAAAAATAGAAAGCTAAATATAGCTAAGAGCGGAGAGACAGAGAAAACAACGTACAAATGAAGCTTGGCTGTCTTTTCTTATTTTTATTTAAATAACCAGATAGTAGGAGAATAAGAACAAAAGAAGTCGGCTTTGGAACTATTAGAAAGCAATGTTTTTACAACAGATAAGAGATGGTATGGTAATAGTAATAGTCTGCTATTAGAATTGGATGATGCATGGAACGGAGGATCTCTGCATTAGTTTACTATTTTCCAATAACCGAATTGTTTTCTTGGTTGCGCATCAGAAACTGTAACATCAGAGATTCTTTGAGATATTTCCCATATATCATGTCAAGAAATGGATCAAGGAATGGGACTAGATGTTTGCCTATATGTTAGTTTATTTCTTACTTTACAACAAAGGATAGGCAAATAGAGGGCTGGGGCGTAACTTTATTAAAATATCTTGCAATTTATATATGATTATAGTATTTATTTAAAGCAAAGAGAACATAAAGTGTAGAATTTTTATCATTCTTTATCTTTGTCTCCCTTTGGTACCTTTGCGGTTCTTTGAACTGCAATTGATCTATTGTTATTGAAAAATGGAATCTTGTAACGTAAAGTCCCACGAATGATAAGATCATAATTATATTTTATAATCTCTTCCCATTTTTCAGATCCATTAGGATCATCCTGTTGATCAGATTCATTCTTATTGCCTGATTTATCCTCATTTGTACCAGGGTTCTTGATCTTTAAACTTGTCATTGATACATCATATTTCCTATTAAAAAATCCACCACTGAATTTTAATTCAGGGTCTAATTTATTAACGGTTCCAAGGAAAATAGTTTCGGTGGGATCATCCTTACGATCTCTGAATGGGTCTGAATTGTCATTGTTATTATCATTACCGCCGTTATCATCGTTAGGAATATGATCACTCTTGGCAAAAATATCAAGATCAGAATCAAATATTGATATCGAAAAGAAACCAAGATTGAATGCAGACGCTGTAATATCAAACAATAACTCATCTGTAGTAGAGATAACGTTATCTACAAGAACAACATTAAAATCTTGTAATTCTTTATTTGTTGCAATAATGAAACCGAATACAAATCCAATGGTCACTAAAATTGTCATTACAAATGAAAAATATACTGCAGATTTTAATCTGGACCAAGTGGATTTCTTACCATAAAAATCATGTGGAGAATAACCATTATTATTTCTAGAATACCTTCTTCTTGTTGTTACAGCAGGTGCAAGTTGATCCGGTCCTCCACGTAATGGCGTATATTCATTGGGTTGTCCCATATGATGCTGATTTGGTGACATTGTATAATCATAGAATGTTCCTTGTACTGGCTGTTGCTTCGTGAATGAATAGGATGGATGGCGATTGCTAGTAAAATGCATTTGTGAGGGTAAGAAATTATGTCTTGCGAAAAAACTTCTGTTGCCTCCATCATCCTCACCAACGTCATCGTCATCATCTTCATAGTCAGATATTTCGGGACGCGCTTCAAGATTTGCACGATGGTTATAATAAAACATCGATCGCATATCATCATTTTCAGCAATATTGTGAATATTGTTATTATTGTCATTGTTACTTCGTGTTGAATAATCTTTGGAATAATGCCCACCTTCATTGGGACCCCCTCCATTACTGATGTTTGCAATCGAATTTCTATAGCTACTATACTCGGTTTCGTCTTCTTCTCTAATTGGGACAGATTCATTATACATATAATCTCCATTATTGTTATTTACGCTGCCATAATTTTGATATACACTATGATTTCCATTGTTATCATGGATTTCATTATCATATGCATTATCATTACAATTATTATTGTTGGTGTCACACTGTTGATATCCATTGATACTATTTCTCATTACTCTCTTCCCATCATTTGAATTCATATAATTACTTATCTTCACACTATTTTGATTATTCAGACCATTTAATGAGTGGTTATGAACACTGCCAGTCATACTATTATGATTATTCATCATTGGAATATTTGTATTGTTGCTATTATAGCCGTTGTTACCATTGCCATTGGCTCCCATATTATCAGATTGATCAATATAATCTTCAAGATTGACATTATCTGGTACGCCAGAATAGATTCTTAGAGGTGTCTCGTTTGTATCAAATATCTTTGATACAGTTGTTCTTAAACCTTTCTTATTTTCAGCTTTCATTCCTGTGCTACTGCTGATGCTATTGTTATGTTGTAACGAACTTGATCCCATTTGTCTTAGTGACGTAGCAAGATTGTTAGGAATTGGCCGCTGTCCTATTCCATTGGGTGTATTATTTTGCGGTGGTAAAGGTTGTGAAGGGAAATATGAAGCACTTGGTTGACTCATACTAGATTTAGTTAGCGATGCAATACTTGATCTTTTGTTTGGTGATTTTGGATGATCTAAGATATATGGTCTCATTGGTCGTGTATCCTGTGGGTGACTTCTATTGGTTTTATTGAATGACCTTACTGTAGACAAGTCCTCTGCTTGTGTATGAGCACTGTTGAATTGGTTAGTAACATTGGGACTACCATTGGCTTTACCAGGTGTTACTCCTGAATAATTTAAGTTTTGATTCATTACTGGAGAATACATAATCTTTTCCGGGTTGTTAACAGTATTGGGGTTAGAACTCCCAGTGGTGGACAATGGAGGAAGATGTGATATAGATGAGTGTGGATAACCATTTAAATGTGAATGCACATTTTGATTTTGATGATAATTCGATGGAACATGGTTACCAGTGACACTAATATTATTTGGTCCAGTAGTAGATAACGGAATTCCACTTGTACTAATATGTCTTGGATTTTTCAATCTTGTCATTAATTTCTTGTTACTATTCAAAAGTGGAACACTCATTTTTGGTATGACGCCATGTTGTGGTTCTGATACATCTCCAGTCATTGAATGGATATCTATACTCCCATTAACTGAGGGATGTTGTGTATTATTAGATGTTGCAATAGCTTGTGAATTCACATGATTACTTGAGCTTGGATAGATTCTATTCTTTGTAGAGTTGGCAGCAGATTCGTATACAAAAGTTTCCTCTGAATCACTAACTTCATTTTCACCTACTGCAGAAGCTAATCTTGCAGCGAAAAAATCTGTCTTTGTTGGTTTTTGACTCGAATCATCAAATTGTGAATGTAAATCATCAGTAGATATTACATTATGATGTGTTAAATTATCTGTACTTTTATTTATCATAGTATGGCCACCATTCAATTTATTTTCACTATTTCTATTTAGATCATTAGTTATTGGTTTCTTAGAGAATATATTATCTGCATCGGTATTAGTCGTTGAAGTACCACTTATAACATTATTGTTGTTATTACTGTAGTTATCCTTTGATTGTTCGGAAATAAGTTTATTACTTGTTGCGGTTGTATTGTTAGTATTATTGGTATTATTACTATTATTAGCTATATTTTGGTCATCACTGTTATTAATAGTAGGATTAGGAATGACATTATTGTTATTAATGTTATTATTATTATTACTAGACATTACTAAAGGACTATTAGTTTTCTTTTCTGTCATTAATACATCTCTTGAATTCATTGAATGCATTGGAGGTCTTTCGAAATTCTTTGTGGTCCTTTTACTATCCAAAGGTAATTCTTTAATCATATTACTACTAGTAGTATTCGTAATAGTGGTTGGTTGAATATTTGAATTTATTATCTTTTTAATAGAAGTATTAGATTGTAATCTATTCGAACCATTCCCAATAGAAGGTGGTTGTGGAGAATCCGACTTAATTGTATTTAAAGTTTCTGTATCATTACTTGTTGTTATATTATCATTATTTATAACTAAATTTGAATCAATTAAAAGTGAACTTTTTTTATTTTTTAATGGCAATAATGATTGATTTTGATTATTATGTAAGGATAAAGGGTTATTATCAATTAAATTTGTTGTGCTATTATTATTTGTATCTAAATCATTCGGTATATTTTTATTATCAGGTAATAAATTTACATGATTTAAAGGTGGTTCATTAATAATATCATTATTTAAAGATAATGCATCAGTATTATTATCGCCAATTGATTGTTCATTGATAGGTAATAAAGTATGTGAAATTAAATTTTCATTATTATTGGTAGTAGTACTATCATTATTTAATAAAATTGTTGATTCTACAGGAATAATTGATGAATTATTATTTAATAAAGTATTTACCACTGGAGCAGCTTCGACAGTTTCTGTTTCAACAATAAAATTTTGTTCATCATTATCACTATCTTCAATATTATTATTATTATTATTATTATTATTATTATTCTTTGTAGATATCGGTGGTGGAGGCATCAGTTAATCATAGATATAATAACATGTACTTTTAATATATATTCAGTGTATTTTTATTAGTAATAACAATATCAAACTAGCTATATATATCTCTCTATATATGTGTGTATGTGTGATAATTTTCAATAAGGTTAATAAATAAAAGTGTCAAAATTAATTAAATTTAAAATATGCTATCAAATAATTATATGAGTGAATATTCCTAATACCGCTTGCCATCTGTTTACTCTAAAATTTCAAGCCAAAAAAAATAATAATCCCTTTCGTGGTATAATTTCCCTCTCTCTTTCTCTCTCTCTCTCTTTTTCCGATGTACACGTCAAGAGAATTCAGCATATATATCATGTATATTGTGCGTGTATTCCACCATTCGCTCAATCGAAACCCCGTTCGTTCCAATTCAGTATGCGCGTATATAACACAACACATAAAAATGCTTAATGGCAGAGAGAACGAACCCTAACTTGGAAATTCATCGAACCCTAAAAAGCCATATGCAGTATTATGGCGGTGGGCGCGACAGGCTTTCAGACTCCGTCAAAGTGCGGTTGACCGCCTCTGATTCAACACTATTTAAAAGCCACCGTAAACCTCAACCATGTATATATATATATATGTATATCACCGTAGACGGAGGCCCTACTTTAGGGTACGGGATTAGCGGCAGCGGTTCGCCCGCCTTCCCCAAGGAAGAAAAACAAAACGTTTCCAGTTTTGAAGTCTCTGCGCGGATATTGTTGTTGAATAGATAGGGAGGTACCCCTAAAACACACACACATACACACACACCCGCTTCTGACCAATCATATTGTGAGTTGAGCGGATCACAACAATACTAAATTTAATTCAACAACTGAAAGTCAAATAAATACATGATAACATTCATTCTCTCCGCAATTATTACATATTAATAAAAAGTGAAACAGTAGAACTTTGTTGAGTGCGTAATTAAATAATAACTACATATCACATATTAAGAAACGTGCTACCAACTCTACACGCAAAGTTTGTATAATTAATAATTTACAGTGTATATATCCGTTAGTAGTACCAATCATGAATACTCTTGTAAATCTAATAGAAACATGTCGACAACAGTAGCGTGACTTGTGTGTGTGAGGTATATCCATTGATATATGTGCTTAAAGTATCAGTAGTTAGATGTATAAGTGTGTTACGTTACCCTTCAAGAAAAATTAAAATGTGTAAGAAGGGTGCATGTGCTATTTTATAGTACTAGTATTATTATTATTACTATTACTATTATAACGGATATTAATTAATAATCGTATATATATATATATATAAACGTTTCGATCTCGAGTATTTTTTTTCTTACTTTATATAATTTATTTCTGCTATCCCTTATATGTAATTTCTCATTTATTCTTTGTTATTATTATTAATTGGATCTTACTGAAGTTATATACACAACTACACTCACTTCCTCTAATATAATTTAAATTTTCTTTTTTTACAATGGCTCCACCAACTTATTCTGATATCTTTAAAGGTACTAATGATTTATTAAACAAAGATTTTTATCATTCAACTCCTTTAGCCTTTGATGTTAAAACTGTTGCTAAAAATGGTGTTCAATTTACTCTAAATGCAAAACAATCAGTCAAAAATGCACCATTATCAACAACTCTTGAATCAAAATTATTAGATAAATATAATGGTGTATCATTAACTCAAGGTTGGACAAATAATAATACTTTGAAGAGTAAAATTGAAATTACTGATTTAACACCAGGTTTAAAGACAGATATAATTACATCAATTAATCCAAATAATGTATTAATTGATGAAAAAAAAAATTTAAATATTAATATTGATTATATTCAACCTTTATTTACTGCAAGAGGTAAATTTAATTTATTAAATGGTCCTCCAAGTTTTAATGGTGATTTAACTTTTGCTAAAGAAGGTATTGTTGCTGGTACTGAGTTACAATATAATATTAATGGAGGTACTATTTCAAAATATGGTTTAGCTTTGGCTTATTCTGCTTCTGATTATTCTATTGGTTTATCTATTGATAATAAACAATTTACAACTTTATCATGTAATCAAACTTTAAATGATACTTTATCAATTGGTACAAAAGCAACTTTAAATTCTGTTATTAATGCTCAAAAAGTTAATTTAGAATTTGCAACAAAATATATTTTGGATCAAACAAATCAAGCTCAAGTTAAAGCAAAAATCAATGATGCAGGTAATTTAGCTGTATCTTATAAACAATTATTAAGACCAGGTATTACTTTAGGTGTTGGTTCTTCATTTGATGCTTTGAATTTGAATGAACCTGTTCATAAATTAGGTTGGTCTTTATCCTTTAACGCTTAGAAAGAAAGAAAAAATAACAGAATATATAAATATTTTAGTAGTATAGTACTTTCTGTTATCTTTCTTTTTTTTTTTTGCTACATTTGTCTACATTCAAAATGGGTGTGTTTTTATATGAATTGATCGATTGGCTAACCCTGTGCGTTTTGTATCTATTTAGCATTTCCAGAATTAAAACAAAAAAGGAATTGTTAAAATGGTTACAAAAATATGATATTTTTAACCTTTATGTTTCTACCTTTTAAGAAAAAAAAATGATTTAGATAGTAATAATAATTTGTGTTGTAATTATATGTAAATATATTTATGTATTTGTAAATGTTATAATAAATCGTTTACCACGTCTATTACTACTATAATTATCACACTAAAAAAAAAAAAGATAAGTAAAAAGAATATATTAAATGTGTCATTAATCTGATGCAAAAATAAAACAAAATTTATGTAAAACATAGTCATCCTTTACATTCGAACAAATTTTGGCATTTTATCTTTATAAACTTCTAAATGGCTTATAAACATTGTAATAAATTCTAAATCTGCTTCATCTTTAAGTCCACCGGAAAATAACCCATATTCTTGGTATATTGAAGCAATACTCCAGCCTTGTAAAATTTTTCGTACAATTCCAACAATTATACCAACACGATGTTTCCCTTTATTTGAATGAATTAACATTGGATAATTATCAACATTAACAATCATTTCTAATACTTTATCAATTTCTTTGTTAATTCCATCATCTCGACAAGATTCCATCGGTATATAAACAAATTGAATCATTTGTTCTTTTAAAAAATTTAAATATTCTTCAGATATTTTATTCTTATCACCAACATATACAATAGTCTTTAAATGAAGTTGATCCATTATAAAACTATAATTAATTGGCATTGGATATCCAGATCTATATAATGATACTTCTGTGGATATTACAGGTGAGAAATTTAATGGTGGAATATATTTGTTGACCTTTTGTTTCCCTACCATATTTTTATGTGATGTAAGTTTTTCAAATTGTTAAGGTATCGTTTTCAGTGGTATTATCAACTTTTCCTTCTAATTAAATTTCTTTTTCAGTTAAATGTGTGTAATTGTACTATACTCAAGTAAGTTAATACTTTAATAAAAAGGTTCAGACACAGGTTTGGGGGCCGTTCTTTCTTGTTACAGTTAGTTAGTTAAATAATTTTTTAGTCTTTTAAACTTATCAGGTGAACTTAGAAATATTTTTCAAGTTTTGTAATGGAAGTTCCTAGTTGCATCGATCTATTTCTAGACGTGGGCACGGTAGACTTTTTTGGTACACCACACCTTGACCGCACCTAGAAATACTCTTTCTCATTCAAAAAAGCCCTAACTTTTGCATAAAGTAGGGTTTCCTCACTTTTACTAAAAATAAAAAATGAAAAATTATCATCACCAATTACATCTCCTAATTCGGAAATATGTAAACATAACCACAAAGGGAACTCCAGAAAGAATATGAAAATTTAAAAAAGCGATTGGATAAGTTAAGGATGTCTAATGAGGGTTGGCAAATTTTTTATTTGCTGCAAGTACCATGTGTGTTTGATCTCACAGGCCAGTTGTTGTTGAAGTATCAAAGAGAGGAGTAGGGAAAGGTAATGACAAACGTCTCGGCATCTTGTCCCTTCATGCGTTTGAACTTTAACAGGTCGTGAACTAATGAGGAGGTCACGGCTATTTGAAAGCAACCCTTTGAAATCTTCTTTATTTCTTTATATTATTGTACTTTATATTTAACTTCTCATTTATTAACTGTTTTTATTTTGTGATTTGTGTATACATATAGATATACATGTTAATGGATAAATGTATAACTTATCATATTGAAAGACAAACAACTCTATATTCCAAGATTTTAACAGCCTTTCATAGAGACATAAAAACTAAATTTATTTATTAGGAAAAATCCCTTTCAATAAAATTATTTGAAAAATGGAAAGTTATACGAATACGAACCTTCTTAAAAGAGGTCTTCCAAAGTTGGTCACTACCACTACATCATCATCTCTCGGTACATACACATCTACAGTCTCTACAATTATAAGCTCAGTAAAAGATGAATCACAGAAAAGTACAGCACAGTCAATTTCAAGTTCAATTTCATTATTAGATTCAAGTTCATTCGTGTCGTCAAGTTCTATAGTGACGCCAACCATTACACCGCCTTCTCCAAATGGAAATCCACATATTGCACAAATGATTGATCTTCCACCTCGTGGAACCGTGTTTATAGCAGTAGGGGCATGCGTTGGTGCTATATTTTTAGCTATATTCGTATGGTGGGCAATTTCAACATATATATCGCATCAAAATACAAAATATAACGGACAATTGACATATAATCATGGTGGTGATGTTCATAATTCTAACAGTAATTATAATAACGGTGGATTTGGACATAGACATCAAAATTCTTTAATGACTCAGATTACGTCAAGTAGTTATTCAGATAATAACAGTAGTAATTTTGAACAAGACGAAGAAAAAACTCCAGCCAGTGGTCGTGTTTCCGGTAAGACATCGATTTTTAATTTAGCTCGCAGTAACACCAGGGAACCTTTCATTGATGATGACGTATCATTTGATTATTGCGAACCAGAACAACAAGTCTTTAATGTTATTCAGGATGAGGCATTCGGGTATAATAATAGAAGTTCTTTGTTTATATCACCAACTTTAGAAGTCAGCCAAAAACAAGCACAGTATCAAAGAAGAAATTCCAGATTTGGAAACTTAGATAATGCAATTAATGAGGGAGACTTTTCAACTTTATCTGTCGATTCTACTTTCCTAGAAGGTAATATTGACAAACCAAAAAGAGCTGCTTCACCAGAAAGGAAGAAAAAAATTAGGGAAGATATACACTATCATACAAGAAATAAATCTTCTCTGGGTTTAAACGGAACTGGTAGTACACCACCAAGTCCAACTAAAAATGGAAATCAAAGACATAACAAGACACCTTCCATGTATTTAGAAGATATGTTAACTGATGATATATAAGTTATATAATTTAATTTGTTTGTTTCCGGGTGATCATCAGCCGTTCTGTTCAGCTATATAACAGGATAACACTTGTTGATAACAATTAGGGAAACGATCTTGTATGTGATGAGACATGCATGCCAAGCCGCTTTCTCTTTGAACTACTGTGCCCCCCTCGCTCCCTACCATCCACATGATTATCCAAAATCTGTAAATTAAACGAAACTTACCCTTTATTTTAGATCTTCTAAGATTTGAGAGAATTTGGTATGCTTTGTCAAAAGTCCGGTGAAATACCGGAGTGTAATCATTTTACCCACATTATGACATATATCATATCGCCGTAATAAGGTAATATATGAAAGATAACGATCATATTTTGTATATGTGTTTAGAGATTTGCAGGTTAAATAAAACGCTTAATTTTCAAAAATATATATTGTAGGAGAGACACTCTAAAAAGAGAGTCTACTATAGGTAAATGAAACCCTAAAACGAAATCCTATCTATATAATGGGAACATTATAAAATTGATTCCTTTTAAGTACGTACTTATATATCGTCCTTGTTTTTTTTTTGCTGTATTATTTAAGCAATTGAAAAGATTAGTTATTAAGTACCATATCATATAGTTTAATTGACCAGAATATAACAGATCAATTAATTATGATACCTAACATAGTGAGAGACTACCAATCACGTATTAAGAAGCACTTGAAGAATCTACAAAAAATAAGAAGCAAGAGAAAAATAACTACTGGTAATGTAGCAGAAGGTTGCACGATTATCAGTCGCTCAACTCTGTTCAAGAAGAGAGTTTATTTAGGTATTAAGGATGATGGCATTTCTCGCATTATACTTTCGACAAAGAAAATCCACCAATATCGTTTGCCTCTTTGGGGAACTACAGCAGCAGTTGTTACCATAAATGATATCAAAGTACTAACCGATACAGAATGTGCCTCCCTAAATGAGGATAAGTGCATTTTTTGTTTCGAGTGTATTAATGGAAATGAGTCGGAAGCAGATATAGTGGAGCCTAATCAAGTAATATCAACGGCAATTACTGAAATTGATTTGAAATCTCAAACTGACGATTTAGGTTCTGAAAGACTGGAATCACCTCCTATTATTGTGGAGACACCCTGCGAACATCGTTTTCATAAAAAATGTCTCTCATCGTGGATAGAGTATAATATAAGACGTGATTCATCATCCCTAGATCTACAAGAGCCAATGATAGGTATAACTGATAGTGGATGCTGTTCATGTGATCGAACTCATTTACTGTGTCCTATCTGTCGCTTTGATATAAGTATCTTCAAATTGGTGTGCACAAACTTAGACATCCCAATTTGTAGATGTACTATTAAAAGAGAATGAACAGATTGTAATAGTCACTAAGGTATTAGTTTTGTCATTTGTATGTTGCAGGTTATGTTTGAGCTACGTTGTGTTATTCCGACTGAATACCCTATACCTCAGTGAGATCAAGTACGTTAAACAATTATTCATTTTCCCCCATTTTTTGTACTATATATATTTTCTTACTAATAAAATATAAAAATATTGACATAATTATTATTCATGATTGCACATTCCGTACACTTAATGCGTTTTTTGTAGTTTATTGTAATGTTATAGAGCATTCATTGAACTTAAATAAATCTTTTGTTAAGAGGATCACTGCGTTTCTAAAGCGAAGCGGTCAGTGAACAAAGCAAGCAAAATAGATACGTAGTGGGAAAAAATTCAACATCCTTTAATATATTGTAAAAGTTGAAGACTACTTTATACCATTACTGTTTATCAAAAATTCATTGTATTTATTACTACTCATAGGATTAAGCAAATTTATTTTATAAGTCGTTAAAGTTGGAACAATTCTATAGATATATAGTGATACATTAGCAATATAAAAACAATGTCTAGAGATGGTTCTGTTGCACCATTAAAGGTGACAGTATTAGAAGACCAGCCCTTGAGAGAGGAATGCGAACCGTTTGATAGTACCGACAACTATAACCCTGACACACCGATTGCTGTTGACTTTGGTTCGTTCAACGTAAGAGCTGGCTACGTGAATCAAACAAGTCCAACACATGTATTTATTAATGAGCTAACTAGGTACCGTGATCGTAAATTAGCACGTACGTTCACTTTTATTGGTAATGATACTCTCTTAGATCAAACAGTTTGCTCTCAAGCTAAATCTCCATTTGATGGTTCTTTGATAACCAATTGGGATTACGTTGAAGATATTATGGAATATACATTTAATCATTTGGGTGTAGTGTCTGATAATGGTGTAAAAAATCCGCTCATAATTAATGAAAGACTGGGATGTCTTGCATCACAAAGAAACAATTGGTATCAAATACTATTTGAATCCTTTAATATGTCGAAGGTTACGTTTGGTGTTGACAGTTTATTCGCTTACTACGCAAATAACGATATTGGTAAAGATGGTATTGTGATCGATTGTGGAAACCAAGATACCAACGTTATACCAATTGTTGGTGGAAAAGCAGTTTTAACAGAGTCTAAACGAGTTGATTGGGGTGGAGCACATGCAGTAGAATTTCTTTCGGATGTAATGACATTAAAATATCCTTATTTTCCAACAAAATTATCAGGTTATCAGTATAGAAAAATGTATGAAGATTATTGTTATACTTCCCAGAATTATAATGAGGATATTGATCATTACTTGACACTAGATAATCTAGCTGATAAAAATGTAGTAATTGAAGCTCCATTTACTGAAGTTCTACAACCACAAAAAACAGAAGAGGAATTAAGAATACAGGCTGAGAAGAGAAAGGAAACAGGTAAGAGATTACAAGAACAAGCTAAACAAAAGAGAATAGAAAAACTGATTCAAAAAACTGAAGAGTACGAATATTTTTCGAAGGTAAGAGAACAACTAGTTAATCAATCAAAAAAAGCTGTTCTCTCTATTTTACAAAATGCTGGGTTTGATGATGAACGTGATTTTAAAAAGTATATGTATAACCTAGAAAAATCTTTGAAAAAGGCACAAGCTATTGAGACTGATGGAGCAGATGATAATAATGATGAGGAAGAGCAAAAATTTAATCTCGTTGATATTCCAGATGCTGAATTGGATGAAGAACAAATTAAGGAAAAGAGAAAACAAAGATTTTTGAAAGCAAGTTTTGATGCAAGACAGAAAGCCAAAGAAGAAAAACTGAGACTTCAAAAAGAGGAAGAAGAATCTAGAAAGAGAGAAGAAGAGTGGAGACAAACAAATCTAAGCGGTTGGATTAAGGACAAGAGAAAAAAACTAGCTGTAGTTGTCAAAAAAAGGAAAGACAAAGTTAAACTAAAAGAAGATATGAAAGATCGTAAATCGCAAGCCTCTCAGAAAAGAATGAAAAATTTAGCAAACTTGGCAGAAGATACGCCACAGTCAGGGTCCAAGAGAAGCAGACAACAAGCAACAATCGACAATGATCCAAACGATACATTTGGTACTAATGATGATGATTGGGCTGTTTATAATGATGTTACACAAAATCCAGAAGCTTTGGATGAACTTATTGAGGAGGACTATCGTGAGATCCTTGATTTAGAAAGTCAACTACTTGAATTTGATCCAAATTTTACTGAAGAGGATACACTAGACGCCCAATACGATTGGAGGAATTCTGTCCTACACCTTTTTCTAAGAGGACCTGCACCTCATGACGGTGAAGATGTTCATGAACAACACCAAATGCATCTAAATATTGAAAGAATTAGGGTTCCTGAAATCCTTTTCCAACCTTCAATAGGTGGGCTAGATCAGGCTGGTATTACAGAATTATGCGAAACCATATTACTGCGAAAGTTTGATTCTAAACCAAGCAAATTGAGTCAGAGTGCCTTAAAAATGGTAAGCAATACCTGGTTGACAGGTGGTAATTCTAGAATACCTGGGACAAGAGAAAGGATCGTAAAGGAATTTACTCAATTTTTGCCTGTAAAAACATCAATATCAGTGCATCAGAGCACCAACCCAACTCTAGATGCGTGGAATGGTATGGTAAAAGTCGGAAATAATAAGGAATTGTTTGAGAAGACTTCAATTAGTAGGAAAGAATACGAAGAATTTGGTGCAGATTATATAAAAGAACATCAATTGGGAAATGTGAACTATTTCTGATCGTAGGTTTCATTTCTTATAAAAAATATGTAATACTAGAGTTATTTGATGTTGTGAATGTTTAATAGAGACTGTTATGATACTTTAATTTAGTAGAAAATGATTGAACATATATGCGTATATATTATGAATAGAATAATGTACAAAAGGTGCCGTAGCATAGAATTTTAAAATATGATTATTAACGAAATGCTATTATTTCTTTGGTGCACCGCTACTCTTTGGGTTCATACCTTTCTTTAATAAACTGTTCTTCTTGGATTTATTTATGTATTTTTCATCTTCTTCATTATCGAAGTTTGCGAAATCTTCATGAATAATACCTTCTTCCATAGCTTCTTCTCTGGCAAGAGCTTCCTTCTCCTTTGCGCTGGCTTGGTTGTCGTCATGTGGAGATGGACCGGTTTTTTGGAACTTAGCAACGAAGAAACCATCCACATTGTAAGTATGTGGGTAGTATCTTCTAGTTAGTTTCACACTTGGGTGGAAAGTTTTACCTCTAAAACTCGTAAAACCTTCCTTACCGATGGCAAGACCTGTCTCGACTAATTTGACGTTTGGTCTCTTTCTTAATGCATAATTGACAACAGCTTCGTCTTCTTCCACTGCAACCGAACAGGTAGAATATACAATAACACCACCATGCTTAGAATTGCAATCTACCGAATCAATAGCAGACAATAATAATTGCTTTTGTAAATGTGGGATTTGAATAAAATCCTTTTCGGTACGGGAAACTTTAACGGACTGATCCTTACCGATAACACCAGTACCAGAACAAGGAGCATCTAACAGAATTCTGTCGAAACCACCGATAACCTTTGGAAATTCACGAGCATCATAGTTACAAACAATAGTGTTGGTACAACCTAGACGATGAATGTTAGCAATAAGAGACTTTGTTCTGTTCTTATTTGCATCATTTGCAAAGACACAACCGGTGTTTTTCATTAATGCAGAAATATATGTAGTCTTACCACCTGGAGCAGCTGCCATATCTAAAATACGTTCATTTTCATGAGGATCTAAAGCAATAACTGGTAAGAAAGAAGATGCGGCTTGTAAAATATATTGACCAGCCAAGTATTCAGGAGTTGCACCAATTGGAACTTGGGAGTCAAAAATTTGTAAACCAACCTTGGTCCAGTTACCGATTGGTTGTAGATTAACACCTCTGTTAACTAGGGCTTGAGCTAAATCTCTTCTTCTGGTCTTTAAAGTGTTTGTTCTGATAGTAATAGGTCTAGCAATTTCATTTGCTTCGAAAAATTCAAGAGCTTCAGATGGGGAAAATAGGTTAAATAGTTTTTCAGCAAGGAATGGAGTATAACCAAAATATTCACATATATCCTTTAGAAGTCTATCCACATATTCAGTTCTTGATCTACCTTCAGCACCTAAGTTCTTGAAGTCCTCAAGAACTTTTACAATTTCGATAATTCTGGTTCTAACTGAAGTTAGGTCTTGTGGACCGCTAGCCATCATCTCTTCTTCTTCCTTAGAAGGTAAAACATCTGCTCTTGGTTGAGTTTGGTTGGCTTGAAGTAATTCTTGTTCGGCTTCTTCAGCCTCTTCAGCTTCTTCTTCATCAAGTTTTTTAGATAAGGATTCCATATTTGCAGCATTCAAATCTTCTAATTCATCTTCACCAAAATCTTCATCATCTGAAAACATAGATTTGACTTGAACGTTATCGTCCTCATCATTTTCATATTCTTGTTCCATATCAAACTCATCTTGTAGATCCTCATCGATTTCTTCCTCATCGTCAAACAAGGATTTCTTTGCTTTAGATAGTTCTTCTAAATCAACTTCTGGAAGGTCAGCTGGGAATTCTTGATTTTCTTCGTCGTCATCGTCATGGTGTTTCTTATGCTTCTTTGAAGAATGAGATTTTTCATGCTTGTGTTTACTATCTTTACGTTCACCTTTTTCTTCGTGATCATGATGTTTTTTGTGTTCACTACTAGAGGTCTTCTGCTTCTTACTAGATTTTTTATCGGTTATCTCACTGTTGGATCTCTTTGTTCTTTCTTCGATTCTCTTGGCCTTTCTATCTTGTTTAGCTTGGAACTCGTCGAAACTAGGTGGAGCGGCCTGCTTATTCTTATGACGTCTACTACCCATTATTTAACTTGCTGATACGATATTAGTATTCAATACTTCCTATTTATGATAGAATGTAAAAAAAAGACACATCTTCGATAGTCTTCCATTAGTAACCTTTGTTATATGCATTTTATATACTAGAGATGGCATCGGTAGAATGAAAAGGAAAAAGGCGATGAGATGAAAAATTTTCGGCCGTGAAACATGACGGTCTTTCCGTTAGCTCATCGAAAAATCTAAGGAAGGAAAAAAAAGATTTTATACTGATGATGCCAAACCTTTGGGTAGTATTAGAAGAAGCAACTTAAGGTAGATTGCTTTGGTGAGAGGCCTAGTTTTTCTTATTCATTACCATTAGATTGAATAACAGAGTTGTGTCACATTCTAATTTATTTTTTTCAAATAAGATGAGCACGCAGGGGATAGATCCACTAAAGAGTATAGCGTGTGATCAGCACGTAATTCTTACCTTACCATCTGAAAAATGTAAGATTGTCGAATTGAAGGCTAACACAGCGGTCTCCCTGGGTAAATTTGGTGCATTTAATGTGAACGATATTATAGGTTACCCTTTAGGTACTAAATTTGAAATCTTTTATGATGATGAAACTCAAGAAACTGTCGAACATGACAAAAATGTAAAGGATCCAAAAAAGAAAGATAGTAAAATCAATATAGGTAAGATTAGGGTTTCTAAGGATTTTGTGAAGAAGGATGAAAGTCTTGCCAACGTTGGTAATAGTGAAAATAATAAAGATTTGATCAATTTAGGCAATGATATTCAAAAGATGACAGCGGAAGATATTGAAGCCTTGAAGAAACAATCTACCTCTGGTAATGAAATCATTTCTAGGATTATTGAATCGCATGGTACATTCGATAAGAAGACAATTTACTCTCAAGAAAAATATTTAAAGAGGAAGAAACAAAAATTCGATAAACAATTTACTGTTAATTATTTGAGTAGTAATTTGTTATTGCAGTATTTAATAGATAAAAATGATATTCAAAGAATTATGGACATGTCTGAAGAATCGATAGGTATGTTATTGAACCTTGCAAATATAAGACCTAATGGTACTTATTTATGTATGGATGAAACTGGAGGTTTATTGATATACTTTATGTTAGAAAGAATGTTTGGTGGAGATGAAAATACTGGGAAAACTGGTAAAATTGTTGTTGTTCATGAGAATGAACACCCAAATTTGGATCTATTAAAATACTCCAATTATTCGGAGAAATTCATATCTGAACATGTTATTCCAATATCTATACTTGACTATTTTGAACCTAGAACAGTTGAAGAAGTTGAAGAAGAATTTAAACCATTGAGTAGGGAAGAAGTGTTTGCCTTGAAGAGTGGTGCCAAAAATACATATTTCAGAAAGCTAAAATGGCATAAGATTCATTTACAAGAAATTGATATTGCAACAAAATGGAGTTTTGATGGTCTTGTTGTAGCTACAACATTGCATTTACCAACATTACTACCTAAGTTAGGGGAAAGGGTGCATGGTTCAAGACCTATTGTTTGCTATAGTCAATTCAAAGAAATTTTACTTGAACTTTCTCATACCTTATATGATGATCTAAATTACTTGGCTCCAACAATCATTGAGACAAGATGTAGACCATATCAATCGATAAGAGGAAGATTACACCCTTTAATGACTATGAAAGGTGGTGGGGGCTATTTGATGTGGTGTCACAGAGTTATTCCTGCACCAGAACCTGAGGTAATACCGTTAGAAACTAAACCAACTGAAACAGAGGACGTGGAAATAGAGAAATAAAAAAAAATGTTTATATAAGGAGATAATTCCTACTAGCAAGCTTCATTGTATAATAATAATAATAAAAAAGAAAGAAGTACATAATATTTATTGGCATTATCTGAAATCTCGTTTTATTTTATTGTAAATTTAATTAAGAATATTTATAATATCGTTTCATTAGTTTGTGTAAGACAATCCATTGAGAAAATTCTTGTAGGTAGCGGAATAATCGGTGGGGGCAGTTTTATTATAACCAAAGACACATCTAGGTTTACTGTTAGAATCATATGTTACACCTGTTATCCAGTTAGATGGTACATTCTGTTGCACATATGTAACTTGACTTAAATCACCTAATTCATAAACAAATGATTCGATTAAATCAAATTTTATCCAAGTTTCTATTAAATTATGATAAAATTCTAAATTTCCTAATAATGCAAGTTTTGGTTCGTACATTCTTACAGATGATCTAACATCCTTAATAAACTCTGATGGAGGGATGTATGGTGGATTACAAGTTAAAATATTAATCTTTTGATTAGTTAGATTCTTGGATATAAATTCTTTTACTTTAATTTCATCTAATATATTAAACTTGTGGGTTTTAAATGAAATATTATAATCGTTCTTAAAATTTGATTTTTTATTAAAATTTAAATTAAAGTTTAATTTTGTTAAGTTGATTGCCATTTGCGAACAATCAATAGAATCAACTTGAAGTGAATTATTTTTAAATAATTTTTTTGTTTCATTAATTAATAATAATGGAATACATCCCGTACCTGAACATAAATCTACAATTTGCAAATTTTTTTTATCTTTTTTAACAAATGACTCCTTTATTGCATTTGCCAAATTCAACGACCATTCTTCAGTTTCCCATCTGGGTATCAGAACATGTCGTCTACATTGTATATCAAGTGAACCAAATGGTTGAGAACCTAAGATATATTGTAATGGAACATGTCTGTTGCGTTGTAAGCATGCTTTTTGTAAATTTATACTACTACCAAATTCATCAATTAGCCATTTCAATTCTTGTCTAGCTTGTTCAATAGTTCTGCATTCAGGTAGTAAAAGTGGTAAACATCTATGAATTAATGCTGCTTCTCGAAGCAAACTAGGAAGCAGCCTGGGACTCATATAACGAACTTTTCAACTAATTAAACAACAAATTTATCCAAAGATTCAACCATGTCTCTTCCATTGATAAAACAAGAAAACTGGTTGCCATCTTTCCTTTAAACTACAGGTTTAAGGAAAAGTACTCAGGATCTACTTAAACGATATTTCACTAAATATATCCAAACCCTAGGGTTCAGATGTTAGGGCACCTCGCTTTAGGGTTTAGTCTCGATCAATCACTTCGCACGAAGAGAAGAAAAAAGAAACGATAAAAAAATTTTTCGCAAAAAAGATTCTTTGAAATTCTTTGAAATTCTTTGAAAGTTTTGGGCGATGCGGTTGGACTAATTAATAATAATAATGTTATTGTAGTTATCGATTAGATGGGCACAGGTTCAACACACATATCAAAATTTATAATGGAATTTTTGTCGTTATTTCATATGATGATAAATTATTTTAAAGTTATGATTAATATTACTTAAACTCCATTGATTTGAAAGGTGGCAAAAAAATTTAAATATTTTTATTTTAGTCGTTACTATTACATTTATTTATACTTTTAAATATATATATATATATATATCCACAGATTGATAATAATTCCAGTTACAGAGTTTTTTTATTAACCGCAAACTTTTTCGTTTTCTTTTTAAGTTTTTTTGAACATTTATTAAAACCACATTTATTACAAGGTTTTTGTTTTCAAAAAAAAAAGAATAACTTTATAGATTTTTATTTTCATACCTATATTCCAAAGAGATATAATCGAAAACTTTTGTTAATTTAATATTTTTTAATTTTCATTATAGACTTTAAATCAAACTGAATTCATTCTTTAATAATACAAATAAACGAACAAAAATGGTTAAAGAAACTAAATTTTACGATATCCTAGGTGTCTCTGTCACTGCTACTGATGTTGAAATTAAGAAAGCTTATAGAAAGACTGCTTTGAAATATCATCCTGATAAAAATCCAAGTGAAGAAGCCTCTGAAAAATTTAAAGAAGCTACTACTGCATATGAAATTCTTTCAGATTCTGAAAAGAGATCTTTATATGATCAATTTGGTCAAGAAGGTTTAAGTAATGGTGGTGCCGGTGCTGGTGGTTTCGGTGGTTTCGGTGGTGGTTTCGGTGATGATATCTTTTCTCAATTCTTTGGTGGTGCTGGTGGTGCTGGCAGACCAAGAGGTCCACAAAGAGGTAGAGATATTAAACATGAAATTTCTGTTACATTAGAAGAATTATACAAAGGTAAAACATCTAAATTAGCTTTAAACAAACAAATTCTTTGTAAAACTTGTGAAGGTAGAGGTGGTGAAAAGGGTGCTGTAAAGAAATGTACCAGTTGTAATGGTCAAGGTGTTAAATTTGTCACTAGACAAATGGGTCCAATGATTCAAAGATTCCAAGCCGAGTGTGATGTTTGTCAAGGTACTGGTGATATTATTGATCCAAAGGGTCGTTGTAAGACTTGTAGTGGTAAAAAAATTGCTAATGAAAGAAAGATTTTACAAGTTCAAATTGAACCAGGTATGAGAGATGGTCAAAAGATTGTTTACAAAGGTGAAGCTGATCAAGCTCCAGATATTATTCCAGGTGATGTTGTATTTGTTATCAATGAAAAACAACATAAGAATTTCAAGAGAAGTGGTGATGATTTGGTTTATGAAGCTAGTATCGATCTTTTGACTGCTATTGCTGGTGGTGAATTTGCTCTAGAACATGTTTCTGGAGATTGGTTAAAGGTTGCCATTGTTCCTGGTGAAGTTATTTCACCAAACATGCGTAAAGTTATTGACGGCAAAGGTATGCCAATTCCAAAATATGGTGGTTACGGTAACTTGATTATTAACTTTACTATTAAATTCCCAGAAAATCATTTCACTAATGAAGAAAACTTAAAGAAACTAGAAGAAATTTTACCAGCTAGAAACCCATTACCAACTATTCCAAAGGATGCTGTTGTCGATGATTGTGTTCTATCTGAATTCGATCCATCTAAATATGCTAACAACCGTTCTGGTAGAGGTGGTCAAAGTTACGATTCTGATGATGAAGAACAACAACAAGGTGAAGGTGTTCAATGTGCTTCTCAATAGATACTTAAATGTCATTTTTGTCTTTTGTTTAGTATATATATTTTCTTTCACTTTTAAAAAACTTCAAAGGATCATATATATTGTTTTTCCTGTTTTTTATCTTTCTCATTAGGTTGTAATTTTCTTTTATTCCCAACTTCTTTTTGCATATTTTTTTCAAAGGTCAGTCACTATATCTATTCAACATAATTTAATCGTTACAATAATAATGTAGCGTTCAAGAAATAAAAGATTAATTTTTTCTTAATTTAATATATCTTCTTATATATGTATTTATATGTATAATGGTAAACAAGTGCATGGGTATATTTTAAAACTATTGTAGTTTGATTTTAACGATTATGGGGGAGATTGGTTTTGTTTACGTTTCAAATTTTTTTACATTTTGTAATATTCTAATTAGACAGCAAAAGCGTACAAATTAATTAATTACTTTATATTTTAGAATGTCAACAAAAAAACAAAAATGATCTTTTTAAACTAATAGAAGATATGACACCATACTATCTATGCATCAACTGTAATTTTCGATATATATATAAATATGTTTCTGGTTGATTCGGTATTTTATAAACAAATATTCGTAATTTAAAAAGGCCCTAATAAGGACCTACCATTACTTCTTTTTTTTTTAAATTTAAAGTATTATCTATAAAATATTAGTAATTATAAATATTATTACAAAATGCGTATATGAAAGTTTAGTGCTTCATATCTGTCTCTTGCGTAAAATTTAATAGAATATGATGCAAATGTTTTTATTTTATTTTATTTTTTTTGGGGGGGGGGTAAACTAAACTAAAATAATAATTTAGTAAACATGCTATGTGACACCACTGCTATCAATATACCAGGGAGGAAACCACAAATCACATTAGTGACTATTTTATAATTTTTCATTTTCAATCTCCTTCTCAGCTTTCAATTGCGCTTTCAATTCTTCTTTTAACATTCTTTTCTCTCTCCATTGCGTCCCATACATAATTGGGATAAAAGTTAACCCATTAGCTAAGAATAATAGTGCAATTAAGAAACTAAATGTACCACCTACAGTCATTGATTGTTTCATATCTGCAAAACAACCCATAAAGATGGAACTTAAAGAACATCTAACAAAATTAAAACAACTACTAGCTGTAGATGATTTCCCAGGATATAAATCAACCAGAAGAGTAGTCATTGTTGATAAAGTACTCATTGCACAATATGAACTAACAAATGATGTAATTAATGCAGCTGGAATTTTCCAACCTTTATCTATACTCCAGCCAAATAACAAGAAAGATATTACCGCTAAGAAATTTTGTGGTAAGACACATAATAAACGAACTTTAAAAGTATTAAATTTTGCATCTTGTGAAATTCTTCCTTCTGCTTTATCTTGTTCAAATTTTTTAACAGCTTTCTTATAATAATAATCGATGACTCTACCGGTTAAGAAAGATCCACATAATCCACCAATACCAGCTGGTAGATAACAAACACCAATAATTGGTAAACTATAATTATATGGAGCAGAACTTAAACCAGATGATATAGATGATAACATTAGAGTCCACATGGCAAACTGTAAACCAGCTGGGAATAATGCTAAGATAATTTCAGGTTGAGCTGTAATCTTAAGAGCTCCAATTAGATCTAAGGAAGGTACATTTTTATCCAAAGTTTCCAAATCTGGATTATCATATTTTAATCTTTTTTGTACTGATGATAAAAGAGTAATTGGAGCAATAGACCAAATACGTTTTGGTTTAATAGAAAGATTACCAACCAAAGTTCTTTTTGTTTCAGGCAAGCAAAGAAACCCGAAGATAAAAGAAGCACCACAACCAATCGCCAAGAAATAAAAGATTGCTCTCCAATCCCATCTAGCGGCAATAACGGCACCTAATAACGGACCAATCCCTTGTCCAATTAAGACAAACCCGGATGTTGCACCAACAAAAGTACCTCTTTCATGTTTTAATGTATAATCACCAACAACACCTGAACTAATTGCAATAGTTGGAGATATACCAATACTTTGAATAATTCTTAAGAAACAAATAACACCATAAGAAGGAGCATTAGCTAAACCAATCGATGCTACGACATATATAAGCATCCCACCTAATATAATGGGTCTACGCCCATAAACATCAGCTAATCCACCTGAAAAAGTTGGTGCAATACCTTGAAATAACAAATATACAACAACCGTAACATTAACTTTATCTTCATTTAAATTAAATTCCTTTTCTAATTGTTTTAAAGCAGGATAATAAATTGGTGATGCCAAGGAAGACCAAAACCCACACATAGTCAATATAGCAACCATACACCATTTTTGACTATAATTTAATAGAGTATAAGGCGGTGTATTTATACTCTGATTGCTATTATTTTCTTTAAAACTATCAATATCCAAACTATCACTAGAATCATTATCTTGAACCTCTCTTGTAGTCATACGAGATAAAGTACCATTTTGTTTTGAATAAATTTTTTCTAAACCCTTTGGATCTAAAGATATAACATCTTTATCCTCATCTTTATCCATATATTTTTTAGTATCGAATTCATCTATTGATGATCCAGTTTCATCTTCTGTATGCAGACTATATATATCCGCCATTAGGAAATATTTTTTATGATTAATTTACTTATCTGTTTTTAGTATTCTATTAATTTTAAAAAAACAGTTGAAGATAAGACTTTTAATATACAAGAAATGTAATAATCGTGCTTAAGAATGTTTTATAAAATCAAGTACATATATATATATATATATATACGTATAAATGTTTAAATGTCATGATAACCAAGTCAAATACACGAAAAATAAATAAAATAAAAAAAAATCCATTAAAGAAAGCTCAACTTCGAAAACCTTTCTCGAAGATTAATTAAATACACAGAGAAATCCAGTACAAAGGAAAACAAGTTCAGGAAAAGGTCCCTTCTTCAAGTTAAAATGATTCATCGGGAAAAACAGGAACTATGAAGAACGGAATATTGCGTGTTTTTTTAATTTCTTTCTTCTTTAGTGCATTCATCATTACTATGTATAATGTATGAATATATATATATATATTTTTGCCTAGTTAAACATGTTTATTATCGTAGATCTCTCTCTTCTCTTCTTTCAATGACCACTGCTACGTCGATAATTAGACAAAATTCATTAAATTGACAGGAACTCAACAGTAGGAAAGAAAAAAAGAAATGTCACAAAATTCTGCGGTTTGTTCCGGTCCTTCATGCAATTTTTTTTCTTAAGTAAAAGACCTGTACCGTCATCTCCCTGTTCTTTTCTTTTATTCTTCCTGTTTAAATAAAATTTATTATACGTTGCTAACAATCAGGTAGAGAAATTTTGCCTTCTACGTATTTATTCTTCCATTTGTTTTTGAGAAATTTCCCGGTTTCCGAAAGTTCCCGATGAAAAAAATGAAATAAACACTGTTCACCAAAATTCCGAATTGAAGAAGTTCCGACTGAAACGGCTCTGATAAAATAAATAAATAAATAAATAAAACAGAGCCGCCCAAGTTAGTCAATTTACAAAAGAATTGGCGAAAGATACGCACATACACACATATATTAAACAGTATCAATCAATTGGTGACTCTAGGAAGAGAATTTATAGACTATTCTTGCACTATTAAACACTATGTACATATATTTACAATTGTTAGGAGTTTCCGCTCTTCCGTAAGGAATATACATTGAGAAGATGAGAAATACTCCGAAACCAAAGAAATAAAGGTAAATATCCCTTATTTTTCTTCTTGATATGGATTATCGTTAACTGTACCGTTCTATCATGAAGATGCACTATATAAAAAATATGAGGTTTATCGGGACATATCGTACCAGCGATAAATACCTATATATTAAATTTAAGCATAAAAATGTCTGTCTATATACATATATATATTTAACGGCATTAAAGAATTGCAAGTGGATCGTTAAGAATGGTGGTGATACCATCAATTGAAAAGATATATGATACAAAGAAATAAAATAACAATATCATCATGACGATAACAACTATATAACGAAACAAACATTACTGGTTCTCTTCTAAACCTTTTGCACATTGATTACTACTCACACACACACATATATATAAATACATTTCTAATTAAATATCAGATTAACCAAAATATATAGACAATTCTAACGTAATTTATTTATCTTATTGAAAACTAACTTAAACCATAATAAATATCTTATTGTTACAGCCGCATTTATAATACTATATATAAAATATTAACTAGGTATTAAATTACAAAACCAGAACAAAATTTCTATGTAAAAATTTTCAACATAGAAATATCTGACAAAGCGAAAATGAGGGAAGGTGATAGCGCGTGAATATACTAAGAAAAAAAGTTGCATACTCTCCATTTTTTATGGGAGGACCAAATTCACATCGATATTTGAAATTTTTTATTCGATATATATATTTTTTTAACAATTTTTAACTGCGATGAGCAAACAAATTTCAGAAAATAATTTATCTGTAGACCATACAAGAGACACTCACAAAGGGATAACTTAATAATAAAGATACATTCAGTTTATATTTATTTGTTTTATTACTCGAACACCCCAAATCACACAGCAACACATCTTCCCATTAACATGTCGTCATTTTCAAATGTTACTGAATTACATGCAACTTCTGCAGTAAATGGTATACTTTCTAAAATTTTACCTGGTATGAAAGAAATTCAACCAAATAAAAACAATAATTTAATAAATAAACAGAAAAAGAACAAAGGTTCAAAAGCACAGTTAATTGATCATAATCTTAAAAAAATGATATCATTACAAAAGAGAGATATTTATAAAATTAAAAAAAAAGAAAAATTACAAAAAAAGAATGCTTTAAAAGAACGTCAAATTGATTATAATAAATTAGAGAAAAATGCTAAATTAAAAGTACTTCAAAAACATAAATTAGACGGGAAATTAACGGAAAAGGAAGCTGAATATTTAGATAAATTAACTAAAAAATCTATAAAAAATGCTAAATCATGGGATTTAGATGATGAAGAAAGAGAAGAATCACTTGAATTACAAGAATATATTCTAAAGAATAAATCAACAAATAAAAACCATGCAAGAAGTAATAAGAGAAGACAAAAAATTAAACAATTTAAAGAAGATATACAAGATAGCAATACTGTATCTGATCATAGATATGCTGGTTTGACTCCTGGTTTAGCCCCTGTGGGATTAAGTGATGAAGAAGAATCATCAAGCGAAGAAGAACAAGAAAATGATGACTGGTAGTTCTTTCTTCCTTTTTATTTTAAAATATCATTTCTGCATTTAATCATAAACAACTTTTATATAGCATATAATAACTTTTAAAAAAATAATAATTAAACTTAAGTTTCAATTCACAAATATCGTAGACATTATTAAAAAATCAATTAAATCTTTTTATTGAATTATTTTCTAATAACAATTAATAATAATATATACATATATACAACGTATTGGTTATATTTTTCCAATAGAGTTTGAATTTACTCAAATGGAACTTGACCTAATTCAAAATATAGTTGTCTTGTATCAATACATTGCTTACGAACAATTCTCTTTTTATCTGATAAAGTTAACAATAATCCATTAATGACTTGTTCCTTATATGGTTTCAAATAGTTTAATGGAACACTATTCGCCAATAAACCTATCAATTGTAATGACATCAACCTTACTGAGACATTATTATATTTAGAACCTGGTATTACTAATTTTAATAAAATTGGTAACAGAGTATCAATATTTTCTGTTATTAGTAATCCAAATTTTTCAGTTGTATCCTTTAAAGTATCTAAGGCTGAAATTCTAACTTCTGAATTAGGCATTTCTAAAGCTTGTAATAACATTGGGAGTAAATCATTCATGAATTGCTCCACTAATTTGTTTGGAGTATGTTTTAAGATCAAAGATAATGCAGTTAAATAGTTACATTTAATATCCAATGATAAACCAGGTTCATTATAGGAAGTAACAAGACTTTGAAATACATCATTGAAGAATTTTTGCTTGTATAGTAATTTAACATTATTAGTCCAAGTTATACCCTTATGTTTTGTCAAGGAACTAATATCCATAACGAACAATTCAAATAATTTAGATACAACTAAACCAATCTTTTCATCCTTTAATAAACTTAAGAAATGAGACAATATTATATTTGAATGTGATGAATTTTTCATAATTAGGCCTTTCCCAATCCATGCAATCATCTCCAAATTCATAGTAGATTGGTCTTCCCAATTAACATATTTTTCAATAATCATAGTCTCTTGTTCATCATTAAACCATTTATTTGTCATTACTGTTACTAACTCCATATAACCAATCTTTTGTAAATTAGACATACCGTTCGTTTGACTGTTATGAATTAAAGATGCAATTTTTTCCATAATATCGGATGCTCTTGGAAAGTCACATACTTTATCAATTGCTGATAATATCTTAACATATGGTACAACCAAAACATTTGGTGCTTCCAATATCTTATGATCATCAACGAATATTTTTGTATACTTAGTTAATTCGAGTTCATGGTTTTCTCTTTTATATTTCACATTAAGGAAATATAAAACATTAGACAACAATGATAAATTTTGACCATCCAGTAATATAGAATTTTCTTTTTTCTTATCATTTAGAATAGTAAATATCGATGATTCAGTTTGACTCTTAATATCTCCGATAGTAATATCATCAAGCATGGGATAATTATTTTCAAATAAAGAATAAATAGTAGATAATAGCAAAAAACAGTAATCAACGGCTTCATTATCACCAGTTGCATAAATTTCAACTAATTTTTGAGTTAAAGTTACGATACTTTCTTTGATAAGGATATGTCTTGAAGTAGTAAAATCTAGAATCACTTTAAGAATCACTTCAATTTGAATAATTTCATCTTCTTTATGGTATAGAATAAAATCATTAAATTTATTTGGTAATAAATTCAATAACTCCTTTAAGGAGACATCATAGACTAAACTTTCATGTGTTTGACTAATTACTTTTAAACCTTCCAGACATGCACAATAAATATTTTTATTGTTATCTGTTAGGATAGTCTCTGTAATATATTGAATAATCAATGAAATTTCTTCTTTAGTTAAATAACCTTCCATCTTAACCATTTTTGTAAATTGAATAACTGATAATGTTCTTACGGTGACTTCAATTTTTGAATTACCTGTTAAAGCCATCCCAAGGATCATTAAAATTTCATCCTTTGAATCATTTAAATGATTTAATTTAATAAATTCATTTAATTTTATTTCATTATCACTTAAATGTTTTGTAATTTTAATATAAGAGTCTAAAAAAAACGATAAATTTAATAACATTAATTTTAATTTTGAAATTTCTGTTGTATTTTCTAAAAATAAAGGTAACGTTAAATCAATAACTTTATTAAATGCGATTAAATTAGCGCTACCAATAGCTGCCATAATACTACAACTTTGTCTTAAATCTTTAGTAAATTCAAAATTTGGCTTCAATTCTTCTAAGATATGATTAACATATTTATTAAATGCGGTTTCATCTAATAAAACCAATTGATCTGCTAAAGCTCTCAATACATCTAATGATAATTGATAATTACTTTGAATATTTGACACTGGTGCACTACTATTATTACTATTATCATTTTGTGCAATTGGATCTAAATAAGTAGCCTCTGAACCATCTCCACTATGTATAATTTCGAATTTTAATGCATTCCACATTTGTAACCAAAATTCAATACATGCTTTACCACCAAACTTATTAATACATTCCAATAAAGTTAATAAAGTATCATTTTTAATAGCGGGAGAAGTAGCACCTAATTTATCAATTAAATTACTAAAAGCATCTTCAGCAAAGATATCAGACGCAGAAATTGCAGATCTTAATGCAAGTTTTAAATCCAAATTTGAAATTTTATATGGATCATCCTTTGGTGGTTTAAAAGTAATTGGGAAATAAGAAAATAAAATGTCAAATAAAGCTTGAGAAAATTGAATTGATTCTAATTTAAAATTAATTGTAATAATTTTATTCAATTGAAATGAAATCAATAAATTTCTTGGATCCTTTTCACCTGATGCAATAACAATATAAGTCTTAATAAATAAAATAATGAAATTTTTATAATTTTTGTTATTTTCATCATCTTCATTTAAAATCATTTTCCATCTTTCATAAATATTTTTTAAGATTGAAAATGGATAATTTCTAACGGCGGCTAAAAAATCTTTTGAAATATAATTTTTTTCTAAAAATGATAAAACTGTTACAGTTTGATCAATTGTAATATATTTCATTGTCATCAGGGCATCTAAACCCATTAATACTTCTTTCATTAATGGTAAATCTGTAATTTTTGACATATAAAAATTAATTAATACAGTAATATCATTTTTTAATAATAATTGTGGTTCAACATTACATAAAATTGATGATAAACATTTTAATGCTTTAATTCTTTCCTTTTCATCATCTGATATAAATCTTTCCTTTAATGTTAAAATAATTTGTAATAATTTAATTTTTTTATTTTGAATTAAATCTGTTAATTTAACTGCAATTTCATTAGATTTTTCATCATTAACATTAACATTTGCAATGAATGAAACAACCAGTTCATCAACTTCAGACATCTATAATAGTATAATAATATTCAAAACAAACAAACAGAACTATATGTATATGTATATATATATAGTCCGATAAACTTAATGTAGTGAAATTAATTATTGTTAAAGGATACACAATAAAGATACTAGTTATGTACTTCAATACCTTGAAAGAGACTAATCAATTTATCTACTTATATTCTTCCATGTACACGCATATACAATTATATATATATGTATATATATATATGTGTATGTAGTCATAGACTTTACGCTAAGAGAAAGTAATTATGTATTGCTGATTATTAATCAAAATACTACACCCCAAGAGGTCATCACCACAATTTTGCTTTAATTTTTCATCGGACAGTGCAATATAATTAATTGTAAATATTTCAAATTGCACCAAAGAAAAACACACATAACTAAGCAAGATTAAACCTAACCCGATGGACGCTAGGGCTGACTTAAATAGCCCTAACATGTAACAGAGCGTAAGGGGTACCATGCGACATAGTTAACGCAGCTTAGGGCAAGAAGGGACATATTCATCTAAATGTGTGTATTTTAAGTATATTATTGCAGGTTTAGATATCAAAGAACATAGAATATATATATTCCATCTTTCTTCGTCATTATAGTAATGAAAGACGTTCATTTTAAATCCATTTATACTCATGGAGGGAATAGATAGATAGATAGATAGATATATACATATTGCAGAGATGAAGAAGCATCGACCAGAATAAAATATGTGAGAAATAGACTTTACTTTCAATTCACTATATGCACGAGCTGTGTGTATAAGAAATACATTATTTAAACTGAATGATCTAGGGGTCCCCTGTGACACCTGCGCACAATCTTTCGTCTTCGCATTATTGCAAGGAGAAGGAGAAGAACATCAAATTTTTTTTTGAGCGAATGAAAAATGATTTTTTGCGGTAAAAAATCGTAATTTCATTGCAACGAAACATTACGCTGCAGTATAATGGCTGTACAAGATGTTTAAGCAGTCAAACCGAAAAATACTAAATTAATTAATCTTTTTTGTAAACAAAGCGGAAGCAACAGCAACACTAACAACAGTAGAAGCAAGAAATTCTTTTGTGAGTGAGAATTTCATCGTAAATTATACTTCTAATATTTATTTATTTATTTTTTTTCAACATTGCAACGGGAAAGGTAAACAAACATTTGAGATCAGGAAAACAAAAGAGAGAGAGAGAAAGAGAAAGAGGGAAAGAAATCATAACAAACTAATTATATTCAAATTTTAAACTATAATAATTTTATAAGTTTTGTTTTGTTTTGTTTTGTTATTGTGATGATGACGATTCTAAAGATCAATAAATAAATAAGTCAAAGTAATTATCAATAATAAAGGACTATCAATATTGGATAACTTTAACCAAATACTGAATTATCCAGAAGGACAAAAAATATAAGCTATACAAAACTAAAATTTCTGTTTTATCTTTTGAAGAAAGAAAGAAAGAGTAAGATATAGTTTAAAATTTAACAAAGTGGTATCGTTATAGTACTCTTTTTTTATTTTATTTGTTATTTGAGGAGATAATTTTAATAATAATAATATTATTAAATTACCCCAGATAAATAAAAGTAAACAACGATAAAAAGATAGAGGGATTATATTAAGTGTTCGTTACACTCGTCATAGATATAGAAAGTTGTAGATACACCCTTTTTTTATTTCACATTTTTATTATAACTAAAGTACTTCCTTTTTCTTTTTTGTTTTTGTTTCATTAAAAATCATTTTCACACACACACACACATACACATATACATACATCCTCATGTCAACATACAATTATATTTATCAAAATCCTCATACTCCACAAGAATATCAAAGTTCAATAAATACAATAATATCTTTATTGGTTGAACCTGAACAACCAACTACTGTAATGAAAACTTATGCAAATGATAAAAATTTAGCAAGTGAAGTTCAAGCTTATGCAAAATTAGCAGGTAGAGATTGGACATTCTATGTTAAAAACTTAAGTATTATTATTGGAAGAAATACAGATAATGTTTTAAATAATAGTGGTAATAATAACAATAATCAAATATTAGAACCTGATTCAAATGTTGATATTGATTTAGGTCCAGGTAAAGTTGTATCAAGAAAACATGCAACAATAATATTTAATACAGAAAAAGGTGGTTGGGAATTACATGTCCTTGGTAGAAATGGTGCAAAAGTTAATTTTGAAAGAGTTCATACAGGTCAAGATTATCCACCTGTAAAATTATCATCAGGTACTATATTAGATATTGGTGGAACTCAAATGATGTTTATATTACCAGATACTGAACCAATTATATCCGATTCAACTTTTGAAGCATTAATACCAAGACTATTAAGTGTTCTAGGTAACTCCGGACAAAGTAATAATCAATTATTAAATGAAATTATTAGAAATTCTATATATGTTAGAACACAACAACAACAATTACAAGAAGTACAACGTGAACAAAGAGCAACAAATGCAATGAATCAAACACGAACTTTTAAAATGTATGGTAATAGTTCAAACTTACCATATCCAAATGGAACACAATTTATTCATCAAAATTTACCAACTCATTCAAATGGTAATGGATTTCCAAATGGATTAGATAGTTCATCAACAAATTTGATAAATAATGATTTTAAAAATCATAGTAAATCATCATCTTCTGCATCAGGCTCATCAACATCATCAAGATTTCATAATTCTTTATCAATAAATGGATTTCCTCATGCTATTGATTTTGCATCAGATTTATCAAGAGATGAAAATAAAACAGTTAAACCACCACATTCTTATGCAACAATGATTACTCAAGCAATTTTATCAAGTAAAGAAGGTATTATTTCATTAGCTGATATTTATAAATTTATTGCATCAAATTACGCATATTATAGATTTGCTAAAACTGGATGGCAAAATTCAATTAGACATAATTTATCCTTAAATAAAGCATTTGAAAAAGTACCAAGACGTCCAAATGAACCTGGTAAAGGTATGAAATGGAGAATTAGTGAGGCTTTTCAAAAAGATTTTATAGAGAAATGGAATAGTGGTAATTTATCAAAGATTAAACGTGGTTCATCCGTTATTAGACAGTTACAATTACATATGTCAAAATATAACAGTTTACCAATTCAAAGATATCCAGAACAAAACTCTAATAACTATCAACCAGAAGAGACTAATAATGATATTATGAAGAAAAATAAATCTATCACACAATCTAATAACAGTAATAATAAGACTAATAATGTTGATTTCCAATTACCGAATTTACCAAAAAATTCTAATCAATCACAAATTCCACCACCACAGATGATAAATACTACTGATAACAATGGTATGGATAATTTACCAATCATAGGAGATAAAATTAAAATTAATCAACAAAATTCTAAAAATTTACCTATTCAAGGGATGAATTATCAAAATGTTTTCCAAAACGAAAGTAACAAGGATAATTTTAATAACGACATAAAATCTCACTTAGAAAGCTCAAATAGAGGATTAAACAGATCAAACAACCAAAATAATAATATACATTTCAATCCTAGTAACAATGCCTTAGTGTCATTTAATAACGCATCTTATGGTTCTTCATCTAGCGGACCATCATCGACGAATAACTCAAATACAACAGCTACAACAGTATCGTCTTTAAATAGTATGGATGTTAAAAAAGAAACTAAAATTGATAATATGGATAATAATGAAATTATTTTACCTAACATACGAGCATCTCTTTATCAAAACACAATGTTGCCAGCTAATCAGATTAACCTTTCAAATTCTACGGCACCTGCATTGAATACTAATGGCTCAAATACATATGATTCTATATTGAGATCTCCTTCCAAATCATTTCATATTACTGCAATGGAAGCTTACACGCCCGAGAGAGGTAGCACGATACAGAGTAACAAGTCGCCAAAACAAGAAACTGCGAGCAATCCCAACGTAAAACCAGATATGGATACGCTTAGCATTAAGAATTTGAATCCAAGATTTACACCATCTACAGCCAAGTCTCAAGGTCATGTAAAAAGTTCCCCAGGTGTTTTGAATTTATTACAATTTAGCTCCGTTAATAATACACCAAAACTTGATACATTGAATGGTAACGGCACCGGAGAGAGAAATAGAATGGGTAACCCTACAGATAATGATAACGATTCTGCCAAAGAGTTAGTATCCTCTCCAATAAAGAGACCGGATATGTCAACGGACGCGAAAGGTTCAAATATTAACAAGGATTTAATTTTAGATACTGAAAATGCTAAAGTAACCATTGTTAACGAATAATATTTTCAAAAACGAAATTAACGGTCTACATCCTTCATCTTCAATTATTATTACTGCTCCCATGTGCATTTTTTCACAATACATATTTTTTTAAATAATTATAGAACATAACAATAGGTATATATATATATATATATATAAATGATATCAATAACAGAGATGATAACTTTAGCATATTAAGCTTTTGATTTGCTCGGACTTTTCATTCCGAACGGAACATATTTTTTAGACTTGCTACACCCATACCTTTTTTGTAAGTCATAAACATTTTTTATTTTCAAAATTATTTTTCAAAATTTTCATATTTTTTTTCGTGAAAAATTTCACAACAATTGCCGTGATCTTCCGATAGAAAAATATCTTGGGCTGTCTAGTGGAACTGGAAGTATTTTCAAAATTTAACTGGAAGGTGTGTGTGTTAGACAGAGGAACTTTGATCCTAGGGAGGGAGCTTCGCCTAAGCCTTGGTAGTTTACTTAGCAGAACTCTTACTCTTGTGGGATCACTCTCATTGGGATGGTAATAACACCGTAGTTAATTCTTTTGGCATCACTAATCCTGGAAGGTTATTCACAATCTGGAAAACATTCGAATTTACTATGGCTACGATTCCTGAAATGTTTGAACTGTAGTACTGTAATAATGTGGATACCGTCTGGGAGCTTTACCTTCACTCTACCATAGTTCTCATCGTTGTACACTGTTCTACTTGGTATACTCTATTGTAGTCTCGGGTTAGGATTGCAGGTCCCATCAATATTCTACTCTGTGGAAGATGTATTATGGCATATAGTAATCGTAACTGTTAAAAGTGTATATATATATATATAAATTTGGAATAGTGTTTAATTAGAGGTTGGAACTTTCAATATAAGATATAACCAAGCAGTAAAGATGTCTACTTTCGAAAAAGTTGTTGTCGTTGATGGTATGTTAAGAAATGAATTTGTCAAGAAGAGATAAGATACATCATGTTACAAATGAAATAATCGTTCGAATCGAATAACCAGATTAATTATATGAGCAAGGAACATATTATACAAAGTAATGATTAGAATGATCAAAATAAAGACATAGATGTCGACTTATAAATATATTATGAAGAATGCATAGAATACTAACATGAATTTTTTTTATTTGTTTGATATTTCAATAATCACATTTTTCTAGAAATATAATCCGTACCTGAATTAAATTGTATTATTTAATCGATTTAACAGTTATGAAATCTTATTATAGGAAAAAAGGTTTAATGAAAATAAAGTTATGAAACAATAAAATCTACAATTTTTTTATAGGTAAGGGCCATCTACTAGGTCGTCTAGCCTCCATTGTTGCTAAGCAACTATTGAACGGTCAAAAGGTCGTCGTTGTCAGAGCTGAATCCCTAAACGTCTCTGGTGAATTTTTCAGAAACAAGTTAAAGTACCACGATTACTTGAGAAAGGCCACCGCATACAACAAGACTCACGGTCCATTCCATTTCAGAGCCCCATCTAGAATCTTCTACAAGGCTGTTAGAGGTATGATCCAACACAAGACTGCCCGTGGTAAGGCTGCTCTAGAAAGATTAAAGGTCTTCGAAGGTATCCCACCACCATATGACAAGAAGAAGAGAGTTGTCGTTCCAAACGCTCTAAGAGTTCTAAGATTGAAGCCAGGTAGAAAGTACACCACTCTATCCAAACTATCTTCTGCTGTCGGTTGGAAATACGAAGACGTCGTTGCTAAGCTTGAAGCTAAGAGAAAGGTTAGCTCTGCTGAATACTACGCTAAGAAGAGAGCTTTCAACAAGAAGGTTGCCGCTGCCTCTGCCGCCACTTCTGAATCTGACGTTGCTAAGCAACTAGCTGCCCTAGGTTACTAAGTAATATTTCTTTAAATTCGAATATTTTTAGTCTATTATATATCATTTAATTAATTATTATTTTTATATGTCTTAATTGTCGATTCCAAACGGATAATTGTACTTGTCGTTATTATAAATGATATTATATTATCGCTTGATATTTGGTATATACTGATAGATATTTATATATATGTGTAGATAATATAGATGTAGTATATGTACATGTAAGTGGTGCCAATGTTTTTTTATGCGTCTTTGGTTTTAAAATATTAGCATTACGCTATAATTATACACTTGGCAAAGGAGATAGCAAATTCAATAGATTTGGCTTATTTGCAGTTTGAGTCCAACCTAGATATAGTACAAATGGAATCCAACCGTAGTGGGCAGCTGTGTGAGTTAAGTTGAAGAATTTGGTTAGACGTTCCTTTGATTCGTCACTTAGAATGAAAGATGGAAGATAAGACATGTTCTTGAATAATTTTGAAGTTGTTGAGGATAACGGTTATAGGTTTTTCCTTTTATCGAGTATCTTTACTTAATTAATCTGTCAATTAGTGTAACAATCTAATCTGCCCTTTTCTTTATATTTATTATTATTCTTCTTGTCAGAGAATCTCCTAAAAATTGTGAAAGCGAAGCCGTGAATCACCCGTTAATAAATAGAAGGACGATTTGAAGGAGAATAAGCGCTTCGTAAAAGACGACTAAACGTAATGAACAACTGTAACCAGGTTTATTAGACATAACCTGAAGTACAATGTAATACATGACGGCTACCTCTGGTTACATTTATACGTTAATCAAAGTAATAACTTCTTACGAATATTAGAGACATATACATTGATATATATGATTAAACAGATATGTGTACGCATTTATATAACATGGGGAACTTTTCTTTTTGGAAGAGGATATAAAAAATATCATAGCAATAGCTCTAGTGGGTTTTCAATAACTTGTTTCAATTCCTTCATAAAATCACCCCCTTTAGCACCATCTATGGTTCTATGATCGAATGTCCCAGTGATGGTGACTTGATCATCAAATGAGAAGCCGTGCTCAGCAGTGGCGTCTGGGATAGCAACTTTCTTAATGGTAGCAATTGCTAAAATGGTTGACTGTGGTAAGTTGATAATTGAAGTGAACATAGATACGGCAGAATTCATACCTAGATTAGATATACATATGGTACCACCTTGGAATTCTTCAGGGGCTAGTTTATTAATCTTTGCACGTTTAGCTAATTCTTTAACTTCATTAGAAATCTCAACCAACCCTTTGGATTCCGCATTCTTTACGATTGGAGTTAGTAGACCTGTTGGAGTAGCAACCGCAACTGAAACATCAACATTCTTAAATTTTCTTATAACCTTTTCGTTGGCTAACCAGTACGAGTTGGCATCTGGAACCCTTTTGGCTGCGACAGTAATGGCTTTAATCAGGATATCATTGATGGATATCTTATACTTCTCTTGGGCAGTTGCATTTAGAGATTGTCTTAATTTCAACAGCTTAGAAACAGAGATATCAGATGAAACAATATATGAAGGGGTTGTATTTGTTGATTGTAGTAGACGATCTGCAATAATTTGTCTCATTGTAGTAATTGGAACATCTTCATAAGAGGCTGCAGCTGATACGGATGGAGTTGGGACAGGTGTTGGAGCTGCTTGTGTGACGGTAGCACCAGTAGATGATGAGGTAGCAGAAGATGATTCTTGTTGCGTTTCCAAGAATTTTTCGATATCGTTCTTGATAATTCTTCCATTTGGACCAGTACCTGTAACGTTCTTTAAAGCAATACCATGTTCCAAAGCTAATGTTTTTGCCAATGGGGAAGCGAAAACTCTACCTGCATGAGATACGGTGGAAGTAGAGACATCCTTCTTTGAAGAACCTGAATCAGGTTTGGCCACCTTTGGAGAAGTCTCAGGAGCAGATTTAGTTGCTGGTCCTGATTCTTCCTTAACAGATTCTGATGCTGGAGTAGACTTAGAATCCTTGACAGTGAAGTCTTTGAATGCTGGAACATCAGCCGCATCCTCGACATAAACAGCAATTGGCTTGTTTACAGGGATATCCTTGGTTCCTTCCGGTACAAGGATCTTAGCCAAGTAACCATCATCCTGAAATTCAAAATCCATTTGAGCCTTATCTGTTTCGATTTCAGCAATAACCTCACCGGGGGCCAATTGATCACCTATTTTCTTAGTCCAGGCAGCAAGATTACCTTGAGACATTGTGGGTGACAAAGCAGGCATTCCAATAATGGTATGTGGAGGATATGAAGATGCATAACCTCTCAATTGCAATCTCAATTGACTAGTAACTAAAGATGTTCTAGTGAAACGGGGAACTGTTCTTAATAACGCCGACATTTTATAATATGTGGAGTTTAATAGTTTCTGAATTTGAACAAGTAAGTTGGGAGCAGAAACTGTGTATATACTTTTAATTGTATATAGATATACGGACCACCAAACAGATACATCAAGAATTATCAATTCAACAAAATTGTAATTATTTCTCTTAGAACTCTGGATTCATCTTATAATTGTGGTTTGTTGCTACATCTGTGATCGGTGAAAGAAGGGGTGACAAACAACTTTGTCTGCCCGGTCTCTCTAAACCTCGGTATTTCCCTTGTGATTTGAAAAATTTCGATTTGTTAGCATTTAACGCATTTACAGGGCTGGCTGGCGCTTTGGTTGATTAAATCAGACATATAAATATATATACCTTTGTACATATAGAGAATAAGAAACGACGTACAGAAATTCCGTGTGATTTACAATTTCCAAATTAGTAAAGCCATCTTTGAATTCTCTTTTTGCGTAGTGGAAAGTGTAAGTAATTTTAAACTAAGTTCTTATGCATGATACCAGGAATCCAAGGTAATAAGTTTGTCCGCTTGCTGTACGGTTGCAATATTGTCACTGTTATTGGAATAATCCCATGTAAGCATCGCCTTGTTCTTTTTGTCAACTAAATCCTCTTCCCACTCCAATTGAATTCCCGTACCATCATCTGCAGCTTTGTCCAGTAAGGTTTGACATGTCTGCCATGAGAATCTTACAATATCTGTTGGCCATCCGAATAATGGTTGTTGGGAATCTCTTAGCCAGGTTTTCGTCCTAGGATCAGAGGGATAACCTGAACCCATTCGAGTGCTATTTTGGGGATGATTTTGTTCCAAATGCTCAACTAGTAAATCTCTTGTAACTTTCGCTACAACACTCGCTACACTAACTACACAATACAGAGAATCAGCTTTTTTGGCAACAGTAAATTTAATCCCAGGAAACCTATTCTCCAATTTAAGTTGGTAAGTATGTGGTGGGCCCACTGTATCTATATATATATGCGATAAATGAACATTCTGATCTAGGACTCCCTGAATTAAAGCCATTGTAGTATCATGAGCTTGTTCATTCAAATTGTACTGTTGAGTTGGCGGGAACCTTGACATTCCCGATGATATATCACAAGGTGTAATGCATGTAGTTGCATAACCGACAGCATCAATATCTTTGGAGTCGTACATCAATTTAAACAACTGGCGACGTACGGGATCTGTCAATTTCTTCGAGTCATCGAAATCGTAGTTCGGTATCAATGTCTCATCTTGATACGCACGTGTACAATAAGCCACAGCATATACCATGGGACCAATAACAGGACCTCTACCAGCTTCATCGATCCCCATTATGATTTCTTCCTTTTGAGAATCTGCATCGCTGATAGCTTCTGGTACTGGTGAGAAGTATGATTGTGTATGCAATTTATCAAGAGACGCCACAACAGTAGGCGGTTGGTTCATTTCTGTCATCATTACTATTCTCTATAGTTGATTTATTCGACTGATCTATCTCTTTATAACTATTTTGTTTATATCGCTATACTCAATTATAATCATCAAGAAACGCCAAATACATCACTAAAAAATAAGTACGACAATATTTTCGCGTAGTTTAGTATCTTACTTTCTTTTTCCCATGATCTCTATGTTGAAGTTCCGTACTATAATAAATATACAAACAGAAAAAGCCAAAACAAAAGGCTCACTTCGAATGGTATGAATTAAAATGCATTTTATATTTACAAGTGAATATATATATATATATATATATATGTGCGTGTGTTACAATCATTGTATATTTACATCATCAAGGGATCCAAATGATAGAACTTGTTCGATTCTTGATTTGTCAAGCAATAGCATGCACAATCTATCAATTCCAAGTCCCAACCCACCCGTTGGAGGCATCCCTGACTTCATAGCCTCTACATACTCGTAGTCTACCTCTAGAGACTCCTTATCATTGTTCTTAAAATCATGTTGTTGTTTAAATTTTTGTAATTGTAATTGTGGACAATTTTCTTCCTCATAAGCGTTGATATATTCTTTACCATTAATAAATACTTCAAATCTTTGACTTACTTTATTATCCAAAGAATTAATTTTTGCCAATGGCGACATCACTGTTGGATGATGCATAATGATGGTTGGTAATAAAGTTTGACAATATCTCGATTCAATATATTTCCCACATAATTTATCTAGAATTCGTTGTGGTGAAAGATGCAAATCAGGCTCTTGAAGTTCAATTGAGTTAAATATCTCTTGTTTCACTTCGAATGGTATAATATCCATTAAAGGTTGAGTTCGTGAAAGATCTATCTTATTGAAATCAACACCCATTTCCTTCGATAAAGTTGGTAAAAATTCTATTTTCTTAAATTTCCAATCATTATCTTGTAATTGTTGATACAACTGGTAAATAGTTTCATTATTGTTATGAGACAATGAAATTTCTGGATTAATCATCCCTTTTAAAACAAATTTAAACATATCTTGAGCCAATAATATTAATTGATCCATTGATAAATAACGTTGATATAATTCCAACATTGTAAATTCTGGATTATGGGTAGCATCTACACTTTCATTACGAAAAACTTTCCCAATTTCAAAAATTTTATCAAATCCACCTATTATCAATCTTTTTAACCATAATTCGGGTGCAATACGTAATTGTAAATTTGAATCACTAAAATTTAATTTAGTTATAAATGGTAAAGCACTAGCACCATTAGCCTTTTCTGATAAAATTGGTGTTTCAACTTCAATAAATTGTTTAGTTAATAAAAATTTACGAATTAAATTAATCAATTGAGATCTTTTCATTATTGTTGTTATTCCATTTACTTGATAATCTAATACTCTATTCTTATTAATCTTAACATTATCTTGTAATGCATTAGGCAAAGATACTTGAATGGGACTTAATATGATTGGCAATCTAATACATTTCAATGAAACTGTCCTTTGAATATTTTCTGATACACCGGGATTACCAATCACTTGAATATAATCATTTTTCTTTAAGAAAGATATAGTTTCAATGAATTCATTAGAACTAATTTTTTTATTTGTATCATTACAATCCATATTCAATTTATTAAAATTAATAATAATTTGTAATGATTTATTAGTTTGAGTATCAATTAAATCAATGAAACACATTTTTTTCCCTGCAATTCTAACATTTTTAATTCTACCATTAATCTTTAATAAAATATCAGATTCATCATGATCTAATTTGTTATTAACATATGTATCAATGAATTGTTCAATTGTATAATTAGTAATAGAATTTATTTCTTTTAAAGAATTGTTCAATAAAGACATTGATGGATAATATTTATTTAGGTCATTTTCAATGATTGTAACTCTCTCCTGTGTTTGTAATTTCTTTGTATTTATTTTCAAAATATTGCTATTGTTAATATGTTGATTAACAACAACATTATTATGAAATTTGCAATTTAAAATCAATCGCCGACTAACCTTTAACCTATTCCAAACATTACATCTCCTTGATACCAGCAGCATTATCACCAAAACTACCAAAACAAACAATGACCTACGCCCACAAAATTTTCCTTTTTTCTTATATGTAGCCTTCCTTTTCCTCTTATATAACCAAAACTACTTTTAATGCAGTTAACTTAAGGAAAACCCTTTATACTGCTGCCATTGCTGATCACTATGCACTAAATATCTGTTAATATACTGAGAGTAAATATTCCCTCGCAAACCCTAATATACAAACCCTAACAGCCAGCGGCCCTAACACCCAAACCCTCGAATTTCCCACGCAAAAAGAAAACCAAAAAAGCACAATCTCGGTGAAATCCCACGCGTCTCTAACCAATCCCACGCGTTACTGCGCACAGCCATTTACAGAATTTCAAACTTTCTCTCTAAAACAACCGCAGAATATTTCTTGTCTCAATGTATGTTAGTTGGTTAAATAACAAACCCACGTTAAGACACATGGATAGGGACTACAGACAGACAAACGCACGTACAAAAAAGATTAAGAAAGCCGCTAAAGAAAAAATAAAATTCGCTCATTTAACGTTTTCTGTTTGACGTTTCCACCGTGGCAGGCTGGCACGGTACTAAATGTTTTCTTAGACAGACAGAAAATGTGTGTAGACAGCGAAATAATGATTGATGATGATTAAAGATGGCACAGTCAAAAGAGAATTAAACTAAATTATGCCAGGTTCGAACAGATAGAAAGACTTACCACAGTGTAATTCCCTCATTATTATGATATCTGATAAATGGGAGACATAATAAATGAATGATATGAGTTGACACAAGGGCATAATGGTCAGTATTCCATTATATTACAATAATACATAATAACACTATATAATACATATGGCCTTATTTTATTTCATTTTTTACTGTCCATTTAATTTGACCATTTGAGTTAAAAAAAATAAATAAATAGGTGCAACAGTAGTAGTAATTTATGATATACATTTGAGGTGGTCCTTAGAGATCATTACAATCTCGAGAACAGCTCATTTATATTATTATCCTCATCATTTTGATTTTTTTGATTTTTTTGATTTTTTTGGGTTTTGCCTGTCTAAAATAATCATTTTGTCCGTAATCTGATATTGAATAATTTTGGTAGGTACCCTCTCGAAATACTGAGAAAGATCGTGTAGTTGCTACCTTTGCCTCTTGCTTGTGCTGTTTAAGTTTAAATTAAAAAAACTCCACCCCTGACCTGTTCATATTTATTATTAATAAGTCTTCTTATTTCATTTTATATCGCTTATTTTTTTTCAAGTAATTAAATATTGACTGTCTTATTATACTGTAGTATAATATTGAACTATTGACATATCTTATTACGAAAAAAAAATAATAATAAAAGCTCATAGTTTGTTATTCCGAATATTTTATATATTCTCAAAACCTCATTTCATTCCAATATTTTGTCTCTGATTACCATTTTATTATATTAATATCACTATTAATAATACACATATATATATATATATATACACACACACTTACTTTTTTTTTTGCTTTTTTATTATTTTTTATTGTTGCTAAATTTTTCTGTTTAATTTTAAATTAATCAATACAACCAACTAAGAAAGTTATAGAAATTATGGAATCTGAATTAGCTAGCTTACATCTATCGCAAAGTGCCGAAGATAGAACCGGTATATCTTCAAATACTACAAATCCACATATGATTCGTATTAGAAGGAAAAGTAGTAATATTTCAAGAACAAATAGTAATATTTCAAGAACAAATAGCAATATTTCAAGAACAAATAGTAATACAACAATGTTTCCAGCAGTACCTCCATCCCCTACAATAAGTGAACATTCATTAATCTTTGAAAGAAGTGTTGAAGATTTAACTACATTACCATCATCTTCAACAAATACATTAGGTTCAATGACAAATTTAAATATGTTAACTAAACAAAGATCAAATTCTAACGTTTTTTTACAAAGACAACTCACTGGTGGTTCAGTTAATTCTATTGCATCCAATTTGATGACCCCCATGATGTTACCTGTAAGTGCTACAACTTCAAACGCAAGTAATAGCAATAATACTAATAATAATAATAGTGCAAGAAATTCGTTATCTTCACATTCTACAAACCATCACCATCATCATAGAAGAAGAACTATAGAGAATCTCGTTGCACCTGCGTTAGATGCGTCATGCTCTTTGATTGCAGATCAATCTACTCAAATGGATAACGTTAATGTAATTCATTCAAGAAATTCCTCAATTATAGGCTTAAATATGGCTTTGGGTCTCTCTAGAAGTTCATCCATTTCTGGAAGTCTTAATAAGAGAGAAATATTTAATGGTGATGCTAATGATGAAAGTGGAAGTGATTCTGGAAGCGACAGTAGTGAAGATGATGAAGATGGTGGTGTTGATATTGATAGATTAGTAAGTTCACGTAGAATAAGTCGTAGTCGTCGTACATCAGGAACAAATAATACATCAACCCAAACATCTCCTATGGTTACATCACCAAGATTTTCTAGTACTACTACTGATTCTTCAGGTAAAGTATTAAAATTTTATTCATATGTTGATATGGTATCCGATGAACATATTAATCCTGCAATTTCAAATCGTAGACCTTCTTTCCTAACAGGATCTGTATCGTCACCTTTATTAACACCTTCAGAACTATTAAATTCATCAGTATCAAACCATTCTTTATCACCACCACAAGCTGGTACAAATTTCTTAAAGAGTCCTGTTATGACAAATACAACAAATAAGCGTGAACCATGCACACCTTACATTTCACCACAATTATCTTCGAGAAGACTCTCAGGAAATAGTAACAACAACACTATGCCTAGATCACCTACTTATGTGCCAAACGGAATGAGTGCTTTATCACCTCCTTCAAACTATTATAATAGATCTAATGGTAAGTCCAAAAAATCTAAAAATCACAACAAAGATGGTTCTAATAATAATAATAACAACGATATTAAATTTCAGATAGAATCATCAGATGAATTTTCTTCAGATGATGATACTGCAATGTTTGATCTAGATCAAACGAACAATAGAAACAATAATTACAAAAATGGGAATTCACTTTTTAACATTCAAAACACAAAACAAGGAACAACAACAGCACCTCCATCTATTTTAAAGACATCAATGTTCCAAACAGGAAACAATCATAGCAACCCGGACATTTACCTGAAGGCAAAATCTAGAACATACTCAAATGCAAGCTACCATCCACCACCAACTTCTTCTAGACCTGGCAGTACATCTTCTTCTTCTTTTAGAAAGTTATCTATACCCAATAGTAATAATACCAATGGCCAATTAGCAAGCACGAGTCCCATTCTACCTTCTCCATACTCTCTGCAAATGGAGAATCTCGGTGCAGTCCTTAGACAAAAAGTTAGCGATTCTAACCCTGCATCAAAACCTTCTACACCAATTTCAAAATAAGATTAGGTCGTCACATACCCTTTTGGTATAATAGTGACGGTTTTCTTTTCCTTCTTTTAATAAGTTCATTTGAACATAAAACAAAAACATTAAAAACAAATACATAGGTATAAATCTCCCATACATTCATTTTCAAATTCACAAATTCATATTTTAATACTTATTTACTTACATACAATATTATCCTGATAGACATATATGAATAATAGATAAAATTAATTAAAAAAACAAAATATTTTCTTATTATCTTCGCAGTATCTATAACTACCAAATCTGACGTTTTTCCATTCTTTTTTTTTTGCTCAGTATATTGTATTTATGCAGATTGTATCTAAATTAATGACATTGTTATATTTATATTTGTCTATATATATGCTAACCGACCTAAAGGTAATCTTTTCTGTTTGCAGTCCTTACAAATCTTCTTAATTGCCATTCGATATCAGCATCCTTATTATCTAAGGTTCCTAATCTTAATTCAAATAGTTTCATTTCAAATCTTGGACCAACTTCTGCTAATTCAACACCATCTCTTGTTCTAACAAACACATGTTGTCTCACACTAATAAAGTCACCTTTATTAGCAAAAGTTATTACTCTTTCACTATCCTTCTTAGTACCAGGAGCAAATAAATGCTTTAATATACATTCTACTCTCTCACCTAATTTTGTTTCAAAACCATCAAAGATTAAATGTGGACTGACTTCACTAACATTTCCTCTATTCATAATGTCGTGTCTTAAAACAACATTATGTAAACTAAATGATGCAGTAGGTCCATGAGGTAAATGTGAAATGGTGAGACTAGTTGGTACACCACGATGTTCATGCAGCACAACAATATCAGATGTACCAGACTTTGTGGCAGCAGATACAAGGTTTGACATGATCAAATTACCTCTATTTAGTCTTGTTGCGTCTGGAAACATTAATTTAATTTCTTTAGCAAATTGTGACAATCTAGTACTTGGATCACGAGATGTCGTTATGATGATTCTTGGGTCAACGAGACCACTAGTGTGTGAATATTCATTATCTATTTCTTCATCATTTTCTGTTTGATGAGATTGGTCATAACGGAAATCTCTCTGCAGTTCCGTATCTTCAGCAATTTCCTTTGGTAATGGCTTACCTTGTGCTAAAGATTCCTTTATTATTTGTCTCTTTTGCTCCTGTTGAGCCTCCTGTAGCTGTTGAGCCTTACGGTACAAATATTCTCTTCTTTCACGGGCTTGTCTCCTTAACATTGTTCTTCTCTGATATGGTATATATATGTTTTAGTATGTGAATTCCGAATGTTTCTTTAGCAAATGGTAGAAAGACGTAATATTAATAGAAAAACTATAATACTCAACACTAACGTTAAATAACAGCCTTTCTTGATTGATTTTATTTTTGAAACATACGGTTCATTCCTTTTATTTCTATTTTTCAAGATGCTCATCGCAAAATTTTTTTTTTCAGAAAGTAAATTTTCAATGAAGCTTGAAAGTCATAATATACGAAAGTGTATATTAATTATATAATTATTGTCATATATAGGATAAAGATGTATCATTATTTGGGGATAATTTTCGAAATAAGTTCTTTATTTTCTCTCATTTCGAATAAAACTCAAGTAATACTTGAATTATTTATTCGTACGTCTTACATGTGTTCGTATACTTTTCTCTTCTTCAGAAATTTCCATCCTAGTCTTGAGAAATCCACTGTTTCTATTCTTCGATGGGATATCCATGGACTGCCGCCTTCTACCTATTTTGGGCATCGAATTATTACCGTCTGAGGATTCAGAATTAGATGTAGTAGTAGCCAGTTGTTCCGGAGGAGTTCTTTCCCTTCTATGTGAAGACATATGTGCACTTTCAGCAGCTTTCTTAGCTGCCATTCTCTGTTGATGTATATTATTTGGTAAAAACATATGTGTTGATAATGCTGTTGGTAATATAGTTTGGGCGGCTAATGGAGCGTTTGATTCATGTAAATAACGGTCTCGCCTTGGTGCAGATATACTATTACTGAAACTACTTGTTCTACTATGAACTTGAGTGGTTGTTGTTGAATTAGAAGGTTGAGACTTCTTTAGAACTACTTCTAATGGAGCAGCATGCATGGATGTATTACTTGTGGAACTTTTAGGGGAAATTACGGAACCCAGATTATTATTATTATTATTATTATTATTATTATTGCTATTATTATTGGAACGTGATTGTTGTTGCGTCGATCTATCATTATTGTCGTAATTTGTTGTGTGATCATCATGAGAGTAACTACTTGAACGAGGTGTTTTTATACGATCTTGACTGTTATTACTATTATTATTACTGTTTGTTTTACTATTTTCATTAGAAAACAACCCCGTCAGGAGACTCCGTTTTGTATTGTCTGCATTATTATGATTATTATTATTACTGCTTGCAGAACTCGTTATACTCGTTGGTCTAGAATTGTTTGAATTTTCATTTTTTGTAAACATTAATTTATCCCATTGTTTTCTATAATATTGATCATCTTCATCGTCATCATCATCATCATCATCATCATCATCATCATCAAATTCTTCATCATCAAAATCATTATGCCTATATCTATGTCTACCTGTTCTATCATTATTTTTCCCATTAAGATCATATTTCGACTTCTTTGTAAGAGTGCTCTTATTATTGTTTTCATTATAAAAATCGTCATCATCATAATCTACTTCTTCATCTGAAATACTATTCCAATCAGAATATTCATCTTCACTACTGAAAAACATTTTATTTTCATTTTGATTCTTGAAAAAACTACTTGATTCCTTTATATTATTATTACTATTATTAATTTGTTCATTAGCATTACTCATTTGAAATAAAGATTCATTTTTTTTGATAACATTATTATTCGTATTATTAATAAATTTTTGTTTATTTGATTCTGATGTATCAAATCCTTCAATAATATATTGTGGATCTTCTTTTTTTTTAGCTTGTTGTTGTGGTTTATATTTTTGAAATAATTCTGCAGTTGAAGTTATTGGTTTAATAAGAGTTGACGATGATAATTGTTTAGATTCTTGCCGCGATTTTGTTTCAATTTCATTGTTATTTTTATTATTTTTATTATTAATTGTCGAATTTTGTGATATTGAATCCTTTTTAATTACGTTATTTGAATTTGGGTTTAGAATATAATAAATATTTTTAACACCATCACGTTTTTTTGATTTATTAATTGAATGATCTTTAAGTAAAGCCTTATTAATAATTCTCCAACTAATATTATTCAATCGTATACCATTTTCTAATCTATCACTAACATTAATTAAACTAGTATATAAATTAATAGAATTAAATGAATCTAATCTTTCTGGCGTGAAAAGATTCGGCGATATTTTAAAAAATGGATCATTCTCCTGTGAATGATATGTCGGTATAGTCTCCATTTTTAATTTAAATTTTTTTAAATTTTAACAACCTTGTAATATTGTTATTAAATGAATGAAAATAAATTAAATTAATACGTAGTTTGAAGTTCTTTTACTCTTTTTGGTTTAAAATATTATAGTCTCTTTTTTTCTGTTATACCTTACATTTTATATTTTTATTTTTTTTTCTTATTTTTTGCTTTTTTCAGAGAGAAAAAATTAATTAAGAGTAAGGGAAAGAAAAAACACAGAAGAACACAATAAAAATGTAGAAGCGAATTACTGTAACAATGTATGAGAGAAATAATCAAATAGGGTAGAATTAATTAGTAACGACTCACTGTCAAAAAAGAAGTACATAACATATGTTTTAATTTTAAAATACAAACATACAAAATATATATTTTGTAGATGTAAAATAATTGTATTCAAAAGTTCAGTATTGATGACAAGATGCAAGGCTCAAGGGAATACAATAAATGATCAATTTCAATAGCCATGCTCGTATGTAAGTTAACTATATAGCATGAAGATATATAACTGCAACAATAGCTACATATATATATACATACATATACTCACTGATTACTATTTCAGTTGTGCAACCTTCAGAACAAGCAAGTTTCAACACAGTCACTTGAACACAACCAACTAAAGATTGTACTTATTAAGAGATTGGCACCAATAATTATAAATTGCTTCTTGCGCGGATATTGTTGTTGTTACCCTTTTTTTAAACTCTCGAAAGCCAACAACGACGACAAGCTGCTTGATTGATGGGCCCGTCGCAATTTCTCTCTGTGTTTTCTGTTTTCTGAGTGCGTGATGGTCATTTTTTTGGTTCAGAGATTTGTTTTGTGGGCGAACATTTATTCCTCCCTTAAATAGACATTCTACAGGGGAAGTGCCGTACAAGTTATTGGAACATTTCAATATTACTTACTATTTGCGAATGCGAGAGAGAGAGAGAGAGAGAGACAACGGAACGGAACGGAACTTTCCGGCAGAAAAATACGCAGAAAAATGTGTCAAACTAGTCAATACATTAATATATAAATATACAGCTATATATATAGATGAGGGTATCAAATTTTTATTATTATTATTATTATTATTATTATTTTAATATATTTTCCTTCTTGAATCAATTGAAAGGTCATCTGGTATTATAATTGGATTATCTCTATTATCACCTTTTCGAGATCTAATCATGGTTCTTAATTCAGAATTATTATCTCGTGTCTGCAATGATGATATCGATTGTACTTTCATTAATTCTAATCTTAATTGGATCCTTTGATGTATTACTGCACGTAAATATTGTTCCCATAACGAATGTAATTGTCTTTGTGATTTAATTTTATCTTCTTCTTCTTTGGATCTTAATTTTTTTTTAAAATTTCGTTGTTGTGTCGGCATTGTATTTGAACGTTTTAAATTTAATAATCTAATTTGTGTTTCATTCATTGGTATATAAATTCTTTTAATTGATGGTTGCCTCTTATAAATATTTCTTGATACTGTTGTCATTGAACTTACTTGTGCATTTATTGAATTTTTACTATTAATATTATATGATGCAATTCTTGGTAATGGTAATACCTCGTTTGTCTCTAAAGTTCTCAAATTAATTAAATTCATCATTTCTTTTAATTCATTAACATTTTTAAATTTTGAATTTATTTGTTTCTGTGATAAACTTTTTGTTGATTTTTTCTTTAATGTTATAAAACCTCTTGGAAATAAAAAATTGTTATTTTTATTTTGATTTATTTCTCTTTGTGTTGTAAAATCTTTATGACGACGTGATGAATGACGTCTTTTAATATTATTACTACTGTCATTAGTATAAGGTTGAATATTAATTTTTGAATTATTTGATATTACTGAACTCTTTTGCTGTTGTTGTTGATATTGATCCCAATTAGATACTTGTGATAATGCACTCTCTTGTGAGCTAATTCGATGATAACCATGTCTATGTATCATTTTTTCTCTCTCTCTCGTATTTAATTATGTATATAGCGGTTTATTATTACTACTTTTTTTATTTAGAAATAAGATGCTGTGAAACAGCATTATAAGATTATTATTATATATCCTTTATATATATATATATGACGATATTGGTGTTCTTTTACAGGGTTTTTTGTTTTCTATTACTTTAATATAGCCAGCAAAAAAAAACATTTTGTTGTATATGTTAATATAATAATTGATTGAGTATACGTATGTATATACTAAATAGCCTTTATTAGGAAAAATAAACCCAGCAAAAAAAAAAGTGACCAAATTTTAATTTTTTTGGTGTGGTTGTGGGAGCTACGCGCCTTTGTTAACAAAAAATACATGTGTATTTATCACGAAGTACCGTGCATTAACAATTTATTATGCTGGTTATTTTAAGAACATCTTGTATTCATATATATATATATATATACAGGGTATTGAATTAATACTTATCTATAGTCTATAAATTCATATTTCTAAATTGTTGAATATGGAGTCGGGACCATATATCTTTCTTAATGTATCATGTAGTATAGGTATAACGTTGCCACTAGTCGTATGACATGATATTGCTGCACCCCTTTCCCGGCGGCGCCTCGAAAATTGAATTTTTTTTTGGCGGCGGCGAGTAAAATGTGAACGCTCTTTTTTTTGTTTTGTTTTGTTTTTGTTTTTCGATCGTTTGATATTTTTCTCCTTTAAAATAAATAAATTTCATCGTAGTGTTTGCATATATATATATATATATACGTGTGTAAGTTTTCTTGAGTGATCAATCAATTAATTGGTATTTTATTATAGCAATTTTGGATTGTTGTACATATAATTAGAATATATCGTAACGAGATCAACTTATTATTAGTTAAGAAAAAATGGATAAAATTAAAGAAAAATTAAATAATTTAAAATTAGAAGCTGAAACTTGGCAAGAAAAATACGAAGATTTAAAAGAATCTAATAAAACAATTGAACAAGATTTAACAGATAAAGAAAATCAAATCAAATCCTTAACTGTTAAAAATCAACAATTAGAAGATGAAATTGAAAAATTAGAGTCAAATGTTGATGATAATAAAGGTTTAGAACAAGATGTTACTGATAAAGAAAATTTAGTTAAATCTTTAACAATTAAAAATCAACAATTTGAAGAACAAATTGAAAAATTAGAAGATGAATTATCTGAATTGAAACAAATTAATGATGAATCTTCAAATTTAAAGACAAATAATGAAAGTTATTCTAAAAAAAATAAACAATTAGAAGAAGAATTAGAAGAAAATGATGAAAAATTAAAAGAAACAACTGAAAAGTTAAGAGATTCTGATTTGAAATTAGAACAATTAGAGAAAAAATTAATTGCATTACAAGATGAAAATGCTAAATTAGAAGAAAAAAATGAAGAATTAAGTGAATTATACACTCAATCAAAGAAAGAATTAGATGAAATTGCTGAATCTTTAGAAAATTTATAAGTTTTAATTTGAAAAATGAAAAGAAATAAAATACCTTCATCTCTTTAATATTAGTATCAAATCTATACTCCTCCTTACACATATTTATATATATTATATTATCTATATCTGTTATAATTTTTTAAAATAAAAGAAGAAGAAGAAGAATGATCTAACTCTATTATGTATCTCTCCTTCCTACTAGTGTTTTTATTTTTATTTCATATATTTAAAGTACGCGCATCATCTTTTCCAAAAACAAAATTGTCTATTAAATTTGAGATGTCGATTTCATTTCACTCTATGTTTTTTGGTTTTTTTGAAGTTTCCAATAATATACATATATAAACATTTCATCTTTTGAATCAGACATATTTAGAAACGTATACCAAATTTATTGATCTATTTACTCCACCATACAATCTATATATAGACATATTTCAAAATGCGTAAACAAAATCAAGATTTACTCAGGCAGAAATATATGTCAATAAAGACTCTTTCATTGAACAATTTAACTGCAAAACAACATATGTTAATGGCACTATGCAGAGATGTCTCATTATTACCACCTTTATATTATACATTCACATCACTTAAAAGATGTTTCCATGTTATGATGGATTCTCCAAACGTTAAACTTTATGAACCACAATCTTTTAGAGAAACTTTAACAAGATTTTGGCAAACTTATATGTTAAATAATAATTTAACAGCAATATCATCAGCCGCATTAGTCAATTCAAGTCATATATCATCATCATCATCATCATCAGTAACTTCAACAACATCCTTAATCGAAGCATCCATCTCTACCATTAATGCATCTGAATCATTTATAACAAATATTGATACTCCAGGTAATTTAGTAATAAATAGTTTAGTGACAGCAAGAGCCTCTGAATATTTATTTTGTGCTATATGGTGTCTAGTAGCATTATATTTATCCTATGCAATATTAGATTCTTTAATGGTTAGATGGATTGTCAAATATTCCACTGTGGCTGCTATATTAAGAATGTTTTCAATGTCATTAATATTTGTCTCTTTTGAATTATTATTATTAAATTCATTATCTCCTGAAAATAATTATTTTCTACATACTTGGATACTTATTAGTTGTATTTTAACATGTGGTTATATATGGCAAAGTTATTTAACATCTGATTTAAATTATATTAGAAGAAAGAAACCTGATTTAAACAACACAATTGATAGTAACAATAGTACTACTAATAGTATTGATAATCATTTGGATTCGAATACAACAATTGCTGATTCAATTTCAAATTCTCCTATGCTTTCAGATTCAGATTCAGATTCAGACTCAGATTCAGATTATGAATTTTCTGATAACGATAATAATAACAATAATAATTCACCCATAGACGAAATTTCAACTAGAACAGATGACATAAGTAATAATACTACCAATAGAAGGAAAAAAAAGAAAAATTTACAAAAGAAATTAGATCTAACAGGTTTTAAATTTACTACGAAGAGAACAATAGATCTCTATAATATTACCGTATTTTGTGTAGTCCCCGTTGGACTAGCAAGCTTCATTACAATGGTAGGTCTATTAAGAAACTTATTCATTCAAAGGCTTGATGTGGAACAACTAGCTAGAATCATTCAAGAATCGGTGCATTGAACACACACACACACACACAATATATTAGCTAATTTGATACCCTTACTTTCATTGCTCAAAACAACCTTTTGCCCACATCTACATACATATATCTCTATATTTCTTTTTTGCTATTCCTATTTTATACACAATTTTTGCATTTTCATATTGTTTTAACTATATATACTATTTTAAATTCAATATTTCATAATTTATTATCAACCTTTACCATATATATCTTAATACTACCTTCATCATTTCTCTCTATTAAACGTTATCATCATAATAAATTATATGGTTCATGCGACGGATAACAAGCATCCGCTTCGCTAACAACTTCGGAATGTTTTTTTTTTTAAAAAGAATATATAATAACTTTTAAAGGCGAACATAAAAATATCAAGGGAAACTGAAAGACTACTAAAGACTTTGATTAAAGAGAGTTAACTATAAAAGAATAAACTAGTTACAAAAAGATAGTACAGTTGTATTATATTTTTAACGACAACCTCTGCAATAAGAATGGTCGTACATATCTTAGGTAAAGCATTTAAGGGTAAGGAAGTCCTTAGAATTGCACTGGCATCAAAGTTTTATGGGATTGGTGAAAAGACTGCTACTACAGTATGTTCGAAGCTGGGATTTTATCCATGGATGAGAATGCATCAGTTATCAGAAGCTCAAATAATGAATATTGCGAGTGAATTATCAACGATAACAATAGAAGATGAAGCTCGGGCAGTGGTAAAGAGGAATATTGCTTTAAAGAAGAGTATTGGTACTTATGAAGGTTTAAGACATGTTCTTCATTTACCTGTTAGAGGTCAACACACTAGAAATAACGCAAGAACGGCTAGAAAATTGAATAAGTTGGATAGAAAAGGTTAACATTTTTGTTTATTCTTTACTCTAGTTATTGAACAATAAAAAAAAAATAGCGAAACAACATGAAATTGACATAGAAGTTTAAACCTCACAACAAATATATTCAGAAACAATAACTGCAAATGATATAAAACAAGCAAACATTACTACCATTCATGAACAACAATTCTTTCTCTTTAGCACTATTATTAGAAAAAATAATATTACGTAAGTTCATCATGTAAATATATAAATTAAATATTATAATCATCTGTGAACGAATTCCACTCATTTAATTCCAATAAATGTTTCATTGTTGGTCTACCATGAGGACAGTTCCAAGGTTTATCAAGTGTACTCAAATTACCAACTACTTTTTTCATGGTCTTCCTATTTAATGGTTTACCAACCATGATACTCATTCTACATGCTCGCATAGCAAACATAGAACGGATCTTCGAACATCTAATATAATCTTTTCTTATACCATTATGTTCTCTAATCATACTAATCAGTTCATACAAGTCATCTACGCCAAATGTGGTGTTCTTGGAGGTCGGTTTACTAATTAACTGAATACGTGATCCGGGTTCTGCATCTTCTTCGATCTGTAATTTAAATCCATTTTTCTCTAAAATTTCAATATTATCTAGGGTCGTTAATTCATCTATAATATTTAATTCCAATTTTTCTGGTGCAATGAGTCTTTGGGATTTGAACATTGTGTCCCTTTGTAACATTTCAAAATTATATTTCTCATCGCTTGCGTGTTGATCAATGATGAAAAGATCCATTTTTTTATTTTGTTTATTTTTCTTTGTCGTAATAATGAAACCAAGATTAAATTGGCCTACAATACTCATATCATTAAAATCAGTCTTGTTTATCGTTAAAGTCAATTTTCTAGCTATTTCTTGAATGTCATCACCAATCATTTCTTCGTCAGTGACGACATTTTCATGATTATCTTCTTTGTTTGGTTTTTCCCATTCTCTAATCGTGTTGACAACGTCAGTATATTCTTGGCTCATATTATTTGGATCTATATCTAGAGACATGTCCAATTCATATATTTCGAATTTCTTTTTAAAAATCCTTTCTCGTTCCTCGCAGATAGCTCTCAATTTTAACCGGTTACTATATACATCATCAGCAAATTTCATTACAGGAGTACGGATATTTGTTTCCATAGGTTTTGTAATTTCAACAAGGTCATAACTATTTTCTTCAGTACTAGATGAGTTATTTTGATCATCTAAATGACCATTGTCATTGTCATTCAACAATGTATCATTTTTTTTATTGGCAGACATCTTTTCATGCTCGTCTAAAAATACTAATCCCTTATTTGGTGTAACTTTCACCTGAGAATGAATAATATCATCACCAACTTGAACAACAACTACATCATTATTACTTCCTTCTTCTATCTCAGAAAAATTATTCTGAGAAGAGTTGTCGTCACTTTCGTATTCAGGATTCTTAAAATCGCTAATGTTTACTTTACTACCTGAAACATTGGTTGAATTTTTGTTAGATAAATTTTCATCAGATAGGATACCATATCCTTCATTTCGATCAGAAGTATAACCTTCTTCTCCTTCCTCCTCCTCTTCTTCTTCATCTTCATCTTTCCCCTCGAAAAGTTCGGGCTCTTTATTAAAAGACGGTTCAGAATTTGGCACTCTATTCTCTTCACCTTGTGAACTTGGAAAATCACGAGAAAGGAAATCCTCTTTATGCATATCCATGATTGAGCTTAACTCAGTATCATTATTATTCATGTTTCCATCAATAGAGATATCTGAGAAATCAGTTTTATCAGAATATGTTTTTATATTACATTGTTCTCTCTTAAGTCGTTTACAGTTTTGATCCTGTACCATGGATAATTCTTCAGTTTTTATCTCACTGTCACTGTCATCCTGATATTCGTCTGTTCTTTTTCTTTTTTCAAGAGTTGTTGATTTGACTATAGATACGTCTTGACTCTCAAAAAACGATACCAAATTCTCTCGAAGTGAATCTATTATAATATCTTCGTTATGAAGCAGGACTGTCCTCTTATCTGGAGTAACATTTATATCTATTAAATTTGAATTAATCTCAAAATTGACAAAAAAAATTGGATATTTCACATTGGTTTCATTATTAAAACTTCTAAATGTTTCGTTAAAACATTTATTCAATACCGGATAAGACACAGGTCTTCTATTTATATAAATAAATTGTCTATCTCTAGAGTTATGACCAATCCCAACAGAACTCTTTGAGATAAACCCTGATAACTTTATTTTATAGTTTATATCATCTAAATCGTTTTGTTTTAGTTGTAAATCAGATCCACTCATTAATAAGTTAATTTTACTTTCCCTTCGTTGGATCTCTTCTTTTACATTATCTAAGTCTAACGATATGTTAAGAGGTATTAATCCACGAAGACAACTTGAACCAAATATATTCAAAATTTTCTTTGACATATTTTCATTTTTGTTTGTTCTTAAAATAACATTCTTACGACCATTACTATTAATATTAACAATTGTAAATTTAACCTTTTCATTAATAATGGCATAACTTTGCAAAAGTGTAATACATTTGGCAAATTGATTTTTTGTTGTTCTGATAAATTCTTTCCTTCTTACTGGTAAATTTTTAAACATATCTTTAATTTCTACCGTTGTACCTTTATTTCTTGATGTAATATTATTGGAAATAATTTTCCCATTTCTATCATATTCAATTTTGTTTGCTTTAGGACCCTTCTCAGTAGTGGTTATTGATAATTTCGAGATGTTACACAATGAAAATAATGCTTCTCCTCTAAACCCCAAGGAGGAAATATTCATAATATCATTAAAATTAGTTAGCTTTGACGTATAATGTTTTAATGTTAAAGTTTGAAAATTTGCTTCGGAAATACCACTTCCATTATCAGAACATTCAATAGAGTCAATACCATAATTTTGAAATGTTATATCAATTTGATCAGCTCCAGAATCAATACTATTATCTATGAGTTCTTTGACAGCTGATATTAAATCAACGATGACCTGTCCTGAGGTAATTCTATTGATATCAGATATGGCAATGGCCTTTATTATGGTATCTGTAGCCATTATCTTGTGTTTTTGTTTTTGAGGGGAGTTATTTTTACAATACGTTCACTAGGTGTCAACTTAAAGTATGGTGTTTTATTTTGTTTAAATAACTATTAACACTTCTCAAATGTTTTCAATGTATTATGATTCAGTTTGGAAAAAAAATAAATAAAGTTAGTGTAATTATCTTCTTATTTCATCTTCATGTATCAGTTATTGCGATATAATTTTATGGATTTTTTTTTTTGCACTCTTCTACAAAGAACGCGAAGTGAACCGCCCCATATAAATCTAGAAAACGCGTATTAGTTAATTAATGTGTATAACAAGATATTTCAGTAACGTCAACCAATAAAAAGGAAAATGATAACGGAAGAAATTAAGTAATACGAGTATTAGTCTATTTCTTGATTTCAAATATTTACATCCAATCTCTTAACGAGGATATATTTAGATTCAATTTAAGGATCGATTCATATTCATTGTAATAAAGATTTAATATAATCAAATAAGGGAAAAGGAAAACACTAGATGCATTAGCTTCCTGTAAAATATAGGCGTATTTCTGGGGGAACTACTACTTATGGAAAACATATTACTCCCAAATATTTAGTAAGGCTTCATTAATGGTACACCCATATATATTTTTCTTAATTAAATACATTCTCGTTTCTATGGTAACAAGAGAAAAGGTCTGCGCGTTTTTCTTCGGAATTTGTTTTTTTTTTGGCGTTGATTTGTTTTTCTTGTTTACTACGGAGTTTTTTAGTAATAATAACGCGTCCCCCCCCTTCTGGATTATGAAATGTAAACAAAGAAATTTCAAATCAAAAAAGAATAACATAACTAGTGGAAGTCATCGTTAACGTATCTGATTCGACAAACCACATTAAGTTGTTTGGCTCCAAGTTGCAACTTATACAATGTGTGTAAAAGTAGTCGATGTTACACCTCATTTTTATTCTATGTATTATTTTCAAGGAGTGAAGTAGTTGTGATATTTGCAGCCTAGTTTGCAACGGATCCTTTATATATAAATAAGACTGTTGTTCACAATAATATTATTATTTAAGTTTAAGAATAATAGTTTTAAATAATTTTTATTTGATATTATCATCTTTTTTTTTATTACCCACAACACGATTAATAATACATATATATATATTATACATTTGAAAAAACAGTATGGGTGTCACAGGATTGTTAACTAAATTGAAACCAATTCAAAAACAGATTACTCTAGACCAATTATATTCTAAAAGATTAGCAATCGATGGGTATTCGTGGCTCCATAAAGCAACCATTGGCTGTTCTTATGAATTGATGATGGATTTAAATACAAATACATATTTAAAATATTTTATAAAGAGAATCAATATGTTAAAACGATATAATATTAAACCGTATTTCGTATTTGATGGTGCCAAGATAAATGTGAAAGAAGGGATTGAATCCTCGAGATTAGAAAAAAGGATCTTAAATAAAAAGAGAGGCATATCGTTATGGGACACTGGGAAACATCTTGAAGCTATAGAATATTTTAAGAAAAGTGTGGATGTAACACCTCAAATGGCTAAATGCATTATAGATTATTGTCGTTCGGAAAATATTGATTACATAGTGGCTCCATTTGAAGCTGATTCGCAAATGGTATATCTGGAGAAAGAAGGTTTAGTTGATGGTATTATTTCTGAAGATTCTGATTTATTAATCTTTGGTTGTAAAAATTTAATTACCAAATTAAATGATAGAGGGGAGGCAAGACAAATTGAAAGAAAAGATTTCAATATGTTGGAGGAGCCATTCAGTATCGGTAAATTTTCGCCAGAACAGCTACGACTTATGGTTTGTCTATCTGGGTGTGATTACACTAAAGGGTTGGGCCATATTGGTTTGACATTCGCGTATATGTTTACTAGCACTGGTAAGTCAATTGAAGGTATACTTGAAGATTTTATTGAGTCGGGAAAATTAACTACAGAGAGTGCAGAAATCTTCTTAAAAGAATATTATTTTGCAGATTGTTCATTCCAATTCCAAAGAGTTTTTTCCCCAACTCAACAAAAAGTGGTAACATTAAATGATATTACATCAGAATATTTATATGATTTCAAAAAATCTAGAATATTGTACAGTAGTATTGGTAAAGTTATTAATAAGCGTACAAGGATTGTTGAATATATTGAAAATGACGAAGACATTGATCATGAGATGCATAGGCTAATAAGTATAGGCGAAAGGGATCCATCCAATTTTCAAACGAGATTGGTTAGTAGAGAAAATTTAATCAATGAAAGTGGGGAAACACAAAATTCAATTCAATTTTATTATTCAAATTTATGGAATAAATATGCATCCCCATTGCCATTGCATCCAATCTTTAATAAAACTCCAGTAGGAAGTCTTTCTTTATCATGTAATTAGGTAATTTATTATAAGTTTATTGCTATGTTCGAAATATTTAAATACACGTGTATATTAAGATATTCATGTATATGTTGGTATAAAGTAAATACAAAAATAAATATATAGTTTACTAAATATTACAGTAAACTTGCAAAGCTGTGGTTGTTATTTTATCTACAATGATATGAAATGTTTAGTGGTAAAAATTAGAAGTAACGAAGAATATTAACAATGTTGTGGGATTTATATTACTGTACGGAATATTGACTTTTGAAATCATATTATTATTTCGTATGGAACTAAGTCAGGTAAGACGGGTAATACGATAAGGATGCAAAATTAACATTGATTTGTTTGATTGAAAGGAATATATTAGATTAAACTGTTATTTCTTGTTTGATGATGATGATGATGATGATGATGATGATGATGATGATATTATTATTATTGTTTAACGGACTTATTCCAATTTGGCAGCTCTTTTAATGTTCTCATAACATAAATAACTTATAGACACCGCCGGACATACTTTAGCTAGTGTAGGCATTAGTCCCTTATACAAACCAGGATAACCTTCTCTCTGGATAGTTTGTTGCAAGACATCCCTAATACCTGTATACGTATAAGGATGAGCATATGTGCCTTGAGCTTGTAATCTTGTTCTTAACAAATTAATTGGATAAACAACAGATGCACCAACCGAACCACTAAATGCACCTAATGGTATTACGGTAAAGTTACTTAAAGTGACATCTTTTTCAGAAATATTCATTTCTTTAGCCTTTCTAGCTATTAGCCATTTTTTTAATATTGAAAATGTACCTAAATCTAATGCAGCATATGGAAACATACCTAAAAGACCTGCAGTTAAACCTCGGTAAAATATTAGTGGTCCTCCATCGCGATACATTTGTTTTGCTGTGTTTATTAAGATATTTTTGTCCTGAAGATTAGCTAAAGGAGCACATTGAATTCGAAACTTTAATGTATCTATTGGGTATACAGAAAATTGTGCGGCCATACCTGCTAAACCACCTGCTATAAATGTTGATGGTTTAGAAAGTTCAGATTTATCCTTACAGCCTTCAATTTTTGTCATTAGTTTTTTCATCATTTCAAAAGTTCCAAATTTTATCGAACTTTCGGGGAAAACTTTAAACGTATTAAGCCCATTCCCAACATAAAATGCTTTGATACCACCTTGTCTATACAAAGATGTTATAGCTTTGACGATTGGTGATCTTAATTTATCTATATTAGCCTTTGGGTTCCTAGCTAAAAGATCTTCTTTGGAATTAAGTATAGTTGATGATAAATCAGTTCTTGCAATTAAAAACACCTTAATTCTGTCGAATGGTGCTGTACAAGTACGTGATATCACACCTGAGACACCACCTGCAACAAAAAAAGCAAACCCTCTAAAGAATTCATTGATTAAAGTCACATCACCTTCGGAAGATAAATCGACATCCTCTTTAAATAAATAATAGTAAGAAAATGCGGTATGTAATCTAGATCCACTCTTCCTTGGCATTAAAAATAAAAAATCTCGCCATTGTTTATAAGTAATAACAGAATCATTATTGGTAATCATATCAGTATTAGTCCCTTTATTTATATATTTCTGATTAAAAGCCCATCTAGCAAATGACGCAAAAGTTTTTTTCTTACTTTGAGAGGCAGCTCTACATGTATTTGCTTCTGCATCAATATCATTCCCGATCAAAGTAGTGTTATCTATTACAATATGGTTAGTCTTTTCTAATTTTGAAAGATATTTACTCACATCAGCTAATTTAATGAAGCCATCATTATCACTATCTAATTTCTTGAAACCCTTATCAATTTGATGTTCTGCAGAAAATGCAAATTTTTTAAAATCATCAAAATCGACTTCGTTGTCATGGTTTGAATCCATCGATCTGAATAATTCTTGAATAGCAACATCACTATCTCTTAAGGGATGGTTTTTCCTACGAAAGGCCGTCTTCAATGATTTCGTTGTTAATTTACCTTCATCATATACATCTAGTTCATGAAATAGAGCTTTATATCTCAATTCTCTCTCACTAGCAGACTCACGATCAAATCCAAGTATATTTGTAATTTTATCTTCTTCATCTTTATTTCGTCCCATTATAATTATAACGATGTTCTCTTATAATAGACAATATAAATTCGCACCTTTAACCACACAGTTTTTTGATTGAAATAAATCTCAATAAATATAATTCTTTTTGTTATCTAATGAACATGTGAACCAGTAAGCTCAATCGTTAATTCTGTTTCCAATATCTATATATGATGAAAAAACCAATAATTGTCGTCCAACAGAAAAAAATAATTAACAATACAAGAAGGAAATGTTACTATTTAGTAAAACGATATACTTTTAAAAAGTGTCACCTCATCTCTCTTTTCATTCCCTTTATTGTTTACCTCTTCAGTCGAACAAAGGGTCCACTCTCTCTTTTCCCATCTCGAATACTGTTCCACTATAGAAATTGAAAATAATAACGTTAGGTATTTTTCCTTTTTATTATTGACATTTTTAACGTCGTTTAAGATGATCATTGGTTGTCTATTTCGATTTTCCACTGAGAGCGCTTCGTTGATTTTGAGAGCTTTTGAACAAAGACGAAACGAGCGGGAAACCCCTTTTGGTGTAAGTTCAGCCAACTTGACAATTATTTCTGACCAAACGTTTAACCATTCGTTATCAAATTATTTCAGAGACCCTACCAAGAGGTTGAAGCTTAGGTGTTACCGGATTTAGTTACAGTGATCTATAGCAAGCAGGAAACAATAGTTGGAAACCTGTGTTCTTATTGTCTTTTCTTTTCTCTTATTTCAAAGTATAACTGTTGAAATTTAAAGAAGTGTACAATAATAATAATAATAATAATAATAATAATAATAAGGGAAAGTAAAAAATAATAGTCATGCCAAAATTAGAACAATTCGAGATAAAGAAATATTGGCAGATCTTTTCTGGCTTGAAACCTGTCGAGAATAAGGTAACACATGATCAGGTTCTTCCAATTCTATACAATTCGAAGCAGGATTCTTCAGTGTTGAATAAGATATGGTTCCTGGCAGATATTGATGATGATGACAACTTAGATTTTGAAGAGTTCGTGATTTGTATGAGATTGATATTTGATATGGTTAATAAAAATATTTCAAGCGTACCTGATGAATTACCAGATTGGTTAGTTCCTGGAAGTAAAGCGAAATTAGTTAAAGAACGTAAGAAATTAAAGCAGGAAGAAAATGCTGATATCCCAAAGAAGGAAGCACCAAAAGTTGATTGGTATATGTCCCCAGAAGATATGAAAGAATACAATAGTATATTAGAATCGTGTAATAGATCTACTGATGGAACCGTTACATTTCCTTCCCTAACATTAGTGTTGAAATCAAAATTCTTCAATATAGGTTCTAGTGATTACGATAAAACTTGGAAACTTGTTAATCCAAAGAATTTAGCTTCAATAGATAAGGATCCCGCATTATACTTTATTCATATTTTAAGACAATGTAATGATGTAGGCTCAGAAATCCCATCAGATTTACCAAGAGCATTAGCTGAAATTGTAAACAAACAAGAAATTCAATATGATTTGAAATCTAGTCAGGCAGATGTCAAGAGAAAAACTGAACCCTCACCATCATCTAATGACACTAATAATACACCAGTAAACAAACAATCACAAGCAACTCAATCATCTTTTGAACATTCACAACAACCAATAAATCCAAATACACAGACGACCACTACTCTAGATATTGGAAACGTCACACCAGAAAAGGCTAGATTATTAAGGCAACAATTTGAAGGTTTATTGAACTATAGAAAAAAACAAGCTATTGCTAGTAAGAATCCATCCAATAGTATTACAAATTCAGTGAATTTGAGATCTATTACTAATGATTTAGATAATATTGAACAACAAGTTTCTATTTTACAAAATGTTCTGAGTGATAAAAAGAGAGAATTAAGTTTGTTAGAACAAGAAATTCAATCAATGAAATAATTGTAAGTAATAATGTCGTACTTTTTGAAATTATAACTGTCTTACTGTTCTTAATCTATTATAAATCAACAGACAAAAAGATCGCTGAAAGGTGGAAAGGAATAAATATATGCATTATCTCATGTAGCATATTAAATGATTTCATAGTGCTTACTACAAACTTATATACTATATGTAATTATTTAATAAACGAACATTAAATATCTTACTTTCACGTGGAAATCGAAAGCTCTTTGATATAACATTACATTGTGATCGATCTAGTTAGATAGAATTATATATTTGATGTTTTTTATTGGATCATGGTACACTAGGGTAAACAGAATCGGTGTGTTCTGATATTTCCTTCGAAAGGTTGGTTTGGTGCATCCGTACTTGCTCATTACTTTGATGCGATGATATGTCTTATTTGGATGTGGAAGATAAGAATATAATCGCTTGTTCTCGTGAGCAATTCGAAGACATTTTTCCTGGGTTCTTTTTTCAAATTGCAACCACGACTAGTCTAGCGAATCTGCTGTCTGTAATATTGTCTTGAACTTTTGATCCAATAATACTATCCGCTTCTTCAAATTCATCAGTTTTATGTTTGCTTCATTAAGGTCATCCGCTTCATACAGCAATCCGTATTCCTTTTTAAGGGATTCCCTAATCTTCCTAAGCTTTAATATTAGTATTGTTTGAGACTCTCGTAATTCAGTGACGGACCTGTTAATACCGTCTAAATCGGCAGACAGTAAAGAGAAAACACCCAATTCCACTGGGTGGACGCCCTCTTGGATATCTGACATTAAAGTATTATCAACCTCCTCACGAAATCTTTCTCAATTAATCAGTTCACCACTGTGCCTAGATTCGTTATGTATCCGTAGGCTACCTTCATTATGTGATTATGGCTTCTTTAATCCCTTTTCTCTATATTATTGTTACAAAATTTATTTTTTTAATTTTTCATGACGCTATATAATTATATGTGTGTAACAACAATGTAAATACCTGATGTACTACAAGAAAATTATTAATATTTTTAAAAAAGTCTTTCTCAATCTTCCTCTTCAATTTTTTTAGTCCTTTTATTAGATGTCATCTTACCACCACCAAAACTCTTACTAATGACACCCAGAGTGCTCACACCTGCATTGACAGCTGAAGTACCCACTTTGAGACCTGGAATAAAATCGAGACCTGGAATTTCTCCATTGTTATTTTTAATAGTTTGTTTAGTAACATTTAATGTATATCTAGGGGAGAATGAAAAATCTAAATGTATAACTCCTCCTTCATTACCAGAGGAGGTAACCAATGGGACGTCCAGGGTTGTTACTTCATCTGGATCAACTTCGGATAATGATATAACAGCTTGTCCAAGAATCTTGCTTTTATTGGAACTTTCATAATCCAACACATCTATGTGTAGATGGTCATTTACTCTATTATTCACTATGATCTTGGCAGTTTCATCCCAAACAGGAGATCTTGTTCTCTTCTTGTGTTTTGTTTCCAGGAATGGTTCCTCAGCATTATTTAAGTAAAGTTTAACATATGGATCAGAACGGCCGCTACTATCTCCTGCATCTAAGCCATCAGCTCCAGAAACTGTAACTGACATATCACCACTGTTTGTAATTAAGTCAGATAACGGTAACTTAGTAGCATTGGTAGGGAACCAAGATACTCTGACAGTGAGTTTGGCAGTTGACTTACCAGTTAACGCAAGAATAGATGGATTCTTATAACAATTCTTTATTAATTCAATCGTCGGTATTGCGAGCTCACATATGCAGTCATCTGCTTTGTTTGAGTTCCTCCATTTTGTAACCCTAAATGTTGTAACGGACCATTCTAACTCACTGATCATTGCGTCCAAGATCCAACCAGTCTGTATTGTTCTAATAGCAATTCTTGATGAGGTATATCTAGAATGTCCTGAACCATCGAAAAATGTTTGAACATATAGACCTGGTTGTGATACTTCACCATCAAGAACGGTTATAGCTATTACACCAGAGTTGTATTGTAAAAGCTCGTCGATATCTAGCTTCATTTTATTACTGTACATATCTTCGCTATCCTTTATTTCTAATTCTGCGGTGTCTATAGTTTTCTTCTCTTCGGATGTATATGACCCTGTCTCTATACTCTTTAGTTTTAGGGTCTCAAGTTTTTTCTTTCTTTCGTGTAGAATGTCTAGCTCATTCAACTCCTCCATTGTCAAAACTGGTAATGTTGGATAGAATGCCACATAATATGTTAATTCCGCCGTTGTTATATTGGTTTTTACGAGTTTACCAACTCTTTTCTTATCTTCGATCTTTTCTATATATCTATCAGAATCATCTTTATCGAACATATCCTGAATAGGCACATCAAATTTACCAACTGACTTGTGATGTCCGGTCTCTGTCACTTCCATACATTCTAATGAAATCTTTTGATTTGGAGATGAAACGGTAACGTACATTGACTCATTCCAACAGCATCTTTTTATGTCTGTAGCATCATTAGTTCTGTCTTTAGTTATTCCGTTAACAAGAACTCTAATGTATGGGTTTTTTGCTGTTGTCTTACTAACAAAATTGGCCTTATTTACGAATACTCTAACCGTGCCAATTGGTGCATTATAAATAAGAGCACTTGATTCTTCATCAAATTGAACTGGTTTCCAGAATGTAGATACACAAATTTCTGTTTTGGTACCTTTCAATGGAATCCATGTCTTTTCAATATTTTGTCTATCTATTAGATCATTTAAGGATTGGACCGTTGAGCCTATTTCTTTTCCTTTCCTGTCTTTTAATACTATTTTACAACGTAAAGTATGGCGATTTCTAACAAGCAATTCGTGTTCGGCGTTCCATTCAAGAATGTTGGCATTTGAACATTTAGAAGTTGTTAATTCGAGTTTTGCATTAATATAGAGTTCAGCATAAGCTGAAACTTTCTTAGTTATATCGTCATCGATACCTCTACAAGCTTTAATACAAATCTTAGCCAAACCAGTATTCAGGTCAGGTAACTCTTCAACACTGCCATCAGGTAGAATTTTTTTCTCAATTGCTGGATAGAATTTAGCATTAAAGTCTAGAATACCAGCAGGCTTTAAACTATTCAGGAACTTTTGAGACAAATTCATCTGTATGTTTTCATGACTCAGTTTGTTTAAATCATAATCAAAAGATGCTAGCACCTTATCCTTGATATTTTTACGTTCAGTCACGATAGAAACGTTAAGGGGTTCGTTAAAAGATGGAAGTAAGATATGCAATTTTTCATTCCATTCTGGGTGTTGGAAATCCGTAGCCACTCTAGTTCTAGCCACGTTCTTATGACCAATTTTAAATTGAATATATAGATTCGTAGAAAAGAACACTGATGAAGGTAGTCTTAAATTCTTAGCCTTTTTAACATCAATTTCCAATACACCCACGGATAAGTTTGATTTATTTAATAACTGAGGAATGTTCAATTGTAAAGAAAACGGTGGTAAAAGAACTGGTCCCAAGTATTTTTTAGCTAAGAACTGGACCATTGTGTAAAGACCTGGTATCGCAAGCACTTCCCAGCTAAAGATACTGTTGGTGAATAAGCGCGCAACAAAATCGATATCTGGTACAGTTAATAATTGAACATTAACTGTATCGATGTGAGGAAAATCTGACATTAATTGAAATTTTAATCTAACATCCACTTTGAAAGCAATCTCTGAAACGGCAACCTCCAGTTTAATACCCAGTAATTTTGCCTTTACTATAACCACTTGGTTAACATAATTCTTAAGTCTCTTAATATCCATATCTGATAGATCATGAGGTGTGAATGATACAGTCCAATCCATAACAGCTACAGCCGGAGATGTGTTCGACAATGTTTTTACTCTCTCGATACGAGGTGGTTTAACACCTAGAGAAAAAGAATCAATCCATAAATCCTTAATAATGGATGGAATTGCAGGGTTATCAGATAGCACCTTATTAACTTGTCTAACGACATCCTGTGATACTGTTGGTTCGATAATAGGCCAGTATGTATCTAAAAAGGTATTTAACCATTCTAACGTTTCGTAGTCGTTCTCAATTTTATCTACAGCGAATTCTTTCTCTATCAGGTTTCTAATAGATTGTCTATATTTTTTTGAATTCGTTCTTGCATATAATGCTAAACTCACCATGACTATAAAAACCGGAGCTAATGAAAACTTAAAGTAGCCAAAGAAAAAGGATAAAAACCCTCCTAGTCCAAAGATTCCTACAAAATGATACCAATCACCATAAAATTTATCTGGAATAACGTTATCTAGAATTGTCTCTGTATTCAAATCTAATAGTTCATCTTCGGGAGTTAAGAGGTCTTTTTCTTCCCAACCACTAATTTGTTGCCAACCAACATATGATGCATCTGGGATAACTTTCTGAATTGGAGCTATATTTTTGTTGGGACTCACTTTTTTTAGTCCATTGTTCGAATTCGAGGAACTTTGTTTCTGTCTAGTTTTTGAAATAATGTCTCCCTCCTTCTTATTCTTTTCACCTGTTTTATCATTACTTTTTATACTCATTTGCTCTGCAGTATTCCTATTGGGTGACATATTTTATTCAACAATTGATATATTTCTAGTCTGTCCCCTCTTCTATGAGCTCCAAATACCGCAATTTATGGCAAGTCGAGATGACCAAGGTTGAATTAACCGTTTTATTGTAGAGAAAATGTTACCTAAATTAAGCTAATTTCCTTTCCTTTATGTAAATATCGTCGTATAGTTCTAATAAGAGATGGTATTTTTTTTGTTTAAGAATGGCATTATTTTCCTGTCGAGGACGACATCCCTTCATTTTCCTTTTTTTTTTTGTTTATGCTACCATTGACTGTGCATATTTACTTTTCGGCATTCTATTGTACGTCTATCACGGAAAAAAGAGTTTATTAATGCTGGCATTTTATTGCCGTCACCGTTTGTTACGGCAATAACCGTTATCTTTCTTCCCTTCATTCTTTGCATAGATTATAAATTACATTCTCGATTACTTATTCAAATAAATTGACAAGTTTAGAGATTAAAGTTGTGGAAGGGCCAGACAGTCAATATAGATATGTTTGGTGTACATGGCTCCTCTTTTAAAGATGTATGTGTAACAAGAGTCATATATACATCCTTTCGCAATTATTTCAGGTAGTCATCGCTTGTAATATTGATGACAAAGTTACTAATATTTATTTGAATGCTCGTTTATTTGACATATACCATGCCGTTTATATTAAGTTATATTATGATACATATTTTTACCAATTAATGCACAGTTTTTGATCTTTATTTGATCTTTTCATTTTGAAAAATGCCAGTATCTAATACAAAAGAATTTTCACAGAACTCTTTTTATCTAGTAAAGTCCTTAATGTACTGGCTAATACAATTGCATCATCTGCAGTTAATAAAGTATTCTCCTTTGGATCTAAGAAACTAGCATCTAGGATGATATCTAATTTATCCTTCCCTTGAAAAAATGCATCACTAGATTCGATGATCTTACTTAATCTTGTAGCTGTGCAAACAAAATATCTGATGTTTGAAAATTTCTTATTCTTACCATCAAATACTATATCTATTGTCTTTTGATCATCCTTTAATTTATTCTTAGCAAATAATTTGACACATTGTCTTTCTGTGTTTAAAGTTCTAAACACATCGGCTACACGAAGGTTGGTCAATGAAAAGATAATTGTCTTTGGTGCTTTTGAAAATTGTTTTATAAAATCAGGGAAATTTTCTAAAGTTCTGTCATTCGTATATCTTGCGGTAGAAAGAAAATCTGTCTTCTTTAAATATTTTTCTTCAAGTTCTAAAGCACTTAAATCAGGATTTTTACTACGGATTAATGTTGTAAAATATTCAGATATTTCTTCAGGTGTAGATTTAGGAAGATTTTGTTTCTTAGAGATTTCATATTGACGCAATTCTTTTTTTTTTTCTGTAAATTTAGATCTTTTGGCTAATTTTTTTTGTCTTTTCGACATCGAGCTTTCATCCTTAACCTCATCAGCAGTTCTTTTTTTTTCTTTCTTATCATTATTAGTTACTTCATCTTGTGGCAATGTAACTGTACCGACATCTTCAACTTCTTGTTCACCACCGGAACTGTAATCATATAGTAAACCATCATCTAGATCATCAGGGTTTGACATTTTTCTTTTTACTATTATTATATTATTCTTATGTTACTCCTTCTGGGTTGATAGTTTTCAATACTGCTTAATCTCGATATTATAATATATTTTTAATCAATATCTACCTGTTTTAGTTAGACCTCATCGCTTCCCTTTAATAAAAATTTCAAAAAAAATTTTCAGAAATATACTAACACCCAAGCATCGCATTTAAGAAGAACTATAAATCACGTGGATCATAGACAAATGACAGAGGTATGAAAGTTGCCGCTTTTTCAATATTCTATAATTCTACCTAAGAAAACATAATTAAAATTTTATAAATGTGTCCATAGTATTAACAGCATAAGAGAATTGAGGTAATAAATACTACACTTAAATTCAGTTAGAAGGATACACAAGCTCATGTAGTTTTTTTTTTCATCTACATTCTTTCGTTCGATAAAACTATCACAATTACTGTATCGTGATTCATAATTGGGAAGTAAAATGAAAATTATTAAATAACAAACGATTATGAACTGTATGATATAGAAATAAATAGAAAATAATAATCAAACAGGTCTACTCGATTTGGCCGAGATGAATGGTTTCTTGAATAAATGCGGAAATTAAATAAATATCAAATGTATATAAACAATATCGATTATTGGATTATTACATATCTACGATCAAAATCAAAATCATTTCTATACTTTGTTTCAAATTTTTATGAAAACTCAGAAAAATTTATAGTCTATTAAAATTTATAATTTTGCTATTTATTACAAAATGTAAAACTCCATTTTTTTAATAAATAATAAATTAAAACTGATTAATTTTCCTCTTCTTTTAAATAACTTGCACATACCATATTCTAGATACCAGTTCCTCATAAAAGAGAGGTCAGAAAAAATCGTGTGGTTAAAGAACAATCGTTTGAGTCGATGTTAAATATCAGGTATATGGAAATATTAGATCAGAGTTTTTAAATTAGTAGATAAGGTACCCCATAGTTACATAACTTCTAATAAGAACATTTTATTGTACAAACAGAATAATTTCTTAATATTTTATTTAATTTTATTTAATAGTTTCAATATTTTAATAGTATTGGACTGTTCATTTTATTTATGATTTTTCTTAAATAACAGAATAAATTCAATTACTTCACCCTCCCTACAACAACAGGATTATTATTAAATTTTTGTTGGAGATAAACAAATAAAATGTCAATTTATCAAGAAAAATCTGTTTTTTAACCGCCGAGAGGTATAATAGAAATGCGATTCGGTTAAATCATTAATAATACAAATGTAAAAAGAAAAAATATAAGAAGGGTACTAAATTCAAGATTGCTTTCTAATAATTTCTTCTTAAATTTTTTTTAAACATATTTTAAGTCTTCTTTTCCCCTTTCTACTTTTTGTATTTATTATTTTAGAACAAAGTAGTAGCTGTAGTAGTAATAACATTATTAATAATGAACCATAGAAGGAAACAACAGGACTTGAACCTTCAAAACTTAAGATTTATTAAGGCTTTATGACAAGGCTTTGCTACTAAGTTAGGTTCAATGGCACAGTTATAAAGTTTACGGTTGTCGGGGAACTAAGTTTACTTAAAATAGAATACTAAATGTAATAACTTTGTGCGAGTCTCTATTAGTTTGAATATAATGGAGTCGTTATCTTATTGATTAAGGAATATAAAAAAAAATAAAGTTTCTGAAATAGTGAAAAATGCTCATAAATTACAAAGGTTAAGTTCCAAATAGTACGAAGTTTAGAACTTACCCGTTGTCATTACTTTGGTGATTAATCAGATAAAGAAATCTTATTTGCCCAATCGTTGCAAATATGATTTTTATTTTAGGGTTATCCCACTGAAATTGAAATTAATATGAGATTTATTTTTAACCATTCATTAGCTTAATCATATAGTAATTAACTTTACCAATGTTTGGTGCTTGATACATACTAATAAAAAATTTAGTTAGTTATGTGAAACACCTTGAAATTAGAAATAAAGGGAATTGAAGATAAAGAATAGTTAACATACTCATTCAGAATCACTTATGACAAGTTCATCCAGTAGACATTCAAGCATTTATCAGAACCATTGAAGGCACTTCAGGAATGTGGCAAAATTGTACAAAATACTTTATGTCAATAATATCAAACAATGCATTTTCAACAACAATTGGTTTACCAAGAAAGCCCAGTAAAATATCGAAGAAATATTTATATTGGTAGAAAATACCAAGATCTTATTAGAGGTAAAGGGATTAAATTTTTTTCTATTTAGTTAGAAAGAAAGAAAAAGTGCTCTATCACCTAATTGGAGCCTTTTTTTTATCTTTTGAGTTATAATATAAAAGTTCTATCAATTTTCCCGAAATGCAAATAACATTGGGAAAACTCATTATTGGGATAAGTGTTCAAAAGAGTGTGTTTGTTCTGTCCTTAAGTTACTGTCTCTGGAAGGATAATTTGACTATAGGAGTAAGTATGTAGATGAAACTCTTTTGATTACGTAATATAAAATCGTGTAAATTCTTTAAGAATTGTAACGTCTAATACGTTTGTCTAGTAATAATTTTGTGACGTGGTTATAAAAATGGAGAAAATAATGGTTTCAATTTAAAGGCTTCTTGATAAAAAAGAAAATAGGTGGAAAGGTTCAGTTATTAATACTAGAAACAATTTAGATCTAAATTTTGTCATGTCAGAGTACGAATTTTTAAATGCACGATGACATCATTTTATAGACAAAAAAAGTAAATCATACTGTGTGAATATTGTTTACAAATATATATATTTGTAATAGAGAGAAGAATGATAGTCACTTTCTCATTGTGTAAATAAAGATTATTAAGTTATAAGCAACTCATGATAGTATCAAATAATACTTTTTGAATTAGTCAAATTGTGGGTAATTAAGAGCTTCCTTGCTAAGCTGTAGAAAAAAGTGAATGCTTGTTGAATTATAATACGCTTTAGGGACATTATAAAAATTTGCAAACTATATTTGATTATTCAAGATTACAAAAAAATAAATAAATACCTAAGAATTATTTTCCATTACTAAAATTAGTTATTGAAAATTACAGCACAACTAAATTTGAACGATCAAATAGCTTATTTCATTTGAATTTGTACTCACCATATTATTCAATTTTCAGTACTGAAACCAAAATTATCAAATATTGTAAATTGTTAGATTACCATATCTAATGGTAAACTTTTATGATATCGAACCCTTCTTTCTCTTACTTCTCCATATTACTGCTCAACAAATATATTAAGATGAAATTGTTTATGACAGATATTTCAAACTTAAAGAAAATGTTGTGTAATTATTTCAAGTATATATACATATATCCTTTCTATGATAATACAATTAAAGACCCAACTAGGTAACGTGTATCCCGAATGGGAATGAGGCGCGCAAATGGAAAATCAATTTCTATATTTAGACAACAACAGCCGAGAGAGAGACAGAGACAGAGACAGAAAAATAATGTAAATTTTTACGTACAAACCATTTTTTTTCATTCTCGTCTACGTTCTCTACTTAGCGAAAATGTAAAATTTCGGAAAGTGCCAGTTTCCTTTCTATCAGAGCAGTAATAATTATTATGATCAAACAAAATTGGAGTTCACATTCGAAGTAATTGTCCAGGTCCGTATCAGTTTCTCACCCCCAACCATGGTTATGAAGGGTTGAACGTTAGAGGTTGTTTGAATATTTCAATGAAGAAAATTATATATATATAGTTCTATATTGTAGTTCTGTCTATGTATTGAAATACATAGATGTTTCGTATCCGACGACACTTCGGGAATTATTTCTTTTCCCCATTTTTTTTTTCGTGTTTTCTAACTTTTTGTCAATTGCTGCTGTCTTGCTACTGATTTCCTGTTAAAATTGACAACGCGTCTACCCCCTTTTCTACCTATTCATTTGTTGTCAACAGAAAACCATAGTCAAGTGCAATAAGATAGAGCGAGAGCAACGGCAGCACCAATAGAAAGAGGAAACCGTACAAGAGAGAGAGACAGAGAGAGCAATTTATTAAACTATTTTACTTTCAACATAAAATTCTAAAAAAATTACATAAAAAAATGAATAAATAGGTAAATAAGTCTTATAGTAATAAATGTAGGTAATTAGTAAAAACTTAGTTAATTTGATTACCTACAGACTCAATTTTAACCAAATCTATCTTCTACCTATTTTTTTCTGTTTTTATTTCATTTTTTGGATTTTAACTTTATAAAATAGAATAATAATTGTAAATTTATTCAATTATCATTAAAGTCTTATTATAAGCAACATAACAAGGAATTTGAGAAAAAAAGGTATTTCTATCAATTTAGGAGTAATACTTAATATATATGCATTAATACTATTTCATTTTACTCTCTTTTTTTAACAGAACTAATTTTCAATTTTCAATTTTTTTTTTTCGTTTGGTCGTTTGGAGTTTCTTGCTATTAAAGGATCGTGATTAGAGATTATACTTATCAATTCACTTATAGAGATATTTATCGTTTCATCACCCACCAGTACTCTTATTTTAAGACTTATAGAATCAACAGTTTTACTTTTTGAAAATTTAGAAGAAGAGATATACACATTACCAAATCAAAAAGATTATAAAGAATAGGATTGAAAAAAAACAACCACAAATACATTTAAATGAAACGACAGTCTTCAATGAGTAACAATATTGAATTAAATCATAATCCATGTGGTCAATTATGGGTAAAGATTGAAAATAATAATGATATTAATAACCAAGCCTTTAAAATACAAGTAAATGAAAATGATACAGTCGATGATTTAAAGGATAGAATTCTTGAACGACTCAATAATACGAGATGGAGATCAATGAATGATAATGCATCAATTTCATTAGGAATATATACTATTTCAACATCACCAATTGTTCAACCAACTCATTTACAAAATCATTCAACAGATGCAACTTCTTTAAATTCTCCTGTTGATATCATTCCCAATTTATTTCAAAAACAATCTGTTATTGCATCTGCTGCAAGTGGTACAACAAGTGCTATTATGCCTCCAGATTCTTCTATTTTAACACCTCAACCAAATAATATATTATCAAAATTGTGTACATCGATGCCAATGAATAATAATAATAACCATAATAACAATAATAATGGTTATTCTGGAACTATTATTAGTATGAGCCCAAAGACTTTTAATAATTTTACTCACGAGGAAAATCTTAATTATATTGAGACAAGCCCGCAAAGAGCTTGTTCTACTAGTCCTAAATTAATATCAGTTTCAAAATCTGCAATTGTTAGACCAAATTCAGTAACTTTATCACAAACAACAAATAATAATGGTAATACTAACGTTAATCATTTGAGTAATTATATTTCAACAAATAATAGAGCATATGCTCAAGCAAGATTATCTCCTAATGATATGACATATCAATTATCTCAATTACAACAAAAGCATGGGATTAATATTGAGGGACTTCGTTATACAACAGAACTTATTAATAGAACAAATTCCACATATAGAGTGATTTTCCAACCTGATGAATCAGCAAATAATATTATTCATCATTTATTTATCGATAAACAAACTGCATCTGATCCAATTTTTATCTTCTCCAATACAACTTTATCTATTGAACATGGTATTAATTCAATATTTAATACAACTTCAAAAATTGAGAAACCACCATTACCTTTAAAACCTATTGACGTAACAAATAATTATACACACTTAGAGAAAACGAATATCCCCATTGAACCAGGCAAATCAATTGATAATGAACATTTCGATGACGATGATGAATATGAGATTCATACATCTAGTCCCAATGAGTTCAAGACATATAAACTAATCACTAATGAGAAACAATTAAAAGAAGCATCTGATTTGTTATCCAATGAAGATCACATAGAAGGTGTGGAAACATCTCCAAAGCAGGCTATTTTATTATTACCAAAGGGATATGTTGGAGATCATCATAGCGGCGTTGACTCACATTCCTTGAATGAAGAATTGGAACGTAATTTTGAAAATCAAAAAAGTATTCAAGAAGCAATATCATCACAATTAAATACAACCAAATCCCATTCAAATACCTCTTCCTCGGACAATTTACCAAAAAGTCTTGATGTTTCGTTACAAGAAAGTGATACTTCAGCATTTATACAAGAACACCATCACGTTCCTCTGAATGAACAAGAGGTTGGATTAATTGATCCAATGATCGAAAACGAGTGGCACAAGAAGCCAAACCAAGATAATAACATACTGTCCCAACAACAACAACAACAACAACAACAGCAGCAGCAGCAGCAGCAGCAGCAGCAAAAACAAGTGAAAGTTAATTCCCAATCTCCGACTGAAGGAGATAGCACTGCCATAAAACCACACCCAAAAGCTTTACCAAAGGATAGACCAATTCCACATCCAATTCGATCTCGCCCTAAATCAGTTACCTCATCGGCGGCTCAAAAATCTACAAGTGAAAGAGTGTTTCCTAAGATTAATGTGCTAATAGTCGAAGATAATGTTATCAATCAAGCTATTCTTGGTTCTTTCCTAAGAAAACACAAAATTTCTTACAAAGTTGCAAAAAACGGTAAAGAAGCAGTGGACATTTGGAAAGAAGGTGGTTTACATTTAATTTTTATGGATTTACAGTTACCAGTGCTGTCTGGTATCGAGGCTGCGAAACAAATTAGAAATTGCGAAAAGGAACAAAAAAAAATAACTGGCCAGGGAAGTGGGTCTCCACCGGTAATCATTGTTGCGCTGACAGCATCTAATTCTATTGAAGATAAAAGGAATGCTTTAATATCTGGTTGTAATGACTACTTAACAAAACCAGTTAATTTACATTGGCTAAGTAAAAAGATAACGGAGTGGGGTTGTATGCAGGCATTGATTGATTTTGACAGTTGGAAACAGGGACAGAGTAGGATGACTGATAGCTTTCAAAATAAGACTCCCCAAAAAGTTAAAATAGATGTTGGTAGGTAATGCTTATAATAATGTGAATTATATCTCGAAATTTGTACATCATTTTAGTTGTTAATAAATATTCTAATTATGTAATGCCTAATATATATTAAGTTTTTTTAAAATGAGGCTTGTCTTTATGTAAGTATATGAAATTTGTGAATTGAACCACTTCAAAATTATATGGTTGGTTTGGATTCACAACCAGGACAACTGTGAAGTATTTCATGAATGAAGACATCACAATCTATGCAAAAATCTTGAGAGCAATCTGAACATCTATAACGTGAACTGGTTAACAATTTCCCGGTTTTATTATTTCTCAATGTTGGGAAACTCTTTTGACAACTGAAACAATTTTCTGTCGGAAAGACTCCATCTTCAACTGGGACTTCACTAAATGTCTTTAATGGCATTAGATGATGATATGATCTGGCCAAATGTGTAGATAAGATCAACATCAAATCGCAGCATGGACAAACAGTAGGTAATGAACAAACTTTATTATGGCAATTTGGACAGAAATACCCTCCATATACTAATCTTGAATGGCATGAGCAAAAAGTCGGCGTATCCTCATATACCCTAGTTGGGAACCCCATCTTGACCAATGTGAACCCCTTATTAATCCTGTTAACTGGCAATGGGACCACAGCCTCATCAAAAAGTTCCTTAAAATGAGTTTCATCCAACAAAATTTTATAGAATGATTCATCACCATAATTTGTTTGTTTACACAATTCTTTGCAGATGGCTACTTGAGCAGATAACCCAATAACCTTACAACGTATTCTTTCCTCCACCAGAGATGTGATAGTTTGATGTATATCGCTAGGGTCTGTGCTTGATAAACTACCAAAAATCAATAGCACTTCCCTAGTACAATGAGACGGAATAGGCAAAAGTAGCCCTCTAGCCATTTCCAAAGCATTCTGTAAGGATGGGTTTCCTTTCGGCTCTTGCTTTCTAATTTTTTTTAATGCATCAATGTGATCTTGTGGGTTGCCACTCACTTGACTGACCAGTTGAGCAAGTCCATTTCTCATTATAACTATACCAACTTGCGATATTGGGTTTTGGTCAAAAAAGTCATGAATAAAGTCTATGGAGTATTGAATCATCATTGCATGTCTGGTAGGTCTTAAATCCTTTTCTGTCATACTTTCACTGCAATCCAACGTCAAAATTAATGTTCTAATAATACCACGCTGATAAGGTGTTACACTCCTTTTAGCTGCACGTTTCTTTCTTGCGTCAATTAAACTGGCAACCAAGGAGGTCATATCTGCCTCCTCATCGACGGTAACCAAATCCCAACTTCTCTTAATTTCATCTTCCCATGCATAACCACCATTTGTACCTTGAAGGTTCTCATTCCCTTGAGTTTTCTTCCTCTTTCTTTTCTTCTGTTTATTCAGTCTTCCCTCATTATCTTCTAGTAGATCAACGTCTTTCTCCTTTTTTGGTTCCTCAGCATTGGAGTCAAAGTGAACTTGTCTCTTCTGCCTACGGCTCGATACATTGATATCATCTTCATCATCAGAGTCACTTGCTACTACTCTAGGAGGCATTGCGACTGATTGTTCTGGTTTATGGTACGGCTTTTCTGTTTTCTGTTTCAGAATCAATGTTAACTACCACTTTATTCACATTGAGGTGCCTCATATAATTATATTTTTACGAATTGAAATGTATAGCAGTGCATCCGTACATCGCATAACAAAAATAACTTCAACATTGTCACAACGCTATAGAAATATATAGAAAGTATATATTCACCGAATAATGCGATTGAACATTTTATTATTTCCTTTATCAAAAGACCCCAATTACCGATAGAGCTGTTATTATCTAATGAATGTATTTCAATTCATATACAAACTGCTGTCATGAATAACGAGAGCAGAACATGTCACTGCACCGAATCAGATAACTTGACATCTGATCCAGCTTCTAAATTCAAAATAAATAATATAATTGAGACATTATCAGGGTTTGGATGGTAAGTAAGATATACTGAAGTTTATTTGTTATTCATTTCTAAATTTTGGAATTGGTTTTAATACTGACTATTTACAACACAAAGAGAGAGGGACCAGTCTTACATATGCAAGTTCAGATTAGTTGTTCCAATAAAAATGATTTATTCGTTTACTTCCATAAATTGTCAGCAAACAATTAAGAAATTCTCAAAATTGTAGGTACAACATTTGGATTTGTGGGTATGACAATTCATTACAATTCGCTCCTCACAGATATGATATAAATAGCATATACGAACATTGGCGCATTTAGGGTTTTATTTTATTCTTATATTTAATTAGTCCCCTTTTATTGTGAATGCATATTTGAAATTTCGATAGAAATCATCAATTACAGGAAGTCCTGCTAACCAGATTGATATTAGCGATACTGTATTAGATAATTATTGGACAGAGAGTAGTATCAGGTTTGTTACCATGACTCCATCCAGAAAATTCAAAATATATTATCTGGTATTGATTTGATGAGTTACATGTTGGAGACCCTGACATAGTGACACAAAACACAAGATATTACCTCAGTGAAGAACCTACATATTTGTCAGAAACTAAGTCTGACTCATTGTCGTGCTTAGTTCAAAAATATTGTAAAATATGAAACATTTATGAATAAGTAATTTTGAAGATTATATAATTTAAAATAACTGATCAATTACCATATCAAAAATTGTCTAAATTATATTTAACCAACTAAAAAGAAATTAAAGAGTTAAATGATATTAAAAACTCAAGTTCAGATTTTCTACAACATTTATGGAAGAAACCAGTTGAATAGAGCATTATATTCCATGACATTCTAAAACTTTCGGAACTTTTTCCATAATGGTCCAGAACATTCTTTAGGAATATTAATAAGCACACTATCAGTAATTGATAGCTTTGCCACCCTTTTCTATAAGTATAAAAGGGCCACATATTCTAATACTTATGTATATTATTTCCTTTTCTTATATCTACTTTATATAGCATATAATAAACTACAAGAATACATTTGAAAATATATCTCTATTTCCGATACTACAAATCCAAATGATAATCTTACCTTCTCAATATTCAACTTACGTTTACAATCTATAGTATTAAAACGACTTAATATCTATACCCTACAGAAAAGCTAAAATTTGGCGGTGTGATGAGCTAGTGTTTTTGGGAAAAATTGTAACGAGGTAGGGTTTATGTCCGCGCAAATTTTTATTAGTTGAGTGGCAGATTACCCTAAATCGTATTAAGGATATCTACTAACACTTGTTGGTGTTTATGTTTGCTCTTATACCAGTTAAGGGATTACAAGGGGCTTATTAAATATATTGCGTGTATAGGAAGACTTGTAGTTCACTGATGGTGATGCTATAATCTTCAACGGCTTAATGTATATTTGAAATAGAATGATCGATTGCGATTATCTTGCTTAAACTTGACTGGTTTCTTTCAACTGAAAGATGAACATTAACATTTGGAGATAGGAGAGTCCCTTTTATAGGAGTGCTCTCTATCCCAGCTGACATGTGTGTGACGTCCATTTGGGTATGTCCCTCGTTGCTCAGGATCGGCATGCTGTGTCCCGAACAACTCATCAACCAGTGTCAGACGAGAGCTCTGATTAGTTGGATCTATACGATGTGTCGAGAGAACTCGTTCTACGACTCTTTCTGAGTGTGATGCTCATTGGGCTGTCTTTATAGCTAAAGATGCCACTGTCATGGAATAAAGTGTCAGTAATGCCTAATGCGGTTTACTGATCTTATTTACGCGATAGTTCTATTGCAAGATGCTATTAGTAATGCATAAGATGCTAACGAAGGTTAGTTTACACCTTAGTTTTCATTTTTGATTAAGGTAAAGGTTTAACCTTGTTACAAAAATCTTCAGTTTTAGAGGCAACTTGGCCGAGTGGTTAAGGCGAAAGATTAGAAATCTTTTGGGCTCTGCCCGCGCAGGTTCAAATCCTGCAGTTGTCGTTATTTTTTTGTCATCCGATATGACATAATTAGTGAAAGAGTATATTCAAGGCTAGGCATGAGGGGCTTTTAACAATTTATGTGCTTTTGTGCTGAGAAAAACATACAGTTTTACATACATTCTGTTCTATTTACAATTAGAACGTAAAAATAATAATATACATGTATATTATATTTATCTGAGCAACCTTTAACCCTTACATTATAGTTAAAGTCTTGAACGCTCCTTCAATCGCTTCTCCAGCGATGTATTCCTCCACGAAATTTTAGATTACGTTTGTTACAATTGCTTCATCTTCTACCGTCTTATCATTTAGACGATGTCTTTGGTCACCGTAAATTGATTTTAATTTAGAAAAGGTTCTTTCGGTGTTAACCGAAGTAACCTGAAGCGATAGAAGATACTCGATAGAATATGGTAAATAAATATCTCCTCTTATCCCACGTCTACATTCGTTGATGTAATTTCTATATACACCAATCCAAATGGAATCTTCAAGCACAAGCTTTTCAATCTCTGAGCATTTAGATAAGATTTGTTTACTCACTGTTTCATCACTTAATGATTTGTCATTAATATCGCAGCCAGCCGCCCTTCCGGACACTTTTAGAACATTCCTCATGTCCTTCCAGAAACAGCTTAGTAACTCTTCTTCTACCCTAAATTCCTTTGGCAGGTTGCCCACTATAAATGTATCTATATCTCTTTCATTTCTGAGTGAGTCTATATTATAAATGTTACCAATTAAACTTGTATGGAAACTAGGCACACCCTGTCGACTTGTATCACTTTCTGAACCATTAATCAGCTGAGCTAGTCTATGTACCGTCAAAAGCCCGGTCGCCTTTAATATCCGTTTAATTGCCTTTGTGAAGCCATCGGCAGTATAAAAATGAGTACCTGTGACTGATTTGAATGCATCTACAACTGAAGTTCTTTTCGTGATGTCTAACATGCCTGACGAGTATATAATATTATAATTTGTCGTAAATTGTGTAATGCACTTCTCCACTTTACTGACTGTATTATTGGAGTTTACAGCTATTTGTATTCCTTGAGCACATTTAGAACATTGTCCAATGTTATTTTTGGGTTCAATTAAAATAGCAACGTAAGAGGTCGCTATGGATTTGTCTCGTGAAACATACGTCGTTAAGATTTCGAAGGGTGCTAACATCTCTATCAATAGGTAAGCATGGATCTTATGATCATAGAAAATGGTATTTTCTATAACAATATTTTGCATTTCACATTCCAGTGGACTGAAATATAATTCGAAATTTGCCTACTGATGCACACTTTGTAGACCTTCTTCTTGAGATCAGTTCTTTTAATTTCTCCATTCAGTAAAACTAGTTTTCTTAGAACAGTCAGTGCCCTACCATGAAATAGGTCGCTTACAAGATACCTAATACGCATTTTTCGAGCCCATTAACAGTCGTGCCGGAGTTTTGTTCATCCTCATGATTTTCCATGCCTTTTTCATAATAGTCATCATCCCTACCAGTGTCTTCGTTTAGCGGTTCTGTTGAGTCATCTGTGGGTAAAACATCAAAACTTTTGATTAACTCTTCGGAAATAAGATTAATAATATGGACCAAACAACCGATGTGACCAGCAAAGAGAGGAAATTCTTCTCTACCCAAGTCAGAAATGCTGCCGAGATGCCGCCGGCGTTATAGTGCGAGTACTGACCAATAGGTTCTCAATGGTATACTCCATACTCTTGTCCAATAAATCAGTTTTGTGATTAAGTTTTGTCTTCCCTTTTAGTGAACTGTAACCAATTAAGAAGTGATTATTCTTCATTTCAATGGAATAAAATGAGCATAGTACGGCTGAATATGAGAGGCCATTATTTGCTTTCCAATCATCCGTCTCGATACTTATATATAGAGGATGATGACCAAAAACTTACTAATTGTATTATCAATACAACGGGCCATAGTTGCTGGGGGAATAATAGTAGCAGTCATATTATTAACTGAACTTGCTTTTTTCTTAATAAAATATTTGAGTAGCATTTTATAAGTTCTGGATGTGTCACTAATTATACTGGCGGGTCTTTTCTGTTGTATGATTTCTTCCAATTTACGTTCAGAAAGCTAAGGGTATATTGAACAAGCTTATTATCAAAAAAAGAATATGATAACCTAGCAGGAATAAAGCATTGTGTTACGGTTCGAACAAGTTTGTCGTCATCCCCTGTTGCTGGACGAATTAAAGAGGTAATGCCAATCTCTTCATCTTCAGACAATTCAAAATAGCGTGGTTATCACTATAATCACCACTATTGTCTTCACCATCCTCCACTTCAATTGGAATTTCCTCTTCTATTTCTTCTTCGTCGGAAGCAACCAAAATGGCTGTCTGGACACCTACGTGTTCGGTTTCAGTAATAAAGGAGGATGCAGTGCTATCAACTGACAATGGTAGATTATGCACCTTTTCTGAACACAATTTCTCAATGGTTAAGTTGTCTCCAGTAAGCAAAAAGTAAAAAGTGATAAAAATGAAAAATTTTCTTTGAAAAGACAAGTAAGTTCAACACTTATTAAAAATATCCATTTTAATAATTTTTCCAAATGCTAACAAACCAAAACAATAAACCTCAAAACATGGCATATGATAATGAGAGGGTCGATATAATTAATATCGATGATGAAAACAATCCAAAAGAAGTGAATGATTTCAACTAGAAAACTTCGAATAGTCTATTAAACCTGATAGAAGGTCTTAGAAGAAAGAGACAAAAAACCTCCAAGAGTGATGAAACAAATCAAACTATTGTTGTGAACATTTATAATATCGACAATCGTTCTATAAATAACGGCTCAATCGACAACCACTCAATCGAAAATAATTCGATCAACAAGGGCAAGGTATTATTATCAAAAAATAGAAATATAGATGTTGAAAAACTGGAAATGATTACCTCCAGAAACAAATGTTCAAAAATATTTCCACAACTCGAAGACGATAAAACTAACCGATACTGCCAGGTTTTTGAGAAAAATTGTGTGTGTAATGAACTTATAACCTTTAAAGATGAAGAAGAGGTTAGTAAAAGGGGTACTAGAAAATGTGAGGATCATGTTAAAAAACAACATATACTTGTATATGCCTCAACTGATCCATTTTCTTATCTTAACAAGGAACACAGCCCTGTAAAGAAATTGCTACAAAATGAAGCAATAAGTGGTGACATTTTTAGTATGCTTAATAGGAGAAACTTGTCACAAAATCACAAACTCTCTGATTTAGAAGAATTTATGGTAGCTTCTATCCTATCCGGAAGTCCATTCTCTCAATTGGATGAGCCACTCTTTAAGAGAGTAATAAAGTCTCATTACCCCGATAGTCCAACAGGAGAGTACAGAAAGATATGTTCGGATATTATACTCAGACTATCTGGCAGATTTACAAACTATATCCAAGATGAATTAAAAAAAGATAATCTGCTAGCAACTCCTTGCACTATCGTAATTCCTAATAGATCGAGAAAACTTGACACCATACTATTTAATCGTCTACTTCAACTAAAAAAAAATGTGCCTTTTTATATTAGCATGGAAACTGATGATTGGAAATCTAATAAAAGGACAGACTATTCATCAGTAATATTTAATTTGTCCACTGCGTTCAATAAGAAAGCCAGCTTTATCGCTGACTATTCCAAACTGAATGGGAAGACCAAAGATGCGCACAGAAAGTACTTAGAAGGTGTATGTGAAAAATACGATACCCAAACACTTTGGGTTAACACATGTACCGATAATGCTTCTTCAGTTTTGCATTGCATTTCCGAGTTAAAGGATGATCCTCGTTACCCAGTGTATGCGGGACACGTTGGGTGCTTGGCTCACATTATTAACCTTGTCTGTGAGAAAGTCCTCCAATGCCTCTCTGTCACTCCAGATACTGAAGGACTCACTAATGATGACGAAGAAGAAGAATCAATGAATAGTGGACAAACACCAAACGAGAAAGGTTTAAATGAAGGTAGCGATTCTAGGGTTGAAATTTCGGACCTACTTAATGACCCATTAGCCGGTAAATCTCCGGAAGTGTTGTCGACATTAATAAAACTTACCGCAGAACTTCGGAGGTCCCCGGATAAATTAGTACTGTACGACAAGTTTGTCTCAAGACATATCCCTGCATATTGTTCTGTAAGATGGAAAATTAAATACAACATTTTAAATGTACTTGTTGTACATCATGAGGATATTTTAATTCTCAAATTGTTGCAAGGAGATGAATAAACCCTTCGAAAATGATCCAAGCCCTGCTGACCTAGAGATTGCAAGATTGTTGGTTAGTATTTTAAAACCGTATGACGAATTGACTAGATTCATTTCAACGAATGTAAATCTGTCCCCGGTATACATACCTTTCTTGATACACATCAGAGATAACTTGATAAAAACAAACAAGAAGTTAAGAGAAATGGGCGATTTGACTACTGACTTTAGTCCAGCAATTTCCCATACTGAGAAATATTTGGAGCAAATAAAGAATAATTTTGAGTGTCTCTTTGCATTAAATTGCTTTTTTCCCTTACAAGAATTTGATGTTGGCAAGTTTTTCAAAGATCACTTTGGTGAAAGTTATAAACCCACTGATAGAATTGTGGATATAATAATGAACCTCTGTAATTTCCAAAAAAATAATGATACCAAGCATCATGACTCTGGTTGTTCGAAACGAGAAGGAGATAGAGACCAGAATGATGATGATATTGTCAATGAGAATAATTTTGATATTGTGTTAAGAGGGGTAGCAAGGCAATTATTACTTTTGGAATACGATGACTACTATACCTATTCAAAACACGAATACGAGCATTTACTTAAGTGTAGGATGATACGTGAAGGAATTCAAAAGAAGGAGGAGCAAACTGGAACAGGATACTTTAGGATAAATGATGGTAAATCAACTAAGCTTAGTGATACTGATATTTTTCTACTTAGAATGACAGTAAACCTAGATATGCTACGATCATATCGAGCTGAAACCACGAAAGATAACAGCTCAATGAATTGCCATGTATATCTTCCTGTTGTAATGGATTATTTACTTTCCTTTTCAGTCACATCAGTAAATGCAGAAAGGTCATTTTCAATGCTAAAAAGGATATATGGGAATGACAGACATCGGTTGAGGGATAACACCACATTTGCTTTAGCTAATGTTCTTAGTGTACATCATTCAAACTTAGAAATAGATATTCTATCAGAGTTTGAACAAGAACCCTTATCCAGAGCTCTTGGCTTTGGCAGAAAAATTGGTTCAACCAGAGAGTAATAATTATTGATTGTGACGAATCAATGTATATCACCGGATATGAATTGATCATTGTGAGGAACTATCAAAGGTTGGTGCTATGATGTGCTATTGTGTGGTTCTATATAGTTAAAATAGTTATTTCCAAGGACTGATAAGGTCTCTAAAAAATCTTATATATATTCAATAAACATTAGGTGGGGCCCCATTTTTGGTATCAAATATTTTTGCCTCGCCCCACTTTTGACATGAAAAGTTTTAGCCTCAACCCATTATCGCCCCCATACCTAGTTGGGGGTTTTGATCTAAAATTTGATTAAAAAAGAGGGGCTTTTGAAAAAAAAAGCCCTCCATGCTTACTGTCACCTGTTCTAACGGCGGGTAATTATCTAACACATCGGACGACAAAAAGTAACGACAACTGCAGGATTTGAACCTGCGCGGGCAGAGCCCAAAAGATTTCTAATCTTTCGCCTTAACCACTCGGCCAAGTTGCCATACTATAATGAAAATTACTGTATTTGAAGCAGACTAAAAGTTAACTGACACTTTGTCACGTGCTAAAGAATGGAGACTCAAAAGAATCAACCAATTAGGTTGAAGCATATCTAAAACCTAACAATGAACTAAAAAGGAATGATTTACAATGACTAAGAAATATGAAACAAGGTAGGCATAACACGGAATTAGAGGAGTTAACGAGCTTAACTATATTGAGTATATAAATCTATATCTTATATAAAGAGAGCTTATCTCAGATTATGAGTCTCTCGCTTATATAATGGATTTATATAGAAATAGAAAAAACCATTATGTTACATTTTGAAACATGTTACATTATGAAACAGACCAGGTTACACTATGAAACAGTGTGCGGTTGTGTCATGAAACAAAAATGTAAGATATGTTTACAAAATGAGACTAATCTTCGACTGTGAGACGGTAAGTATATAAATGGGACTTTTATCCAAATGTTAATTTATATATTTCTATGTACAATAGAAAAGAAACACACAAAATATTATATAATTGTATACGTATAATATGTCTCTCACTAACACTTCCAATTTAGAGATACCTCGACAATTTGAGATCTCTAAACTGCGTCAACAGAAACCATGCATAATTTCTACAATGCTAGTATAGGAGATTTATAATCACGAAATATTACCCAATCCAAAGGTATATAAAAGGATTAATATTTCATGCATTGGAATATTTTATTTCCCTGATTATTTTGTATATTATTTATAATTTGTATACTAAAGAAATCAGACGACTATACGTTGATTTCTAATAAAATAAATTTTGTACCATATTAAAGAAATGGTTTCCTCTAATAATTCCAAAATCGAACACTGACATGTGTGTGGCGTCCATTTGTGATGGAAATAATATGATATGAGTATATCTAGAATGTTTTACCAATAACATGGAAAGATCACGAGAAAATTACGTAATGCTTCATTACTAATGCAAAAATAGATGCGTATTACTAATGAACCATTACGTAAGGAAGATTACCTAATGGATGAGAAGGTAATCAAAAAAAATTAAAATTATATAAATACGAGTCATTCTGAACTTACAGTCTGAGTTAGAATTCATTCGTTCTGTATATTAAATAAGAAATAAAAAATCACTTACAAATTTAGAATAAAAGTAACACATACATTTGCTTTACAACCTACTATCACCGTAATAATCTTCATTACCCATTAACGCTTATTTAATATGCAAAACCAATCCGAATCTAACATCAATATGTCTGCTTCAGCTCAATGGAATAGAACTAAGGTGTAAGGTAGTAATTCAAGTGGTTTATTCATAATCAAGGGTATTGTGTAAGGAAACATTATTTATTGAAATATGAAAGTAACTGCTAATTAAAAAGTTTCTTATAAGAAGGGCGTGAACACTTACTGTACAGAGCCCTTTAGGGTGGATCATTACAAGAGGTGATAAGGATGGTACCCCTATTTGTTATTAAATTCGAGTAGTAAATAAAGATCACTTTATCTTAAGAAACTAATCTCAGAGTGCATGTAACTTATAGATTCGATTGCTACCCTCTCTATTTCAACTGGGGAACATGTTACTTCATAAAGGTTACAAACGAAACATATGTTAAAGGTTACGAAAGACTTACTTTCAACTCACTACGACAGCCGTGCAAATTTATTGACAGCTACACTAATTGACAAAACATAGAGAACAAGTACGACCCTGGGTAGTTTTGATGTTTTAATCATTGGGTATTCATTTTTGATGCAGATTTGAAGAAGTGATTACCAAATTCCTTGAGGGGGGCGCCAAGTGGAAATTTCATTTACCCCATTTTTCTCCTTTTCTTTATATTTTAGTTGAAATGGTTCAGCTCCTAAAGTTCTCTTCTCAATATTTGCATAGACATGCATATAACGAAGGATAGATCAACAAACTTTAGTTTTTACTACTCTGTCTATACCTTTCCTGTGCTATTACACGAATCTGTCTGAATAGTTACTGAAAAGGGACATTCATTGTGGATGGTTTATTAGAATTACCCACAAACATATTATATTTAGACTCAATACTTTGGAAAGAATCAAGGGTCAGATTTAAAACCTTGTATTTAATAGAACAATTGAAGGTTAATTATACCCGATTAAGCATTGGTTAAAAGAATGAAAGGGATATTATATTCTAAAAACAGAAACCATACTTTGGGAATGTTACATAAATTGGTTTGTTTCACACTATGGTAGCTGATTTGGCATGCAGTACTAAGGTTAGCACTATATATACAGGGAGATTTACCCACAAGGTTTGATATTATCGGAATCAAAAAATTAATAGTATTATTTTCTTCAGAGTACATATTGTCGTTTATATCTTTTAAGAATCAAGTGCACTGTGCTTTACCCCTCAAAAATATTAATGAAGTATACATTGAACAAGCTAACGTTGAAATTACTGAACGTTATCTTAATCAATACAATATATCTATATATTCAAATAGAGAAGTAAGCTATATTATCTTTACTTTGAAATAAACATGAATCTATCAATAGCATATAGGGCGCATCAGTTAATAAGTTTACAACAACGGCTTTAATTATCTAAAGACGACAAAAGAAGTATATTATCGCCTAGATACACTGCTGTCCTTTTTTTAGATTATCTGTTTTGATTGAAATCATAGGAGCCTTTCCCTTTTCTGTCATCGGAAGAGAAGTTGACAAAGTTGACAAATTAACGTGGAACGCTGTCAGTGACAAACGTACATATTCCAATCTGGCCAGCGCCCTCCTAAACAGTCGGCCAAAAAAAGAAAAAGAAAAAAAACTAACGCAGACATATAGATCTATCAGAATCTGAGATTCGCCGAGCAACTGTTTACTACGTCGTTATTCTTATAACATTTCAGAAAAACAAAACAATACCGAAAAGTAAAAAAATATTGGATGGAAAATATGATCATTGAATAAAATTCAAAACGAGAGAGAGAATGATGACACGCCTGCAGATGAAACGCGAGGGACAAATCAATCTCTTGCTAACTAAGCCCTTTAAAGAGATAATAACGTATATCTCCACGGATGGAAAGCGATTATGGAGTTAAGTTTCAGTTATATTTGCCGACTATAGCAAAAATCATTCGCACATCTTCAGAAGGATTATATTTAAACTTCACCATTATCATAGGCTGGATAATATATAAACAATTATATTGATATTTCTTCAAATAATATAGAGAACAGGTGTATAAATAACCCTGTTTTAAGAACTTAAGCCAAACGTCAACGTTAGTCCCAATCTGTCAATACAGAAAGAACACAAGTGTAAAGAAGTAGACACGAAAAAACACACGAAAGTCAAGAATAGTAGCCTATTGTCATCTAGGTCAAAAGAAGAAGATGTCACGAACCATTACGTTTGATATCCCTTCCCAATATCAATTAGTGGACCTTATTGGCGAAGGAGCATATGGAACAGTATGTTCCGCTGTTCATAAACCTTCCAATACAAAGGTTGCCATTAAAAAGATTCAACCTTTCAGTAAACCCATGTTTGTTACGAGAACACTTCGAGAAATCAAATTGTTACGGTATTTTCATAATCATGAAAATATCATTAGTATCCTAGATAAGGTGAAACCTCCATCCATAGATGAAATGAAGGCGGTATATTTAATTCAAGAGTTAATGGAGACAGATTTACAAAAAATTATTAATAATAACCAACAATCGTTAAGTGATGATCACATTCAATACTTCACATATCAAATTCTGAGAGCATTAAAATCCATCCATAGTGCTAGAGTAATACATAGAGATTTAAAGCCATCCAACCTTTTACTTAACTCAAATTGTGATTTAAAAGTCTGTGATTTTGGATTATCGCGATGTTTAGCAAGTAGTTCCGATACTAGAGAAAACCTTGTAGGATTTATGACAGAATATGTAGCCACGAGGTGGTATCGTGCACCAGAAATCATGTTAACGTTTCAAGAATATACTACAGCAATGGATATTTGGTCAGTTGGTTGTATTTTAGCAGAAATGCTATGTGGGAAACCATTATTCCCAGGTAAGGATTACCATCATCAGTTATGGTTGATTTTGGAAGTCTTAGGGACCCCATCTTATGATGACTTCGAACAAATTAAATCTCAGAGGGCTAAAGAATATATATCAAATTTACCTGTAAGACCACGCTTACCTTGGGGTATGGTTCTTAATAACAATATGAATGGCCCCAATAATCGAAATAGAGAATTTAACTCTGATTTGTTGGATCTACTGACTAAGATGTTGATGTTTAACCCTAATAAGAGAATAAGCGCCGAAGAAGCATTGAGACATCCATACTTAGCAACATATCATGACCCAGAAGATGAACCAGAGTACCCACCTTTAGACTTAGAAGATGAGTTTTGGAAGCTAGATAACGAAATCAAGAAACCAGGTGAAGAAGAATTATCAATGGAAATTTTGAAGCAAATGTTATTCGATGAAATTATTAAACCATTGAATTGATAATCGTACGGTCAAAAAAGACGAATTGAAATTTATTACTTTCAATTAACATTCATATCATGAATTTAGCACAAGAATGCTATGATACACGGGACACCCTAATGAAAATAAAACATCATATGAATAGTAATTTAAAAAGACATGACATATTGGTCTTTAAGGAATAAACCGGAAATATACACGTTATATACATTTACAAAGACTATCCTTACATAACACTGCATAGAATATAATGAAGCATACACATATTTAATAATCTGAAACAGTAAACAATGGGAAACAGTAAACAATGGGGAGCGAATTTGTTAAAGTAGCTACTTGATTTCTTAACTGGATCTCAAGTTTAAACATCTTGCCCAGCTAAAATTTATAGAATGTTTTTTCTGATAGCGAAAAAGTGAATAATATCCGAACAACTGCGTATTTTTCTTTGCGTCACCCAAAATGTTTCATCACACGAAAGATAGAAAAAAAGAACCAGCATTTTTTTTTTATATTTCACCCTAACAATGCAAAGCAGTAACAACAAAGTCATTTTTCTTCGATCCAAAAAAAGCAGTGTGTCCTTTGCAGATAAACTATTCGTGAACCATTGTTTCCTCAAAGAGCCTTAAAGTTTTCAATTATTCTCACTCTGTATCTAGTTAAGAGCTTGATACGCACCGCATGTATATCGAGAAGAACTTTTAACGCTGAAGTAATTTCAATTATCAAGATAAAGTACATCAATTCTCCTTTGTAGTTTCCTTGTTGATGATTAGGCGCTGGTCTTTTTGACTGAGTGCTTTTATATTACGCAGGCACTACAAACTAAGAACGGGAATGTCATCTGTTGTCACTATTGTTCTGTCATTATAATAAGCAGAATCTCATTAATTTAAATTTCATATCCGGAAAACATTTGGGACAAATCTTAGTAACCCTCATAATTTCAACTCAAGATTATTATGTAATCGTTATTATAGTTTTCAGATCTCGATAATATATATACCGGAATGGTAATTCTTAATGTTTTATTCTTCGTCCTTTTATATATAAAGTATGCTACGCTGTCATCCAAAAATAACTTTCGTAAGAAAGTAGTATTTTAAATATATCAGCATATTAATGAACGTGAGGTCACACATAATCATATATAACCAATAATGTCAAATGATATCAGACCAGCTCAGTCTGCAACGCAATTTGAAGCAATAATAACGTCATCTTCGGAAACAGAAATAGAATCCAAATCCGAAATAAATAAAGTAGCGAAAAATGATGCAACTGATATAAATCCACCCAAGACATCAAATATCACTATTAATAAATCAGTACACGTAGATAAGTTGGGAAGTAACTCAGCATATTTAACCCCAGATCTTGTAAACTTACACCAACCATCATTTGGGAATGATGGTTTTTTACAGGATGTATCACCAGGTATTTTCAGTATGAGAACAGTCTCGACATCGGCTTTGAATGATGGACTATATTGGGATAGCAGTAACAATGAAAATATTGGACATATGAATAAATTTACCTCCAACTTGCAAAAAGTAAAGACAGATGCTACACCTCTTAATAAAATATATGATATAACCGAAGGAACGACGTTAGCGATGGAAAGTCAAATTGTACATGGTTCTGAGGATAGTCGGTTATCCACATATAACAACCAATTGACAAAGATGGATATAAATAAAGTATCACCATTATTCAAAACACCTATGGCGCCTCAGATAGATGAAGCAGCACAGATGCTCAGATCCGAGATATACCAAATACCAAATTTTGTTGGAAGAAAACCTCTTCCTGTCACCAGGAATATATCTCCTATGAATAGTACTATTCATAAAGAAAACCCAGAGGAAACATCTAGTCCATTTTCACAGGAATTTCCTGCCAGTAGTTCGCCTATAAAATTATGTGCATATAAAAAACATCCAACCGATTCTGGGAACGTTTATATGGATAACCCATTTATGCTATCGGGAGGTATGTCTCCAATAAAGATAAGAGATCATACCAATGATTACTCTAACATAAACAGATGGGCTACTGAATCTGAAGCTTCTTTTGGTGGTTCAGATATCGAAAAGGATAGAGCTGAGTCACCTCACCCTGATATCCCTAACAGCATGGAAAAAGAAATGCCTTTCCAACATGCGTATCATGATTCGTCGATTTCTCTTAATCTAAGAGCACCTAAATTTACTGAAGTTTTCAGTATTTGGAAAATTATTGTGGTACTCTTAACATGTATTATAATGCCACCATTCTTTTATATAATATATTATGCAGATCGTGGTGGTATATCCAGTCGTATGATTTACAAATTGATTCTAAATAAAGAGTACCTTCGAGACCCACTAAACAATTTCTATTGGGACGTGGATATAACGTGGTTTAAAAAACTGTGTTTCTGGCTAGGACTACTGGAACTCCTCATAATATCAGCCTGTATCTGTATCGGATTTGGAGTAGGTTTAACTAGAGATTAATCATCCCTTCATCCGATCAAAATATTTCTTGTTGGTATCACTCATCTGCAAATATTTTAGCGTGATATGAATCGTAATTATGGCGCGAGACCTATTGCCTTTACTCACGCGAACCTTCTAGGCATAGCGCAATTACAAAATATAACTAAGAAGAACTACTCAGGCGATAAGCTTGTTAACAGAACTTCTACCAATTGGACACTCATTAAGTATTTTCTTAATTGTATATATTAAAATATATATCATAATCGTTAACTGATATAATAGTTACATTTATTCGTATTTCTGCGGTTTTAGTAAGAACCTAATAACAAAATCATCTTACATGATATCGCATGTTGTGGAATACAGTTGTCAATACTCAGATCAGATCAGAAAGAAACATAAAATATGGCATGATGGTAAATTAAAATATTACGAAGCCAATAGTCGATTCATGTTGTACCCTGAGGAGAGCAATGTTCTCATTTCAAGTAGTTTTATAACAAATTCTAGAGATGTGTCTACAATACTGGACTCTGAAGGATTCAATACTGTTGAACATAAAATCTTCAGCAGGGCGGTAGTTATCATCACAGAAATGTTATGTGAATATGATAGAGAAGTTCAAATTCAAAAGGCCAAAGAATCACCAATATTACATATGCGAAGAAAGGATTGTTCTATTGAAATGGCACCTGATAAATATGAATCACACAATAAGGTTCCAGCGCAACAGAATAAACAAAAAAGCACAAGGCGTGTCTTAATTAGGAATGATGAGATACGAACTAATGAAACAGGAAATGTGTCGCTGGCGTTGAAGTTTAATAGGCCTTTCAAACCTCCTTCTATAAAAAAATCGCATCAGTCATCAGAGAAAGATGGATATCGTCCTGCCATACGCAACGCTAAAATAACCTGGCAGAAAGCGGATAGAATGGAGAATAAGGAACAGTTAATAACTAGTAATAAACATACTGAGAAAATAGAAGTGCCTGGAATCTCAAAAGAACGCACTGCTAATAAACACACAGAAATAGAAAAGAATGAAATGACATCGATGAAAAAAGGGTCTCATGATAGAATCACTGGTAACTCAAAAAGAAAAAAAATCAGTCATATTCCAATAGTAATATGAATATTAACTAACTCATAGAGCTTGTTGTCGTTCATTTTTTAATTAGAGAACGATATTTATATAAGATATAAGGTATAAACGATAATAAGAATATATGATGATTCAAATAATTTAATTCGAATCTATGATTAGATTCCTAAAAATATTTTCCAGTGAAGCATTATCCCCAGAAAATTTTCTAATCCCCTCTGAAAGCTTATCCGTTGCCATAGCATTTTCATTCATATCGAATCTAAATTGTGCTTCATTCGAAATGTAGCTCCTCATGTCTTTTCCTCTTTCTTTACTGGATTCAATAGTTAAAACTTTCTGAACGTTTTCATGAGAAGTAGAAAGCTCTTCCAGCTTATCTAGTGGAAGAGTGACACTATCAATTCCAGCTAATGATAACAACTCTTCGTTATTTCTAAAACACGTTCCCATAACTATTGTCTTATAGTTGTGTTTCTTGTAGTAATAGAATATTTCTTTGACGGCCAAGATACCTGGGTCATCATCCTTTGTGAATGTCTTACCTGATTTGGCCTTAAAAAAGTCCATAATTCTTCCCACAAAAGGTGATATCAATGTAACATTGGCCTCTGCACATGCAACAGCTTGAGTCAGTGAAAACAACAAAGTTAAATTACAGTGAATGTTGTGTATATCTTCCAGTTCTTTCGCTGCTTGGATTCCTTCCCATGTTGAAGCAATTTTAATAAGAACGCGATCCTTGGAATATCCTCTTTGTTCATATAGGCCAATGATCCTAATAGCTCTTCTAATAGTTTCTTTCTTATTAAAGGACAATCTAGCATCTACTTCAGTGGATACCCTCCCTGGAACAACTTCCAATATTTTACATCCAATTTCAACAAAAAAGGTATCGATTGCAATTTCAATTTTTTCCTCATCAGTTGCTCCTGTTTCTTTACCATACAGTACTGATTTTTTAACGTATTCTTTATATTTATCATCTTGAGCAGCAGCCAGAATAAGTGCTGGATTGGTAGTGCATGATTGAGGGTTATATTTTCCAATGGATTCAAAATTTCCTGTGTCACACACAATCGTAGTACCAGCGTAACGTAACTGATCTAATGTGGACATTTTATCTAGCATTGGGTCCAATTTTACGTTTCTCAAGTAACATATATTTAGTAGAACAGCCATTTTTTAAAAATGGAAGAGATTTTAATAAAAATACGACGATTTATATCCATTTTTGTTGGAAATGTGAATTAAAAACGTGCGGCTCTCTTGGGTCGGTCTGATGACAGTAACATCAGAAAAACAGGGTCCTCATTCGTCTATCCGGTCTTTCGATTGTTGACAACATACAACAGCAAAATTGTGAACTATTGTTTCCTTAATTTTTTCAGCTTTCTTATCAAATTTGGTCCTTAGTTAACAATAGACCTTACAATAAACCATTCAAGTTTTGGGGAGGGCAGAAATATCGTATGGTTAGCCTAAATCGCATTTCACATAAGGGATAATTCAACGGAAAAAATTATTGACTATGTACTTATTATTATATGTTATTTAGCACCACTGTTCATGGCTTGTATTATATGATTTGTTCTTTCTTCTTCTGTTATTAAATTACTAGGACATCTTTTTAATATAGCTGCCAGACGTTTGTTAAATCTTGAGCCGGGCATATTGTGGACAATGCTAACATGTCTATTGTATGCATCCTTTCTTCTAAATGTTTTATGACAATATTTATTAGGACATGCAGTAGTCACATATACACTTTCTTTTAAATTCAAAGAAGCACGGAGTTGGTCATCTAGTTCATCCTTATGTTGTATAGCACAATGTCTCCTCAGATCAGATCTTCCAGGAAGACCAAGAATTTTCCAAGGGCAGTTAGAAATTGGACAATTATATTTTCTTCTAATACGGTATTTGTCTAGATGTTCTGCATATTCTAATATAGTGGAAAACATCTCTGGACAGTGATTACATCTGTAACTTCCACGTTTTTGTTTCTTTGAAGCCACAGCGGATAAATAATTGTCATTTTTTATTTTCTCTACCAAGGAACTATCAAAATCTGTTAACATATTAGAACTGATGGGACTAACTGGTGTCATTAAACGGCCACCTCTTGATTGACAAAGTCTGTTTTTTTTCACCATTTTAGTTAAATCTTTATCATATTTACTTTTTTCATTGAAATTTCTATTTGCCTTTTTCTTCTGTGTTTTACCAACTAACGGTTTCGCAACTTTAGGTATTTGTTCAAATTTAGATTTTTCTGCAAATATCTTTTTGTATGAATCCATTTGAAAGAGTTCTAATTCTGGAAATTCGTTAATCATATTTATGTCTACTATTGTATCAAGGACATTTTTTTTATTATCATGAGATAATCCTGGTGATAGGGCAGGTAATTTTGTCACCGTTTCCTGTTTCCGAGAATTCTCTTTCACAAGGTTAGTTAAGAGTGACATATGATGGATGGCAGAGGAAATTGGAATCGAGGATTTGGTTGAATTTTGAGAATTTAAAACAAATATATCTTCTGTCTTCCCATTCTTTAAGCTATTCTGACTTGAATATACACTAGAAGGAGAATTAAAATTAGATCCTTTATTTTCGTTTGAAAAATCAGATGTGAAACTTATGTTACAATTCGAAGAATGAGGTTCTATTATATCTTCAATTTTATCAGATTTGTATCCAGAATATTGAAATCTGTCAGTAGCATCTATATCTACTGGATCTGGAGACAATTCAGAATAATTGGATAAATATCCAAAATCATTGTTAAACAGGTCTAGTACTTCTGGTTTAATTTTATCAGATGTATCACTCATTATATTTTCTTTGTTATTGTTATTTTGAAAAACCTGGATGTTGTCATCAGAATAGAGTAACTCATTTATTTCGTCATAGAAGTTCATGTTTATGCAAAAAATATGTAAATGTAAGATAACTTTTGAGCAACCAAAAAATATATACTAATAAAATCACTATTTTTTCTTAGAGGGTTTTTACGTTAATTGTGAGAGTACTATTATGCTTTCAAAGAAATGAAATAAAGAAAAAATATTCTAAGTAATAGCTTCAATTAAAAAAACAAAAATATTTTGAGGTGAGGTTTTGAAATTTCAAATTTGTAATATATTTGTTGAGGTTCGTAAGTTCATATATATATATTTAGTTTAAAAGTTTTACCATTTCTTGATGCATTTTTTCTTTCGAATATAGGAAACAACAACAAGGAAAGAAAGAAAAAAATTATTTGCAAAGTTTTAAGCTGCGTCCTCTCTTGATCCTACATTGTTGTTATCTACTGAAAGCCAGAAGAGTTGAATTATTGGCAAGGCAAACAGTGAATGGTGACAGGATGGCTACATACCGATGTGTTAATGTAATAATGTACATTTCCTCTTCTGAGCTTAATAATTCCCATGAACATAGACTACACTAAGAATAACGCTGAGGATAAGCAGTACGACTACAATATTTTGCAGCTAAGTATGCATCTTAGGAGTCCGTACAACAAGGAGGTTGCGCTTTCTAGTAGCACAATTGATTGACCATAGGCAGCCAATGGCCATCGTTTTTTGATCATCAATAACATAGAGTAATAATAGACAATAAATCGATAGGAAACTATAATCGAAAAATGAAAAAGATTAAGAAAATCGTGTACAATCATTAACAAAATATATATATATTAATGTCGATGATCCTTCTATTATTTTCTTTTATTTGTACCAAGATGAAACGTACTTCGATAGTCTTCCTAAAGAGGAAGTAGATCCAATTTAGGTTGAAAAATTGAATGAGATGTAAATAAATAAGGTAGTTGTATGGTTCCAAATAGAAGTTATCATATAAAACCCGTTTCTTTTTTTCTTCATGTATTTCTACAGTCCTTGCTTTTCTATCCGGGTTTACATGGAGAAATAAGTAGAGAGATCAAATTAAATGCTCTCATATATGTGTTTCTTTTCTTTTTTTAATTAATTTATTAGGAATTGCAAAAAAGGTGCAGGAATAGAAAAAAAATGATATCTTTTCAATAGCAGCATCTCTTAGATCCTCCTTGTCTTGTTTTGTTTTCAGTTATGTTGCTCTTTTTTCACTAGCATCCAGCAACATTTTGTTAAAGTTCGGTATACACAGGAACATCGCAGGAAAACGCGCTTTCTGAACATAGTTATGTGTTAATAGCGTAGAAGAAAACAGTTTGATGCATTTTTTTACAGAGATTGGGGTCAGTATAAACAAAACGGAAAAAAAAAAGTGGCATCGGGTTGAAGGACAGTCCGGATTGGGTTATTGGTTTGATTAGCACTACACCTTCTAGGGTGGTATCTGTTAAATTATGCATCAAAGAGTACATGATATAGCTAAATTGCGAGCAACTTGAATAGTGTAACAATGGGGAAATTTTTTAATGTTGTAATGTCTCTTTTGAAGTTCCATTGTTGTAACTACCAGTCATCAGGGTTTGTGTTTATATATTGTTTGTTTATGACTAAACAATGAAGTACTATCATCTTAAAAAATTGATTCATTTATATCTTCCAAAAATGGTACTAATGGTAGTCAGTTTGCATGGTATTATGAAATATGAATAGTGCATGAAAATTAGGTACCTTTCCTTTAATATACTCTTTATAACGACTGCTTGGTATTTTCTTATGAAGTTCTGCTATGTGAGATGTGCGACCTGCGACTGATTTAAGGAGAACGTACGGTCATATACTGCTCTTCTCTAAGAGTCATGTAACGAACAACCAACATATATGAGAGGCTTATAATGTATTGGTTATAAAGTTTCATTAACAGAAGAAGCACTTCCCATATTCCTTTAAGAGTGGTGTTCAGTCTATTTCAACAACAATTACTTCGAATCACAGCTATTACGAAAACAAAGAAAATATCTGGGAATTTGTGATCTTCCATTAGAGTGAGGATGAGTTATTTACATTGATATTGTAGGTTTTCGGTACTTTCACAGGACTCAAATTTACTTTCCAAACTGGATTGACTTATTTTCTGTCTCCCGTTAGGAATATAACACTTATAAAAAAAGTCTCTTGTTTAGCATGTGTTATTTCCAAACGTGATAAAATACTCAATGGATATGTCAATTATAGCATACTTTCTCTTAAGGGACCAAAACAAATTCGAATACTCATGTTAAACGTATTAAGTCCTTTAAATATTCCCAATTAAGTCAGAATTCAATGATACTCTGTAATTTGTTACCTTTTGAAATATTTGAATGTTGAATGACAGATTGATTTTTGTAATCATACCAGTATTGAAAGCATATACGTTACATAAGCTTTATCCCGTTAAACAAATAATTCATCGTGCTAAGAAAAAAGTGAGAAATGCGTTTTTAGTTTGTAGCTTATTGTCGCTATTGTAATCAGTTATCACTTACTTCTTGCAGAATGGCAGTTGTGATAAGTGTTTTTGATCGCATAACATCTTCCCAACCTCAAAATATTTTCATAATAATAAAAAGAAAAAAATAATTCACCCAGTACATATGGAATAATCTAGGAAAAGGCTTGTACAACAATAACAATATATGATACCAACAATTAAATTAAGAATGTTGAGAAAGGTGATCAATTAACTCTCCTTTTTTGCTGTTGGTGCTAACCTGTATTAAATTATCTACGGTCCCTACTAGACATGGTCATTAGTTCTAATAGGTTCCATGAAATGTTTGTAGTGACTTTTGTATTCTTGTGTTCAATTCTTTATATGGTGGTCTCTAAAGACTGTCCTCAGAATTTAATTATTATGTAAATTATTTTTTTATGTTTTGTCGCGTATTGTGAATTCTTATAAGTCGTTCATTTGTTTACAAAAACTAAATCGTCCGATACGAATTATTACATAAGCAAAAAGAGCCAAACGAAATTGCACTCGTATAAAAGAAAGAGAGAGTTGATTCAATTTTCTAGCACATAAAGTTTTGCAATGAATTTTTCTTTCTATCTATATAGACTCTTGAAATATAACATATCACGAATATCATCATAATCGTATTGAATATATTTCAACTACTATTTTAAGGAATCTTTAATTTGAAATATCAAGAAAACAAATTTAACATAATGGGTAATCAATTAGCAGACACTTCAAAGGCTATTGCCATATCATCCCTAGGTCTATACGCTGGACTATTAACATCCACAACAGCTATCACAAGTATAGCACCATTAAATGTTATAAAACGTAACTTAACCCATGTTTGGTATATGTATGGTGTTGCTGGAGGTGCTTTAGCAACGACGTCAACCGCCGCCTTTGGGCTATGCTATTACATTTCTTCTGGAAATGCAAGGGACTATCTATCCTTAATTGGTGCTTTAATCGGTCCTTTGACTGGCTCCATGGTTTATATAAGTTCATTATTAAAATTCGATTATAAACCAAAATCTTCAATTCCTAATTTGCCTCCAAACCATCCAAGTGTCATTAGTGATGATGGCGAAATAAAAACATGTCCATTTGGGAATGGTGAAGAAAGTAAAGATAAGTCTCGTCCATCACCAGGAGATAGTTGCGGTTCAGGATTATTAACACCAATTAATATCAATTTAGCTATCGTTTCCACTATTAGTGTTGCAAGCTTTGTAAAAATAGTTTTTTCTAATGTCTCAACTCATTGAATTTGGGTATTACAGAATTTACGACAGAGTTTTCCCGATAATTTATATTAAGATTTTTTTGTATACATATTTAGCTGCATCATCTTTTGTTATATTCATATATATCAATAATGATTCGTTTAAGTAATTAGTATAAAAAAATGTGTGCCCCTGATTAACAGAACAATATATTTTATTATTGCTCAAATTTTTTTTGGAATGCATTATGTTCATTCATATTTCCTCCGAATACAAGCTTGGTTCAAAGTTCTCGGGTCACCTTTTAAGGCAACAGGCAAAATGAATACTTTTAATTTAAATCAAGGACATCGAGCATGTATTTCCTATAAAGCTTTTTTGCTCCAAAAAATTAATAATGATAATCTCTATGGAAATTAAATGAATGTTATGTTGGTCTAACAGTACAACTTGGATTGAATAAGAATAACTCGAAAAAGATCTAGTACAATAATGTGGGATTAAAACCTATTGGAAAGATCAAAGATTGGATATCTGCCAGAACATTTCAAGTAAATTGAATTTGGAAAACTGTGATAATAATTTTTACGCTACTCAGTTTCCTGGGTCTTTATAGTCAAGACAAACACAGGGATTACAGCGAACCACCTGAACCACTGCAACTAATAAATAGTCGAGAAACTTATTTCATACTATAATAGTGTGGTTTAGCGTGGGATAGTAAGCTACGTAATTTCGTTATTGGTGAAATTAACAAATATTAACGACAATCGTTATCTCCCTATTTCAACCCCCCTTTTATTGCAGATATATAGATTAGATAAGAGAGCAATCAATTTATTATGAACTTTAATAAACCATAATCTGTTAATCAAATTTCTTCAGTTTTTCACTTCTCTGCGGTATTTTATTTAAATAACCATAATAAACTGACTGCAGCGCTCCATTTATATCCAATGGAAGTGCATAATGTATCCCTTTTTCCTGTCCTGCTTATTGGCAAGGAGTAAAAACGACTTCCAGAAGCCCACGGAATAAAATTAGGAAAAAAAATATAAAATGAATGACTGTATGGTATCCTGCAGTATAGTCTGTCAAAGTTGTTCTCAAAACGCTATAGCTTATTAAAAATATTTACCTATGGCTAAAAGTGTCGGAGTAATTCCGCAGCTCAGAGAAATATCGGAAGGAAAAATATGAATAACGGAAGGCGGAGTATAGGTGTAGTCAAAATTCTTTTCTTTCTCTCTCTTTTCATTCGCTTCCCCCACGCTTTTTTATTGTTCAACCTTGTGGTATGTTGAAAAAAAGTCCGCACAAACCGGGATCGTCAAAATTTCAGTATAAGTTGCCGGCAAACACTTACCAAATTATAAAGCATGGTAAGCAGTAACATGGATCATCTCGAGATTGAATTTAATCTGACACTCTTTGAATATGTTTTCGAGGCAAGTAAAAATGTATTTCAAACAGGACTTGACCTTTTGAGAGCTCCAATTCATTGCAAACGTTCCTTTTTTGGGAAATACATTCCATTGGTGAGACTCTCTAATTAAAGAACATTCTTACGATCATTAATTTACAACTTCCACGACTTGACAAAATATTTCTATGACTAAAGTTCTTATCTGAACAATATACAAGGTGCACTTCATCCAGCCTTGTGTATTATTAAACAAAAGAAACTGATATTTTTGTTATGAGATGTGGAAACTGATAACTTCAATATAACCTCAGAAAAATGTTCGTAGCAAAATAAAATTAAATACTAGTAATCAATGTTCAAATAACCAACAATTCCGAAAAAAGCTGAGTAGAAGAAAATGTATCAGAATTATCAGACGAAAAATAAAATAGAAACCCACACAACTGGCGGATGACCTTCTCGGAGTATACATTCCCCGGTAAGAATATTCTTCTAGGGGTGTTTTTCTACCAAAAATACTTTCTACTAAAGTTGGCGGAGGGTAAATACTTATACGTAACATTGAGTGCAAGAATGTTTTCAAAGAAAACAACGTAAGATGACTATTGTATTTTATGGTGACATAAGTAATGGCGGCAATGTAATAAGACAGGTAAAAAGAAAATATTTAATGAATCAAACTAGGATCTATATTACCGTTTTAGACGTATTTTTACAGAATTTACATACATACGTACATTTTTTTTCTCTGCAATTGTTTTAAACAAGAGTCTATTTCCTGCTATTTTCTAAATTTGGCAATACTTAAGGGAAAGGGGAGTTGATTAGATGTTGTCGAGAAATTGGAGGTTATTTATTCTTTTGTTAGGTTAATACAATAGAATTTTTTTTAACAATAAAAACGAAGGAGAGGGGACTCGGAGGGGGTTAAACTCCTATAAATGATCGTAATATTTTGCAATAGCTTGGAATTGTCGATTTTAAAATAATCAACAGTGTAATAAAATATCGCGTTTTTGCTGGGGATATTACTGTGGGCTAAAACTTGAGCATTGTTTTAGTAGTTAGGTTAAAAATTTAATTGTTGATTAACAATTCTTTTTTCTATTATAAACTTAGGTTCATAATAAATTAAATGAAATAATGGTTGAAAGTCTAGACTATTCTTGGAATCAATTACATCTTCTTTTTGTTTTATCTTAATTGATAAATTAAACTATAGGTTCCCACGTGTGGATGTAAGTTTGATCTGAATAACGTTAATTTGATTCACTTTACCTAACAATGTGGGAGTATAATTGACATTTGAGAATGAATTACAATTCTCCAAACTTGAAAATTTGTTACATATTTCATATTTTCAATTATTCTATATGAGTTGGTTTAAAAAATAAAATAAAATAAAAATAGTAATAATATTTCACCTAATAATGGGAAGAACTGTGACTATTATTCAAGAACTTATCGGATACTATATTTTTAGCGGTAAAATTAAATTAGATTCTTGTTTCTAACTTAGTCTAAATTAACGATTGTAGAATTTATTATTTTATCCATGGAACAAGAGTGATTATATTGTATAACGATCTCTTGGAAAATATGAAGAAAAATAAAAGCAAGGGGTTGCACTTCTTATCTTAAGGGATAAAATGTTATAATTAAAGGATATTATGCTAACTTCTAATAAATCAAACATTTTGTAATTATAATAATTGGAAAATAATAATTAACCTTTAGGAAATCGGATTTGATAACATTTATTAAATGAAATTATACATCAAGCTACATATTTGTTAGTAACTTTGATAGAATGTAACACTTTACAAATTTAATGTTCTCGGAGCGATCAATTACAACGCAGTAAAAGAAATGGAACAATTCGTAGTAATAGTAATCCTACAACGAATATCTTCTTTCCTCGGTTCCTTCTAATTCTACATTTTCTATTCAGTGTCTTTACTTTGTGGATAGTGGATAAATAACTCAAAGTAACCAAATTAATATATGCACCCGAATCATATATTCAACGAGAGGGATGAAAGATCGTTTTCCCTTCTTTCAATTACATCATAGCATTCAATCCAATATTAAAAAGAAGGTTAATAAATAGATTCTTAAGTAAGAAGAAAACTAAGCATTACTTTTTTTTATTGTGTCTTACTACGAATTCTTTTAGTAGGCTAACAATAATTGGGGGGGGGTTTATGATATACATTTAATCAGTATTAGATCAAACCTCCAGGAGAGAATTAACAACCCGGGTTTGTCATCTTCAAGGTTGATCAATTTACCATTACTTAAAAAAATGCTGAGAGAAATCGAGAGAGACTTAGTTTCCAAAGTTTATTAATACGGAGTTACTAACTCCACATTATTTGAAGTTCGAGAAAAGGTAACTAAAGGTTTTCCTAAAATTCACAAATGTAAAACAAAGATATTGAAACAAAGCTATCAACTATCCGCAGTAAGGATATTTTAGTTTGGACGTATGTATAAACATTAACAGTTTCCTTTTAAGAGATTAAATAATCCTTAGATCAACTGATAGAATACCGCGGCTAGGCTACATATTGAATCAAGGAAACATCTAACAAAAAAGATGTATGAAATTTAATATATTTTATAACAAATTAAGGGTTTCCGTGGAAATAATCATAACCTTATATCTCCAATAAAAATGGAATATTAAATATTTGATCTCTGTCTTTTTGGGCTATCATGAATTGACTGGGATTTAATAGTACTTTCTCTTGAAGGATAAAGGTGCTAACAATTGAATTTATTTTCTTCCTTTATTTCTTACCTGCAGAAAACTTACCTTCAGGCGATCTTTTTTCTTTCAGCTGACAAATAAAATGAGAGAAAGAATTTTTAAATTATTTATTATGTGAGAGAGGATACTTTTAACTCAGATTTTCTCGTACAGCATGTCAGAAAAATAAATCTGTATGTATATTTATGAAAATGGTGTGGGTTCAATGAAATGGAAGGACTTTAGGAAGTGAGAAGGAGGAAAAAAAGAAATCAAAAACAAATAAACAGAGACAAATTAATTTAATTGAACCTTTGTTAGGATATTGAGAAAAAAAGAAGGAGGAAGAAACAAAGAACCTGTAGGAAGATGATCCACATATATTCTATAAATCAGTTAAGAAACTAACGTAGAGATTAATTTCAAAACCAAGTCATAAATTCTCTTGAAAAAAATGTTCAAAATAGTCATAGTAGAAGAAATATCTAACAATAAAATCGATGCTCTTAAATTTATTTATTTTGTAAACAAAACATTTTCCTGCAGGGAACCACACACGCTCTAATAATAAAGCAAATTATAACGAACAAACACAGAAGAAGAACGGTACATGTAAATAAAACAAAAATACCAAAATAAAAACATAACACGGGGAAGGGATGCCTTAAAGGGAGAGGGGGGAAATGTTGTACGCAGAAAAGGGAACTTTTTGATGAGATGGGCGTAAAATTATTTACTTTCCTTTTCTTCCCCCTCAAATTTCGCCATTTACGGTACATTTCTTTAAAATTATTATTTAATTTTTGTTAAAAATTGGAAGTGCAAAACGTTTTTTAATACTTTTTTGGCCAGCATTACTCTTTTTTTATTTTTAATTTTGGTCTTTTCATTCTCCACTTATTTGTTATAAAAATTTGGTTCGGTTTGTTAAATGCCCGGAACTACCAGATAAAACGTGCAGCTACAAGGAAGCAGATCTTTTTTTTTTAAAAAATTTAAAGCAAGACATAAGTTAAAGCCAGTCGTAGCTATAGTTAAGGGTGGTTTCTTCTCTTATCTAGGAAATAAATCAAATTTAAAACAAAGAAACAGGCATTTAAAGTGACCATATTTTCTTTTTTGACAAAGGATGACACGTAGGTATCCTTTAATAAATATTTTGTAAGCAAAGAAGCCAGATAATAAACTTTTAATTACTAGGAAACTAATATTGTTTTCTATTATATAATTCCCGTTAATGCTCTGTGTTGCCAATTAGTTTTCATTTTTTTGGGGGGGGGGAAAGAGCGGGAGAGGGGGAGGAATTTTGTTGCCTCTGCGAGGTAACTCTGTTTTGCTTCCTGTTGTTGGAGAAGGTATTTCGGGGATTTGATTAAAGCATGTTTTTTTTAATTTTTTTTTATCTTTCCGTTTCTCCTACGTTGGTTTCTCATATCAAGAAAAAACCGAAATAATCAATTAATTAATTGATTAATTAAATTTAATTTATACTAAACTAAAGGAGAGGAATAAAGAGAGATTGTTAAGAAAATTTATTTAAGAAATGTTTCTTGACATCCAAAAAGAAGTTTAATTCTTGAGAATTTAAGTTTTACTATTATTTTTCTCTTGTTAAATATTACAATACAAAAAAGTAGCAAATAACTTTAATTTTGTTTGGTATGTGAGTGTTTCTTTTTTATTATTATTTGTAGTTCTTGGGATTAAGTAATAGTATTCTTTTGACATTGTCTAAGTTCTTCCACTTATTTTATCTTGCTTACCCCAAAAAGAATAAGCCTTCCCCTCCCTACTCTGTTTATCACTAAAAATTAAAATAAAATAATTTTCAATATTATGAAATATGCAATTCTACAGCGAAAAAACTGTTTCTACTAGATAATAATAATATTAATTAAATTATATACATTTTATTGAAAATCCATTATCTCTTTGATATTTACATACTAGAGGAAAAACGAAGAGTATGAAGAGCAGATTGTTACACAATGATTACCAGATCAAAAAGAAAAGAAAAGAAAAGAAACAAANTTTTAAAAAATTAATTATAGTGCAAAGGGTTAAACTCTATCTATCTTGTTCTTCAATTTTAAGGATAGGGAAGTATAATCTGGTCTATGTTCTATACTTGAATTGGAATGTAATTTTTTTTTAAAATCATTTTCTAATTTGTTTAAGTAAGATTATTGATATATATATATGTGGTAGATGATTTTATTTTGACGAACCCTTTCATTGATTATCATTTATTCCTTTTAATTTTTTTTTATATTCTATTTTTAAATTTAATAGTTGTTCAAGTAAATCAAGAAACAACAACTAATTTTAACATTAAGTTAAATCAAATCAAGAAAATAATTCAACTAATCAAAGTTATTATATTTAAATATGTACAGCAACTTGGAACAAATTCAATCTGGTTCTTTCAGTACTGTCTATAAAGCATGGTGTTCAACATTAAATAAATATGTTGCATTAAAAGTGATACCTAAACAAAAATACACAGAAACTGGTATAATGAATGAATTTAAAATAATGAAACTATTAGGTACAAAACATCCAAATATTTGTTCTATGATAGATTATTATGAAGACGATAATAATTATATTTTAGTATTGGAATATTGTGAATGTGGTGACCTTTATGATTTCTTATCTATAGTGAAACGTCAAGGTAGCGTCGGTCACCCTGCATTAATTCAATTAGATTTCATTAAAATTATTCATCAAATCATTTCTGCTTTAACTTATGCTCATGATTTAGGTATTGCTCATAGAGATATTAAACCGGAAAATATTTTATTAACAAAAGAAGGTAATATCAAATTAGCTGATTGGGGTCACGCTACTTTAAATAAAGTCTCAAAAGATTTTAATATTGGTACTGACAATTATAGAGCTCCTGAAACTTTTGGTTGTCAAAATGGTTATGATACAATCAAATGTGATGCATGGGGTGTCGGTGTTACTTTATTTTATTTAATGTTCGGTCAATGTCCTTTTAGAAACGCTGAGATTCCATCTAATGGTATGGAACTCTATGGTTTCGGCTCATCATCGTCCTCCTCTTCATCCTCATCTTCTTCATCATCATCCTATGGTCATAAGAAAGCTGCTAAATGTGTTAATTTCCAACAATATTTGGTTGATCCATATGGCTTCATTTACAGATATTTCTTAGAACCAATTGTTTGTGTTCATCAAGGTCGTCCTTATAATTCTAATGAAGGAAAACCATCATTATATGTATGGCAAGATATGGTAAATATTTACCAAATCTTCTATGTTTGTCGTATTATTGTCGATAACCTAGCTACTATTGATGCAGATGATAGATCTATGTCAAGTAGTTTAATATTATTTGATAAAGTTTGGAACTACAACAATAACTTCAGTCAAGGTGCCGTTGATCATGAAATTAAAGATTTTAACGACGTTACTGATAATACATCCCTTTCAAATGGTAATAACAATACAGCTAACATCAAGGGTAATATGACTAATACTAATAATTTAGAAAGAAAACAAATTATCGGTAAGTCATCATAATGAAAATATTCATTTTTAATTCTTTTTATGGAAAGAATTTGTAACGGACTTTTAATGCAAACAACATAGAACAGAGTAAGAAGAACACTCAAAAAGTAAAAATAAAAGAACATTGTGTTTTTTAATAGTATTAATTATTCCTTAATAAAAGAAAATAAGAAAAAGCTCGATTATTGATATATGTGGCAGGTACACATATTTACCAATAATCGTTTGTCATCATTTAGCATAAACATTTTTTGAAAAAAAAAACATAATAACAATTAACCCCCCCCCTAAAGGAAGGGGTCAGTCAAGTCATAATATAAAAGTACTTTTCGGAAAACGAAACATTATTCCTTTTTCTTAACGTTTTCTGTTTTCAACCTTTCTTTAATAAATATCTTTTTTATTCTTATATATTATTTGAAATATATTATTTATTCTTAATTATATTAAAAATTGAAGCATAAGTTAGAGTAGTAAAATCTTAGGGTTAGTAAGATGCGGTCTCTTGCTTAATACACATATTATTTATTTTTTATATACATGAGGTATCTTTAAAATATAAAATGAAAAGTTTCTCGATAAGTAGTTACTATATGCTAGCAGATAGCAAAGTGAGGGGTATGTTCCTTCATTTTTTTCTTGTAATCAATCAATTCAATGTCTTCGATTGTGTGAACCTCTATTTCACTATTATCATCACTAAGTTCAAATATGAATAAACCTTGTAGTACTCTAGATATTGGTTCACCTTCACTATTATGTTTTTTGAATAAAATATTTTTATATTCTTTCTCAATATTTGCAGAATTTAATTTATCATTCGATGGCTGTAAAATATAGTCCAGAACATGCTTATGATTATATTCCTTTGTAGAATTGTTTTCATCCCTGATTCGGTGATGTGCCTGTATTCCCGTATTTCTATCCTTAATATGATGACATTTCTCTTCGGGACTACATGTTGACCATTTAACAATTATCTTTTGGGAATTTTTATAATACGCATGTGTGTTTGGTGAGTCCTCACTAGTTGAATTTTTAATTGAATGAATATGTAAATGCTTAATATCGTGACCTAGGATAAAAGTAGATAAGATTAATCTAAGAGCATTCATTGATCCATTAAATTTTGTCCTACCACTGATGATAGGAATGTATCCCAAACTCGGAAACAACCGCAATTTTACAGAATCGCTGATATATTTATCATTATAATTTTCTACTAATAAATTTGGCACACCATCTTTGATTAGGTAATCTGTAATTTTACCTAAATTTGCTATTCGAGTGGTATCATCAACCTTCAATTCTTTATTAGTTTTATCCTCTCCAATATTGTTTGATTCCAGAGAATAATTATTCGTCATTGCAATAATTTTTAAACCATTAATTTGTTTACATTGCCTGCTCCATCGTATCAACGAACTTTTGTATGCAGAGAGAAACATGATCTATAAATGTGATGTCCTTCTTCTGTTGCGTTTTGCTTTTCCTTTTAAAAATGAATATCAAAAACTTCGATTATACCTAGTAATACATAATAACCGGATCACCATCGATTGCACCAAGTGATCTGTTGAAGCTCTTCCTCAAAAATTTGAATATTAGTATTATGGTTATTATCAATTTAAAATATTTCAATTATTTTAATATACTTACGAAGTATTGTTATTTGAATATCCTAGTACTTATAATGCTGATGTAATAATTACTGCGGAGTTTCCTGTCTTCATACTGACTATTTCTATTTTTCGTTTTGGGATTCGCACGCTTAAAAAAAAAAAGACATAAAAAAATTGTACGTTACCCCTAAAATTTAACCCCCAAACCACACTTCTTTACATGGACCAACGATTCTCAAGAACAAAAAAGATTTGACATTTTTAAATAGTTCTAGAATTTGATAAAGTAGTATATACGGTAAGTGAATAGGGCTTGTAGATAACGCAGACTTTCAGGATAATATTAATAAGTATTATTTACTCAAGCAGATACCGTTGATCAGATATATTTGTTGAGAAGGTGACAATTAATACTGTTTATGACAACTCACGTAGATATTTTATCGAATGTATTATTTAATTAAATATTCCTATCATATATAACCTTACATAAAGTTCTCTTAAGATCAGAAAGAAAACATCATGGTACAAAAATAATTGTGATAGGCCGTTCTATTTTCAATATTTTCACAATATTCTTCCTCTATGAGGTCTCGGGGATCTTTAGACTATTAAAGCAATCTACAAAGTTATTATCAGGTACGTACTCACCTTGTAAAGATTTCCTTGATTATCATATATCGATTCTAATTTAGAAAATGTTTTCTCAGTAATTACTGAGGTTACATGTAGTGGCAAAAAGTATTCAACGATACAAGGCAAAAATACTTCAGTCTTCTTTCTCTCTCGACAATCGTTAATATATTTTTTATACCCACTCGTTCAAGTAGTATCTTCGGTTATAATTCTTTCAATATTTGGCAATAGTGATATAATTTTTCTGCAGATCTTTTCATCTTTCAGTGCATGATTATCAATACTGTTACTGTCGGTTTTTTTAGAACTTATGAGGTATACTCTTTGGTCTCTCCAAAAATGTCTTTCGATTGTAAGGTCTGTACTACACTCTCGTGGTAAACGCTTTAATATATGTTTATCAATATAATCCTCATTTTTAAATGAAGGAATTTTACCATTGTTCTTCGCAGAAACTTGTATGAAAAGAATTAGAGGGCGAATTTCCCTGACTATCTTCTTCATCAAGTTGTAGTTTTGCTAAATTCTCCTCAGTCAGAGGACCAGCCGCCTTCAATATTTGCTTGACAAAACTTATATATCTATCTACTGTATATAAGCCAGCTCCAGTAACTGTTTCAAACGTTCTCGGTATGTCAAGAAGTCGACGTACTGAGAACACGCGACAAAAGGATAGCTTCTTGGTTGGTTGCAGCCATTCTAAGATAATTCTGGACTTTTTTTAATGATGGGACCCAGTATTCCAAATCCCACCAATAAATCGAGGGGCTCAGAGTAATTATTAGTATGATATCTGATTACAATTATAATAGGAATATAACTCATTGCTAGTAATTTATCTTGTGATGCGAAATTTGTCAAAATTATCGAAAGGTGTCAACATATATACCAATAAACTAGCGTTAATTTCATTAATAATTGAAAGTGGACTATCGATAACAATATTCTTCTCTTTACATTCTTAAAAAAATATCTAAATTCCCTAAATTGCTCCACATATATTCTTAAAATTTCAAGTTTAACATTCCAGTGAGTTGTAATATGTTTTGGGATCGGTTTCCGGATCGGCCTCCTGACAAAGAGATTAAATAATTTAAATCTTTCATCTGATTTATGAATTTCTCTATTTAATAAAATTAGGCCTGTTAGAACTGAAGGTAGTCCACCATGAAATGGATCTTGTACGAGAGATGGGACTTTTGTCTTTAATTTTTCTCTCTCTTATCATTAGTTTTAGTCTCATGTTTTATAGTGTCATATGAATTTCCTCATTTATTCCGTAATTCGTTCAGGGCAAATTGAACTAGTTTATCATCAAAAAATGATGGAGGTACTCCAGCTGAAAGGAAACATTGCAACACATGTTCAGAAATATCTTCATTACTTTTTAAAGATTCTTCAATTAATGTAGTAATTTCATGAATACAATTTTGACATTTAATAGCAAAATTATTTTTAAAAGTTTCTATATTATTAAATCTTAATTTGAAATTGCATTTTTGATCATTTTCAAAATATTGACATTCAATATTAAAACTATTCCTCCTTCATCAGATGAAACTAAATAATTGATTTTTTCATTAACTCGATCAATATCAGTAATGGATTGCGATTTAGCACGACCTCCAAAGGAAGTATTAGAGGTATTATTATTACTATTATTATTCCATTCGTTCTTATCTCTTTTTCCTCTATCGCTAATTTAATTTATTGTTGTTGTTATTTTTATAAAAGAGTTGAAAGATTAGATGAAAATATCAAAATTGCCTGTAATATTTTGTTCTTAAGCATGTTCTTTTCAGTAAGGGCCATGAAATATAAAGTAGTTCCTAAACAAATAGTCGTTAATAGTGATACCTAGCCAAAATTTGATTATTATTTGTGAGAGACGAGACGAGACGAGACGAGTCCACCCCAAAGCTTTCTGTTTCTCCTCCTAACAATAATCCTAGAATAAGCGGACGCCCTCCCAGAAAAGACAAACAAACAGAGAGTGCAGCAAACTGATCTGTTGAAACGATTCTTACTCTTTTTTGGAGAATAAAATGCCAAGCCATCGGAGTGAGAAGCCAAATTTTAATTTTTATGCGATAAAATAAAACTGAAGAGAGCAGAGGCACTGAAACACACACACACAAGCTACATACTATAATTTTTTTTTCATGTTTGGCGGTACGTAAGCCAGAGACGGAGAGATCGTCTTCAAGCACTTAAAGCAAGAAATGGAAAAAGAAACGACGCCAATTCTATTAATTCTGTTGTTACTTGTAAAATATTACAAGCTAACTAGTGCATCGAGATTAAGTATTGTTCCATGGAACTATTATTCTTTTAAAAAAGGGTAAATATTCAAATGGTCAATTTAAAATAACCAGTTTAAACAAGTTGATTGTATTCTGTGATACTAAGAGAATGTATTAATTAAATAATTTGACTAACCATAGAATCTATATCTATTTTCTTTCTCCAACATATCATCATCATTGTCTTTTCCCCTCTTTGTACAAGCGGTTTATTTTCTATATCAATAACCACATACCGTTTTTCACAATGATGATTTAAATCATCATATAGTGTCTCTTAAACATAAAACTCAAAAGTCAATAACCCTGTTGATCTTAATGGCTACTCTCCCCAATCTTATTGAAATCAGCCCCCTCGTCTTTTCTCCATATTGTGAGAATGAGAAAAGACAAGAATACCATCCAAGACAAAATACAACTAAGAAGAAGGCTAACGCCGAATCGTACGAAATGGCACCGAAGGGCTCCAACAAAAAAAATTGAAAAATTGAAAAAGTTGAAGAAAAAAAGAAAAGTATATTATTATGTACGAGAAGCAGATTACAATTTTTCTTTTTTTGAGCCGCAGCATATAATTAGCAGGTAGTTACTAACAATACCCGTAGCACAGCGACACATTTATTCGAATTTGCTCTGCCTCTTTGTAAAAATTAATTGTCTGATTTCTCTTACTTTTCCTTGTTTTTAGAGACAATTTCTCTTTACTAAGAACGTTGAGTGGAAGGAACGAACTAAACTCAGTTCTTTGTAAAGCATGAGGAGAATTGAAAAACTGTTCCTCTCCCTAAGAACACAGTTTTCTTTCTTTCTTTTTCTTTGCAGCACTAACTATCTTATTAAATTATAGACACATTTTACTATAATTAAGCCATACACATTTTTTTGCGTTAGTTTCTTGACTGCTTGCAATGTAAAGTCTCAAAAGTACTATCTCAATTATTACTAAAATTGTGTCTTATTTCTTTTAGCACTCTCTTCTGCTTTCTTTATTATGGTCAGAGAAGGGACTACGTACCTTTAATCTACACACTTTCATATTAAAATATACGTCTTTTGTTTTTTAGTAAGCTTGAAAAATTAAGATCAGACTGAAAATTTTCTTTTTTCCTTGTTTCGATGAGACATATATATTTCTTCTATTAATTACTGCGTTAATTTTTATGTGATTAATCTTGACGTTATATAGAGATATATACTTATTTTTTTAATCAAAGGATTATTAAAACCTTCAAAAGTGTGTTAAATTTATAGATATATTTTGTCGGTTTTATATTTTTATTTCGTTTAAGGAGCTTATAACTTGAAATTTATTTTGTATATATATACATATACATAGCCAAGGAATAATAAACTATCATCAACATTATTTCCATTGTTTAACAATTTTTTATTAACTTTGGACATTATAACCAAAAAATACTAAATTATAGCACTCAGTTAAATCTGTAATATTAGCATACTTAATAATTATTTTTTATTAGTTTCAATCGTTAAAATTTTTTTTAAATCATAATATTTTTTTTTATTGCATTTTTAGTATAATAATATTACAGCACAATGTCAGGAGAAAAGAAATCTTCCTTTATATCGCAGCTGAATGTGTTTAATAAAGATAATTATACATTTGGCAGTACAACAAAGACAACTCCTATAGATAATGAACAAAATGATTCTTCTTCCGATGTTGAAACAGGCCAACAATTTATGACAGAATTAGATCAAGGTGAAAAACAATTAGGTTTATTCTCTTGTATTGGTTTAATTTGTAATAGAATGTTAGGTACAGGTGTTTTTGCTGTTTCTTCAACTATTTATACCCTTTGTGGATCTGTCGGTTTATCATTAATTATGTGGGCACTTGGTGGTGTCATTGCATTATCTGGTCTTTATGTTTATATGGAATTTGGTACAGCTATACCTAAAAATGGTGGTGAAAAAAATTATTTAGAATTTATCTTTAAAAAACCAAGATTTTTAGTTACTTCAATGTATGCATCATACGTGTTTTTCTTAGGTTGGGCAGCTGGTAATTCTGTTAATACCGCTGTTATGTTTTTAACTGCTGCAGATGTAGAAGTTACTAAATGGAATCAAAGAGGTATTGCAGTGGCAGTTATCTTTTTCGCATTTTTAATTAATTCTGTTAGTGTTAAGACTGGTATTTATATTCAAAACGCTTTGGGTATCTTTAAAATTGGTATTGTGATCTTTATTTCGATTACAGGTTGGGTTGCCCTTGGAGGTGGTTTAAAAGATGGTTATCAATCACATAATTTCCATAATGCATTTGAAGGTACTGAAACTGCTACAGCTTATGGTATTGTTAATGCTTTATATAATGTTATTTGGTCATTCGTTGGTTATTCTAACGTCAATTATGCTTTAGGTGAAGTGAAAAATCCAGTGAGAACTTTAAAAATTGCAGGTCCAACATCTTTGATATTCTTAGCCATCATTTATATTTTTGTTAATATTGCATACTTCGCTGTGGTTCCAAAGGAAAAATTAATCTCTTCAAAACTTGTCCTTGCTGCAGATTTCTTTGATATTGTCTTTGGTGGTCATGCTAAGAGAGCTGCCGCTGCACTTGTCGGTTTAAGTGCTTTGGGTAATGTATTATCTGTTATCTTCTCTCAAGGTAGAATTATTCAACAGTTAGCTCGTGAAGGTGTCTTACCATTCTCTAATTTCTTCGCTTCTTCTAAACCATTCAATTCTCCAATGGTAGGTCTTTTCCAACATTTTATTATTTGTTTGATTACTATTATTGCTCCACCACCAGGTGATGCTTATAATTTTGTCTTAAACTTAATCTCTTATCCAATGAATATTATCAATTTCGTCATTAGTGCAGGTCTTCTATGGACTTACTGGCAAAAGAGACAAGGTAAGATTGAATGGAATCCACCAATTAGAGCAGGTTACGTTGTTACTACATTTTTCACTTTAGTAAATCTGTACCTTATTGTTTGTCCTTACATTCCACCATCTAATGGTGAATCCGTCTATGAAACTTTACCATATTATATTCATTGTGTTGTCTCTTGGGGTATTTTCGCTATTGGTGCTCTTTACTATTTGTTTTGGGCTCAAATTATGCCAAAATTACGCCATTATCGTTTGGAGACTAAAGATGTGTTGGGTGATGATGGTTTCTGGAAAGTTAAAATCATTAAAGTCTACGATGAAAAACATGAATCTACAAATGATGAAGATGATGACTCAAATAGTTTAGAATTTTCGAATTCTAATAATTATTCCATGACTAATATTGAACAACATCTTGAATACATTGAAAGTGGTAAGAAAAGTGCAGATTCTGACACAGAAATGCATGTTAGAGCCGTAGATCATCAATCATGAATGATCTTCCCTTTCATATTCTAATCGATTGTAACGATAACTGATGGATCTTTGTTTTTTCCATCAACAACGCATTAAATTATATATTAGCATTTAAGTATATAGATACATATATATTCAACTTTAATATTCATTATACAAATTTCTTTTCTTCTCTTCTCTTACCCGTATCGTTGATGGAGTCACCAAAGGTTGTGCTTGTTGATAACCTAGTGTAGCTAACCCATATATCAATATCCCCAATGAAATTTTTTGCTAATATATATATATATATATACTGATACACTCTTGTAATACGAAGCTATTGACATTTCGTGGTATAGAAGAAACTTTTAGTAGTACACTAAAATTGAACGCCGCTCAGACAGAGCGTGAAAACGAGAAGCGAAGTAAGAAAAAAAACAAACAAATATAAAATATACTCGAAATTATTGTGTGAAAAAAAAAAAAATAAAATAAAATATATACACGAATAATAAACATAACTCATATACAAGAGGAAAAGAGTTTAAACGCTTCAGAATAAATACAACTTCAGAACAAGTTCTTTTGATTAGTAGTCTCCTAAGAAACTGGTCACATTACCAACCTATTAAATAAGGATCAATGGTTATTGTTATTCGTAGCGAGTTGGAAGGTCTTCTCCGTACCTTCTATGGAGATATATTCGCGTTAAAAGAAGATGGTGGCATGGAGATATACCCTATCTTCAACATTTTACCGGACAGAAAGTTATATATGGATTATTATGAACAGATCGAAAAACCTATTTCGTTGAATACCTTGAAGAAAAGAATCCCTCATTATACTGAAGCTCAGGATTTTTTAAATGATGTAGCCCAAATGGCATGGAACGCCAAAACATATAATACAAAAGAATCAGAAATTCATAAATATGCAAAGGTCCTTGAGAAATATCTCATAAATGACATGTTTCCAAAACTGCAGGAGAAATATCCTCATGTTAGATACCCATATTTAGGACCTTTACCTGATGCCGAAGATGAAGCCGAACAAATCGCACTTAGGGATAAGCAAAGATTACAAGACGAAAAGAATGGTATCAAACCAGAAGATTTGATTAAGGCACCACCAACACCAGTAGAATCTAAAAAGTCCCCAGATGTAGTAGTCGAAAGACCAAGAAGAAACATGAGAACTATGGAGGAGAGGAAAGTTGTTGTAGAAGATTCTAATGATGAAGATGAAAATTATAACCCTATGAAAAAGAACACAAGCATAAGAGCGACAAGATTACAACCAAGAGTTCAGTATGACACATTAAATGCATCAGATGATGGGTCTACATATTCGCGTTCCAATACACCTCAAATGACGAAGGTTATCAATTTGAAATCAAATGGTCCAAAGACAAGTATAAGACGTGGTAGACCTCCAGTAATTGATTTACCATATCTTCAAAGAGTGAAAAATGTTTTAAAAAATGTAAGGAGAGAAACTGATAGATCTAAGAATCCCTTAATATCAATATTTGAATATGTTCCAGATGAAATGCGTCGTGGAAAGTATTTAAGTATGATTCCAAACCCTATCTGCATAGAAGATATGAGAACAAAATTAAGACTTCGAACATACCCAAATTTTCCAGCCTTTCAAAATGATATTGCCCAAATGTTATCTAACTATAGGTTATTTTATGGTAATGATCGTGAAGTTGTGGAAACAATAAATCGTTTAGAAAAAGTGTTTAAAGTACTTTGTAAGCATGAATTAGCAAGACCTGATAAGTACTTTTTATCTGATGGTATTTTGAGATACCCAATTGATAGTATTACTGTTAACAACGTAAAATTTGTCATAGGTGATTGGGTTTTATTGAAAAATCCAAATGATCCGTCCAAGCCAATTATTGCTGAAATATTTAAATTATGGCGTACTGAAGATGGTCAGGAGTGGTTAAACGCATGTTGGTATTTCAGACCAGAGCAGACAGTACATAGAGTGGATAGATTGTTTTACAAGAAGGAAGTTATGAAAACAGGTCAATATAGAGATCATGTGATAGAAGATGTTGTTGGTAAATGTTATGTTATTCATTTTACACGATATCAACGTGGTGATCCGGAATTTCCAGTGAAGGGTCCTCAGTTCGTTTGTGAATACCGTTATAATGAATCAGATAAGATTTTCAACAAGATTAGGACATGGAAAGCATGTTTACCAGAAGAAGTTAGAGATATCGATGAACCAACGATACCAATAAATGGTAGAAAATTTTTCAAATATCCTTCTCCGATTAGAAATTTATTGTCTAAAGATGCTACTGTAAATAGTAAAATCCCACCGGCGGTACAAGGCAATCCAGCAGGTCCACCATTGGTAGGTGCAGTTTATATGAGACCTCAACTTGATAGGGATGACCTTGGTGAATATTCTACATCCCCAGATTGTCCGAGACATATTATTAGACCTGGCGATCCGCCAGAAGAAGGTAAAATTGATTTTGAATCAGGAACTATTATCACTGATTCTATAACAACTACAGCTTTTACAAAACCATTTACAAACTCTCAGACAAGATTATCCGAAATAGGTACTGATAGGTATCCAGGTAGAGTTCCATCTAGTGGAAATTTCCAGAATTTTTCTAATAATTATAAAAGACCAATATTACCTGAAAGTGGTACACCATTAATTGGTATCTCTCAGGATCCACTTACTGCCAAAAAATTAGCAGATTTACAAATCAGAAGATTCTATACAAGACAACAAATGTTATCTAAGAAGAACGATAATGTGAATCAAGAAATGGCTCAACCAGTTAAGGATGTTTCATTGCAGATGACTAAGACGGCATTAATTCCTATCGATGTTGATCATCCAAGGAGTTATATATTACCAATTTCGATTACAAAAAATATTAACGTTTTACAAAGAACAGATTATGAAAATTATCAAAGAACAACATCATCACAGAGTTCTGCTCCTTTGACTTCTCGAAAACGTTTCAGGGGTGAAGCATTGTGGTTCAATGGACCAAGTATGGATATATCAGAGAGATATGTGAACCTCGGTGAAGAAGTTTCACGTGATTATTTAAACAAGATATTCAAAAAGACTAAATTGGATTATGAAGAAACAACAGAAATATTGGATAGTAGAAATAGAATTCTCAGTAGACACCAGCAAGCCAAAATAATTTCGAAATATCATTTGGAAGATAAGGAAGGGGAAAATAATCTCGACGAAGACACACACGATGCAACTAATGAGTCCAAAAGTACTACTGGAGAAGAACATGAATTTGACGATGAAAATAGATTTATTCCAGGTACTTTTGTCTTTGGCTTGCGTCCATCAAGCAAATTTATTGCTCATAAGTTAAAGTTAAATGAAATAATATAGAGTCTAATCTCAAAACTGTAAAAATAACTAATAGCAACAAAATTGTAATAGAAGTAACCATGTATCATTATATAAGGACTAATGTATGTAAAAAAAAAAAGAATGCATATATTAACTAATTAATAATTACAATGATAAGGAACCATAAGAAATATGTGTGATATACATATATATATATTAACGGCGAGGTGCAGTTATAAGAGAATTAATGACAAACGAATTCCATTTATGAATCCTAATAAATAACATTGGGTCATTCGTTAATTCAAGTAAATTTGTTGCAGTCTTTAATTTATTAACTTTCAAAAAATTACTACTTATAAATGGATTTCCAGTGGAATCTTTCCTTAATTGATTTAATTTTTGTTTATGTCTAAATTTTATATGATCGATCATTTTATTAAAGCTACTAGTAATAAAGATCCAGTGATCTGCTAAAATTTTTGTCGCAGTATCTTGATCCTTAGAGTCCACTGTAAAAATAAATGAATATCGTCTTTCATTACCTCTTGCATTCTCGTCATATAATTTAAACCCAATAACCAAATTCAATCCACGTGTATCATCAAAGAACACTAAAGGACTTCCATCATATATCATACTCTCTTCAGAAAACGCTTTTTTAGTAATATAACTTAATAATTGATACCGTATCGTAGAGTATTGAGTAGTAACGTATGGTATATCACTCATAAAACTTCTCATGGAGCGAACGCCATCTGTATCCTCATTAGGAAAATGTAATATACATGATTCGCAGTAAGAATCTGTCGGATAATTTGGAACTAATAATATATCACCTGTAGGATCGTCAATATCACCGGCCTGAGTCACTAAAATTACTTTAGGTCCGTGTTTATCACAAAAGTGCGCTAATGATAATAAGATAGGAGCCATAGTTAGGATGTGAAAACAAAACAACAACAACAGAAAATGAGGTTAAGTGGTTGAATGAGTATGCCTGTAGCAATATGTATATATGTTGTAATAGTGAGAATGATCTTAATAATATTATTTATCCTTTTTTTATTAAATTATGCAGAAATTGACAACTAAACATTCATTTTTTCTCTTAATTTAATCTCAAGGAATCCATAATAATATGGTCTAGAATAATGAGGATTAAACCACGTAAATAATTCAGATCCGTGTTCAGTACACGTCTCACTTTTGTGTACTTTACAGAAGAAAGTATAAACCTACTAATATGGAATACCTTGTTTTGTAGAGGCAAGTCAAAACAAAAAAAATTCTCTCAGTGGAAAAAGTATGTCCTTAAAATATTTATATCTAGCTTATCAATTTTTAAAAACTTGCCACTACGATTCCAATTTCCTTTTCCGTAGAATCTCTTCTCAGATGGTCAATCAACTCTTGGCGAATATTTCATTTTTCAGAAAAAAAAATTAATTTTTCAACTTAATTTTTGGGCCAAAAAGGAACTCAATGTGTCATGATAGTTACCCTCTTGATCTTTTTTGTTACAGATTATGCTATGTATATTTACTATAGAGAGTAAAATACAAAACATCTTCAGATAATAAATGCTGCATTGGTTGAATTATTTAAATATCACGTATCTTATATAAAATTCTTTTAAGATTTACAGGTTTACATTTACTTGCCTGTTGAGAATATATTAACTTCCTTTTTCCATCATTGAAATTAATATATATATCTTCTTACCTTTCCTGGTGACTGCATTCATACTCTTCATAACCATCCACCAGATGTACTGATCTGAGCAAGCAAGTAAAACAGAAACAAAAACAAAAACGCCTTTCAAATATGCATATATAGCAGTACAATATATATCTATAAATAGCACAGTACTAAATATATATTCACAGCGCATTATTTATAAATCGGAACGAAAAATATCCAAAATTTTTTGGTAATTTTTCGCTGTTTTGCCGAAGACCTTCGGGAAGTCTGACTGTAATATATATACAATCTGCTAAATAGCGTTCTAAAATGAAAACACCCAGAAAACAAAGATTTGAAGTAATAGTATATTTATATTGGTTAATGAAATATTAATAGAAATAAAAGAACTTTCAGTATTTGCCCTTAAGAAAAAAGTACTGTGTCGGATCTATACACTTTAACTCTAACAAATAGTATTGATTGTATCGAGATTCATCAATAATCGCCAATTCTTTTTTGTTTTTAATTATTTATTTGTCGGTACTTTTGAAGAGTAAATCCCATTGTTAAGCTCTAATTTACTTGCATTTTATTTAGAAAATAATACCAAATATAAAGAGGTAGTTTCTTTCTTACGGATGCATAATTTTAAGATTTCAATTGGAAGAACCTTTTTACTAAATTAAGATCTAATTATAACATCATGTGCGCAAAGAAATTAAAATATACTGCAGGTGATGACTTACAATTATATGCAACACCAAAACAAGCTCTTGAAGCAAACCGAAGGATGCTTGAAGAAGAAAAATTACAAAGACAACAAAAATATGAAATGAAATTATCGCATGAAGCAAGGATGGATGGTGCTACTCGTATATCTTCGGCACCTTCATCGTATATCGATTACAATAAACAAAATAATAGTAATCATTCATTACCTGGTTCTCGTATCCCTTCTAACCACCACCAACAACAACATTATCATACGCAACAAATGCAGATGCATCGTGTTTTACCACAATCACAGAGGCCTGCCAATATGAATGATGGTACTTATATACATGCAAGTAAAATGGGTATTATACCAAGTACTAATCATAGTGTGAATTCAAGACCCATTCCTAATGTACCAATCCCAATCTTACCTGCTGTCTCTAGAGGAGCGGGTGAACGTAGCAGTAGTAGTTCCCCCCATAGGCGGATGTCACCTGGTAGAAGAGAAGAATCTCACGGTTCGATAAATCAAAAACAACAACAATCCAATGAGGAAAGAGATATCTCTGTTGCAACACAATTATTTTATAATCATGATGTTAAAAAACGTGAAAGATTAACTGCGGAAGAATTACAAAATTTATTACAAAATGATGATAGTACAAGGTTTTCAATATCTGCTATTGATTCTTTAATTAATCTTTTCGGAGCTGCAAGATTTGGTACAGTAAATTTAAATGAATTTGTTTCATTATATAAAAGAGTTAAAGCTTGGCGAAAAGTTTATGTGGATAATGATATTAATGGATCTTTTACTTTATCATTAGAAGAATATCAAAATTCATTAAAAGAATTAGGTTATATGATACCATTTGAAGTTGGAGAAAAATTATTTGATCAATATGCAGAATTTAATATTAAACAAAATTCAAATTCTAAAGAATTAAAATTCGACAAATTTGTTGAAAGTTTAATTTGGTTATTACAATTAACAAAACAATTTCGGAAATATGATAGCAAACAAGAAGGTGTAGCTACAATACAATATAAGGATTTTATTGAAACAACATTATTCCTTGGGCGTCATTTACCACATTAAGACAAATTCATTAAATTTAAAAAAAAAGCATTAATTAATAGATGAAATTTATATATTATGTTTTTCTTTTATTATCATTTCATAAAGACAAGATATCAACAACGCATATATATGTATATAAGCATATAACACATGTAATATTATACTTATTCACAATAATTAAGTAAAGAATAAATTAATTAAATTCCTGAATAACAATTTCAAGTGTTAGACAAATTACCGGGCAGCATTTTTTTTTGCTTTTGGTGATAAACGCATTTCCTCGTATCACCAGGAAAAAGCAAAAAATTAATAATATGACGACACAAAATAAACCAAACAACTAATGTGAATATATAAAGATAAATGATAGAATTATTGTTCTTTTTTAATTTGTTCGTGTCAAGAAATAATTTCTGAAGTAAACCAAAAACATCACTGCCTCCAAAAAAATAGAAAATACAATAATATGCCAGCTATTGAAGTTTATGATGATTCTAACCCCAATGAACCCAATGAATTATATGACACATTAAGAAACTATTCGTATGAAAAGAACTATTGGGAATATAAAGCCGTTCAACAATATATTAAACAACCATATGAAGATAATGATGACATAAGAGATGAATATCAATTCCCAAGTATAAACGATGATGATGTTGTTGACGATGACGAAGATGATATTCAAACAGAAGAATCATTCGAAGATACTGAAGAAGATAATAAAAATAAAAGAAGCTCAATTCCAATTGGATTAACAGATATAATTGATCAAAAATGTAACCTTACAAAGGAGAAAGGAATTACATTTAATATTATGGTAGCTGGACAAGTTGGTGTTGGTAAGACAACATTAATTAATTCCTTATTTGATACAATTTTATTAGATTATGGTAATAATGGAGAAGCTGATAATAATAAGATTAAAAGTGGAGAATTACAAATAAATAAATTTATTTTAGAAAATAGAGAAATGAAATTAAATTTTACATGTATTGAAACAAGTAATTATGGTAATCAATGTGATAATTCATTTGCATGGACACCATTAACAACATATATTGAAGAACAAATAAAATTATATGTATTTGAAGAAGAACAACCATTAAGAAATGAAATTAAAGATAATAGAGTTCATTGTTGTTTATATTTAATTGAACCCAATGGTAGTGAAAGACAATCAATAAAATTATTAGATATTTTATCAATGAAAGAAATTTCTAAAAAATGTAATTTAATCCCAATAATTGTTAAGACAGATATTTTAAATTATGATGAAATTAAAACTTATAAGAAACAAATAAAAGAAATTTTTGAAATTCAAAAAATTGAAATTTGTAAATTTTTAAAAGATTATTCAAATTATTATGATAATGAACAACAAAAATTTTTATTTAAGGAACAAATTGAAAATGATATACCCTTTGGTATAATTACATCACAAGATCATATATTAAATCAAAATAATAAATTAGGTAGAAAATATAATTGGGGTGAAATAATTATTGAAAATGAATTTAATGAAAATGATTTTATTAAATTACAAAATTTTTTATTAAATGAACAAATTGTTTCATTAATTAAAAGTACAGAATCATATTATGAAATTCAACGTGATAATATTTTGAAATTACGTATTGAAAAGGCAAAATTATTAATTGATAATAAAATATCTGAAAATGATTTAATATTACCAATAAATACGAATGAATTGAATGAATTGAAAGCAAGAACAATAAATGAGAACGAATTAAATAATTTTAACCTTTATTGTTATAATATTTTTAATAAAAAAAAGATGGACGAAATATTTATTGAATGGTCACCACAATATATTTCAAAACAATTACAATTTCAACAAAAATTTAATGTAATATTACAAATTGAGGAAGATAAATTTAAAGAATGGAAACGTCATCTTTTAGAGAAACAAAGTGTGTTTAATCAATCGATTGAATTATTATATAGAGATTTAGATTTATTAAAATTACAATGTCAGGAATTAGAATATCAAGTTGTAACAGGTCGAAGTTTACCTTCGATGATTGACATTAATAATCATGCAACCAAAGAAAGTGGAACGGAATCCATATTACCAACATCATTAGATCATAGTGCAACGTTAGTTACATTAAACGTACCAAGAAAATGATGAAGAAGAGCAAGAAGATCTCGTAACCCAAATTTGCATATACACAAATATATATATATAGTCACATTGGTAGAAGTAGTAATAATTATTACATAGTTACAACATAGGAGAATCTATATTTTTGTTTGCTACATTTTTGCCTATAAAAGAATTACCTTTGGTTATAATTAAAGAATCACTGATATATATATATATGTGCAATTCTTTGTTCCTAAATCCTATTAGTTCTCTTGCTTATAAGTGTGTTGTGCCTTCTGCTATTGTCAATATGTCACTTTGCCTTAATCTTTGGGATAAATAATTAGATATTGATTAGTTAAATAACATACATGTATATATATATATTGCTCATATATATTTTACTCAGCTCAACTCTGTGTATGAACTTGTCGTTTAAAAAATGGTTGAGAAGGCTTTGTAGTCTTTGGTTCTTTGGTAATGGAAGACAAATACCGATAATTGCATTAATTTGCATTGAATTATCAGTGGAAGACTATTTTTTTGCGCACGGACATTTGGCAAGAGATGATGCAAATTTTCTTGTTTTTTTGTTTCTTTATCACCGAAAAAACTAAAGAGAAAGAGGGCGGGGGAACAGATGCGTTTAAACGAAGCATTCAATTTTGAATAAGTTTCTCTCTCATCTTTTGGTTATCTAAACGAATGGACGGAACGACCGGTTTAATATAGCAATTGCATAAGTGTGTGTGATTTTTCTTTTTTTTCAAGCACTGCACAGATTCCTGGCACTGAAGGGAGAGCGCTTAGCATTGAAAAATAAATCCACTGTCTCGTATAATTCGTATTTTCATATATGCTTTTCAGTATACTAGATGATATCGTTTAGCGGAAATGTCCGGACAATCTTTTTTTTTGTTTTCATGATGGCTAATGCTGCTCGTATCGGGGAAAGGAAAAAGGAGTGACCTGAAAATAATATATAGCTATTCAGCACTGCTCACTTGGCACGACTGCATTAGGGTTCTTAAATTTCAGCATAGTGGTTATTCTAATGGAGTTGCATTGCATTGCTTCTATTGTATTTGCTCTGTTCCATGATTCCCATACAATAAATAGGACTCGCTTCGTTTAAACAGCAAAATTCCAAAGTTACGAACATAAGCCGAGAGAAACCCAAAATAAATAGCAAGAAGAATCCACCACACACACACACACAGGCGGTTAGAAAATTGGCAGTAGTGACATAATAAGCAAACTGGGTAACTAGCTCTCTCTCTCCCTCAATGCGTGAAGACTGCAGAAATTAAGTGCGTACAACACGCACAAAATACCGTTTTCTTAGTTAAAATCAATTCATTCTTAAAAATGACTTCCCTTTTAGTGGTTTTTAGAGTGGACAGAATATCTGAAAGGAGCCATCGGTTTATTTGAATCTTTTTTTTCTTTCTTTCTATCTTGATTCTACGGGACTATCATCTCGTTTGTTAAATTTAAAAATTAAATTTAGTTATACCAGGTGCAAGTTTAATATATAAAGGTAAAGTGATGAGAACCTATATTCCTTAATAATTTTGATTTCCTTACTCTTATCTTATCTTAATACTGTTGTTTTAATTTATTTCTGTTTTATTTAATACATTAATACATTAAACCAGAACACAGATACCTTTTAATTGCAACATATATTTTAAAGATGTCTGCTGTATTTAATAATGCAACTTTGTCCAATTTGGTCAGAGCTGCTACTTATGGTGATACTTTAAAAAATATACAAAACTACCAACCTCAATTAAATATTGTTGAACAATATTGGTCAGCTTGGTATACTTATATGAATAATGATATTCTAGCAACAGGTTTAATGTTTTTCCTTTTACATGAAATTGTTTACTTCGGTAGATCTTTACCATGGTTTATTATTGATCAAATTCCATATTTTAGAAGATGGAAGATTCAACCAACAAAAATTCCATCAACAAAAGAACAATTATATTGTTTAAAATCTGTTCTTTTATCTCATTTCTTAGTTGAAGCTATTCCAATTTGGACATTTCATCCAATGTGTCAAAAATTAGGTATTACAGTTGAAGTTCCTTTCCCAAACTTAAAGACAATGACTCTGGAAATTTGTTTATTTTTTGTCTTAGAAGATATGTGGCATTATTGGGCTCATAGATTATTTCATTATGGTGTCTTTTATAAATATATTCATAAACAACATCATAGATATGCTGCACCATTTGGTTTATCTGCAGAATATGCTCATCCTGCTGAAACTATGTCTTTAGGTTTTGGTACTGTTGGTATGCCAATATTTTATGTCATGTACACAGGTAAATTACATTTATTTACTTTATGTCTTTGGGTCGTATTAAGATTATTCCAAGCTGTTGATTCTCATTCAGGTTATGATTTCCCTTGGTCGTTAAATAAATTCTTACCATTTTGGGCAGGTGCTGAACATCATGATTTACATCATCATTATTTTATTGGTAATTACGCTTCTTCATTTAGATGGTGGGATTTCTATTTAGATACTGAAGCTGGTCCTGAAGCCAAAGCCGCAAGAGAAGAAAGAATGAAATTAAAAGCTAATAAAGGTGCTCAAAAGAAAAATCAATAGATTTATTTTTCTATTTATTTGCACGTATTTTTTTGAAAAAAAAACAATTTTGTTTGTACCCTTTTTCTTATTTTTTTTAAAACCTTTCTTCAAGAAGAAAGACATAAAAAAAAACCATCCATTTATCTTAACTATTATTACTACTATTACTACTACTATTAGTATCTATATTTGATATATAAATCACTATTTATAAACATCTTTTTTTTTTTTAATTATTATTCCGATATTAAAAAAAGAAAAGAAAAATACACACATTTTATCTTATTTATGAATATTTAGTAAAAGTTCTAAACTTTCGTGTGTGTGTTTTGGGTTTTTTTGCAAAAAAAATATATATATGGATTCATTTTATTGTATTGTATTGTATTGTACATATTTGTGTTTGATATATATTGAAAGAAAGTACTCTGTAAAAAAAATGATTATTTTTTTATTTTCCTTTTTTTTAATTACCAGATGTCTTAGCGACCCATTTTCTTGCATTTCTAAATAATCTTATCCAAGGACCATATCCTTCCCATTCATCATATTTATCTTCTGGATACCATGAATTAGATTCCAAACGACAAACTCTTTCAGGATGTGGCATCATTGCAAGGACTCTATTATTTGGTGATTTAATACCTGCAATACCATTGGTGGCACCATTTGGATTAAATGGGAATTCTTGTGTTACTTCGCCATAATTATTAATATATCTAATTGAACCTAATTGTCGTCCTTCAAAATTATTCATTTCTTCTTCATTAATAAATGTTGCTTTACCTTCTCCATGTGCAACAGCAATTGGTAATTTTGATCCTGTCATACCATCTAAAAAGATACTTTGTTCAGATAATTTTGAATCAATTTCAACCATACAAACACGTGCTTCATATTGTTCACTTAAATTCCTTTCAAAAGTTGGCCAATTTTCACAACCTGGGATAATTTCTTTTAATCTACTTAAAAATTGGCAACCATTACAAGCACCAAATGCAAATGTATCATCTCTATTTTGGAAAAAATCAACAAATTGTTGACGAACTTCTTCATGATAAAGAACAGATTTTGCCCAACCTGCACCGGCACCTAAGACATCACCATATGAGAAACCACCACAAGCTGCAAAACCAACAAAATCCTTAAGTTGAACTTTACCATTAATTAAATCAGTCATTGTAACATCAATAGATTCAAATCCAGCTTGTTCAAAACACCATGCCATTTCCATTTGACCATTAACACCTTGTTCTCTTAAGATTGCAACCTTAGGTCTAACATTCTTTAACGTAGTTCCAATTTGAAGATCATCCTTTGGATCATAAGTTAATTGGTATTGTAAACCAGGGTTTTTATCATCTAATAAAGTAGCAAATTCTTCTTGAGCTGTATTTGGATTATCTCTCAATTTTTGCATTTCAAAGGATGTCTTACCCCAAATTTGTTGTAATTTACCTCTTGTATTGGTGTATACGGTTTCTTTATCATTCTTAATCTTTATCTCTTGAGATGTAAAGTCTGGAGTACCAACAACCTTAATATAATTAGAAGAAACACCATTTGAGTTCATAATTTGAGTAAATTCATCAATCTTGTCATTAGAGACTTGGAAAACAGCACCCAATTCTTCATTAAACAATTCGCCTAATAATAATTCTTGGGAAGTACCTTGAACATTAATTTCAACACCACATCTTGAAGCAAACGCCATTTCTAATAAAGTTACAAATAGACCACCATCTGATACATCGTGGTAAGAAGATACAATATCTTGTGCTTTATGCAGGCCCATTATGGCTTCAAGGAAACCCTTTAATACCAAATTATCATAGACAGTTGGTGAAGAGTTACCAACTTGACCATAAACTTGTAATAAAGCAGAACCACCTAAACGTTTCTCAGTTTGTAAACTGGATAAATCAACTAAAATTAATGAAGATTTACCACAACTCTTACTCAATAATGGAGTCCAAGTGTTAGAAGTGTTGTTAACTGGGGCAAAAGATGTAATGTTTAAAGCTAATGGGGCAGTGACTTCCTTATCATCCCATTTCATCTTCATAGACATTGAGTCCTTACCAACTGGGATAGCGATACCAAGATCAGGACAAAGATCCATACCAAGAGCTTGGACAGCTTCGTATAATTTTGAACCTTCACCTTTGTGAGCGGCAGGAGACATCCAGTTCGCAGATAATTTAATATGTTTCAAAGATTTAACATCAGCAGCCATAATGTTTAGTAAAGATTCGGCAACAGCAAGTTTAGCTGAGGCAGCTGCAGAGATTAAAGCATTGATTGGTTTTTCACCCATAGCTAGAGCTTCACCTGTAGAAATAATTGAGTCACCTAACGAAGTAGCAGTAACACCAACGTCAGCGACAGGAACTTGCCATGGACCAACAAATTGATCTCTGTCAATCAAACCAGTAACGGTTCTATCACCAATAGTAATTAAGAAAGATTTAGAAGCAACAGAGGGTAGCGATAAAACTCTTTCAACGGCATCATTTAAGGATGGTACGACAGATAAATCAGCGTTAGGTAAAGTTAATGATTCAGTAATAGCACTTCTAGACATTTTTGGTGGCTTACCAAATAAAATTGACATTTCTAAATCGATTGGAGTGGTGTTTAATAAGGAATCCTTAACTAATAATCTTTGTTCAGATGTAGCATTACCAACTACAGAGTATGGAGCTCTTTCTCTTTTACAAATTTCTTCAAAAGTTGCCAAATCCTCGGATGCTACACCCATTACATAACGTTCTTGAGATTCATTACACCATATTTCCATTGGAGACATACCTTTTTCCAAAGATAAAACCTTTCTAATGTCAAATTCAGCACCCAAATCATTATCGTGAACCAGTTCAGGTAAAGCATTAGATAGACCACCAGCACCAACATCGTGAATGGATTGGATTGGATTATTTTCACCAAGTGCAACACAAGCATCAATAACTTGTTGACAACGACGTTCCATTTCTGGATTACCTCTTTGAACAGAAGCAAAATCTAAATCGGCAGAACCTTCGCCAGATGCAACGGAAGAAGCGGCACCACCACCAAGACCGATCAACATAGATTCACCACCAAGGACAATAATACTTGAACCTGCTGTAATTGGTTTATTTTTTAAAGCGAATTGTGGTCTAACAGTACCAAACCCACCTGCTAACATAATTGGTTTATGGAAACCTCTAATTTCTTCAACATTATCATGATTCTTTACCTTTGTTGTTAAAGTTCTAAAGTAACCATTGATACATGGTCTACCAAATTCATTATTGAAAGCTGCAGAACCTAATGGTGCCTCAATCATTATATCTAGAGCAGACGCAATATGTGATGGTTTGCCGACATCTAATTCCCATGGTTGTTTGAAATTTGGAATCAAAAGATCACTAACGGAGAACCCACTTAAACCACATTTAGACTTAGAACCTCTACCAGTAGCACCTTCATCACGAATTTCACCACCAGAACCAGTAGCCGCACCTGGGAATGGAGATACAGCAGTTGGATGATTATGTGTTTCAACTTTAATTAGCATTGGAACTCTTTCTTTCAAAGCAGTCCACTTCTTAGTAATAGAATCTGGAGAAAAGAAATAAGCTTCATTTTCAGTATCAATGACGGCGGCATTATCAGAATAAGCACTAATAGTATATTCTGGAGAGATCTTATGAGAATTTCTAATCATTTGAAATAAAGTATAGTTTTTCTTTAAACCATCAATAGTCCAATCTGCATTAAAAATCTTATGACGACAATGTTCTGAATTTACTTGTGCAAACATGAACAATTCAACATCTGTTGGATCTCTTTTCATAATATCAGTAAAAGCTTTAATTAAATATTCCATTTCACCAGCGTCTAAGGCTAAACCTAATTCAACATTAGCCTTTTGTAAAGTTTCCATTGGTGATTTCATTGTAGAGGTTTGAGATTGCAATGGAACAGAGACCAGAGGCCTTGGTTCTTCATGAGTAAACAAAGCAGAAATTGGTGGAGCTTGATCAATATACAATTGATGTGTCATTCTATCATATACTGATTTCAAAGTAACATCATTGAGTGAATTTGTAAGATCAATATCATTTTCAACTTTAATTAAAAGTACAGTACCTCTTTCAATTCTGCTAACTTTTTCTTGTAAACCACATACGTTAGAGATGTTAGTAGCTTTAGAAGACCATGGAGAAATAGTACCAGATCTTGGAATAACTCTTATTAAATAATAATTTCCATTAGAGGAATCATTAATAGATGAATCATTATTAGAGATAGCATCATGTAATAATTTAGCAACATTATCATTTTTGAAATCTAAAGCACTATCATAAGTTAATAGCACGTCTAATAAAGAAGTTTCTTTATCATTTAATTTTGTAGTTAAAAGATCAACATAATGAACGTAACATGAACGAATTTCTTGAACGACATTCTTACCATTAAAGGCTCGATTGATTTCATTGGTAAGGTTTTCAACTCTAAATGAGGATAGAGCTTTTGGACCAGGTAGAACGATAGATGACATTATTGAAATGTGATGATATTCTTAGGTGATTAATTTAAAATTTAAAAGAACTGTTTCTTAATAAAAATAATTGAAAAAAAAATCCCTTAGTTTAATAGTTATAATAATCAGGCGATGACTATATATATATGTATGCTTAATGTTCGGGGCCTTTAAAGTGAAAAAAAAAAATTAAAAAACGGGAAGATGAAGAATGGAAAGCAAAAAAGAAGTAAAAGAATCCTTGAAGTGATTAATTTTATTTAATATATATAGATGAGATGAATTAAGCAAGAAATATATATTGCAAAAAAGATTAAAAGCTATTTATGTTATATATGTCAAAGTATAAACCTAATTCTAGTGCTCAATATTATAGAAACGACTCCACTAAAATAAATAGGTGAAACAAGCAATATATAGGAAAATACTTAACAAATGGTGATCTTATTTATATTAGATAAAAAATCAATTGAATAGTTTAGAGAAGGAGTTAAGATGTGAGTAATGTAATAAATAGTAATCTATTATTCTTTAACATCATCAAAGTATTTATTTTGATGAGTAACAATTAAATAAAATATGTATTCATCACTATGCCAAAGAAAAATGTGACCCTTGTATTTGGCTGTATGGAAAAGTTTGCAAAATTCAGTTGAAAATCGTGACTTCTTTTTTCTTCTGTCTCGTTTTATCCGTTTAACTTGCTTGTTCTTCCCACTGATCATAGCGCTATTATTATTATTGCATAGTTTTATGTGTAGTCGCACGCCGCGGGGTTTTGTTAGAAGTATTGTGTTCTTGACTTCTTTCTACACATGCTGCCAGATTGCAAGTAAAGTGGAATGGCTGCAGAATATTGAATCAGACAGAGTATGAGTATAGTGTCGTATAGTATGATTTCCAATGATGATACAAATTTTGATTATTGGTTTAAGGAGAATAAATGAAATGAGTGTGACTCTGTTAAGAAAAGTGTTTATACAGTGGTTATATATTCAAATTAAGTCTTTAAGATGATCAGGAACTGGCGGCTATAAACGAATTAGGTATAGTCGACGGACATAAACGTTTTCTTACTGTTGCAGTATTCGGAAGTTCTATTTTAGCGGAAAAGTTCGTGGATATTTTTGACGTCCTGTTTTAAACCAGTATTCAGTATGATGAACCTCTGTGTAAGATGAAGATTCTTTATTAAGGGCATACTATATGTATGTATATATAATTTATGTTTAACTTTTGGTTCATTTATATAGCAAATTAGCTGAATATAGTAAGGAAAACAATCGCGCTTAGCAATTTTTTTTTTTTTTGCTTTTTGGGTTGGAAAATCTGAAATGAAAATTTGTTGCGATACATTTTACAGTGAAAATCAATGAAAAAAATAAAGGCGACAATTTTAGCGATGACTTGAATAGCATTTGTTTTATATTTCGAGTATTTGTGTTAACTATGAACTGTTAGTTGTCTTTTTAAGAGAGCTTTGATAATTTTTCACCTATTGAATTATAATAACAACTACAACTACAACAGAAAATAAAAATAAATACAATATGGTACAAAAGGCTTTGAAAGTGAATAGAAAGGTTAAGGATCCTCGTCGTGTAACAAAGAAACAAAAAAATTTAAAAGCTGCAGCTCCAAGAATTATTAAATCGAAGAAGAAATCTTTACAACATATGAAGAAATTAAATAAGACTGCATCTTTAACTCAGGCAACTGAAAGACTCGTAGCTAGTAAAGTGGGTCATTTGGAATTATTGAAAGGAACAAGAAGAGAACTTGAAAAAAAGGCTAAGAAGTAAATATAAAGATGTATATTCTGATCTTTTGTTTTTTGATTACTAGCATACCCTTTCTTAATATTATTATTATTTAGTATTACTACTACCATTTGTACATTATATAGATACATTTTTTTAATCCCTTTAACATAATAAATAGCATTCACATATTACATTCTGAATTTTAATGTTTTGGAATCTCTATCCAAAAAAAAACAATGTGACAAAACTTTTATACGATATTTTATTTACAAAATATTTACAAATACTATTTACTTTTGATATGGCCATAAAAAATCTAATACAATATTCTGTAATAAAGAATATAAATTGGAACTGATCCAATATAATGATAATAGAATTGAAGCTTGCGATGATACACCCATCATAAAAACAGACCCGATTCTGGAAACATTCAACACACTCTTAATACCTTGCGTTAATCTTGAATTGTCATCTTTATATGTTTCTAGCCCGACTACATCTGTAGTTTTTCTCAATAACATTTTACCATTATATTCAATATTTAATAACGATACAATACCTAACGTTATCGGTATAATCATAGGATATATATCGAGTGGACCAGTAAGATCTATTTCATGGAATTTGAAACTTTCAAACCATGCATGTGTAGAGCCTTCGATTTTCCACTCTGTTAATTTTCTAATACCCATTGAAACTGTACACCATAAGGGAATTTGAACAACAGGTAACAACATATTTTTCCACATTTGTACTCCATGCTTCTTAAAGATTGTTTTTTGCCTCTTACGTGTTTCTTTTGCCGCTATTACTACGATCTGTTCCGGAGTTAACTGCCTGGTGGTCTCTTGTTGAATTGCATTTGGAATTTTCGTTTCATCAGTCATTGTTGTCCTCGATGTAATTGTTACATTTTTATTTACAGGTTTCGTCTCGCTAGCTTTTGCAGCTGCCAAACGTAATTTTATGATTGGTGTCATCGATTGTATAACTTTCCTTAGTTCTTGTTGTTTTACTATCCTCTTACGTTGCCATATACTAAATGGAAGTGTAAAGACAGTTCTTAAAACAAATGTAGTTGTCGGTATTAGAACTAACCATGGTATCCCACTGACTTCGTGTACTGTCGTAAATGTGTCTGCAACGGCCTGAAATGTGGCAAACCCACGATTTGACCCCGTCATTTTTTGAAATTGTGATCGATCATATGTCTTGGTGATTATTTGTTTACTTAGGGGTCTCCCCACGCTTGAACCCAACCGAAGCATTTTATTCTAACAAATAGTTTCTAATTAGATCGTTTATGGAACTAACCCTTTATTCGTGGAGTACTGCTATTTTTATCAGTTTCACTATCACACTATCCTGTTTTAGTGGTAATAGTTGTGTAATGTGTTTGCATAATGGTTCTTAATCTTGTCCATAAACAATTTCTCGATAAGTTTAAATATTGAAAAATTAAAAAAAAATATACTAATAATAATATTACAGCCCTAAGACACAGAGAGATGACTATTTAATATACATATTGTTAACGACTTTTATAGAACTGTTAAATATCTTTCGTTGCTAGGTGTGATCGGATGCTAGATTTAATATCATGTGTCTATTCAACCTGACTTCCGTCTCTTGGTTTATAATGTGGCAATAGTTCAACTACTTCCGGAGGTAACCTACCATCAACTTTAATAGCGTATATACCTGGAATACCTTGGTTTACACTTAACCATTTTGCTACCCATGATTTTGTAGGTTTACACATCCCGACCATACCTTCAAAAGATGGTGATGTGCATTCCATTGCAGAGACACCTGCTTGTTCAAAGACACCTTGACAGTTTGGGCAACCTTCTCTACCAAACTCATTCGTCGTTTGGATTATACCACATAACATGCATGCTCTATCACTGGACATAATGGATAAAATGTGGGTGTGTGTATGTCTGTATTTTCTTTCTTTTATGGTTACCTAACCGTTGTGTATGTTCAGTCAGTTGATATGTAGGTTAAATGATTTTTATAAGATATCTTTCACACGAAATATAATACTTAATTGCGGGTTATATGTATTTTTTGTATGGTGAACGCTCAATTACGGAGATTTTACAGTACAATTACCGTATCAAAAAAATGGAAAAAAATACCGAGAGGGTAATATCCTTAAGCTTGAAACTACAATTAATAATGACCTTATTGCAGTTGATACTCATACTCATCAACTTTAATGATTACAGATAAGTATATTAACAACATGTTTAAGTAGGAGTGATATTTTGGTTTAAAGAAATATATATACACACATATAAAAATATATAAGCATGGGGCTTTAAAAGGCGTAATTTTAAAAGCCTTCCTTCAAGTAATAATAACCATCATCTCTTAGCTCCATATCTTCTGTGACAAAAGTTGGTGGAGCTTCTTCTTTGCTGGAATCATATAGAATGATACCATTTCCTAAGGCGTGTCTCTTTTCATTCTTCTTGTATATATATAAGACCACAAATGTCCACAAACCATAAATGGCACCAAATATTAAACTAACGATATAACCAGTCTTGAATCTTGGAGATTCTGTAGTTTGCCATGCCAAATTTGGAATCCATGCATAAGTAGATTGTGAAAATGAATAAATAGCAATCCATGTTACGGCTTTAACTTGTGGATCAAACCTTAAGAAGTCGTTAATAAATGACCATAAGCAAGGAGATGCAGATATACTAAAATACGTAGTCAAAAACGCATACCATTTAGATCTTGAAGAAATATCCCATTTGATTAAAAGAGCGCATGATACGGTATTCATTATTGCTGCAAATACCATAAAGATCCATTTACAATGAAAAATATCTGCACCGAAGGAACAAAAGAAAACATATGCGAACCCTAGACAAGCCGGCAAAACGCTCAGGTTATTAACTTGTTCAATAGTATATTCGTAATTCGATTTCAACCATAATGTATAAGAACCACTAAATGCTGTCATATTATTCCATGAACATGTATCGAATACTACCAGGACCCAGAAAGTTGGAGTTAAAAAGACTTGTTTCCAAACTTTTTTACTAAATAATGACGTTAATTTAGATTTATCAACACCGTCTGTTATTTGGTTCCTCTTATTTCTTGCTCTGGCAATCAATATTTCTTCATCAGTGAGGAACAATGAATAACATTTTGATGGAATACCAGGGATGACAAAAAATCCAATAATTGCAGTTGGGATTGAAATTGCTATAGCGTCGATTAAGAACATCCATCTCCATCCAGCTAAGCCATTAACACCATCTAAACTTTTAAAGATTCTTGCTTGTAGTAATCCTGAGGTAACCCCACCTAATAATTGACCGCAAAAGAATAAACAAACTCTTGAGCTTAATTCATCAGGTGCATACCAACAACCTAGGACATATTGTGACACTGGATAATAAGCAGCACCAAACGCATTTAAGATGAATCTGTAAGCTTGTAATTCACCAAGGGATTTGACTCTGTAACAAGCGAAAGTAAACCATGCCCAACCAAAATCCATGATAGGAAGAATCAAATGAGCTGGATATCTTGGTAATAAATACATAAATGGGAGTTGAAAGACAATTGAACCAACATTACCAATTGTAGAAGTGTGGATATAATCATTACCTTCCATCTTTAAATCTTCTTTCATGTTGGAGACATAAGCATTAGTATAGTTGTTTGTATCAACAGATTTGGACCAACAAAGCATCAAAAAATATACACCAATGATAAGATCCAGTTTATAAAGTAATCTTCGTTCAGCTTTACTTTGTTTTTTATGATTTGGGTATAAGAATTCGTACCAACTTCTTGATTCTCTACGTTGTTTATTCAATCTGTATTCAAATTCATCAAAATACTTCCACCATTTTCTACCAGCTTCATCTCTCAATTCATAAGGCATTTCTTTATTTAATTGATTGTAATTGATGGACATTTCATGAACAGTATCTAAACCCTTATCAATACTTGATTTACTGACATTAGAAATATTTCCATGATGTTTGATTTCGATTTCAGACTCCGTATCGGTAGTTAAAGTAGTCTCTTCTATTTGTTGGTCGTTTGGTAGGACCCTTAAGTGAGGTATACATTTTCTCCACCCAGTAGTCATTTTGATTTTGTATTATATGGGTGTTTGTTTTCCTTAATTAATTAATAAATTTAATTTTATTTGAATATTAGTTTTAGTTAGTGAATATATTAAATGGTTAGATTATAACTTTTCAAAAAGTAAAATTAAGTAAAAATATGGTCTACTTATATACTTTTTTTATTATTGTTGTCTTTAATGGAATAATGCAAACACTAGATATATTAATCGAAATTAAGTTCTGAAATATTAAAAATAAGTGATGCAATAACGATATAATTCGATGACGTTAATAATCGTGACGGACTCAGATAGAATAGTCTTTATTAAAAAAAGCCAGTGACTAATAGAAACGTTTAAAAAAGAAAGAGAAATTAGAAAGGTATAAGTTATCTGTTTTATAGTTTATCCTTATCTATCTCGTTGTTGTTTGGTAATTTCGTTCTTATATTAATTAAAAAAAAAATACTCTCTTCGACGAATGAGTAGACTATGTCTATCTTTACCACCAGACAATACAATAAAATGGAATCATGAAAACTTGTGTCCAAATGATATATACTCAAAAAATACAGACTCTTATACTATTCTTACCTTTCAACACACACACCCAGACAGACATATATATATGAAATATTGTTGAATACACTTTTAGCCATACTGTGTCATTCAAAAATAGTTGCATCATTAAATCTATATTGTAATCCAAGAAGTTATCTCAAGTTTCTGTCGTTCTACTTACGAAGATGAATCACTGCACGTTATTGCTCAGTTAATTCCCGTATTGAAAAACAAATGAAAAGAAAGTCCGCACGATAACTTCGCACAATTTTTCATATTTTTGGAATCATCGAGAGATGATTCCAATATATATATATATATATATGAAATTGTTAGGTGGAAACATTCAGATGAACGTATGCAAGGAAGTACGATTATATTATTGTGTTGTAAAAGTGTAGTATGATTTACGAATCCGTTATCCTATCTCCCAACAACAGTTCAATCAACTTAGTAAGACATTTAATATATAAAATATACCGGGTACATTATGTAATGTTAAAACTCTATAAAGAGTCTAGCTTTTGTTTTATCATTAGCATGTCACATCACTAATATGAATGTGACATTGTGTTGCACATAGTATTATGATCTACTGGGAGAACATGTAATATTGTATTAAGAACAATCCCTAACTTAAACCATTTTAGCATGATTCATTTATTCCAATTGAGTAAGCGTAATGTGATTTGTTAAGAATTCTGATATCAATCCCTGATATAGCTTGCCCTCTTATAAGTGTGCAACGTAGTTAAATGCATCATTGAAAGTGTCAGGGTATACTTACCATTATATATACCACCCATACACCACATGCACACGCTCATCGCGTTTTCTTCCGCTTTCTTTGAATAAAAAAAATTTCAACGAAAAAATTTCTTTCAGAGACGCAAAAAAAGTGAAAAATAATATTTTCCACCGTCAGACGAAAGGACGACGAAAATGATTGTTTTTTTTCACTTTGAAGCATTCCTATATAAACTACCAAAAATATAAATTTTCAGTTATTAAAACATATTTTTAAGTTCTCCTTTTTTGTTGTTGAAGAGAGAATATATACCAAACACAAACTCCCACATTTCATACTTTAATGTATGTACACCTGTTTTAGTATATTACCGTACAATTACAAAATATTTTGTATTGTTTAGAGTAATATTTGATTAATCATTGTCCCTACAATGTTTATCCGAACACTTTTTTGCTTTAGCTTTATTTAAGATAATTCAAATAGTGTGATAAAGACACGTCATGAGAATCAAAGAAGTTTTTATAATGTCATTTCTGTATGAAAAGATGTTCTTATTTTTTTTTTAAGAATTTCCAATTTTAGAAAGTTAATACATATCTCTATTTTCTGTTGAACATAGGATATATACATTATATTAGCCTTTGATACCTTTCTATGGCGCAAATCGTTTTGACCGTTTAACTTTTCTTCTATGAATCTATTATATTTTATAATGGACACTCATAAATGGGAGTTAACTACATTCCGTTTTTGTTTCTTTAACATGTATCATTTTAGATATATGGTAATAATCAAATATTCTGTACTAATGAATTTTGTATTGCAAACGGCACTATTTACTACGTTTTATCTAATAAAACAAATGAAATGTAAATTAACATACTAACAAACTATTATATTCATATTGAATATTCTTTTTTATTCAGAATAATGACTCGTACTTCCGTTCTAGCTGATGCTTTAAACTCTATTAACAACGCCGAAAAGACTGGTAAGCGTCAAGTTATGATTAGACCTTCCTCCAAGGTTATCATTAAATTCCTACAAGTTATGCAAAAGCATGGTATGTCTAATTTTAAGTGATATCTTCTATTTTGTTCAGTTTTAACTATTATTATTTTTTGTGAATGTTTTTAATGTATCAAAATTATAAATTTCCGATATTTTGTTTTATGAAGAAGAATAATATCCCCGGGTTGATAACTAGATGGTATGTTCGGTCTTCAGTCCCATACTGTCCTTTAAGTATCCGGGATATTAATTATTCCAACGAGGGAATGCTTCTTACACGGTTCTAAATGCGTTTGACATTTATTATTAAACATCTAAGCCGTTTCTAACCGTTTACTTTCCCTCGACATTTTATTCCTTTCGTAAAACAATTGAAAACAACAACTATATTTCTTTTTAAAGGTTCTTAAAATACAAATGAATGTATTATTCCATATTCTTAATTCAATATTTGAGGAAAACTTATTTTTTTGATACAATTCATAAATCACAAGAAAGATAGAGGAAACCTTGAATAAATATCTCTGCCGAGATTAAAAAAATGTTTAATTTCTTAATTTTACTAACAATTTTATCCTTATCTTCATAATATTTATATTATTTTGGTAATTTTTTCAGGTTACATTGGTGAATTTGAATCTATTGATGATCACAGATCTGGTAAGATTGTCGTTCAATTGAACGGTAGATTGAACAAGTGTGGTGTCATCTCTCCAAGATTTAACGTTAAGATTGGTGATATTGAAAAATGGACTGAAAACTTACTACCAGCTAGACAATTTGGTTACGTTATTCTAACTACTTCTGCTGGTATTATGGACCATGAAGAAGCTAGAAGAAAGCATGTCTCTGGTAAGATTTTGGGTTTCGTTTACTGATTTATGTTTTCTTAGGGATTCATATTTCTTTAAATATATTTGTTTCAGTATCTATTTTTCTTTTTGTATGTATTGAAATATGTAAAATAAATTTTATCAATTCATAGTATTTGGTCTTCGTTAACTATTTGACTTTTTTTAAATTAAGTGTGTAATTTCGCCATCACTTCACCCCTAACATATGTGATATTAGTATTGAATTTTAAAAATGGAATATTTATTAATACGTAACTTTCATTCATTTATATATTATGTGGCACTGTGATGAATCCCATATATTAAATATTATTATTATTTCCGTGGCTTAGTCTATCCTTGGATATACTTAACCTTTGGATTGGTCTTATTGCTTGATTTTCATCTGTAGTGCTACTTGCAACGGGAATCGGATATGCAGATGGCAACACCGGTCCATTTAACATCTTACCACTAGATAAGGAAGGTAAAGAGGCACGTCTACTTTGTAACCATTTGATTGGAGGTTTGTTATCATCATCATACGAATTCAACAAAGCATGTGCATTAAATCTTGTTGAATCATGCAAATTATTGGCGATTTTTCCATTTACTTGACCATATGAGTAATTCTTTAAATGATTTAAGGTATTTGGATTGCCACTATGTAATATTGGTTGTGGTACTGGACCATGTGTATCATTATAGGTTCCAAATGGAACTTTAGAAGTATTATTATTCTCAAAAAAACTGCCATTTGGAATTGAATTCCTTTTATTTGGTGAAGCTAACATTTGTCCCGGAACAAAATTCAACGGAGGCAGTAATAACTTTTGCCCATCCTCTGTAACAGAGACCACAGAAGATCTTCTCTTTGAAGTAGATGTATACGACATTGGAGACGTTGGTAAAGTGAATGGATTGGATCCAATTGATGAGATGGATGGTCTATGAGAATAAGTTGGAGTCTTTACCATTGGAACAGTTTCTTGTTCATCTTTTTCGAATAATTTTAAAAATTCAAATAGTTTGAATCTTGTTTCTTGGTCCAGTGTTGGTAATGGAAATAATCGTTTAATAATAATTTCATCCTTGATATAGCTGGCGATCGAATCGATTAGACAATGGAATCCGATGTAAGCAGAAGATTTATTATTAAAAAGAATCTCATTGATATCTTTTTCTAACAATTTATCTGTATCAATTGTTTGGTCTGTATTGATACTGTATTTTTCTACAAAATATACCACTGAATCATATTCAACGTTAGAAGTGGATATTAATTCATTATCATTTTTGTAGATCACCGAAAACCAAACATATAAAATTAATTGAACCATTGGATTACTCAAAAATCCCATGATGTGTGTAGGACCATTCAATTGAGAAGACACGAGATCAGTAGAGAATAATTTTAGTTGAAAAGATAGTATATCGACTATTAGTGGCAAAAACCTCTCATTTATTGGGAATAAATCTTCATTTTTAGCATGATTCTCAAGTAATGCAATCACTGGAGTAGTACATAGAGCCAGATTGTTATTGATCATTGATCCATCTAAATAAACGTTTTGTAACATTTGTAACTTCAAAAAAGATGATTTCTTGTATACTAATTCAGATGGCGATAAACTCTTTAAAAATTCAAACCAAGTAGATTCCCATAATAACCAATGATTATTTGACTGTGGTAAGATAGCATAATCAATTAAAAGATTTGCAAATTTTTTAGGTGCTCTTAATAATAATATATTTTTTTTCCAATCTTGAAACAAAAGATTGAAATTTGGATCATGTACATTAATTAAGTGTTCACTACTTCTTTTCATTCCAGAACTATCAGTTGTTTCCGATATAATATTTTTCATAGTCAAATTTGAAAATTTTTGATTTATCTTAATTATTATATTGTGTAATTCTTCTGTCGATTTGAAACTACCCACCGAAAAGATATTTCTCGATGTATTAAACAAGGTATTATTCGCTTCACAATATAGTGTATCTGGTAGAATATTCAAAGTGGCTAAAGACATGTTTTCTTCAATGACATAATTTCTAGAATTTAAGAAATCAAATAAAGTTAATTCAGGGAATCCACTAAATAAGTTATTTTGTTTTAAGAACCATTTATAGATAATTGATGAGGCATTGTCAAATGTGTCTATAGTCTTTGTTAACAATACCCAAGAATCAAAAATATTCCATATATCGAAGGATTTGATATCAATAAAATCAACGACTTTTTGAGAAGTGTCTAATTGATTAATCATATACAGCAAACTTTGTTGGAAAAATTGAAATACATCTGAACACGTCTTCTCACAGTTTGGGGTCTTTAAGAGGATATACATCAATATTGATATTGATAAAATATCAGGTCTACCTAGCTCTGTGGAGCTTGTCATTGCTTGATTCCAGCATAATATCCATAAATTCTGATCAAATACGTTATTTTTTGTAAAATTACCTAGACATGATATCGATATACCTAGTATTGGTAAAAAATCTTCTCTTTCTGAAATCCACGCTTTTTTAAAAAATTTATCATTATCATAATTGCAAGATTCATAAATCGATCTAATGGAATTTAAATATAATTGATTATCTCTTAAGGATATTATCCCAAAATTAAAATTTTTAAGTAATTGATCTGAATAATAACTTAAATGAAATTTATTTATGACATTTGAAGTTAAATATGAATTAAATGAGTCATTAACATGATTCAGATATAAATTGTTTAAAACTGAATTATCATTTGCTTTTCCTAGTCCATTCTCAATACTGTTATTATTATTATTATTAGAGTTGTCAGTTAAATTATATTTCGATAAAAATTGACCATTGAATCCTTTGTTTGCACCATTTGTTAAATCTTTAATATCACTTACACTAGAGGATGATGATTGACAAGCACTATTCGTATTACTATTACTACTATTCAGTTCACTATTCCCATTATTACCGTTATTATTTGTTTGGCCTCGCGTGCTGTAATTAGTACTATTATTATTCAATTTTTCTCTTTCCTTTTCTTTCGGTAAGTCCCTTACATGGATCATTTGACGCACTAATTCATCTAATGTTTGGTCATCTGGAATATTATCATTATTATCAGTATCAATATTATCTGAATTTTTCTTATTTTTATTATGTTTCATTAGGACTCTATCTCCATTTAATATTTCACGATTGATATTAAGTTTTATGTCATTAATTGTATCATTTCCATTGGAGTCAAAATTATCTTTTTTACTTGCTAGTAATAATACACGATGAACTGTTCTAATATGTCTTTGTACTAAATCTCTTCTAACGAAAGAATGTTTACAAATTTTACATTGAAAAGGTTTATAACCTGTATGTGACCTTTCATGTCTTGTTCTATGTTCTGAACGTGAAAATGATTTTGCGCAAAAGGAACAAATATATTTCCTTTGAGAGTTTGCCATTTGTAGTTATTATTGTTATAATTATTATTAATTGTTAAAATAATAAATATTTGTATATATGTATCTATATCAACCAAAAAAAATTAATAATTAAGTGGTAGAATATTGATACTCAGACTTTTTTGTCAACGATATACTAAATACTAACCAAGATTAACTCTCAAAAATAATAAGAATTAATAGATAAAAACTAAGTAAATCAATTTAAAAAAAAAATAGAAAGTTTCACTGACATTCAATAATTTTTATTACGGTATATAATATTAGAAAACGTAGAGTATTTATTCGTTTATATATATACATATGTATATACACAAGGTATATAAATATCTACGTTTCCATGACTTCCAATAGGGTGGGTTGAGGGGTTCGGTTATAAGTAAAATTATATAATGGATGGGGGTTGGAAAGACAGATAGGTCAAATAAATGTAATATAATAATATTTAATACGGTAATAAAAACTATACAGATTTGAATACGAATTGCAAACAAATTCCTTTAATGAAAACTGTCTCTTGGAAAATAATGATAAAGAGTGGGGGAAGAAGGTCAGGGGACATGTTGTGGCAGTGGGGCAGGGGGGGTTAACTAAAACCATATTCCAGAGCTGGGTTTCACAACTTCGCTCTCCCCTCTCTCTGGCAGTACTAAAATATCGAATTATATTGATATTGTATGGCTCTCTTTAATTTCTTGAATATAGAGCCAACAACCAAGGAAAAGGGGAGAGGCAGTTGAACAGTCTGCTTAAAGAAGGGCCGTAATTACTTGCAGCATTTAGGGGTAATGCCAATGCAAAATAAGTAAATGACACTCAAAACGAAACAGTATCGAATTCTGTGGGTGTGTTTTTAAGGGACAAATCACACATATAAGGAATATTCTATTAATTTCCCACTATTTATTTCTTGCTTTTTGCGTTCTTGTGACCTAACCTCTCTACTAAAATAATTTACAGAAGAATCGAGACGTTAAAATGTAAAGCAACTACAGTTTCAGCCTGCAAAGAATATTAATTACTTTTTGAATGGTTTTTCTCTTTGACAGAGAACAGGTAGGAAGAGGTCCGGCTATTAGTGGGGGTGGTTAAAGAGGGGGGTGGGGATAAATATGTTAGTGAGACACCAAATGAACAAATAAATGGTTTAAGTGCGTAAATGAGGCTATTTTAAATTTCTTCCGTCTAACACAGCAGTCTATCGACGGGAAATGTGTGTATGTACAAGTTGGAAAGCCACACGAATACAAAGATTTACTCGCAGAAAACATACTGAAAATAACCCTAAAGAATGCGGATGGTGATCCTTAGTTTTAGTACAAAAGTGCACTGAAATGGAATGGAATTTATTAGAGGTCTTCCGTTGTTTATTTTTTCATTGATTTTATTATCCGTTTATGTTTTTAAGGGAAGATTCATAGAAAATAAATAATTTTGCGTGTGTATTTGGATGGAAGAGTGGGGTACTCCGCTATAATTGGTCGTCGGGAGCTCCCGTGGAAATATATCTATATCCTGTGTATTATCACATACTTCGGGGATGCAATGCTTGGTTTAGAAAGAGGATCGTAACTCACACACACACACAGAGAGAGTTGAAAATTCTTGAATAAAATGAAATAAATTATGGTGGGGTGAAAAATTTTACAAACCTTCATTTGTCCGACCGAAGCACGGAAATGTACTTTAAGTGGGCCAGCTCAGGAGAATAATTGGACAGTTTCGTTTCATTTCATCCTGCAATAAAATACTAATCGTTTGACAATTTGTTCATTGAACTCCTTCAATCCGGAAAGACTACGTATTATTACAAACAGTAATTTAATGTTACATTCACAGTATATTGCGGTACAATCGTTGTGGTGGATGAGTTCACTGCAGGAGGAATCTTCCAACTATCTATTATTTGCAGATGCAGTGTTCATAATATTTTTGAAGCAATGTTCTTTCAGTACAGTCAAGTCTGAGATATTACGTTAATGTTATGTGGGGTGTATCAGAATATCTATTACTTTTGTTTTATACAGGATAATGTAGGGGGAAAGAGAAGGCTACGGAGTGTCTAAGTTCGATTGGTCAGATTACAAAATCCAAAATAATAAAAAAAAAAAAATTAAACGCGGGGGGGGTCTGTTTGGTTAGTGCACTGAAAATAAAGTACCAAAAAAACAACAGTTTATTAACTAAACGGACTTTGCTTCAGTATAAGATATTTTTTCAAATTATATTGTTTGTTATGTGCGTATTTCTTAAGTAAGCATATTTTTGTAATTTAATATACTCCTTATTCTAGTGACCTGGTCTCTCTCAGACTTTACGCAGAATAGAAACGATTTAATAAACAGGAAGAGAAAAAGTACAGGGGTATTCATTGATTCGAGCACAGTGGAAGAAGAGAGAAAAAGATCACCATTTTTTTTTTCATAATAAACGGAGAGCGTTTGTTTTCTACAGGATATTGTGAATTGACAGAATAATATTTTGTTCGAATTTGAAAACTATATGCAGATCGCACACAAAACAACACAGTACGAAAGTTTTTTGGTTGTTGTTGTTTTTTTGGGGGGGTCCAGTCAGAGAAGAAAGTATTCACTACACAAGAATTGAAGAGAGGATTACCGCAGAATTAAAAAAAGGTCTCAAAGTGACTAAGAAAATCCAACACAAAATACGTTTTTTGTTTTTCTCAGATATAGCCCCTTCTATTTACATACTGCAGCTGTTTCTTTGTAAAATATTCCCCCTTTCATGCACATGCCCCCACTGCAGGCATGCGGGGCATACATTTCCGAAAAACCAATTTGTGGTGCGCATATTTTGTCGGCATATTTTTTCTAGCAATCCTTCTTACGTTCCCCCCTTCCGAATTCTATTTTTGTACTCTCATTTTCTATTTTCTGTTATTTATACTGGTATTTAAGTGTTTTATGGAGTTTCGCTATATTCTGGAATTGTATCACTTTGATCACTCCATTGAGATAGTAGCGGTGGTGGTTGTTCATAAATTTCTGTGGTTTCATTACTATGTGTAATATTATCATTACTGTTACCATTTTGAATCGATGGCGGCTGTTGTTGTTGTTGTTGTTGTTGTTCGGATGTGGTAATATTCGTGATATGGAAATTGCCGCTATCATTGACGGCATTAGCCGCCGAACCTGAGATTGTCATAGAACTATTCAATAGGTCTGTTGTTGGTAGTATCCCTTCTAATTGTTGAATCAATTGATCATTGGTTCTTTCTTGATAATTCGGTGGTGGTACACTATTTCCATTGTTATTTATAGCATTTATATTCAGTGTATTATATCCAAGTTGATCACCAAACCAATTATAATTTAGTTCTTGTTGGGTTCCAAGATGTAAATTATTAAGATTTGTAATATTATTATTATTATTAATTGGTGAGAAAAGTTGTACAAGTTTTCCTGCTCTAAAATGAATTTTCCCTGTTATTTGATCAAATAATACTAAACGACCTTTCATCGGTAATTGTGGTGACACAAATAATAAAATAGGTATATTTGCTTTAATCTCTAAATTTTTTGGCGTATTTTCACCAGGTAATGTTCTTTTCAATATAATATGAAACATTAGTTTATGATGAACATGTATATAATCATTCTTAATATCGCAATCTTGAGTAACACGTCTAAGATCATCAGGTAATTGTATTTCACTGAATAATTCAAATTTATCAATTAATCGATTTGTTCCTTGTTCAACAAGATCACCAAATTCAACCATACTTTGTCGATTTACAACAACTTCATCTTCATACACTTGATTATCTGAATCTTTCATAGAATACATTTGTATTAGTGATATACTAATTTTGTTTAACATATAATTTTTTTGAAATGGGAATATTTTAATTTGAATTGGAGTTCTACCACCAATAGGAATAGCTCGACTTGGAATCTTAATCTCATATTGTAATTTATCAATTAATGTATTACCAACCGACATTTCTTCTTGCATTGCAAGATTATCTGTCGATAAAGTTCTTAACACTCTAAGATACTTATATTTGGTAAATATTTTACTACCAAGGTTTAATGATTGATTGAATGCACTTGAATCATAACCACTACTAATGATACTACTACTTGCTGATAAAATTGCGTTTAAATTTCTTTTGTCTGTTTCATTTAACATCATTAGATTAGTCTTTTTACGACGTTCAATAACACCTTCCATTGAATATAATATACTACTACTTTGTAAACCTTCAACAGTCTCGGGTATATCACTAGGTAATTGTATAACAAATGGTAATTCATAATTACCTCTACGTAATAAAAATGTATATTTTTTATTATCGTTATTTAAATCTGGATATGGTGTCCCAGAATAACCATCCTCAGGTAATTCTAACATTTGTGTAGTTCTCTTTCCTTGTTTACCAGAGATTCTAAATTTTTTATTTGCTTTTTTATTTTGATGATCAATTTCAATTGGAGTACTACTTCCACTATTGTTGTCATTACCACTATCATTATTATAGTTTGTGTCACTAATATTTTCATTTGATCTATCACTATTGCTATTATTATTATTATTATTATTATTATTACCACTAATATTATATCCACTAATATTATTGACGGTAATATGACCTTTAGAAGATCTTAATAAGTTATCCCATTCACATTCGATTAATGTTTGCTGTTCTTTAACTATACTAGTCATTCCACCAGTACCTTTTTTTCTACTCATTTGTAAAAATTCTAATTTAAATCTACCAGTAAGTCTTAACTTAATTCTTTTAACTTCAGTATCTTCATTTAAAGAGAAGATTAATTTACCTGAAAGAGAAATTGGTGTTGACTCTAAAGGTGTACCTTGAATCAATATCAAATCCTTATATGGGGAATCAACCCTGATGTCATAGTATGATATAATTGGTTTTTGATCCTTCTTCGTACTGTTTAATATATTATTATTATTATTTTGTAGATCATCGCTTTGTCGTGATGATGATGTAGCTATCTTTTTCGGTGATTTCTTCTTAGAGTTTAATGAAAATATTTGCATTTAGTTGATAACTATTATTAAACTTAAATGTATGAATTTGTTTGATATTGCCAGATACTAACAGCAATAAGAACAACAAAAAATAGTTGAGTTATCCTGATTTTGTATTACTTAAATACTATTGTTCCCAGATATGTTTTATATCGTTTATAGATTCAACTATTTTCAGTTCTCTAATATGTTGTAAATCTATTAATTAGATTGTATGAAATAGCTACATCGCAAGCAAGCAAGCAAAAAAAAAAAAGATATAACGGTATTTCTCTTTCGCTTCTGTTTTTTTTTTTTTTAATTTTTCCGAATTCGATTATAGTTATATTAATTGCTCTTCTCTCACACTATAAGCGATATTGTTTATAATACAATATCTTGAATGATGTTGTTGTTGTTTTTTTCACATTCATCATCTTAATTAATAGAAGTTTTTTTTGCTTATCGTTGTTATATAAATGTTTACGTGTTCTAGATAACGTAATTTTGGTTCACCTTGTTTATAAACGATACGTGGATAATTGTCATTGTGAAAATGGTTAGATATATATATATATATTATACTATCAATAAATTTCATTTATAAACTCTTGTTCATGAATCTTCTTCTAGTGAAAGCTAACCAAAACTTAGATGGTTGTTCTTTAGAATCTGCATAAATTCTATCTAATAATCTCATTGCTAATTCTTGTCTAAATTGTTGAATATAATTTTTTAATAAATCCATTTGATTACGATCCTGTACAGGTATAGAATATACATTATTTAATGGGAAACCTGGTGTACCTGGTAATTTAAAATTATCTAATGATAAATTCGTTAATACTTTAACAGCTTCATTATGAGTTGTTTGTGGTTTTAAATGAGCTAAACAATCATTAATATACAAGATACCATAAATGAGTACTCTATCAGCAGGAGATTTAATTTCAAAATTTTTAAAGAAGGAATTAGCACGAAATAAATCGAGACATTCATCAATTATATCATAATCTGAATTAGCAGGATATGCTGGACCTCTAAATTTTGAATTTAATGGCAATAATACAAAATTACCAATCATACGATCATTTTGGGGATCGACAGGGAAAGTAGAGTGATAAGCCTATAAAAAATCGTAAAAACATAATAATATGAGACAGAGAACGATTATTTTTTGTTAGTAATAATGATAAAAAAAACAGACACAGGATTGAATAACTGCTTGTGATAATTAAAGTATTTACATACTGGCATGGAATGGATTGTATTATGAAACTAGGTAATTGGTTATTAAATTATTACCGTGTAGTAATTCCTTTTGATAAGTTATTTATTTAGTCGGTATGTATCAGAAGTTGATTCAATACTCTATATTTAAATTTCAACATTAATAATTTGTTTCTTTTACGCTATAGAAATACATATATATATATATTCTTCCTTAACTGATTGATTAGATTTCTTTTGCCCGCGTAATGAATTGTGATTTTTCTGTAATTTTTCTTGAATTTGACAAGATACCATAAATTAAAGGGGCAGCAATTACAGTATTGACAGTTCAAAAAAAAAGTGAATAAATTTCGGGTTTTTCTCTCTATTTTGCGCGTAGAAATTTAAATAAAAAGGGTAGAATTGTGTGTCGTACAGTGGATGAAAACTGTCTTAGTCTTCAACTTAATAATGAAACTACTAGCTACAATTGAGATATAAGAGGACACTAAGCATTGTATCTAGGTAGATACATATATATATATATATATATATGTATGTATAATATATTTGTGGGGTTGAAATATAAGTTATTGGGTGCCATAAAGGTCTTGGATTGTAACTTTAAACTTACATTTGTTGATATTCAATAATGCAAAAAGTATATTCTTATTCAAAATTAAACATATTTGTGATAAGACAACTTAGTTATATTTCAATTACTAATATCAGGCACTGTGTGGCATTGTCATTGCTTCCATCATGTCTATTTTCTTGTATAAATATTAATAGGTAATAAACAAAATAATCGCAATATACATTAGATAAAAAGATTATCAAAGACTCATAGGCGCAATTGCAACTACGGTTGTTCTAAGTTCGTCAATAGTATAAACTCTCTACAATAGCTTGAATATTGCGTAATTGACTTTATTGTGAAGCGGCTTAACTGTCTAAATATATATAACTTTGTTTTTTAATTTAGATGAAATGAAAACAAGCGAAAGAGGACAAAAATGAAAAATTAAAAAAAAAATGAAATAAAACAAAATGCACATTGACATAGGAAAAACAAAAATAAAAATGTATTTATGGAATTGAAATATATGAATACAAAAATTTAAAATATCGTTTTTAAAAATAAAGGAAGTGAAAAATTGTCACAAAGATAAGACAGAATATAGCAACTATTAATAAGATTTTAAAATCAACCATTATTTTTTTTTTCATCAGGTGAATTTTTATCTCTTTAAATTACTGTTATACTTCTTTTCATCCCCATTGATCTAATTGCAACCGGCTGGAGTTTTGATTTTCTAAACAGAGGAAACGAACGGTTGTAAACGAAGAGCCTTTACTATATTTGAAATTAATTAGATCCTCAATTGAAAATCATACTAACTTTGATACTGTATTGTTGTCATTTCAAAAAAAATAAAGTGTTGCAGTGGTTATTAATAGTATTTAACAATATCTTATTATTTTAAATATCCATATTATTTTTCTTTTTCCCTAAACTAATAAAAATTATATTTTCTCATTAATATCATTAATTGCTAATTATATTTGCACGCTATTAATAGTATTCATATTTCTATTCTCTAAAACAAGACACATCCTCGTATTCCTTGTTCCATTTTTTTTTTTATTTTTTTCTTAGATAATCAGAAAACATACAATGGTTGGTGTTACAGACTCTAGCAAAAGGTATGATCTTTATTCTGAAATTTATGGTACAAAAAGATTTGAGGATTCTTTTAAATCAAATGATGAAGAAATTACAGCAAATGATCTTTTAAAAATATGTGATTTTGATAACCTTCTAATAGGTGATATAACAAATGATCTGATAGAAAATAGAACCCGAGAAGTTAAACAGTCAGGAACTGAAGATACTTCTTTCATATTATCACAAAAGACAGCAATCAAAAATGTACCAGATACACAAAGTTTATCAAGTGCAGATAATACACCAGTTACTAGTCCAAGGAAAATAGGTACCAGAAATGATAATACTCCAATGGGTTTAAAACATCCACAGTTAAATTCGACAAGTAATAATCCATTTAGTACAAATAAAAAGAAGAATGATAATGATCAACAGAATGTACGGAATATGTATTCTTCAACTGCTTCCTTAACAGGTTCTACACATACTTTACAAGGTAAGAATAGCATTAACCAAAAATTACAATCTCAAGGTCCAACAGAAGATTCACATGAACAGATGCAGAATATTAGTGTAAAAAAGAATACTTTACCAAAGAAAAAGCCTTCTTTACCACATTTAGCATTAGCTGGTCTAAAGAAACAATCAAGTTTCTCTAGTCCATCGAATACACCTACACAAAAGAAATCACCATTTCAAGGGTTTGGTTTATTCCATAGATCTACATCAAGAGATTTTCAAGATATAGGAGATTCTTCTCAACATTCTCCACGCATACCACAACAAAATTATGAAATTTTAAGTAATGGAACAATTAAAGATAAGGAGTCGAATAATAATGATAACAAACGTTTAACACCAACTTCAAGTTCGTTATCTTTGAATTCATCTGCATTAAAATCGCTAGCTACAAATTTTCAATCAAGGAGGTCATCTCAAAAATTTGATAATAAGAACTCTACAGAAGTTGGTACAAACCCTTTTCTTGATAATCCAAGCAGCCCATTAGCAACGTCCCAGAATGCTTTTGGATATTCTGATAATAATAACGGTCATCCAAACAGCGCACAACATTGTCAGAACAACCAAATTGTTGGACTTGGTATTAAAACACGAAGTTCATCTGCCTCTTTGGTTTCAAAGAGGTTCACCTCGAGTTCAGGTTCATCATTACCATATCATCAACGTCAAAGCAGTGTACATCAGGGACATAAGAATCATTATAGACGTAGTAGTTTTACTCCACCATCTTCAACTGTTTCGGCAATGAAGCAAAATTCACATGCAAGATCACATTCCGTGAAGAAACCTCATGTATATCCCGCTTTACTGTCCAAGGTAGCTCAAAATTTTAGGGCAATGATACGGCTTGGAGAATATAAAAAAGACGGCTTATTGTACCGTGATGCATTCACCGGGCAACATGCTGTAGATATTTTATGTGCAATGATAAGAACTAGTGATAGAAATTTGGCGTTACTACTTGGTAGATCATTGGATGCTCAAAAATTATTTCATGACGTGGTGTATGAACACAGACTGCGTGATTCTCCTTTTGAAATTTATGAATTTACAGATAATGCTCGATTCATTGGCTCCGGGAAACCAACGCATGATCCATTGATGATGATGTCGAACCCTTCGACACAAACCAGTTTTGTAAGAACAAGTAATCAAGGGTTAAATATGTCTAGTTCTACTTCATCATTATCTAGTTACCAGACTAGCTCAACATCACTTTCAGGTATGCCGTCAAACGGTAGGATGAGTCAGCAAACATTCCCATCATCGGTCTCCTCATCTTCACATCCGAACCAAGAAGTAACCCCAAAAACAACAAACGTTAACGGTGTCTTTACTTTACTTTCAGAATGTTATTCCCCCACATGCTCACGTGATAAATTGTGCTATTCTATTTCATGCCCAAGAAGGCTTGAACAACAAGCTAGGTTAAATTTAAAACCTAATGGTGGGTTAAAGAGAAATATATCTATGGCACTGGATGATGATGAGGAAGAAAAACCTTCCTGGACAAGTTCTGTATCCGAAGATATTTGGAAAGATTTACCAAAAAAAGAGATTAAAAGACAAGAAGCCATTTATGAAGTTTATATCACAGAAAAGAATTTTGTAAAGTCATTGGAAGTGACAAGAGACACCTTCATGAAGACACTGGCAGAAACGAATATTATCCCCGCCGATATCAGAAAGAATTTTATTAGGCATGTCTTCGCCCATATTAATGACATATACTCTGTAAATAGAAGATTTTTAGAAGCTTTATCTGATAGACAAAAGAGTTCACCTGTGGTAAGAGGAATTGGTGATATTATACTTAGGTTCGTTCCATTTTTTGAACCATTTATTTCTTATGTTGCTTCAAGACCTTACGCCAAATATTTAATCGAAACTCAGCGATCAGTAAATCCCTATTTTGCCAGATTTGATGACGATATGATGAGCTCATCTTTAAGACATGGTATTGATTCATTTCTTTCTCAGGGTGTTTCTAGACCTGGTCGTTATATGCTATTAGTTAGAGAAATTTTAAAGTCATCTAATCCTGACAAAGACAAACGCGACATGGAAGCCTTGGAGAGAGCTGGCGAATCATTGAAGACTTTTATGAAGAGAATAGATAAGGCTAGTGGTGCTGCTCAAGATAGACATGATGTTAAATTACTAAAACAAAAGATATTATTTAAAAATGAATATGTTAATATGGGCCTCAATGATGAAAAACGTAAAATTGTACATGAGGGTATACTATCAAGAAAGGAAACTGGGAAGTCAGATGCAACAGTGTCTGGTGATATTCAATTTTATCTTTTGGACAATATGTTACTGTTTCTAAAAGCAAAGGCTGTGAATAAATGGCATCAGCACAAAGTATTTCAGAGACCTATTCCATTACCGTTACTATTTGTTTCCCCTTCTGAAGATATGCCTCCACTACGCAAATACATAGGGAGCTCACCGGCTTCATCTGGTAGTGTGGTGAAGCCTGAGTACAATGCAACAAATCCCAAGAATGCCTTAACTTTCTTATATTACGGTGCAAAACAGAGATATCAGGTAACGTTGTATGCACCTCAATACGCCGGCTTACAGACACTTATTGATAAAATTAAGCAAGAACAACAACGCATCATTGACGAAACATCCATGATAAACATTACTAAGATGAGTGACAAATTTTTTGATTATTCGAATAAGATTAACAGCGTTACTTCCTGTGATGGGGGTCGTAAATTGTTAATAGCAACAAATTCTGGCCTATATGTTGGTAAGATTAAAAGAAAGGACGCAAAAATTCAAGAAACCATAGATGATAAATCAGCGAATAACGGTGGTGGTTTAACGAGTCAGACTACTTTCTTCTCCACTCCTACGTTGTTGGTTCAAAAGAATAACATTGTTCAAATTGCGGTATTAGAAGAATTTAAATCTATTTTACTTCTGGTTGATAAAAAATTATATTCTTGTCCATTGCAGCTACTTGATGTAGAAGGTAATGCCACATCATATTTTAAAAAGCATTCAAAAGAGCTGATCAATCACGTCAACTTTTTCTCCGAGGGAGATTGTAATGGTAAACGTCTAATCGTAACAGCACATAACTCTTCGCATTCCATAAAATTTTTTGAACTAGAACATCCTTTGCTATCTTCCGGTAATGGAGCAAGTAACAAAAAGAGCTTGAAAAGAAAAATTACAGAAGTTGTTTTTGATTCTGAACCCGTTTCCATTTCATTTTTAAAGGCCAATCTTTGTGTTGGGTGTAAAAAAGGATTTCAAATTGTTAGTATCACACAAAATGCGCATGAATCATTATTAGACCCCGCTGATACTTCTCTGGAGTTTGCGCTTAGAGATACATTGAAACCTATGGCAATATACCGTGTTGGAAACATGTTTTTATTGTGTTACACCGAATTTGCATTCTTTGTTAATAATCAAGGTTGGCGTAAAAAGGATTCCCATATTATTTACTGGGAAGGCGAACCTCAAAAATTTGCTATTTGGTATCCTTATATTCTAGCTTTTGATAATAATTTCATTGAAATTAGGAAAATCGAAAGCGGTGAATTAGTCCGTTGTATTTTGGGAGATAAGATTAGACTACTTCAAAGTAATACACAAGAGATATTATACGCCTATGAGGATCTTCGTGGATTCGATACCGTTGCGTCGTTGGATTTTTGGGGTTAGGATTTATGGCGTTTGATTGTATGTAGATCGTTGACATTATAAATTTTGTGCAATAAAGTACCATTTTATATCATGCATTAGTATATTTATATACTCTCATTCAATATTATTTATTTTTAAATTTTGTTTTTGTTAATTTTTTTTGTTTCCTAGAATTATTGTCACTTTCATTTTTTTGTTTACACAAAAAACAAGTCGAGATATTATTTATTTAAAAGTTCACGAAACCAACATAAATAAAAATTATTGGATTGTGTACTGTCAAAACAATACAGATTTAGAATAGAATAGTGGTGCATAGTGTGAAAATGAAAATTAGTGAATAAACAAAGATGAGATATTAAAAGAAGACATAAGAAAGACATGTAGATTAGATAACTCTTGTATAACATTTGTGACATATTGAGATAGGTATACATATTTCATTTTAATTATCTACTACTACAACTATACCATTGGTAATCCCAACTACTCTAATATTAATAAAAGTAAATAAATTACAAATATAGGCCAATCAGTACAATTGCCAAATTATGTATTCACGAATGAGAATTTCTAAAAGCAGAATTCTGTTTCCTGACGTATTTATGTAAAAAAAGTAAAATTTTCTATATACCCATATTTACATACCTAACCCAACCCAGGTAAATTACAAATGGTGAATAAATCATCCTCCTCCCATACAATGTTTTCAATATTAAACTGATTGGCGAATGTTCTAATCCTAATGACTTCTTCCAGAAGAGTCTCTTCATTTGCAGGTTCAAAATCAAACAGGAAGGATAACGCCGGAGAAAATGCATTTGATGATTGTCCCAGTACACATTTAACTATTACTGCAAAGACAATCCCAATTTCTAATTCCATGTACTTTTTCAAAAAAGCATTACCAGTTGGTAAGTGAATTTCCAATAATTCTTGAACTGGATTAAGTACTTCCCCAGTATTTTTATTTTTAAATGCAAAATTCTCTTTTTCATACCTTGTTTTTGATAATCTTTTGGTAAAAAATATGTCGTATTCTGCATTGACAACATTCATAAATTCACCAAAATCTCGCCTGATTTGATCTCTTAATATCGAATCAAACAATACTTTACCATCTATACCAATCTGAGTATTGTCACCAAAATCCATAAATGCTAGTCTTTTATAGGTGTTGGGCTCCGCAGAATCTTTAGCAGGGTCGTCATTTAATTTCTCCTCCACCTGAAAAAATCTGGTTAGCAGGGAAAATGCTATTTCAACAGCATCATCTAGAATATCCTGAAAATTAAGATCAGGGTACAAATGCGATAACGTATCGTTGTTGTGGAGCATATTTGGAGATATGAATATCGACAGTAGCATATCTTTATTATGTGACATACGCCTCCTGCATTCGGTAATGTTAGTTAAGAAGTTCCTGATTAGACATTTAGCTTTCTGGGTTACGGCTTCTTCTAGAATGGTTTTTATGTACTGTTCTAGTGCAATAAGTGCCAATGTAACATTTTGAAATTGTGATGTAGAACCATCAAAAAATCTGATTAAATCAAAAGATACCGACAATATACACTCAACGGTCTGAATAAGTTCAAGATCCCCTTGACTAAAGGATTCCTCCATTAAGTGTTCATTAATAATCATAGTTTCTTCCTTATACTCCAGAAATAATTTTAAGAAATCAGTAGCTGTAGAGGGCCTCTCTTTATCGAATGGTACAAACCTGACATCATGATATAATTTGGTTGTTCCAACACATGCTCTATCAAACCGTTCCTGAAGGGTAGAAGAGCCATTAATTTCTTCATAATAACGATTTATCTTTCCAAATACTGAATCATATATATCTATGTTTTTTAAATTTAGCAAATTATCAATGATTGTTCTACTATTTGGATGAGTTGAGGGTTTTATATCTTGGTACCCTTTTCTCGAAGGGCCTCCAAAAAAAGGAACAAGAGAACCTACAAGCGTCGATATGAAACATTCGTGAAAATGGACATCTGCTAGAACTGAATTTTGTTCCAGCATCATGGATCGTATATTATTTGTTGTAGAAGGCAGTACCACAGATAACGCAGTTTTATCTAATCCTGTAACATCGTTAAATATATATCTTAGTTGTGAAACAATTGCATTAATATCAGGCATCTCATCGTTTAAAATCGGCGAAATAACTAATGGAATATATCTCCTTTGAAAATATGTTTTATCGCAATATTGTAAACTAATGACCAAAAACCTACCGCCATAAATATATTGCTCAATAGAAAATAAAGGTACTTCAAGTATCTGGCTTAAGCCGCTATTGATAAATGTCTCTATGTTATTATGGTTAATCGTTGTATCATCACTTAATTTGTCTTTTGTCAAAATGAGAGGAAAGTTCTCTGCATGGTACGCAATACTTCTTGTAATTAAATCTAATAGTTGGTCATCTAACTGCATGACATTCTCCATTATTAACTGCGAATCGATCTGTACATGTAGATTTAGTAAATTCATTAGTGTTTCGAACGAATTTTTTTCCATAATTTCAAATTTGAAATTTTGTAGAATGCAGAATAACGTTAAGAATCGTGACTTTCCGAAACGATTGTTATTAGAATTTAAAACTCTGTTGAAGGCAGCTCTTTTACCTTCCACTGCAGTATGCGGATCAAAAACGGTAGGGTAATATTTACCATACATATGTTCTTCTTTAGAAAGTTTAAGAACACTAGGAATGGGAACTTTCTTTCTTTCTTTAGGTTTGTCTATCTGGTAGTAATTATTCCAAGGTCCAATATTGTGTGCTTTTGTTAAATGGGACCTAAAATCCTTTGTTAATGGTTTATTAGTGGTGGTTGCCTTCGTATTTTTAATAATTTTCCAACAGTGTTTACATTTAGCCATCAAGATACGGTCATCTTGTGCGAGGAAATGTGTCCAGCATAATTTTGCACTATTAATCAAGAATTGAATAGGATACCATTTTTCTTTTCCCTCAGGGATAATTTCTTTCATGGCCACTGATCTAGGTGGGAACACTGATCTTAAAGCTTTTGTGTGATGGCTACGTTTTCGAGGCATTATAATAGGGTCTTGTGCTCTTGTATGACTGTCATCATCTTTGTTATTTTTAGTGATGTTTTCATTCTTCGGAGAGTAGCTAGCTTCATTTGCAAAACTAGTATCTTCATTTGCAGAATTCGTGTCCTTATCGATGTTAACTGGTGGAACAGATGATTCCTGCTTTGCAGATTCATATTCATCAGCACTTGATGAGCTATCTCTATCAATGGTATCTAGGATATTTACTGATTCGTTATTTACTTCAGGACAGTCATTGGTACTTTCACTATTGATGCTCATTATGATCGTATGTCAAAAATAGACTATATTTTGAAACAAAAACTCAGATTAATCAAAAAATAAAGCTTCTTCAACCTATTGATCGATTCACCTGTTTTACTTTACTAGTATTATAATATTATACTGAAAAGGCTTACAAAATGGGAATATGCAATGTATTTTTAATGTTTATATCTCAAATATAACATATACTTCTAGTTTTGGGTATTTAGCTCTTAAATAAAATTGTATAAGTTGATCTCAGTTTAACAAGTAGTTGCACCCTATGTTAAGCTATCGATGTTTCATTTGTTTACCTCAATTATTAGCGCTGTTAATTTTTTGTTGATAGTTACCCGAAATTCAAAGAGTTTTGAGCACGTGATTACATACTAATCACGTGCTCGAAAATATCGAACCTGTATTTAACAAAAGAATGAAAGAAAACAAAATGCAGGTTACCACAAAGACGTGGGGGTTAAGGGAGAATTAGCGCGGGGGCGTACTTTTTATTAACGGCTTTCTCACCATTTCCACATCAAATATTACAGTTAGTCTTCCATGAAAGTACGGCGCCAACGCCCACATGGTACTAAAATGAAAAAGTCGGAAAAACATTTACAGGTTTCATAGCAGAATTCACAAATTTTTTTCGATTACTTCAAACTTTGATATTATTTCCATTCTGTTAGTATGAGTATGCACTGTTTGAGCCGTTTACAGTAGGTTTCCATTTATGCTATTCTTTTCCAATTCTTTATTAATTTGCATTCCGCCTTATCTATCACCTCGCGGGAATTTCTTAGCCATTCCACGTCTTATAATAGGAAAATAACCAGTCGTTTCTTTTTTTTTGTCTGATTCGTTGACCGTGTTAGCCTGTATCCTAATTATTCGGTGAAATGGGGATCACAGACGTCCGACCACTTAAGCGGTAAGTATAATCGTACATACTCCATTAGAGATGTTTTTAGGAAGTTGATTGGAAAAATTAGATAAGAATGCATCATTTGCGTTATTTTTAACGATTTTTTTTTTTTTTACATAATATTTGGTAATAGATGAGTTTTATAAAATTACACAGAACAGCGTGCGCGGTTCTTAACTTTCTTTTTTTAAGTATTGTCGTTTTTTAAATTCCTGCGGCTCGTCCTGACAGGCTGTTTTGTCACATGACTATATGACCAATAGTAACATATATTCCGATTATTCTGTTTATATAATTTTTTGAGGAAGAGAGAAGTGCTACGTCAAAAATCAAGCAAGATGATAGAAGAAGATGTCTTTGATGTCTTTCGAGCGGTTAACTGCATTTTTTACTTCCAATTTTCGGTACGAATTTGACAATTAATCGAAGAAAGAAGGAGCCATACTAGAAGATTGTGACTCTCCATGGCAATAGAATGATGATGAAAACAAATTTATTAAAAAATAATGAAAATATTAGTGGTTTAACTATCTTTTCTACCCACGTCAATGACATTTAGTTTCTAATCTGCCGTAGTGATATGTCGAAATATAATTAATCTGGAGTTTTGTCCGTATAATTCTTATTAGATATTCAATTTACGTATTTTTTTCTTGCTTATAATATCCACATTAATTACGGAAAGAATTAGTATTTCTTCAATCTACTGTATTGCAGCCTTTTTAATTTAATCATTTTTTACTATTGCCCTTCTTGAATTTTATTTATTTTTCACTGCTACTTGTCTCTCTGCTCTCTTTAACAAGAGTCTCAGTACCGTTAAATTCCGTATTTACTTAAAATATATATAAATCAAAAAAAATATCAATGCGAGATTTTAATGAGCGACATTGTCCTAGAAAGGCAAGATAGCCGTAAATGGTATACCCTTCATTCATAAAATGAGAGTTCCCCCATAATAAATCATTTTTTTGTACACTGAAATCTTTGTATATGTACATTTATTTTCCCACATTTTCTTTGTAGCGATCAATTTTTCACCATAATAATTAGAATCAAACTTATAATAATAATAATAATTCAATAATAAAACAATAATCAAACTATAGAATTTGCGATGATGTGGATATTCATCTAATAAATTGAAAAAGAAAAGGGTAAGAACAGGACATTATACTGGTATGTAAACTAAGAGTTCTATTCTACGTGGTCCGTCTATTTTCTTTTAATCTCTCTTTCTTGATTCTTTTTTTTAAATGCAATATATTTATATATAAACTACAATACCTCTCTGAAGTCTTTATTACTATTTTGGACGTTACTAAAACAATTTGAACCGTCTGATTTAAACATTTTTTTATATTATTCTATCGTTATATTTGACTTTAATAATCAAAGGTTATTAAAAAACTTTTCAATCTAACTCTTTTTTTATTTATTTTTATTTTAATTAGCGTCGCTATTGGAATGGGAAATACTTCGGAAGATCCATCCATCATTTAATATACATATAAGATCCTTTCAAATTAATAATAATTTTTTTTCACTTCCCTTCATTTTAGATAATTTTCTGTTTTTTTCAAAACTTTATAAAATAAACTGTTAGCAATGAATGATAGATCAATTAAACTAAGTTCACTGTTAGTAAACCATCAGAATATTCCGATGCCACAACCTATCCCACCAAGATCAAATTCACACATCTCTTTGCCACCTATCTCATCGTTTGATAACTTAATTAATGTTACAAGCACCGCTTCAGGTACACCTGGGACAATATCACTACCGAGCTTTAGTGATTCATTATCTTCATCACCTTCAACTACGTCCTTCATACAGAGTCGTCACGATAGTAATGTTAGCTCATTAGCTGATCACGGTAATTATACAAATTCTATCCCATCTTTGTCTACTTTATTGAATAGTACAGCTCCAAGTCGAGTAACTAGCCCAGAAGTTTCAGGTGGGGAAAATACTTCTGATGCTATTGTGGTACCCAAACGTAGTAGGAAAAGTAGTAAAAGTAAAGTCAGCAAAAGAAAAGAATGTCCAATTTGTCATAATTATTATGCAAATCTAAATACTCATAAATCAACTCATTTGAATCCTGAAAATAGACCTCATAAATGTTCTAAATGTAATAGAGGATTTAGTAGAAGTAATGATTTAATTAGACATAAGAAACGTCATTGGAAGGATAAATTTGTCTCTTCAGAAGGAATAGTAAACCAACCTACAGATAGTGAAAGCTTTATTAAGAGACAAATATCTTTAAAAAATGAACAATTGGTTTCCTTGTATCAAATAGAAGGAGCTTACAAATGTCCTTTCAATTCCACTCTAATTAAATTAGATACTGATATTCATCCAGAAAGAACCTCACAAACAGTTCCAAACGAAGCCTACAATTGTCATCAAACTGGTGTATTTTCAAGATGTGACACTTATAAAAACCATTTAAAAGCATTGCATTTCGAATATCCTCCAAAGACCAAGAAAGAAGACCGTGCTGTAGTACCAGGTAAATGTAAACATTGCGGTAAAGCTTTTAAAAATGTTGATGTATGGTTAAATGAACATGTCAACAAAGAATGTGGTTATTCATATAGATAAAACTGACAGCATAGCAGTAACAAATAATAGCCAATAATATACATTCTTTTTAACGGTACTGGATACATTTTATTAACGCCAAGGTTTAAGTCGTGAGCGTCATTCGATCTCTGACAACTTTGAAGCCTTATTACACGAATAAATTATTAACAAGACTAACATCTTATTTTCATAGACACGAAACACATAAGTATAAACACATATACTTGCATATACAATATACATATAACTCATGACCAATTAACGAATTTCATATAAAACCAAACACGTCTGTATATATATATATTTATTTTACGAAGAGGTAGAAATGAAGTATATTTTTTTTCCAAAATATTGTATACGTAATTGCTATCATCTTCTTATGAAATACGAGTAATATTTCTAACCAACTAAATAATATGCCTTGTATGAAATGAGTAAGTTGTAAACCATTTAATAAATTAATCAGGCCCCAGGGAAACGAAACAAATATACTGAACTTTCCCATTATCTTCAGTGAGAATAAGTTCGCGTGAGCATTTCAATGACGACATTCTGAGTTATATCTGTATTATTCACCCCCCCGCATATCAAGTCTCAAGTTACGTTTAACCATACCTGTCATTTTTTAATTGTACCATCGAAATCTTGCAGCACTTTAAATGCAAAAAGAGTTTTAAATAGTTTTGAAAATCAGTGACACACTAAATGTTCAAGAGGTTTCTATCTATGTACCTTACTCTTTATCCTTTTCTTTAGCTTTAATTTAAAGAACCTATAATAACAAACGAAAGAGCTACAAAATTTCAAGAGATCAATATCAATGAGATTATACTTTTGTAGAGAAGCATAAAAGAAAGTATATCTGAATATTTTGTACATAGTAATAATAATAATTTAACTTATTTTGTGATTCTTAAAAACTGTAACGAGACAACTAAATTCGTTCTGATACATATGTTTCTAGTTATAGTAGTAGTCATACTGAATATTTCCTCTTAGATGCATAATATGGGATTTTCTGTTCTATTTTGTGGCATAGAAATGTACTAGGAACAAATTACCATTGAAATAACCCACAAACTCAATTCAATCTGTGTATTTAATTGTATTTATTTTCAACCAGCACTGAATAACGTGCGCATTTCAATATATCTGTCTGCTATTTTTTTCACTTTTTGTGAACATCTCTTAGTTCTACGGTCGTTTCTTTGATGCGAAAATACGATTTACAAATTATTTCATCTTTCAATTTTCAACCTATCTGGGGAAGACAGTGATGTCTGCAACATAAAGCACTTTTATAGCCTATCTCCATGTTGCACGGAGATAAATAGAGAGATGAAGGTAAAAAATTGCAAATATGAGCTAACTGAAATTATGTGATAACTAAGTTACTGTCGCTTATTGTTCTTGAGAAAACAAATACTTGAAAGTTTACGGTTTTTTTTTGTACTTGCAGTATTCCCGGGAAGAGAAGGATACAGGTAAGGTTAACCACTTTATGGCTACGCTGTAACCTGACACGATAATATTCTCTCTTCTTCACATTCCCTCTATGTAAAATTTAACAAATAAACTGTTAAGATGATAACAAAACTTCACTTCAGATGTACAGTGTATCAATTAGGTAGTAAGTTACAAGTAGGGCTCCACTTTGTGCTTTAAAGTTTGGCGTTCAATGAAAATTTCTTCTTCTGCTTAAGTATATGTTTATATATATATATGCCTTTGCATGACTACCTTGAACTAAATTATTTAACATTCTTTTAAAACTTCTTATTAAACGAGATAATAATGTATCATCTAACCTGGTGACGTACTGTGTCGAAGAATAAAATTTAGAAACAAGCATAAGGTGTCGATTACCATGTTGTTGACTCCACTCTGGCAATATTTTGCATTGTTCATTTATATATTACTATTAAAATTCAATGGCGTGTTTTCTACCAATCCTACTAAACATATTATATATAGTGATAATATTAAAGATGAGATTAACTTATATATGGGTGAATTATTATATGAAAATGACAATACTAATTATTCCTTAACGTTAACGGTGAATTCCGATGAAAATAATATAATAAGAAAGATAGAATTAGGAGAATTCTATAGTAAAAATATCGTAAACGGTATAATTAACATAAAAATTCCAGATGGTATATGTCAGGATGGTAACACAGTATGCTCTTTTAAAATATCATTTCAAGACACTACCGCTAAGAAATTCAGGATTATTTATTCTCAGTTCTTTCAATTAACGAAGACAACCCAATATAAGTATCCAGAAAAAACCATATACATGAACTTATCTAATGATCAAGAATTGGATGAAAACTCCAACAATTTAATGTTTTTCACAAGGGATTCGGACCAACCAACCGCTACTCATCAAAGTGTAACGGCCAATCCAACTAGATCCTTTAAGAATTATTTTACAAGCCAACCAATGTACGAAAGAGTTCCGATACATACGAAGGACTTAGAGGACTTACCTAACACCAATAACATTCAAGATAAATCGATAAACGCCCTTCTAAAGTTGGATGACGCTTACGATTCAAACGCAAAATTTCCGCTAACCGCTAGAAAACTGCATTTTACTAATAATTAATAAGGAAGATTTGAAAATAGTAGTTTTAAGTTCTACTCAACGTTTTTCCGTTTCTTCCTGTTTTAAATATATGGACAATCTATCCATAATGTAAGCACTTACATATGGTTGTAATATTAAATATTGAAAATATATACATGAACATATTCCATACTCACCCTACACACTCAAACAATTATCCAAGTCACATAATTTTCAGAAAAAAATGTTAACAATGTTGATAAAAACAATAATTCTTTTTAATTTTCACATACGTGATATGTAATCTATATATGACGATATATATAAAAATGCTTACTAATAGTAATATTAATTCAAATAGAAATTATGATACTATATTCTACTCCTTTGGAGTATTTTGTTCAGCTTCAGCGATGATAGCATTAGCAACGTCTTGTTCCATTTCCTTTGGTGGGGTCAATTTTGGCATATTTTTTCTATGACCAGTGAAAGATCTAGATCTTTGTCCAGATCCTCCAAAGTTTTTAGACCTAGTAGCTTCTCTTTGCATGTTGTATTGTTTCTTACTTAAAACATCCAATTTCACACCTTCAAAGGATAAGATCTCCTTAGAGTCATCATCACTAGAGCCAGAATAGTTTTTCAGAACATCCTCACATGCTTCCAAAGTTTTGAATTCAACTAATGCGGTACCGTTGAATTTTTTACGGTTAACTCTCAGAAGACGTAATTGATTGACAGCACCCAATTTACTGAAAAAAACTTCTAAAGAATGTTGTAAATCAGATAAACTTTTAACATTTTCATGTGGGATGTTCATGACAGCTAATGTTCTCTTATTTTGTTCTAATCTAGCTTCTTTATCTTTATTTAAATCTAAAGGAATACGTCTCTTAACATTTTCACCATCTTCAGAGATCTCCAATATCTCGGAATTACGTAAAGTGTCGACAACCTTTTCAATAGGTCTAAATTTCTTCATACGGTTGAAAGTAGCAATGGAACTAATTGGAACCCAACCATCGTTCTTTTCAGCCATGGTTCTTAAGAATCTGTCGTATGGAAAATTAAATTCGGAGAAATAAAACTCGACTTGTTTCAGACATTCCTTAGAAATGTCATCTGTGAATTCTATTGGTGCAAAGGAACCGCGTCTAGAGGTGTTTTCAGGTTTAACTTCCAAGTCAGTAGACATTGTTGGTGATATTGTTCGAAGAAACTAAATGTAAGGTTATGAAATTAAAGGATATATAATATACCACTTTATGTATCCTATAAGTAACACTGATGTACTAGGATCTTTGCCTGTTTACTTGTAGCAACACCTGGCTTTTATTTTTTCACCTTGCAAAACTAATAGTATTACCTGATCTGATTTCATTATTTTTGAGATGAGCATTGAAGTTTTTCTTTTTTTTTTCTTTTTTTCTTCGTCTTTCAAAATTTTGAAAATTTCAGCTTTTCCGCCGTCTGCTTCTATTTTTCTTCTTTTTTCGTTTCGCGTTGTTCAGTAAAGAAGAATATATTGGCAGAGAGAGAGGTGGAAGGGTTAAGTTTCTGACGGGGGAGGGGGAACAGTATTATAATAGTTAATGCATCTCTTGATTAGTATAATTTACATAGGGTGACATAGTATACATAGTATACATAGTAATAACAGTGGTGATAATGATGACAATTAAGGAAACTTAACGAACTTTTAATTGTGTTTTACATAAACATATTTATTTATTTTCTCTGTTTATTATAGCATTTGTAAAAGTGTTTCCATGGCTACGTTATTATGAAGCGCTCAACGAATTTTCATGAAATTTTCAATTTTCTTTATTTTTTCGTAGGTTGAGTGAGATTTGGTCTATGCAACCTTGTAGACAGACAGACAGACACACACACACACACACACACACACACACACACACACACACACGAACAGGATACTGCCACGGAGACAACTCCCAACAATTTCATTTCGAAAACAGCTTAAAAGATATATATAGTAGTTACTTGGAGTTTATTCATAAACATTTATTTGTAGTTCTTTTTGATAGTTTTAAGTATTCTTATTGGTTGACTCGTCTAAGAAAAGTAACGTCGATATTTATTAGCAACATGGGGAACGTAGTTCTATATTACTGTAGGGTTGTCCTAGCCGTTATCGTTTTATTGGTATCTGCTCTTTACGGTACTATTGCATCTATTGTTTGCACAATAATCGGGAAGCAACATCTATCTCAATATACTACCGCTAGATTTTATTATAATGCGATGAAATATATCATGGGCATTGATGTTAAAGTTATCGGAGAGGAGAAATTGGAAAATAAACCATTTATTGCAGTATCTAACCACCAATCTACTCTAGATATTTTAATGCTAGGTAGAATGTTCCCACCTGGTTGTACTGTTACTGCTAAGACCTCTTTGAAATATATTCCTTTCTTAGGTTGGTTTATGGCATTAAGTGGTACCTATTTCTTAAATAGATCAAACAGACAACAGAGCGTTGATACTTTGAATGACGGTTTAAGGACTATTAAGGAAAAGAAAAGAGCTTTATGGATCTTTCCAGAAGGCACTAGATCTTACTCTACTGATTTAAAGATCTTACCATTTAAGAAAGGTGCTTTCCATTTAGCTCAACAAGGTAAGATTCCAATCGTACCTGTTGTTGTTTCAAATACTAGTACCCTTATGAACTCCAAATATCACGTCTTCAATAGAGGTGTAATCACCGTTAAGGTAATGGATCCTATTAGTACTGAAGATTTGCAAAAGGAAGATATTGGTAAGTTCAGTGAAGATCTAAGAGATAAGATGTTCGAAGAATTGAAGGAAATTGGTTACTCTAAAGCTATCAATGAAACTAGTGTTCCACCTGAATCTGTTCTTTATACCAAACAAAAGGATATTGAACGTTTATCTTCTAGAGGTGAAGATTCCGCTGTATCATCTGCCACTAACTTGTTGAGTCAGGCTGATTGAAATAAGGAAAACTAAACAATCCTAATGTATATATCGCATTAAATGTAACAATTTGTACATATATATTTTTCATCTATATACATATTTGACAACATATATTGTGTGAGACTTCATTTTAATAATTATAATACTGTGTAAAGGGACAATTCAGGCAAAACTCCGCTGAATGATGGGCTCATACAAATGTACGCTGATCGGACCATATGGAAAAATCAAAAATTAAAATTAATGTTAAAAGGGACAGAAATCATATATTATTGGACCAAGACGATAAATTTACTCAGGAAAACGTAGATGGTAAATGCTAACAAATTAGATGTTTGGTCGATTCATCCGTAGTATTCCGAGTATTTTACAGTGCTTTTGTGTCTATGATTAATTTGATGTGAATGTATAAAGGTATCAATTTACATATAAGCAAGTCTACTATTTAATAATCCAGGAAACTGAGTATACTAATCTCTCAAAACAAATTCATATTTTGCAAATTATATTTATACTTTATTGTAATGAATGGAATTCCCAGATCTTCCGATACAAGTACTACTTTAGCGACTTCATTATCGGTCAAACCCAAACTTACCACTTGGGCTCAAGCTGCTGCAAAATCTGCCCCAAAACACTTGAACAGACAGACCAAAAGTTCAAATTTGCAACCGCCTTCTTCTACAACCCCACTTAATGGATCACTATCCAATGTACCTGTTGTTCAAACGAACACACAAAATAGGAAATCAAACAAATTACCCTATAATCGAACAGAGGTGTTGAATTTCATGGATGATTTATATAAAAGTTATACCAAAGACTCTTCCGTAACCCTTTACAGTGATCTAGAAGACAGTACAAACAGTCTCGCAAACTGGGGTACATATTCTTCTAGCAAGAGCCGAAGTAAAAAATATGGTTGCTTAGCTGAAATAGCAGCTGCCATTAAGAAACAAGACGGCACAAACGTATGACTTATTCCCATTTGCATAAAGGAGTTTTATACGAATGAATCTATTGTATGCAAACGTTCGTAAAACTCAAACAAATTATATATGGTAAATATCTAATGAAATATACAAAATGAAAAACGAATATCAAGTTATGACGTTCTGATATATAGACCCTTATTAGGTTATGGCCAAGGAAGACATTATCGTATCAACCTGAGAATATGATCACTTTCAACGAAGACGATCGCCTCAAATTCAAAAAAATATAGAACTCCTCATAGGGGGCTCGAACCCCTGACATTTCGGTTATCCTTGCTTAAGTAGTAATTACTTAAAAGCCGAACGCTCTACCAACTGAGCTAACAAGGATGAGTTCTATGGAAACTAGAAAAAATAGCAATGCATATAATTAAAACACTATATTCGGGTAACGAATTAGTTTAAAGCTAATTAATTTTGTAATTACTGCTCACTGTAAAGAATATTGTTAGAAACTAGAGTTAGAGGATAACGAAGCATAATCCAAATGTTGTACGAAAATATTATTGGCAATATTGAGTTGAAACTACCAATGAAGTAAGGTTCAATTCAGTACAAAGTACAAACTGTGATACATGCGAGGGATACATACAGGCTAGTTACACAATAGAGGTGTCTTAAATTTGACGTTACGTATTGTAAAAATGATAAATATATATGATAAAATATTGTTGCAGAATGTTAAAAATCTAAAAAAACCGAGCAATTATAAGTTCGAATTGAAAATTTCTAACAAAGTAGAATGTAACAAATGAAGAAGATGGAGCACTCTACATCACAACTTTCGTAAACAGTAACATAAAACTTTAAGCCAGGACAAACTAAGCTCTATTTACGTGTTTATGGGTTGACTGTCCGTATTAAGAAAGATATATAGGAACGATGGACTATCCAGTCATAGTACTTATGTAGTCACATATTGCACTTGAAGCTAATATAGATAAAGGGAATACCTCTTTATAATAGTTATGCCAGGATGTACCCTGATAATAACTTCCAATACTCTGCCATATTTCGACATGAATAGTTGATTTTCATGAATTATTCATACCCGATCCACCAACTCCGTATAGTTCGTTTACTAGGGGTAGAAAGTACATACATCCCCCCCCTCTCTTCAACGAAGATAATAATATACAAATTGTAGAGAATCTGAGTTAGAGTTTTTACTCTCAGTTGATTCTTTAATTTCTTGTTTGTTAGTTAAATGTAATTCGGACATTTTTTGATATGATAATTGATCGGTTATTTTAAATTATATAATCTTCAAATTACTTAATCATAAATATTTCTTATTTTACAATAATGGCTTTATATATACCATTAGTTTTTCTTAAACAACTCACCTGCATATATTGCTGGTTTGTTTTTATTTTTTATGTTTTGTGCTGGTTTAAATATTTTTGCTGGTCTCTTTACAATATTGCTAATTATTTCTTTACAATATTTTTGGACTAAGCGTCACAGTAAGTTACCCTTAGTTTCTGACACAGATTATTGTTGTTTTGTGGGAAGTACAAAGAATTTTCCAGCTACTTAGATTATGGTGACCAAATTTTCATGAACAAACAAATCAAACCGTAATGTTTAAATCTTTTCGTGTCTGCAAAGATTGGATTGCAATCGTTAGATCTGATATTTCATTTCCTGAACATCTATGATGTCATGCTCCTTATTGTGAATAACATTATAGTCTTTATTTTAACATAACATGAAAATCATGTCCGAAATTATGGGTAACTTACTGTGACACTTCGTCCAAAAATATTGTAAAATAAAAAATATTTATGACTAAATAATTTTGAAGATTGTATAATTTAAAATAACTGATCAATTATCATATCAAAAAATGTCTGAGTTACATTTAACTAACGAACAAGAAATTAAAGAATCAAATGATATTAAAAACTCAAACTCAGATTCTCTACAAATCTATTTTTTTCTAAAGAAATAATTAAGGAAAACAAGAGCAATATAACGACGTTACTCCTTCGATAGAAGTAAAACACATTTACATTAAATGGTGTATGTTCTAGTAACATATCCAGAAAAATGTTTCTTGTAATTTATACTTTCTTTGTACCCCATCAAGATCATTATAAGTAAAAACTAGCTTAATATAAAATATGTTCTCTTATCTTACATTTGTTTCTACAATTCTAAACTACCTATGGCAAACACTACATTCCTAATGCTAATGATATAGCGTTTTATAACCTTTGGTATCTTACAATGAAGATAGTTTTATGAGAAACATAGAAAGATTTGCTTAATATCTAGCGGTTAAAATGATGGACACCTCAAGAAATTAGCCGCCGAGACTTCTCTATTTCTTTTTGCGTTCTATTTTCAAATATCTACACACTAATCAAAAAGATTACATCGATTAATATGTCAAAACCTGGAACATAAAGAGTGTAGACAAGTTAATGTTAATGTATCGAAGTTAACCACCAAATTGCGCATATATCTTAGTTCAGAAAAAACGATAAATACAGAAGCAAAACTTTGTTTCTTAAATGAGCTACAATAATTTTTCCCTAGTTTAAAAACCCTGTAGAAACGCGAATTGCCATTATATGATTCTAACTAGAGAGTATGTTACTTGATGTCTCCATCAATAGTTACCCAAAAAGATTTAGATGTGTTTCTAGCCCCAAAAGGAAAAAGAAAGGAGCAAAAAACACACAGAAATTATTATCGCGTGGGGCTACCATTAAGTAACTCTGAATGTGTGGGTGTATTATATATATATATATGTTTACGCTATATTGTGTGTATGGGTGCTTCTGCACGCCTTGAAATCAACAGGCAAAAGAAGGGGAGGGATACTTTTTTTTTCTATTTGCTTAGCTTGTCAAATTATCTCTCAGTGCTAAAAACAACAATGGGTACTCCTTTCAAGAGAATTTCAGGTAGAAAAAGTTTCGTTGTACTTTTAACAAAATAACAAAAAAATATAATTCAAACGCGTCTGGCCCACGCAAAATTACATCCCATTTAAAAAGAAAAAACACGTATTAATTTCTACTGCCTGTTCGCGTTGATTTTTGTAGCGTGTTGTAGAGATATGCACGTACTAATTAATCACTTAACAATCTTTATTAAACTGAGACGACTCTCATTGTCTTCAAAACTACCAAATGGTCAGACAGAGAAAGTGCGTAAGACATTGTTTTTCTTTCTTTGCTAATTTGTTTGGTTGTAAGCACTTAGCTAAGAATTCCTGCCCCTACTCTCTCCTGCGGGGGATTTAGAGGGTTGGTTTATTTTCTTCTTTTTATTTTTGAAACAATTTCCTACTACCAATTATCTGAAGTGGCCAAAATTGACTATTTTTTTGGGTCTCCACCATATATGAAGGAACCACTCCAAACAAACAAATCTGAACCTGGAAGGACAAACAATATTATAATGCATTTTGTTCATTAATTTTGGGGCAATTATAGAGGGCTTTTGAGAAACATCCTGACTGTTAGGAAACATCATTTGGAACTAGACTCTGAATAAATCATAACGGGTTTGCTTAAATTTTTTTTCATATCTCTAAACGAAGTATAGTAGTTTTTATTTTCAGATAGCCATAATACAATATATATTCTTCTTTAGTTGAAATGCCTGTAAGATGTTAATTATAAAGGCTTATAAGAACAGATTCATAAGTTAGTCCAACTATCCTCTATATTGATTTACTAAGAACATTTTGGGGCCCTTTTCGGTCATATTTAAACCCTAGCAATATTGCCTCTATCTGTAAAAGAAAAGACCCAAATTTTGCCCGCACTTAGGAGCGCCCTTGTGTTTTCCGCTCTACATAGAAAAAGAAAATGTTAAGTGGGCGAAATCAAACATCTAACAGTTTATTTCTTATATTGCATGCAGAATGTTTTGTTTCAATATTACGTGGGAAAGACTAAAAAAAAATATTTGCGTTTAACGCCCTACGTATTTAAAATTTGGGGCTGTTAAGTGAAAAATTTCATTCATTTTTTTTTGTTTATTGTTTATTAATAAACTCGTAGAATTTTTGTTTCTTAGTGAAAACTACGTGAAAATTAATACTATTTTAACGTATATTCTTTTATTATGTGCTAAATAGTAAAATTTCTTATACACACTACGTACTGCAAACACTGCAATGCATATATTTTTTTCTCTCTTTCTTTAATGTCAACAACAGAAACGAAAAAAAAAAATAAACAAAATAAAAAACACGTAGCTTTTTAACGTGTCTGTACGTAGGTAATACTCTTATTTTCAATAATCATATATACCTTCTTATTTATTTTCTACCTCTCTTTCAATCCCTAATAACATCGTTGCTCTTGTCGTCGTCTTTTAATTATTTATTTGATGTTGACATTGTTTATTTTGGTTGCGTTGTCTACCAACATACACACAACAAACATTTCCAAGATATAAATACTTTTTTTTTCTTTCTTTTATAACTTATATATAAGCTACACGTATATCTTTCTTTCATCTTATATTTTAATTTATTTTGTTTTCATTTTAATTGTTTACATTTCTTTTATTTACGTTACTTTCCTTTTGTTATTTTCAGTTTCTCTTCTTCTTTCATAATATAGATCTTTGACTTTGAAATTATTTAACTGCTAATATAAGTAAATATAACAATATTTCAATCCCATCATAGTATCATCTATTTTTTTTTTAGTTTTTGATTATATCATTAATAAAAGAAAAACTGTTACTCTCACATACAATTAATTACACATATATACAATGAAAGGTTTAATTCTAGTCGGTGGTTACGGTACCAGATTAAGACCTCTAACTCTTACTGTCCCAAAGCCTCTAGTCGAATTCGCTAACAGACCAATGATTCTACATCAAATCGAAGCTCTCGCTAACGCTGGCGTTACCGATATTGTCTTAGCTGTCAACTACAGACCAGAAGTTATGGTTGAAACTTTACAAAAATACGAAGCTGAATACGGTGTCTCTATCACTTTCTCCGTCGAAACTGAACCATTAGGTACTGCTGGTCCATTAAAATTAGCTGAAGATGTTCTAAAGAAGGATAACTCTCCCTTCTTCGTCTTGAACTCTGATGTCATTTGTGATTACCCATTCAAGGAATTAGCTGATTTCCACAAAGCCCATGGTGGTAAAGGTACTATTGTTGCCACTAAGGTTGATGAACCATCTAAATACGGTGTTATCGTTCACGATATCGCTAAACCAAACTTGATCGATAGATTTGTTGAAAAGCCTGTTGAATTCGTTGGTAACAGAATTAATGCTGGTCTATATATCCTAAATCCAGAAGTCATCGATTTGATTGAAATGAAACCAACTTCTATTGAAAAGGAAACTTTCCCAATCTTAGTTGAACAAAAATCTCTATATTCTTTCGATTTAGAAGGTTTCTGGATGGATGTCGGTCAACCAAAGGATTTCTTATCCGGTACCGTTCTATACTTGAACTCTGTCGCTAAGAAGCACCCAGAAAAGCTTGCCAAGGGTGATAACATTGTTGGTAACGCTATGATTGACCCATCTGCTAAGATCTCTCCATCTGCTAAGATCGGTCCAGATGTGACCATTGGTCCAAACGTTACTATTGGTGACGGTGTCAGAATTGAAAGATCTGTCGTTCTAGCTAACTCTACAATCCTAGACCACTCTTTGATTAAATCTACTATTGTCGGGTGGCACTCAAAGGTCGGTAGATGGTGTCGTCTAGAAGGTGTTACCGTTCTAGGTGATGACGTCGAAGTTAAGGACGAAATCTACATTAACGGTGGTAAGGTCTTACCTCACAAGTCTATTTCTGCTAATGTCCCACAAGAAGCCATTATCATGTAAGAGTACTTTCAAAAATTTAAAGAAACGTTTCCTTTCATATTCTGCCTTTCTCCTATCGATAAATTAATGAAAGAAAGAAAAAAGATAAATAAAAAGAATTAAAGTGTAATATTACTACTACAACTTTATAATAACTATATTTTAACTATATTTTAACGGCCTAATAATTCTATCTCTTTTTTATTTCTAAAGCATATACTTTTTATATTATTACTATTTAAAAAAAAAATGATACCTCATCAACCTATTAATTTCATGTTCTAATTTTTATTATAAACACCTCAATGTACTATTACATATAAATAATATTCTGTTTTGGTTGTGTATAATAATGACTATGCCGTTAATTGTAGCAAAATATAAATATATACGCATATATTATCGTGGTTTGCTTTCTATGGTTACATAATGACATATATGCCTATCATGAATTACTCCGACTTAATGTTTGGAGAATCACATCTAGACAATTGTCTACGTCAGGAATAGCTATTTCTGTTCCCTCACTTATCATTTTTCTGTATTTGTGTATCTTTAAATTATCTTCAACGATACTGATAATCTGATCTATCTTCCTTTTCCTGCTGCCTTGTAATATACTTAGTTCAACTGCTAATTTCAATCTGTTTTCACTACCACTGGGTATATCTATTCCTGAACTATCCTTCAGATGCTTATTCAAAACAAGACGTTGTCTCTTGTTCATGTCATCTCTCAATTTTTGTTTATTTATTTTTATATCAGAGATTAATTTCTCATTCTCTCTTAGCTTTGTGAGCAATATAACATTTGGGGTCTTATATCCTTGATCCTTCTTGTCACCATTATTCAAAATTTCTATTGTTCTAGAATTTATTCCTTTGATGTTTGTCTTAATAAACTCCAATGTTTTTTCCAAATTCTGAACTTCTTTATCTTGATTAGTATGATTTTCGTTGTACTGTTCTGCGAGATCCTTCATCGACTTAATGATCTTTGGAAACCCTCTTGACAGTCTTGTGGCAGCCTGTGACGGATACATTACAAAATCACCAGGTGACATCATTGCACCTTCCAAGTTAAGAATATTATGACTTCTATTTGAAGTAGATCTCACTGCCGATACATTACTAACTTGATTATTATCCAGCATATTTAGTTGTTCCTGATAGTGCATATTCATTATGGCATCAGGAGTAAGGCCCTCTCTGTTTTGAGTAGTGGTTAAGGCACCACTTTGAACAAGTATATCAAAAAATGTTTTATCATTATTCCTTGCTGCAATATGTAAGGCTGTATCCCCATTGTTATCTTGTACATTTAGCAACAGTTCTATACGATACTGTGGTGCGAAATCCTTTATTTTAGATAATAAAATTTCCAAATAATATACAGCGGATGGCGTGGTTGATTTTCTTTTTATGATGTGATGAATTACTGTTTGGGAATTAGAATCTACGTCAAAAACAGTTTCATGTAACAATTGAAATATTCTTGGAAATGTTCTCTTCGTGTACGAATTATGAAACATTGCACTTCTCATTAATGGTGTTTGACCTTTACTGTTTAAAGAACGTGTACTGACTCCAACATCACTTAACGCCTCCACGATCGATAAGTTACCCATGGAGCATGCCCAATGAAATGCTGTATGGAGTTCAGGGTCAATTGGCGCATCAATATAAGGACTACTATTTGCTGGAGGGGTTAAAAGTTCTTGTGGAACTGGTTTATTGAGACGTACTTCGTTAGAGATAAAATAATCAACTAATTTTGACAAATAATTGTTAACTTTATCGTTTATGTCTGTACTAGGTGGTCTCATTTGAACAGGGTATTTTGGAATAGATGATACAATTGGTGATGTTCCTATATCTCCAAATCTTTGTTGGTCGAATGGATTTGCATCGGAAAAATCACTTGGAGAAGTAGGTAATGAAGGAGATGAGGCAACCGACAGGGATGGTTCATGACGACCTGCCTGATCATTTGTATTTATATTTTGACCATTCTTGTTTGCTTCAAGTTCGTTTCCTTGTGGTTCTATATCACTTGATAATCCATCGTCAATATCAATTTCCTTAAACTGAGGTTTGTATTGAATAATATTTGATTTTGCTTGGTCCATCGCTAACATTCTAGTTGAGGAACTATCATTTAGTTTAACTGTAGGTGCGGTACCTGTGGTTCTTGAAAAGGCCATATCACTTTGAGCTCTTTGTAAATCAGTTCCGGTCCCTAGTATCCTCTTCTCTTGCAATGCTTTGGGAGGTCTCCCTCTTCTTCTAGTTACGACTGGGTTTCCATCAGCAGGAGTAACTGCAGTTCTTGTGGCTTTCTTATCTGTTAACGCTGACATACTAGCACTCTTCGTAGCTTTCTTCTTTGAATCAGCTCTAGATGTATGGTGATGCTTAGGTGCTGGAGGAGGCGATTCCATTCCGGCTACATGCTTGTAATCAAAAAGTGGTTTTAATTCTTCATATACGCTAAATTTTTTTGCTAGATTTTCAGCTAAATTTAAAGGTACCCAAGTACCTTGATATTTACCGAACCCACCTTGAACTTTCTCATGGGTTTCCTTCAGGACCTCCTTCTCTAGAATTCTGGTTCTTCTCGCTTTTGCAAAGTTAGCTGCCTTTAGAATATGTGTTGCATTAACCCAGTCATCTTTTTTCCTTTTCATAATGGAACCTGTGGGATGAATAAATTCATACACATCCACACCGGAATACTTGGCAGAATATATTTGATTGGACATTATTCACAGTCTAGGTATTCTAACACTTCACTCACTATATCAGATATCTTTTTTCTTGTTGTCAATTGGCCAAAATCTAATATTTATTGCAAAATTTCGAACTTAAATCTATATGCTCCGTTATTTGCTTCCTTATTATGTTAAAAGGCCTAGTATATTTACCTATAAATTTTTATGAGTTAGGAAGTGCGATTGGTTAGATAAGTGTTTATACTAATTTAGATATTCTTAATTATTAACATTCATCAAACATTAGGGTCATTTTATTGTCTATTATTGTATACATGCCTATTACAAAATTTATTTGTTGTGTATTGTGTATAAACAATCTTCTCTCACTTTGTTGATTCTTCCATTCGGTGTGTGGATTTCATAGTGAAAGGTGCGACACCCGACGCTAAAGAAAAACGAACAAAACGAATACAACTTCTAATAATTTAGATATTGGTTTTCATTGACACAGCAAGGAAGCCTAACGTTGTTTAAATCTGGTATTTAGTCTATAATCACTTCCTTTTTATGTGATTCCTTTATAATATTTAGAAAACATTATTGATATTACTGTATACGTTGCGACATATTTTAAATATATAGTTTTGTTAATAGTAATGCACAGATCTGAACAACACCTAGTGGTATCACTCCAGTATTAATGATGTCACTGTACATACAGTCTTAAGTTTTTAACATACTTTTATGATTGATACGTTAACCAGTATTTTCTTTTCTTAATATAATGAATGTTACTAAATATAGCCTTATTTGTGTTAGGGATTGTATATACAATATCTAAACCGAATAACCTTTAATTATTTATAGTTATCTCATCGAAATTCTGCAAAAATTCCATAAGTCTTGATACAAAGAGCACTGAATAATTAACCTTACCCCGTTTAAAAGGAAGATTCTGGAGGTTAGAATCATTGGGTTGTCCATAAAAGTTGTGGTCGGCACCATCTATAATAAGCGATACGCCTCTGTTTTGGAATAATTTTCTATATTTCTCCCCATCCTCAATAGGAACAATTGTATCCTTAGATCCATATACTAATAATATTCTTGTGAATGCATTAATTTTACTAAACATTTGTGTATCTATATTTGCGGTACTTAGAATTTCAGCTGTTGGGATCCAACAGTTCACATATTTACCATATCTTAATGTTGGAATATTAAGGCCTCCTTCATCTCTCCAGGTTGGTTTCATTCCTGTATACCTAGCAAGTAATCCACTACCATCAAACCGTCCACAACAATTAACTACTAAAGGTAGTTCGATTTCCTTATGTTTTAGTAGATATTCAAACATGGCCAGTACGCCTCTGGAGTGAGCTACCATAATTTCATTATCTACTACTTTATAACTGCTGCCATGTGATGGTTTTTGCTTTGATATTTCATTATTGACTAATTTTAAAAGATTTCCATTGTTAATAAAAGCAGAAATAGTTTGTAGATCACTGACATCTTGTGAAATAGTTCTTCCCTCCATCTTGGACTCGTTACAGGATGAGTCACCTTGTCCCCTAAAATCGAAACGTACTACACAATACCCTATGCTACTTAATGTTTGGGATAATAATGGCTGATAAATAGCATTTTTGTGGGACTGATGTCCGTGAATTAGTGTGGCCACTTTAATAATATGTGGTTCTGTAACGTTTTGAAACAATGGTAACGCTATGATTGCTGCCAACTTGGGAATAGTTCCAGAGCTGTCCTTTTTTTCACCAAAAATATTTACGAATACTTCGTTCTTCTCGAGCTTAATATAACTCGGTATTACTGTGTCGTAGCCCATCATCTAGTATACGTTTAGTCCTTCAAACTTGAATCGTTTTAGTAGATGACTAACTCATTACTTATATCCTAAACGTTATATTTAATTTTCTTATGTCCGGATTTGATTTTTTGATTTAATATATGCGATATTATGTTCCTACCCCAGTAACTAACCAGGAAATATATATTTAAGACTACATGATCCCTTTAGAATACGGTTTGGTACTAATTTGTGTTTTACATAACGTGAATAAAATGTTACTTATTTAAGTTTAAATTAAATACAATATTTACAAATAATAAATGAAATCATTTATCTTCGTGTCCTTAGACGCTACTCGTCGTCACTATCGTCATCTTCATCAGATGAAATCTCTTCACCAAGCGCTTCTAATCTCTCTTTGTATTTCGTATTTTTCTCATCTAGCTCTGTAACAAGAAGCATTAGTTCATCCATTTCACTCTTGTCATTTTCTTTTTCCTTTAGAGTTTTATTCTCGGCCTCTAACATCCTGACTGTTTCTTGAAGTTCTTCAATAACTGTCTTTTGAGAATATTTACTATCGTTCAGTGTATTTTCGTATTTCCTAATCTCGGCTGCTTGCTCATCAAGCTTAATTTTCATTGTTTTGGTATTGTTTGTCAAGTCAGAAATTTGTGACGTGAACTCCTTATTTTTAGACTCCAATTTCAATATGTTCTTATCGCTGGTATCTAACTTAGCTTTCACTTCAAGTAAATCCTTATTTTCTGCTTCAAGATCTGATACTCTTTTATTCAGAGTTACCGAATCTTCTTTGAACTTTAATAAATCCAATTGCTCGCTTTCCATCTTCTTAACGGTCTCTTGAAGCGTCTTATTTTCTTCCTGCAATGTTTCGGATTCCTTTAATTGACCAGCAAGCTTATCCATTTTTTCCTTGGAAACCTTTAATTCCTTTTCAGATACTTCGGATTTCTTCTTCAATTGAGAAAAATCTTTTTGAATCTCTTCGACGTCATTCTTATACTTCATTAAAGTAGAATTTTCAGTTTCGAGATTTGTCACTTTTGATTTAAGTTCAGTTGACAAAGTTTCAATGCCTTTTAGTTTGGTGTTTTCGTCCTTCAATTTAGCAACATCTTTGGAAGATAACTCTAACTGTTCTTGTATATTTTTTAACTCTTTGTCGTTCTTTTGGAGGGTTTCTATTTGAATAGATAACTTTTCTTTTTCAGCTTTTTGCTCAGCCAACATAGTGCCTCTATCAGATAGTTCCTTTTTTAGAGTAGATATATTTTTATCTTTTTCAACATTATTTTTAGCCATCTCAGTTCCCTTTTGAATCTCCTTATTTAAGGTTTCAATCTTTGCGTTTTGTTCTTGGCTAAGGGCTTCTAACTCTTTTTTGGAAGCCACAAGATCCTCGATCTGTCTCGTATTATCAGCCGCGGTATTGTCATTTTCGGCTATCTTATCCTTCAACTCATTTTCCAAGTTTAATAATTTATTATTTAAGGTAAAAATTTCATCTTCATGTTTCTTTTCTGAATTCTCTTTTTGCAATTCCAATGTATTTACAGTTTCTAATTTATCCGAAAGGTCTTTATTTAATTGTTTGATCTTGTTATTCAACTCCGAAAACTTGTTCACACTCTTTTCAGATTCCTTCTTGGTGGAAGCTTTGAAAGTCCTAAATTCGTCTTCTGCTTTTTTTAGTTTTCCCTCAGTATCCTCAACGTGTTTTTCAGCTGTCTCCAGTTTTTTTGATAAAATGTTAGATTCTTCGCTAGCACCCTTTTCTACCTGACTTAACGAGTTCGTTGCCTTGACTAAATTTGATTGAGTATCCGATAACTTCTCAGTCAAGGCATGAATGCTATCCTCTGATTCTGCAATACGTTTCTCGTTCTCTTTTTTTATTTCAAGAATTTCAGACTCCTTATCTTGTAATTTGTTTTCTAAATATTGAACCTCTTCTATCTTGCTTTTAGTTGCTTCAGAGGATGCTTGGGTGAGTTCCAAATTGGATGTTTTTAGCTCATCAATAGTGGCATCCCTAGTCGAAATTTCGTTCTTGGTCTCTCTTAGATTATCCTGAAATTTTTTTGCACTCTTTTGATTATCATCTTTCAAACGTTCTATTTGAATGTCCATCTCTTTGATCATAGCACATTTCTCCTCAAGGGAGAGGTTGGATTTATTTAAGTTCAAATTAATTTTATTGATTTTGGACTCATGTTCCTTCATAGCCATTTCAAGCTCCGATTCCAATTGGGCTGTGACCTTTTTTCTCTCTGTAGCATCATTAGAAAGTTTCGACAATTCATTTTCTAATTCTGTTACTTTCACAGAATATTCTTGGGTAATAGTGGATGAACCTTCATTTAAAAGTTTTCTCTCCTTGTCAAATTCTTCAGTCTTTAAACGCAATTCTTGACTTAATTTCTCAAGTTCCTTAGCTTGCTCTGACGAGTTCTTCGAAGAATCGTCCTTCAATTTTTGAATTTCTGCCTTGTATTTTTCACCATTTTCAGTTAGAGAGTTGATTTTTGTATTCAACGATTCTAGTTGTAATTTTTGGTCTTTTACAAGACTGTTAGCCTCCTCAATTTTACGAGTTAATTCATTATTCTCTTCTACAGAATCCTGGTTGACTGATTCTGACTCATTCAGCTTGGTTGTTAACTTAGATATCTCCAAATTTTTCTTCTCTACTACTCCTTCAGTAATCGATAATTTCTTTTGTAACTCACCTAAATTGGTATTGAATTTGGTTTGGTCGCTGACTGCCTTCTTAATTTGATTGCTCACCTCGGTTTTCAAATCGTTGATTTCTTTTTGACTAGCCGCTAATTTTGACGAATTATCATCCTGCACTTTTTTATTAGTATTGCGAATTTCATCAATGGATTTTTGTGATCTTGCAAATTCTTCTTGAGAGCTCTGTAATTCTGTCACTAACGAATCGTTTTCCGTTGTCAATTGATCTATAGATTTTTGCATTTCCAGTTTACAATTATTTAATGTACTTTCTGATGTTTTAGCTTGTTGAATAGCCTTTTCTCTTTCTGCAGAAATACCAGCGGTTAGATTTTTATTATCATCTTTAACAGCAGAAAGAATTTGAGAAGCCTCCTCTAATTGCTTCAAATAGTCATTTTTTTGAGATTCTAAATTTGTCTTTAGTTCTTCGACGAGAGCCTCACTTTGTAGCAATTTTTGTTTTAACTCGTTGATATTTTTAGTTAAGCCTTGTTTCAGAGTTAATATTTCAGATTCCAATTTATCTATTTTTGATTTTGACTCTTCCAATTCTTGGAGTATTCCTGTAGCCTCCTTCTTGCTCTTTGCTTTTTCCTGTGAAGCACTTTCATTTGCATCATTTAGGTGTTTCTGTGAAAGTTCTAATTTGTTTTGGATTTCTTTCAATTGCTGTTGAGTTTGTTCCTTTTCAGAATCATATTGCGATTGAATATTTGATAGTTCCTTTTGTAAGTCTGATATGTTTGCAAGTAATTCCTTCCGAGAAGTTTCTAATTCATCTTTCTCACCGGAGAAAGTATCCAATTTAGATTGCAATTCCTGTTTCTCATTTTCTATAGTTTTCTTATGTAATTCATGAGATGTTGACATATTCTTTACTGACTCCTCTAATCCTTTTATTGTTGTTTTATGTTTCGTAATTTCAGATTCCAAAGAAGTTTTCATGTTGCTTAAATCCAGTTCTTTCGATTTTAACTGTGCTTCATTACTAGAGAGTGAACTTTTAAGACTCTCAAGTTTTTCTACGTGCCCTTTAATCTCAAGATCCTTCTCCTCAATTTGTTCTTTTACAAGGTCAAATTCCTTGCTTAAGTCATCATTAAGGTTTTGTAAGGTGGTGTTCTCAGAGTCCTGTTTCGAAATACTTTCATGTAACGCTTCAATTTCGGTATTTTTTTGTTCAAGATCTATCGAAATTTTTTCTTTCAGGAAGTCATTTTCTTTCAATTGAGCTGATAGATGCAACTTTTCTTTCTGTAATTCGTTACTTGTGTGACTAGCGGTCTCTAATTTTCTTTTCAGATCTTCAACAGAGGACTCCAATTTTCCCATTTTGGTGGTCAAGGCATCCTTTTCATTAGATAACTTCTCAAGCTCATCTTTATGTGTTTGCTTATCCTCTTCTTGTTCATTTTCCAATTCAGACAATTGTTGTACAAGAATATCTCTTTCGTCAATAATTGCTTGGTTCTCCTTTTCTTTATTATCCAGGGAATCTTGTACAGCGGTTAATTTTATGGTATACTCTGATTCAATATCTGCAATTTTTGTTTGCAATGAATCTCTTTCAGCGTGAATTTCTTTAAAATTTGAGGCAAGTGATTTTAATTTGTCAGTTAACTTGCCTACTAATATGTCGTGGCTATTAAACTTTGCTTTCCATTCTTCTAATTCATTTTGGATGGTTGATTTTTCGGCCTCCAGTTTCTTTAATGAGTTCTGTAGATTATCTACTCTGCTGTTCAGGGATGATATTGTAGACTCCTTCTCGGATATTGTTTTCGCTAACTTAGTCTGCTGCTTTGTAAGGTCACCTTTAACTTTGGTAAGGCTCTTTTCTTCTTGTTTTAACTGATCTTCCAGCGTCTTCTTTTCTTTTGTCAATTGGAATAATTCCTTACTCATTTTATTTATACCTTCTTCAGCTTTCACTTTTTCTGCAGTGACAACTTTCATTTGTTCATTCAATTTTTCTATAGTTCCTTTGAGATCAGTTATCGTAGTTTTATTAGCGTCAATTTTACTATTATTCTCAGTTTTCATTTTTTCTAATTTATTCTTCTCTTGTGTCAATTGCTCAAACTGTTTTGTGGTTTCTTTTAATTGGGATTCAATACTTGCGAATTTCTCCGTAACATTTGCATAATCACTTTTCAACTTACCATACTCACTCGATGTTTCGGAATGTGTTTCATTTAATACATCTAACTTGTCCTTGAGATCTGTTATTGCTTCCTCACTCTCTTTGTTAGCTTTGGTTAATTCTTCTTTAAGATCGCTACATTTTCCTTGTAATTCTTCAAATGATTCAAATGTGATTGATTGATATGATTCTTCTTTAGGACTATGAGATAGTGCTGTTCTAATTCTGTAATAATTATCATTAAAGAGGTTCACAAAATATGGTGTAAAATATAATTTTGGTAAGCCAGTATCATCTAAAGGAGGATTAAATATATCAAATTTAACTTTATTTTTAGAAAATAAGGAATTCTCTTTAAATTGTCTTATTCTTGATTGATAATTATCTTGACCTAGTCTTTTTGTTAAAAATTCATAATAATCTTCTCTTGAAATTGGGGAGTTCTTTGAACTAAATTCATATGCGACACCTAATAACATACTTACTAAACATTTTATCGTAATATCTTCCTCATTAATTTGGTAACAAAAGGCTAGTAGAGAATGAACTGTAGTACTAGTTGACAAAAAATCATCAACTGCAGCAAAGTTTCCATAAAACCATGTGATCAAAAATGTGATATAGGATATTGGAATTCTAATATGACCACCAGTTAGTGAAGTTAACAGTAATTCACTAATTGTTTCAATTACAGATAATGGTTCTTCATCATCAATATGAGATCCCACCTTCATTGTACGTAAAATGTCTGCAATTGCATCTTTCTCATCATCCTTTCCTGTATCTTCTTCAGTGTCCTTAAACAAAAATGTCAAGATATCTGTAGAAAAATACAATTTATAAGGATTTAAGCCCAGGTCCATATCAAAATTTAAAATAACTTCTAATATATTATAGTTGATTTTATCACCTTCTGGGTCTTCGTTATTATTTTCATTTTCTTCGTTAACATTTTCATCAGTTGTATCGACGTTTTGTTCAGTTTCATTTTTAACATCATCTTGAGAACTTTCATCAAATGTAGCATTATAGCTTGCAATCTGTTGTTCCACAAATTGTTTTTGTAACAAATAATTTTTACTGAAATATGATTTCAAAAGTTCTAACGACGCCATTCTGATATCAAATGTGTAAATAGAATTAGCATATAAAATCCAATTTACAAGAACATTAATAACTTGGATTGATTGAATATCTTCTGTCACAATAGCACTATTAAGAGATGGATCAAAATAAGGAACATCAATTTTTCCAAATTCTACCTGACAAAGTTCATTATTTCTTATCATATCAGCTGCGGTAAACAATGCGATTGGTCGAACTTTTTTAGGGATGTTATGATAAAATGCAAGACGTAACACAATCATTAATATATTTGAATTTAATAAAGTATCTTGATGTTTCTTTGTCACAGAATTACCTTCTTCTACAGTTAATGAGACTATATCTAAACATGTGTTCATATTTACAATTCTTTGATCATTCCAAAAAAAATCTTCTGTACCGGTTTCATCCTTAATTAAAGGTTGATTTAGTATATGAGCTAATTTGGGTAAATTTCCTGTCTCCAAAAATAATGTTTGATTTGATGTATTATAACTTAAGATATTGTTAATTAATGATAAGCAATCATTAACTACAAGGGAACCTCTTAAACTACCTTCTTCTTCAATAATGGCAAATAACCTTTCAAAAATATTTTCAAACGCAACAAGTTTTTGAACATGAGGTGAATCTTTAACAATTGTCATCAACAATAGGATAGATTCATCCCTTACAGGCTCATGAATATCATCTAATAAATTCACTATAGTAGATATACTTGTTGGTAAAGATGTAATTGCGCTTCTTGCTCTATCCGGTCTTGTTGAAAGAATTGCTTCAAGAATTTGAATAGCATATAATCGAATATGAAAGTTTTCTGTCTCTAAGAATTCAATAATGAGATGGATAAGTTCATTCGATTGAATCAATGCATCGGCTATCCATAATGAAAATTGATCCACTGATTCATCTTCTTGTTTCATCACTAATGGTGAAGGATATTTACCATTTTGTAATCTTGATTGTCTTGAAATCCAATCTCTTGTCAAATCCTGATCGCCATCACCTCTAATAAATAAAATCAATAATGTCTCTAAGATAGCTCTGACCATATCATCGTCGATGTGATCTCTTTTTAATGTATTCAATAATGGTTTTAAACCCGATGCAACAACAGATTCTCTGTATTCTCTACTGAACGCTTTTAAACCTAAAACAGCAGATCTTCTATCTCCTATCAACGTTGAATTTTCAACTCTATCACATAATGTAGGGATAGTTTCTTCAGCAGTTTGCACTTTCGGCTGCTGCATAAAACCTTGAATCAACTCCATCTTTAGGTGCAAGCAGGAGGCTTATTTTATAAATTTATGTTAGTTGATATCAATTGGTATCACTCAAGTGAACTAACATCAAAATATCGAATTTTATTGAAGTATGATTGTATCTAAATTTCAAAAACCCTTTCTTTAGAAATAAACATAGTTATTAGGCGCCAGAGATCCATTTGTTGAAATTTCATATTATAGCCTTGTCAATAGTTTACGTGTAATGCCAGCAAGCTCATCAATAAATTTCAGGTAACCCTGTACGAGGTACATTCAATCTAAACGCGCGCGTAATTGTTCTGCTTAACAAAATTTTAAACAAAATTATTATTATTTTTCTGGCTTTTCTGCCAGTCTGTCAATTTACTAATTAAATGCAAAATAATAATAATAATAATAATATTAATCGTGTCGTTCTACTCTCGACGATGCCGCGGTTATTGAAAAAAATGAAACTCACAGCGAGAAAGTCTTTCCGTCAATTCACAGTTTCAAAGTAGGGTCTGTTTGGTAAAGTTTTAAAGTGGTGTTAACCTAATAATGGATAAGTAAGTATTCTAGTACTGTATATTAAGCAATGCAGCACCTAGATTTTTCTAAACAACAAACGGGTAAAAATTATCATCATTGAAAGATATATGTTCACATATAGTGAAGTGGGTTTTGTTGTTTTTTGCAATACTTTCCTAACTATACATATACAGTTAGATGTGTCACGTGGAAATACCTCATTAGGCGGAGTTCGTCCGAAAAAGGAAATAGAAGCCACAATTTTTACCCGGGGAGGCAATATTTTTTATTGTCATTATAATGTTTTAATCCATCCAGTAGAGCTAAATAACCATTAATACTATGTAAATTTTTATTCCCTTTTTTGTTCTTGATTAAGATTAGGTATTTGAAGTACATATATAAGTTGTTAGAAGACATCTAATGGTGATTGAATGGTTACTTTAATAAGTTGGAATTACATGTTACAGATCTTGTAATTTTGTTTGTTTGTTTGTTTGTTTGTGTGTTGTTTTCTCGATGCTTTTGAAGATTCGATAAAGATTGATATCAGAAAATATATATATAGGTTAAAGGGAAAACAGAATTCATCAGTAATATACGGATATATCTATATAAATATATAAATATATCTCTTTTTTTGCACATGGAATTATTACTACTATTATTACTATGAATAAAACGTACAATTCAAGAAGTGTGAGTTCAGATAATCATGTATCATATGATTCCACTGAGTTTCATGTGGGACCAGGTGTTAATATGGATGATCTTAAGATGACAGAAGATTGGGAAGATCGTCCAGCAAGTGAATGGTCAGTACAACGGATTGGTATATTAGAATCAAAGATTGAAGCATTTACATATCAGATATTCAGAAGTAACAAATATGGTAAACATAATTTATCAAAAGTGATACCGAAATTTAAACTTGTAGAATTTGCAAATGAAGCGTTTGGCCATGATGGTTGGTCTATTGATGTTTTAGATGTACAAATAACCGAATCTACTATTACGCCGAATCAGTCAACAGAAAATTTTGAAATGATGTTAACAGATGATGAACACATAATGCATAATGTAATAGCTGAAGCAAAAGTTAAAGTTACTTTAAAAGACGGTACAAATACTCAAGTTGGAGGTATAGGAAGAGCTGTATTACCAAGTAAAGCGATGAGTTTTGCTAAAGCAAAAAAAGAAGCAATTAGTGATGCATTGAAAAAAGCTATATTAGGTTTTGAAAATATAATAATGGAATATAATAGAAAAGTTCAAAGTAATTATTATGTTGATGGATTATATGTTTCAAAGATAAAGCAGGAATCATATAACCCTTTAGGTGTTACTTTAAATGATCCTAAATTATGAAAACAGAATACTCTCCACACATACATATATATTATTATTCTTTAATAGGATAAATACCCCCTTACATAACAACATATTTTACGATAATAATGATAAATTTTTAATTAATTATATTTCGAGAAAGCTATTACAAGTAAACCTATAATTATTAGTACTTCTATCATGTTTTTTTTATTTCTAGGACGTGTTTCTAACATCCGTACATTTCCTACATCCCAACATTTTTATTAAATTCGTTTTATAATTTTCAGTTTTTACTTATTTTCGTTTTTCATCAACATTTTCGCATATACCATACCCAATTAATCCGACTTTTTGAGCTGGATTCTGAAATTTTCAGATTTTGATAATTTCCGTACAGAATTTCGTATTCAATATTGTAGCACGCGCGTTGATAGTATTATTCACGTATTCACATACCACAAGGGCAGGTTAAACCGTTAGAGTATACCATACTTTCACAAGACTAACTATACTCAAGCTTCTGCCACAATGAAGATAGTATTGTCAACAGTTAGGTTTTAATATTACTATACTTGAATAGTTACTTTTATTTAACAAACCTTCTGATTTTTTAAACTTCTTCTTGATAAACTATCATATCTGTGACAATAAATTAATGTATGTTATAACTAATGAAATAAAACTAGACAAAAAAAGAACAACAATGAATATTAAATCGTAACATCAAAGAAAATGAATGAATAAATACAATTACCTATTACCCTAAGGGAAATATATTGAGTGAATAATAAACTATACCTGATATGTGAATTGATTGTAATAATATTTGATAAGAAGAGCATGCAAGAGGACGTCGTTATAATTGAGTAACTAGGTTTAATATGGAGGTCTATGAACACGCTAGGATTAAGATAGAAGCGTGATTTAGATATAAATTATAGAGAATTGTTAGAGAATTGTTAGAGAATTGTTAGAGAATGTATGCTTAACTATTTTTAACAAGACATGAGAAAAAGAAAACCAAATTTTTGTTATGATTTAATCCTTTTTGATGATATGCTATTGTCATAAGAGCTCAATTATTTTTTTGGCCTAGGTGTTAAATATTGATATTTTGAACAAGAGTTACTAACATTATCTATTATAAATTGTAACATATTTATAGTATTATTTTTTTTGCAGATAAAAATGGCTCACGAAAACGTTTGGTTCTCCCACCCAAGAAGATTCGGTAAAGGTTCTCGTCAATGTCGTGTCTGTTCTTCCCACACTGGTTTGATCAGAAAGTACGGTCTAAACATCTGTCGTCAATGTTTCAGAGAAAGAGCTAACGACATCGGTTTCAACAAGTTCCGTTAAGGATTTGGAATGATTTTTCCTTGCTTAAATTACCTTTTAAACATTTTATCTTCATCCACTCTTTAATATGACTATAAAGTCGACTTTATAAATCACTTTGAATATATATTAATATATTATTGTTAAAATATAATAAATATCAACATTATTTAGAATAACTCATGTATTATGTAACTATTTATCGCGTCGGACGAGCATGCTTTAGTTAGCTAGAATGAAAGAAAAATTTTAGCTCATCGCAAAATCTTAAATTAAATGCTACATAATGAAGTGCAGATCAAAGTAGCTATAAAAGGACAATTATTTAGAAGAACAGATATTGATATTACGAGAACTGTTACTAAACTATAGAACTAAGAAATGGGTAAGTCTAAAAAAAGATCAAGAGCTTCAAGAGCTCGTTTGAATCCATTAAAAAACGGAGCCGATTCATCTGCCAAAGATGCTAACCTGGTTACAAAAAAGATTCAACCGTTATTAGCTCAATTGCAAAGTGCTACACCAAATGATAGAAGTATGGCTATAAGTTCTATCAGTGTGTTATGTGAAGACCCACACATGAGACAATTATTATTAAAAGAAAAACTGATCCATATCATTTTAACGCATTTATTAAATGACACAAATAAAGATATAGTTATCGAAGCATACGGTTTATTAAGAAACTTAACACTAGAAGAAGGTTATGATATTTCTACATATCTTTGGAGAAATAAAATATGGGTAAGTATTAAAGACGGCTTCGAACAAATTGTGTCATCATTGAAAACACTTCAACAAGAAAATTCGACCAGCGCCGCAAATAAATCACAACAAGCAGCACATAACCAATCAAAGAGATTACTCTTTGATTATGCAGATAACTTAATATCGCTGTTGGTTTCTTTAACCAACAACTCAGATAGTATTTTAAGTGAGGTATTAAGTGAAGAAAACCTGAAAGGTGTATTTGATCTTATTTTAAATTTTTTGAACTACGGGTTCACTGTTTTACCTACTGCATTACAAAACACAATTTTAGATTTGATTTATGATTTTAGTTCTGAATCATTGGATTTCATTGACGAACTATTGAAGCATGAACCTATAATCACTTTGATCAGAAATTTAAACGAAGAACCATTAAAGAATGAATTATCTCAAGTATTAATTCAAGGTATTCTTTTACAATTACTTGAAACCGATGAAAATATCAGTCTTGATTCTAACCAATGTATTAGCTTCTTCCAAGCTGTAATCGAGGCCGTGAAGGATATTGATTTGAAGCAAATGAATGATGAGTTGAATTACGTTATAAAAGATGAGGTGGATATTCCAAAATTAAAGGAACAGGCTAAGAAGAGACAAAATGCTATGATGCAATTACAAGCTGTCGAGATTGCTTTAGACGTCGTTGCTGGTATTATTGAAATGATCTCATCGTTAAATGTCGAAGTTTCCAGCAATTTATCAACTGTTCTTCTTGCTACTCTACCTCAATTCTTGGATGCATTATTACAAGATTTTCCAGATCGTGTGTTCATTGCCTGGAACAACCTACTATGGCTTATTTCAGGAACTGAAGAAAACATTGACAATAGTATTCTTAGAGATTTGTGGAATAAAGTAACGACATATGACGACAAGAACAATGAATCTATAAAAATGAGTAAAATAAGTGTTATGTGGGTTATTTTGAAGATTTGTGGTACTCAGGCGAATATCGATCTGCTACAAGAGTTCAATGTTTGGGATAATATAGAATTTGTGAATACCATAATCCAACAATATAATGAGGTTCAGGGTATTGATTTCAAACAGAGATGTTGTGCTTTGTTGGCTACAGTTGCATGTTACCAAACACAGAATATAAGCATTAACGAAAGAGTAGGTGCATTTCTGCTTCATTTGTTATCATCTAAAGATACACCTGTAGACATTCTAATTGAGGCTTTGAGCTCCTTATTCGAAATATATTCCGATGGTGATTTTACATACGACGTTCCTGTTTTTGTAAATGGGAATTATTTGTCTGCTTTGGAAGAAAAAGTGGTTCCAAACTTGAAGGATGTCTTTAAAATGGTTGACAAGAATAAAAATCCTGCACAGAAGGAAAAATGCACCGAAATGTTTAGTACTCTACAAAGTTTCATCCACTATAAAGCCAATGAAAGATCATAATTTTTTAGCATTGTTACATATATAAATAATTAAAATAATAAAAAAGATTAGATATTTGTAAGTCTTCCGATATTGATGATTAATATTTGATTAACATATCAAATTATTTATTTCTGAGTAAATATAATATTACATGATATGATGCATACTTTTACATTTGAGTTAATGATCAGGTAATTTAATATCGCCGATGTTTTAAACAATCATTTAGCGTATTGTTTTGCCTGTAATACAACTTTCCTTTCATAATCTGCTTTATTTTTTTGGAAAGCTCTCCAAGCAGGTTCTTGAGCTGGAGAGTTAGGGTTTGGGGTATCTAATAAATCCTGAATACCTAAACATATTTGTTTTAAAGTAATAGCTGGTCTCCAATCTTGTTCTTCGTTTAAAATACTGAGACAAATAGTACCACTTGGATATACATTAGGGTGATAAAACCCGCTAGGTAGCTTAACCTTAGGAGGTTTTGAAGGGTACTCATCAGGATATTCAATAGTCAATGGATACACACCTTCATGCCATATTGTTCCTTCTTTACCTGGAATACCAGCCTCCCATTTTTGTAGATTCATGGTACCATCAGCTTTCTTTGTTGGCTTTGCAAAGAAACCGAAGGGATGATCCTTCCTCCATTTTTTTCTTTCCTCTTGTAGACGTTGTAAACATAAACTACTCATTGTTGTGTAGGTATTTTTATTTATAAATTTTTATTGTGAAGAGATGTTATGGATTTGTCTTGAAATAAAATATTGAAATAATTGTAAAGTAGTAGTTTTATTTTTATTAGTAACATTGGCATAATTTTATTGTGTAAATTGTTATTTTTCTTTCGCGACTTCATGTAATTTTTATTTCGTCCTAACAAAGGCAACTCAGAGCCCAAAGGGAACCTCAAAGATGCTGATGTCCTTAATAAACCTCTAGATAAAAATCAGAAAGAAAAGAAAAGAAAATGTTATAACCAGTGTATAATGGGAAAATCTTTGGATTTGCTATCAACCACTAAAATTTAGGATGTCAAACGAAGAATACGATGATTTAGATGATTTGCTGATCGATGAAGATCCAAGTACATTAGACACTGAGACGAAATCAGATTCAGAAAAGAATGGACCATCAAAGCGTCAGGAGATCGCTTCAGAGAGTATCTCTAAGGAAGGAGACAAAAATGATCCGCAAGTCCAACAGATGATGACTGACCTTCAGAGAGAGTTTGCTAACCTTTTGAAGGAACAAGAAAACGCCGATGGCGTTGAAGGTAGTGTAAATAAAGAAGCCATTGATAATTTCAATAACCTCATTGGAGCATTGGGTAAAGCTAGTACTAGTGAAGAAGAAACTACAGCAGGATCAAATAAATTATCCTCAGAGAGTGCAAATGATGACCCCGATTTTAAGAATGTTATAGCTAATACATTAGATAGATTAAAGGAGAGTGGAAGTAACATTGATTCTAACTTAAAGGAGGAGAAAGCCGCTGAACAAGGGTCAGATGATGTCCTTTCTCAACTTTTGAATCAATTAGTTGACGGTGCAGGAGAAGAAGATGGCATTGATTTTAATGATGATGGCATGGATAATGCAATTTTAAACATACTGAATCAAATGTCCTCGAAGGAAGTATTATACACACCAATGAAGGAAATGAAAGATGATTTTTCAATATGGTTCGAAGAAAATGAAAAGAAGGAAGAACATCGGGATAAGATAGATATATACAGAAAACAGTATTCTTTGGTAGAACAACTGGTTTCTTTATATGAAAGAGAAGACTATGATAATAAACTATTCCAAAGCGAGATAACTAATTTACTTGACGAATTAGAACAATTGGGTGATTCTCCTGTAGGCAAAGGTTTCAATAATAGTTCGGTAAATGATAGTGGACTCGATGATCTTGCTAAGATGTTACAAGGGGGAGGGGATGAACAAGATATGAAAAATATGGATAAGGATATCGCTGAAAATTGTCAACAGCAATAGTAGAAACTAAATAAAACCCTCAAATATATATATATATATATATATATATATATATAATTTTGCATGATTTAACGAAAATAATATATATATGTATATATCTGTTTATGTGAATGAGTATTTGTACGTTACTTAATTTATTATGATTCAGTGCGTTAAATTAAAAAAAGTACATAGGACCTTAATCAACAGAGTTCATAGCTTTTTGTAATCTTTTTTCAACAGCAGCTAAGAATTCATCGGTGGTAACATAAGCAGATCTTTCATTCTTACCAGCAGCCAAAGCTAAATCTTTAGTCATAATACCATCTTCTTGGACGGTGTTCAAAGTGGCAGATTCTAACAAATTGGCGAACTTGATAGCGTTTGGAGTAGCGTCAAGTTCACCTCTTCTAGCAATACCTCTAGACCAAGCAAATATGGATGCAATTGGGTTGGTAGAGGTTTCTTCACCCTTTTGATATCTTCTGTAATGTCTAGTGACAGTACCGTGAGCAGCTTCACTTTCGAAAGCCTTACCATCTGGAGTAACCAAGACGGAAGTCATTAAACCTAAGGAACCAAACCCTTGAGCCACAATATCGGATTGAACATCACCATCATAGTTCTTTAAAGCCATAATGAAACCACCTTTAGATTTAACCATTTGAGCCACCATATCATCAATTAATCTATGTTCATAATTGATACCAATTTTTTCAAAAGTAGACTTGTATTCTTTGTCAAAGATTTCTTGGAAGATATCTTTAAATCTACCATCATATTTCTTCAAGATAGTATTCTTAGTGGATAAGAATAAGTTCAATTTCTTAGTAATGGCTAATTTAAAAGAGGAATGTGCAAATCCTCTAATAGATTCATCAGTGTTATACATGGCTAAACCAACACCTGGGCCTTTATAATCAAATACATTCAAAGTGATCTTATCCTTTGAAGCATCTGTTGGAGAGTAAACTAATTCTAGTTTACCTGCGCCTGGAACAACCAAATCAGTAGCTTTATATTGATCACCATGAGCGTGTCTACCAATAATAATAGGTTTTTCCCAACCTTGAACTAATCTTGGAATTCTTGGAATAACAATTGGTTCTCTAAAGACAGTACCATCTAAAATATTTCTAATGGTACCATTTGGAGATTTCCACATTTTTTTCAAATTGAATTCTTTAACACGAGCTTCATCTGGAGTAATAGTAGCACATTTAATACCAACACCATATTTTTGAATGGCTTTAGCTGCATCTACTGTAATTTGATCATTGGTAGCATCACGAGATTGAATAGACAAATCGTAATATTTTAAATCGATATCTAAATATGGTAAGACTAACTTCTTCTTGATTCTATCCCAGATGATTCTAGTCATCTCATCACCGTCTAATTCGACGACAGGTGATTTAATTTTAATCTTTTGCAAAGCTGCAATATTTGAAGTAGAGAAGAATCTTCTGGACAACATGGTTATGACTACTTAACTTGAGGTTAGATAAACTTTGTTCGTTCAACGATATAAAAGAACAAAAAATAAAGCTACAATTGAATGATTAATATACAAGAACCCCAAAAAATAAAAACAAAAAAGGAAACCAAGTACTCATCGCATCTTATTCATTTATATATATATATATATTCTACAATTAGTTTAATATGCAACTTGAAGAAACAACGAATAGTTGTAATAATGGTGATGAAATGTTGAAGATCAAACTGCGGGACTCTATCATCATCGTCATTGTTGTAATTTATATTCGTAGTAGAAATGCGGATGATTCAATCGATTATAACGTTGAAATTTTTCAGTTATTCCCTTTACGCACTGTAAAATGAATAGAGAGAGTAACTATCTGAGTCCGTCCTACTGAAAATTACCGAGATTGAATGAACGGAGATTCATACAAAATTATCTATTTTGCGGTGTATTTTAAAGCATGTTTAATCTGTGGTTTCTGGCTTTATTTAGTTTTGGCACGCGTGACATAGGAGGATGAGATGATGATAATTGCGTCGGGAAGAAAACTACGAAGAGAGAAACCAAGAGAGTTTATTAGGTACGCAAACTGCATATGACATGATAATAATAATAATAATAATATTGATATAGTATTATTATATACTGATTAACTGGAGGCAAAAAAACCAGTGAAGTAAAGTCTTCTTAAAAAACATCGCTTCTTCACATTATATGATCTTTCTGTTATCTGAGTTTTTTATGAACCCGCCGGTATCGCTATACCATTTCTAGGGTTTGAGCTTAGGGTTGGTATTTTAAACATCACGTGAATTATATCACGATACACGGAATCTGAGTCGAGTTCATTTTTTTTCTAATTAGCATTATTTTGTTTCAGCGGCCTTTTTTCACCTGTTAGTGCTAGATCTAAGAACTGTTATGGTCCAAGAAACAGTTTAGAAACAATTTGGAACATTCTGTTTTGTGAGTGCGTCTGATTGGTCCAAACGGACTTAAGGGAGACAAATTTTCACGGAGAGCGTAGAAATAATAATTTTTGTATGGAGTTTAACTGGTAGCCTGAATTTGATACTGGCTGCCCCGGAGAGAAACTAACATGGAAACTAAACAAAATCTACGGTTTTGGTAAAACGGCAGAGAGAGCAAGAACAGTAAGTAATTACAATAATATATACTAACGTAACCTTCACACATACACAGATATATATATATAAGTAATACATACCATAGTAAACATCATTTGTTCTCGATATATTTTCGGCAAGGGTTAATAATATCAACAAAATATATTTATAATTGATATTTTTTAAAAAGTTTTAATTATAAAAGTTTTCAATTATTTTAATCCTATTTCGACATTTTTATTTTAAAGAGAAACAAAACTAAATCAAAACTATAATCTATCACAAACATATAAACATGTCCGCTATTACTCCAATTACAGGTACTTTAAGAAAGAGAGCTGTTCTAGATATATTAGTAGGGTTCACAATAGGTGGTGCTATGGCCTCTTATTGGTGGTGGGGTTTCCATATGAATATTATCAACAAAAGAGAAGCTTTTTATGCTGAACTTGCAGAAAAGAAGAGACAAGAAGATGTTTAGTTGATCTATAGCATTTTGAGATACTTTTATTCATTCCAAAATTTTTATTATTTTTTTTAAAACATTTATTTCATTATTATTAAATTATTCTTCTTTTTATTGAAAGAAAACAACCAAAGAGAGAAATATTAATGCTCTTTTTCTTTTAGAAAAAAAAAAGAGAGACCCATATACACAAATTTTACGATATTCTTACAATTACTATTTTAATTATTACTACTACTGTTTGCTTCTTCTTAATACTTTTTATTATCATTATTCACAACTGAACTTAGGAAAATGAAGGGATTACATTACTCCCATTAATGTTATTTCATATTAATTCATAAAACATGAAATATTACAATTCTTTCACCTTTTTTGTGAACAGAATGGGATATATATATATATATATATAGAAACTCATATTATATCTCAGAATGATGGTATTGTTTATTATTGAAAGGAAACAGAGATTGAACTTAAGATAAAAGGTACAAGCAGTTTGTTTGTTTTCTAAAGAGAAAAATGACTTGAATTAATGTATATTTTATATTATTATATTCTTTTTTTCAGTTACTAACAATTGAATACTTTTTCTATTCAAAATATGTTTTATCTTTCCTCCATTCTCTCTTTATATATTTATATTTTACGGATCCATTTTGCTATTGCAAAATTATTTTTTTTTTTAATTATTATTATTCTTATTTAATAATGCAATTCAACTGTATCATGTTTTTTTAAATAGTTCTATATATTACTCGAACCTTGAACTCAATTGTGTCACCGACATTTCTATTTGTATTTTTGTCCTTCAATTATTTTACATATATTTGTCAAGATAAAGATTGATCAATATTTTTTTTCAACGTTATTTACTATTTTTTCATTTTTTGGTTATATATACATACAGATATAATATTCGTTATAATAACGTATCAAGGGATGAACCTGCGTCAAACCATTGCCATATGAGTCGATCTAAAAAGAATATCAAGAATCTAGATGATTTGTTTTCAATATTTAAAAAATCTAGACCAGATTTATCACTAGATTATAATGTTTTCCTCCCTTACTTATATCCAACACAGAAATATGCTAATCGAAATCAACTTAGAAGTCTCGCGAGACAATTAATAAATACACAAATATTCACACATAATTCTCGAATATTTCTTAGATCAAAATTTGATATTAATGGTTCAGATTTTAATTTTATGTCAAAATTACCTGGTGGAACAAATGCATTTGATTTAATTAATCCTCGGACTTCTAAACATACATCACAGGAATTACTATTGCAAAAATTTATAACAGATAATAATCTAAGTGGTATATCAAATATACCAATACCAGAATCTAAATTACCGAAGCGTATAAGAAGGAAATTTGATAGATTAACTTTATTATCGATATTAGGTATATTAATCACTGAAGAACCAATTGCATCTGAGATCATTATACACGACCATATTCTTCAATTGAAGGGAAATATTAAATAAAGCCCCAATCCTTAATTATAAAGGTGGACAGGTTAACTGAACAATATACGGAGAAAAATTAAGGAAAAAGGCACTGCCCATTTATTATTATATATAGATAGATAGATATTTTCAATTGACATATTTTATTAAAAACAAGATTTAACACACAGGTCTGACTATTCAAACTGTTTAGGTTTTTCTCTGTTTAATCAACTAAGTATTCAATCGGTATATATAACAATTTGCGTATATTAACCGTAAGCCATAATTCTCTTCTAAGTTTTCTGAATAGATCAAGTTAAAAAGAAATGTCATTATATTACAGTCTCATTTTCGGTATTTTAGTTTTAGAGATTGCTCTATTTACTCTATTGGCATTACCTATCCCAACTAAATTCCGTAAACCATTGACATTAGTATTATTGAAACCTTTTAAAAATAGTAATGTTCAAGTAGCAATAAAATGTATATTAGGCTTTATACTATTGCTATTCATTGATTCTATTAATAAAGTTTACAATATTAATAAAGAATTAGCGATTGATGTCGCTCAAGGTCATCAGAGGATTGAACTTCTGTCAAGAAAATTTTTCCAACAAAGAAATCTGTACTTAACAGGGATCACATTATTCTTGACATTTATTGTAACAAAGACATTTGCATTAGTGAACGAATTATTAAATTTAAAGGCAAAATATAGAAAAGAGGATCATGAAAGTGAGAAAGAATTGACAAAGGAAGAATTGGAAATTTTAATTAAAGAAAAAGAAGATAAGATAAAGGATTTAAAAATAAGAGCAGAAGCCTTGGAAAAGGATTCCAAAGATTTATAATGCTATAATGATGGATTAATGTATATATCTATGTGTATATGTATGTATATTTGTTTTTATGAAAATGCAACGATTAATATATTTGAATGGTAACTTATGCTACTTGAAAAGTTCAAAGTCTATATATATATTTTCATCATTCTCAAAATTTTGGAAATCATAGTATTCAATCATGGTTAGATTGAATAACCTAATAAACTTGTACAATTTCTCATATTGAGTTTTGCGACTGGCAATATTACTCTTTATTTCAATATCATCTGAAATTTCAGTAATATCACCAAATAATGACGTGTTGAATGGTTCTAATGGTTTGAATGGTAATGTTTTTTCCTCTGCAGGTTTACGGGTATTCCCATTATTTAGCCATTTAGAATTCCAATATTCGATTGTTTTCCCAACGTTAGGGAAAAGCATAATCCTAAACCCCATTCTAGAATCATTATTTGAAATAAGAAATCTTAATTTAGTAAATTCAGGTGGTTCTAATAAATCTTTATATTCTTTTCTACAATTAACATCTAAAGGACCTAATATCCAATTCTTCTTGTCATATAGTAATCTTCCATTCTTGGCTGGTGTGCTAGAAGAATTTCTTAATTTCCCTAAAATGAATTTTTTGTTTATATGAAATATTAATACTGAGTCACCACCATAGCTTAATGAACATTCACGTTCTATTTTGTCCTTTAATTCAGTATCAGTTAAATATTCGATTAACAAATTGAATTGGAAATAGAATAAACTTAACTTATTGAGGATAAGTTGTTTGGTTTGTGGATCATTAAGTTTTGACATTTTGAATATAAGAAGCTTAGAGAACAAAACATGGACTAAGTTTTCAGCTGTATCTAAAGTCAAATTTTCCCAAATATCATTATCCCCAATAATTGCTTGCGTTATCCTTATTTGTTCTGCATTAGGAATAAACTCCCAAGTATTAAAAAGGGAAAGAATGGCAATTATTTGGTTATTCATGTTGTGAGTTTTCAGTAGGTTCATATATCCATCTATCCATATAGACCATCTCAAGAAAGTGACATCTGGGAAAAGATCGATAATCTTTTTTAAGATTTTATTGTATACAACGTTTGCGATTTGGACATCATAGGCAGGTATTGTCTTGATGTAATTTAGTTGTGCTTCATCATGAACGTTTAGTAATATGTTTAAACTTTTGCTTTCTGTGGGAAATTTCATGTAGATTAATCTCAGGCAGTTCCATATTTTTAGACTCTTGAAAGAGTCCTCTACAAATGAGTCTAAATTCTGAACATTATTCGTCCTAGAATTGGATGTTGGCAATTCATCATCTGTTACAATATCCGAGTTTGGCATACTGTCATTGATGCTTGGATTTAAGTTTTGTTTACGAATACTTTTAAGGTATTTGTTGGTTTTATAAAGATCATTACGCATAAAATAATTGATAGAATGTTCAATAAAAATGTTGCAGCCAGGACAGGTACCTGTTATGGTCTCTTTCTCTAATGTAATACTGTTGCAGGATAGCATTTTGAAAATGATAAACCAATAATGCCAATAGAATGAAACGAAGCATAAATCATGCCGAATATACGAAATTATTACTCTAAATACTTTCTTTGTGTCTGAATTGGTAATAGTAGAGTCGAATTTCTCTTCCTGCTTCTTTATTTTAGAGGTTACAAAATTTCTTTTCTTCCAAGGTACTAAAGTAGATTCAGTGGCAGTATTTATTTTGAAGTTTGGTTGTAAAGCTTCAATAAGCTGGACATCAAATTGTAAATTATCGGGTATGTAAATAAATGCGAATGCTAAAAGTTTCCCCAGAAATGATCTAATGAGGGAGTTGTAATTGTTACAAAATGCTATTTGGGTGTGGTGGTCTTTCCCTATTTTATTGGTTAGATCCTTGATTAGTCTAGAATTCTCCACCAATTGGGCTGTCACGATTTGGATTGTCTTTAAAATGTTATTTGAAAATGCTGGTAAATGTATCTTATCATTATCATGATTTAAAATTATCAGACGGCTCATTATTCTACTTATCGATTCCAGGCAAACAGAGACTAATTCAATGGAGATAAATGATTTGGTGAAATATGGGTTGATATTTTCTTTGTAATTTGTTGAATCTGTGCTTTTAAATGTAATGATACTACTTCTTTTATTGGTATTCTTTTGTTGCTTCTTATCTCTGGTGAGAAGATCGAGTATATATGACCACCAGTGGCCTAAAACATCTCGCAACTCTTCACTTAGTGTTTCATTATCTGAATATAATTGTTCGTTTCTTAAATATTTTATTAGGTTGTGACGTATGAACTGCGCAATATAAGTATTACTAAAATTTGTATTTTCGAATATTTTATCAGAGATTATCTGTGGGTCAGTTTTCTGAAGTTCATCTTCGACGATGTCCTGGATCTTTAAGTTGAAATGTTTATTCCTATTGTTTATTAATGTTATAAATCGATTAAGAGCATGGAATAATTTGGCATCATCGTTTATATCGATCTCTAATGATGATGATAGATCAAAATCGAGATCATCGATATCATTGAAATTTGAAAACGAATTGCCGTTTAGAGTACTGAATTTCTCATTTTGATTATTTATGAGTTTGAAACCAACTTTGGCAAATGCTCGAAGAGATTCCATTTACTCAAAGTATTGGGTTGGTTGATCGTCGGTAATCACACTGAGTCACTAGTAGCAGTCTTCGAGATAATAACTAATTTAAATTTCTAGCAAAATAGGAATAACCTTGAAATAAATTTTGATTGGCAACCTTCTCAAATCGATTAAAAAAATTTAATGGTATATTAATCTAAAATGGCAAAACTTCCTGAAGTTTTCTACACTTTATCGAGGAAAAATTACAAAACAACCTTCTTCTCTTAAAATAATATGTAATTACAACCTTTTATTTTCAGAGATTCGTATAAATTTATTTATAATTAGATTAACAATCGATCGTTTTTTCAAGATGATCTTGTTTTACCTAACCCTACTTTTGGTGTCAAGCTTACGTAGGGTTTACAAGTTTCATAGGTATTTTATGTAATACGTACGTCAATATATAAATGTATTTTCGTAAGCTGAATTAAGGTCACTATGTACGTCGTCCAGCCATCGAAAAAAAAAATACAGCCTGAAGTATAATACGAAAATTAAACTTCAACACGAATTTTTCCAACTAGCGATTTCATCTGTTTACTAATCTTACCACTAATATAAGAAAGGAAGATACAATTTGAAATATACCGTTGTTTATAATTAAACAAGATTAAACATCGTCATAGAAACATATACGTTATATATATTTGGTTTCTGATACATTTGGCGCAAATATCACTGGTTTTTGTTTGTTTCATAATATATTAGTTATATTTCGATTTGTTACTTTTTGATTGACTCAGCATAATACTAGAAAGTTCTATCCGTTTGCTATAGTAACTTCTGCAAAGCTGGTAGTTGGTACATACATTTAAGAGTATTACAAACCCTTTAATAACATATTATTTATCTCAATATGGCCACTGTACCTCTTTCTAAGAAGCTGAAGTTGAGTAATCCTGATGAGCCACTGACTCAGAATGATGTTATATCATTTCAAAAGGAGGCCTTATATAGATGCATGAATGAAAAGAGAGTTAGTTTAAATGCAGTAAATGAACAATTTGAGGTATCGAAGAAAAATTATATTGACGTCTCAACAAAGTTGTCAAACCTAATGGCTTTGATCATTACATTGGCTAATTTTTTGCAAGTTATTAGTAAAGAAAAGAATAATACAGAAGAAGAAAATATATGTAGCAAGATGGCTACTTCTGATGAGAATGAGGTTATACAACTAAGTGATTCCTTTATGAAGATACTGACAAAATATCTAACTGAGTCAGGCAATGCAACTATTGATGATAACGAACGTCTCTCGCGACTAGCGTTAGAACTAAAGGAATTACAAAAGGTTAAAAAAGAGCTATATTACAAGAATAAAGAATTAGCAGATGAAATTTCATCTCTAAAAATATATTATGAGAAATTGATTAAGAAATTCGATCGTGAAGACTCTCAAACATTAAAGAGAGTGTTTAAAAAAGAATTAGAAGGAGAAGATGAAACTGTAAAAGAAAATAAAGATACCGCGAATAGTCGAGATATGGAAAATGTTAAAATTGAAACTAAAACATCGACAACAGAAAGCCCAGGTATTGATGAAAAAGATGAAGATAAAATTACATCAGGAAATAGTGATATTAAGGAGGAAAAGTTAATGGCCGAATATGATATTAAGGTTTCAGACTTACAAAATGAAATTAAAGAATTGAAGGTCATAATTGAAGAAGTTGAAAAATTCAAGAATTCTAATACTGAGAGGATAGTTTCTTTAGAAAAACAGCTTTCTGCTGCTAACTCAGCTTCGGCAGGGTTGGAAAGAAATGATAATATTGATGTAGATGTAATGAAATCAAAGATTGATATTCTGATCAGAGAAAATAATCAACTAAAACAAATTAATGATTCATTCTTAGGTAAATTTCAAAAATTATCTAGTGAAAAGGAGATTTTCAATAATAAAATAACTAACGAGTTTAGTTCGAATTTGGAAGGATTGAAGACACAAAATTTAGCACTTGAAAAGGATTTGGTTAGAATTAGAACTGCGCGTGATGATCTACTTTCAAAGTTATCAATAGTCGAGGCAGAAACCAAAACACCTATTATTCTTGATGATCTTAAGAAGTCATTGGATTTATCTAATGAACAATGGAAGAAGTATGAAAACAGACTTGATACAACTTCTGAAAATTTGTTACTAAAAGAACTTCAGGATATGGAAATTGCATTCAAAGAATTGACTCAGATTAATAATAAAAAGTATTCAGATTTAATTAACCAGGAATCAATGATAGCTAAATTAAAAGTTGAAAAGACCAAGGCAGATCAGAAATATTTTGCAGCTATGAGATCAAAGGACCCTATTTTAATAGAAAATAAAAATATGGGTAAGGCTATTACGAAAACGAATGAATTGATCTTACAAATGAAGGATGCTGAAAAATTATTGCAACAAAAGATTGAAAATTTGTATAAACAATTACAATTATCACAAAATAATGAGAAGAGACTGATAGAGTCCACAAAACAGGAATCCTTGAAAATTATAGACTTAAATTCTCAAATCAATAAATCTGAAAAGAAAATATCTGTTTTGAAAAATGAGAGTTTAGATTTAATCACAGGGATTAATAAATTAAAAACACAAAACAATGAATTAGAAACAGAAAATAAAGTATTGAAACAGAAAAATATTAACATTGATGAGAAATGCAAGAAACTACATCAAAAGTTAGTTTCATTTACTGGGGAAGTAAATGACAAGAAAAGACATTATGAAGATGAGGATGAAGATACTTTAACGCAGGAATTGGAGAACTTCCGCACATTAGTGTACTGTTCTCTATGTTCGAAAAATTGGAAAAACATGGCAATCAAGACTTGCGGTCACGTATTCTGTGAGGATTGTTGTAACGAAAGACTAGCCGCCAGAATGAGAAAATGTCCTACTTGTAATTACCCATTTAGTTCAAATGATCTACTCCCAATACATCTGTAGACTGTTTGAATAAGATGTTGAAGACTCTCTGATATGTCTGTAGGCATTCATCTATAACGTTGTATTATCATAGAATATACATATGTATGGTTTTTTGTAAGTTCACTATAATAAAAGAGCATTGTATTATTACTACAATTATGAAGAAGCCCTAATATGTCTTCCATTATTTTTTGCCAGTTTTGCTGCGAATATTTTTTTTTCACGCTTTTTCAAATTTTAACGATGCTTTGTATTGTAGAAAAAAATTATTCAAATATATATATATATATATAGGCGTGTTTATGTCTCTGAAAAATAAAATTTTTAGGATCATAAAACAAGTTTAAAAGCACTCTTATTGACCTAAAAGAATGACATCATACAAGTCATATTTGTAGTCTGGGACTTGCCATCGTTGACGTTATATTTGTTTGGAATTTGTGAGTTCACATTTCTTTTCAAAAATGTTATCATAATACATGTTTAATGATTATAGGATGATATTTTTTATTTTTTGCTGATCTATTGAGAACAGAGGTAGCCGCAAGCTATTCTTTAAGATTTATCGTTATTTGATTTATTGAATGATATCGTTTTGATATCGATTGATTTATTGAATAGCATTCAGATAAATCTTTTAATGTAATGAGTGGTCAGTATTTTTTTGTCATAGTTACACTGATTTAATCATCAAACATAGTTTTATGAGAAATAGTAAAATCCTTTTTTTATTTATATATGCCGTCTCCATGTAATTAATTGTAACTACATAACATTTCAAGGATGTTGCTCCTTCTCCGATGATTATCCTAATAATTAAAATTGATTATTTATAATCTTGAATGATTAAACTTACTTATAAAAGTTATACAATGTTGCTATATTTTAAAAGATAAAAAATGTGTTAGTTTTCTTTTGGAAAATGAGACATTTAAGCTTCTTCTTCGACAACGACAGTTTGTAGACCCTTGGCAGAAGCAACTAGAACTGGTTCAACGTAAGAGAACAATGGGTTCTTAGCGTTTTCTTCTTCGTTTCTTCTTCTAGAGATTCTCAATCTTAGTCTGTATTCAACACCCTTGATACCTCTCTTCCAGATAGCTTGGTTTAGTTCTGGAGCTAGACGGACATCTTCGGTACCCATGTGTAGCTTGGCAAACTTCTTGATTTCCTTGACAGCCTTTGGAGCTCTCTTCTTGAAGGAGACACCGTGTAGCTATTTAAAATAAAATTTGTATTTGTATTCAGAATTTCTTGCAAAAAATTACAAGATGGTTGAAAACAAAAGGTATTTTTGTTAGTAAATTGGAACGCAGAAAACAAAAACAGTAGATTAATGAATAGTTTACTTCAATTGAGTTAATATTTTTTAAAAAGTTACGATTGCTCGAATAACGTACAACATATCTTAATTGCAATTAATGGATCTCATTTCGTAATAATCTGAACCAGCCAAATTCGCTCTCTTCAGATTGCAAAGTCATATGTTTAAAATACGACACATCAAACGAATAAGAGCATTTATTTATTTGGTATATCATGCAATATCGATTACCTCATTATGTTTATTTTTGCTATGGTAATATAGGTACATCATTTTCATATAGCCATCTATATATCATTTGAATATTCCTCTTGCTTCACCATTTTTTCTTTATTAATTATTTCTTGTCCATCTGTTATGATATATTCATTTTTTAGGCTTCTCTCAAAATATTGTTCTCTTATTTTAAATTTTTCAATCATATATGTACGCTTTCTAAATCGTTCATTAAACTCATTTGGTAACTATTATTATCGCTGTTTCATATTATTATTATTATAATTATAATTATTCTTTAATTTCTAAAAACATACTCTCTTGTGCAAGTTGATGGTATATTCACGGGTGACAACGTCTTTCAAACCGGCCATTTTTTCCTTAGATTGTGTATGGTGTATTATTATATTAATTAATAACTATATAATAAATAGTATTAAAATTATTGAACCTTCTTGATATACACCTTTAGTTCAAGATATTCTACCAATAGTATAGTTTTACTTACTCTAAGCTCAGTAATTGCTTAGCATGATGAAATTCTTACACCACCAATTGCTAACATTTTACAAAATTTGGTGGGCGTTATTCCATTCACATTACTATCATTCGATCGATACCCAGTATCTTACTGTGTGTGTATTCACACTATCTAATGCAGAATACTATTTTTCGTCTCAAACAACGGCAGTTTGTTGGAAAATTAGTTCGTTCTCTCAGATGACGCGAACTCATGAATTTTATGAAATCTAAGAATATCTTGAAAGTGAAAAAAATGAAAAACAATTTTTATAAATTTTCAAGAACATGTCCGGATTTTCCAAATGTCATATGTCTGGGTGTTGAAACAGTCCCAAACCCAAATATAATAATTTTTTTTTTTAAAAAATGCGCGCGAATGAAGAAAAAAACAGCAAAAAGATTTGGAATTTGGATATACTGTAAATCGTGTTAGATTCTAAATTAGTACTGGAAATTTGAAGGAACGGAGTGTGGAAGAAGAGGAAAGCAGAGATCTTCTCTTTCCCTCTCAGCGAAATCGTGTAAGAAAGACAACAGGAAGAAGAAGAAGAAAAAATAGTTAGTACTCGGCGATATTTTCATTTCTCCCTTGAAATTTTTAAAGCTTAACGCATCGAATTACTAGCCCCTTCTCTTCTGTAAATTGATGCTTAGTTGCTTATGTGATAAGCATAATGAAACAAAATTACTAACAGATATAGATATATATTTGTGCTCGTATAGAAGACAGAGTTCCTTTAAAGTTAGATATCCTATTTGGTAATATAAAATATAAATTAACACCTCAGAAGAAAGATAAAAACAGATTATTGAATTCTCAAAATTTTTTATATCATGACTACTTATATGCCGGGATATTCAAATACTGAATCTACTTTTACAACAACAAGTGATCCAAACGAAAACTACAGGAAGACACAATCTCATATATATAGTTTACAAGAGACTATATTAGATTCTACTAGAAGGGCTAATTTAACTCCAAAATCCGATTCTCGAGGAAATTCGGAGAGCTTACCAAATAATGATAATTCTGATTCGACATTAAAAGTAGATATGCAGATACCTACAATAGATTCATTACCAATACTGAATTATACAACAGATAAATATAAAAGAGAACCAGTATTAATTGGCGAAATGGATTATGTGTCAAATAAGATGGGACAATTTTTTAAATATCCAAAGGATATTCAAATTGGTAATAAGATTGATAATTTAGGATTGCCATATCCTTATAATTTTGAGAAGCAATATACTCCAGATTGTTTCTTACCACCTTTCACTAGAACAAGTATAAATAAATTAGTTAAGGTAAAAATAAATTCAGACGAAATTACTAAATTTCTTTCTGGAGACTCTATAAGGTTACAAAATAGAGAAATTTGGGGGTCGGATATATACACGGATGATTCAGACCCTTTATTGGTTTTAAAACATACAGGGTTTTTCGAAAAATCAGATACTAAAGATGATTCGAATATTGTACCGAAAAAGAGAACTCCTGCCAATATTCATAATCAGGACAATGTTGTGGGCGGTAAGTTTATTCCCTTTGAAACTAGCCTTGAGGTAACAATTTTAATTTTAGATTGTTTAGAGAGTTATATAGGTTTGAATAGAAATGGTATTGTTGCAAGAAGTTGGCTGGGTTCCGTTCCACATGATGGTTTAAGTTTCGGTATTTATGAAATTAAAGTTATACATTCAATGGAAAAAGTGGATATCAGTGCCTGGAAAAAATAAAGGATAACTCTTGGAGTGCAAAAGAAAGAAAATTTTATTCAGTAAATTATGTTTCATACAATTATATAGTGTATATCGGTGTAGATATAAGGTGGTTTGTCCAGGTGACCTTTCGCCAATATCTTTTTCTTTTTGTAAAATATGTCAATTGTTAAAATTATGTTTAGTTTACTTTTTATAACAGATGGCGGCTTGAATAAAAAGGGTGCCGTGCTGTCTTAAAATAAGAAGACTAAATAAATAAATATTGGGTAATTAGTTGATTCAAGATGAATTGTAAGAAATAAAGAAAGTCAAATCGAATAAGCTAACTATCGTGTTGGGTTAATAATAGTTTAGGATTTGTGTTTTTTTATTAGAACCTGTTAATCATCTAACAAAATCCATTTAAATTCAACCCAAGTTTTAATTCATTGTTGATATTAGGATAGAATTGCAACACTAGAAATTTCTCGAAAGTTCCGATAACTACAAGTAATGTTGAGAGCAAGGCTCAAGGACACAATCAACTCGCCAGGTATTACAGCAGTACTTCCAATTGCAGAATCCAAAAGGTTAATTTTAGCCAAAACAAATGGTAATGTAGAAGTATATTCAAGGGAAAATAATAAATTTAAGTTATTTCAGGTATATCCGAATATCCTCAAAAATCTGCATATAGATGATCCTGAAATATTCGACCTTCTATATTCAGAACAACTCTCTACCATTTTTGTTCAATGCAAGAATGTTGTTTTGTTATTAAACAGTTTCAATCTGCACGTATATGATAGAATAGTTGATAAAAGGGGAATCTCAAAATGGTGGCTAACTAGTACAGTTATTTACCCATCTTCGACGGAAACAGATGATGGATATAGCTCATCACCAGAATCTGAGAATCTATATGAGGCAAATATCGATGGAATCTCGCATAATGATGATTCAATGTCTACTTTTTTACTTTACGCAACTGGAAAACCATCTAAACTTAGGTTACTGATCTGGAAGGGAAGGATATATAAATCAATGGTTGAAATTAAACTCCCTGGTTCAAAAGAGCATGTAACTTCTGTAAATGCTACGCCTAACGGTATGATTATTACCACCAACAACGGCGTATATGTTTGGAGTTATTCATTAATGGAATTAATCAGAATTCAAAAAATTGTAGAACGAACTTTTCCTATAGATATGGTTTCTGCCATAGTAGATCTGCGAAGGCAGTGTGACTTATCCTATCCAGATAAAATTGTGCAATCAGGGTCATCCAATTATGAGGTTTTAGAACGTGTTTCATCTTCGCAAGGAAGTAACATTACCAAGAAATCAAGTTTGTCAGGTTTCTGGCATCGTAGAACCGATAAAGACAAAGGAATTTACAGAAAAATACGATACAGTTTTAATGACACAAATTCATCGCCATTTATTGTTGACGGATTAACAGAAAGTTTGTTTGAGGTCAATTTAGAACGTGATAAGGAGCCTTTTCTAATAACAAATAAGCATGGGCAATTTTTTGAGTGGAATCCATCTTTTGAAAACGTTGAATACATATCTACTGACATATTGATGATGTACAACTCAAAGGAAATAAGGTTTGTAGACTATAAAAATGGTTTCACGTTTCTAGAGGAATATATCCTTGATGGTATTAAGAAGGTGGAAAAGGTATTGGGTACATATTTAATAATATGGACCAATAATGATCGTATATTATTGTATCACTATCAGGTCGATGATGATATTACAGAACTTGATGGAAACAGTGATATAAGTAGCGACCAAGATAGCGCTGATGACGTTACAATTTGTGGCAAATTTCATGATTCGGATTTTTATTATCTGTGGAGAAAAGTTCTCTTTTATCAATTTTTCCTACGTTCTCCCTATTCTGTAGAACTATGTGCCTCACCCAATCCAGAAGTCTCATTGGATGTATGTGCAATGAAGTTGAGAGATTTTACAGTTCTCTGGTGTCTGAAAATATTTGATGCACTAGAAGACTGTCTGAAGATTCTTAACTCTGGGGAAAATGAATTAGCAAAAATCGCAAATAAAAATAAAACAAACCGACCTATTATTGAAGAGAAATATATACGAATTTTAGAAGAGATTATAGTAAAAGGTGTCTTTACCTATTTTATTGATGTGTGGGCACCACCACAATTGGTTATTTTGAACACATTTCCACCCGATATCTCAAAATTAGTTAATTTCCTGACAAATGAAGAGCATCAATGTGTTAATGAGAATCACTCAATGACATCAGTTACTCTGTCTAAATCTATTCCGGATCTATTCAGGAAATGGGTCATTCCATATTTAACTGATACTAGGAGAAACCTAAAGAACCTTCAAAAGAATAACAACACAGGGATTACCTGGAATTATTATAACAGATCTATTCAGCAAAAACTGGACTTCTTCTTACTCGATAATCATGGCCAAGTCACGATCGATGATATGCTGAGATTAGTTGATACCGTTCTGTTCAAGATGTACATCAAATACGCACCAAAAATGGTCGGTCCGTTGATAAGAGTTGGAAATTCGTGTGACCCTGTGATAGTTGTGAAAACATTAAAGTCTTGTAATATGCCTCAGGAATTGATCGGTTTTTATTACCAACAGAACAAGCATGGTGACGCTCTGAAATACTTGGTTTCCTTACTAGATGGAGCAACTAGTGAATCAAATAAGGCGAAAGTAAAAGAATTAGTTAAAGTATTGATAATATCCTACCTAAAGTCTATGGATAGTAGTTATATGAAGGATATTATGCAGTATTCTAGTTGGCTTATAGAAAATTATGGAACGACAGAACTTACCAAATGTGAAATATTGAAAGACATATTTTTCGATGAGACAGCAATTGGTGACAAAAATAATGGTATGCAAATATATCAATTTATTAAAAAGTACAGCGAAAACTTATCACTTACTTATCTAGAAGTATATGTTAGTGCAAAAGACATTATTGAACATGATATCATATATGAATTAATTGAAAGATATCTTGTCGAGATTAGTAATATCAAGGTCAGAAGGAAACTGAAATCTGTTTTGGAGTTACCACTTGAGTATAATGTTTCGAAAGTGTATACGATATTTGATAGGTTTCTTGATAGGGATAGGGATAGCGACGGTAACTCTTTAAAATCAGAAGTGAGACGCTTTATTAAAATTATGGAGACATATCCGCTATTTAAGGATAGTGAGCATAAACATGCCATAGATATATTGTATTCTGATCTTGGTGATTATAAAAAGTCATCATTGTATTGTGATAGATTATACGAATCTGATAGAAATCGCGGGGTAGAAATAATATTATATTTATTTGAAAAGGTTGTTAAACAATATTTAGAATCAACCGAAGAAGTGATAATGAATGTCGAGAACGGTGCCTATTATAGCAACCAAGTTATGATGTTCCTGAAAGATCAAGGGTCACGTATAGATAGCCTGATGATATTGGAGAGGTTACCGCAATCAATACCCATTCAAGAGATAGGGAAGGAATTAACAAATGTCATTATGTCAAAGCAAAACAATAAGGAAGAGGAAACATTAGAGAAGTCACTACTGCAAGTCGAACTTGTAAACGAATCATTCAGCTTGAATAAGGAATTATCTAAATTTGTGACATTGAATGAAACTTATAAATGTCCTGTTTGTAAGAAACCCTTTTCTATTTTTACATCAGAAGAAGTACTATGGCATTGCACTGATGGGAAAGATTACATTGTTCATTACAATTGTGGTAAGGTTCGTCGGTCTCGTTCGTTCTCGATACAAGCAAATATTAATAAATCCAGTATGAAACCACGGACCGTCAAGGATATGAAGAATACATAATTATTTATTTAGTAGCTACTTTATACCAAATATAGTATAAATTAGAAGGCAGCATATGAAAGTGTTTTTAACGAAAAATTTAATGTACAGAAATGAAATTAAAATGTAAAATACTTTATATCTACATAGGATGTAAAGAAACGTTTTGGTGTTTGGTATTTTTAATTTTTATAGTTCCTTACTATTATAATCCAATAGAGAGAAGATGGCGCCCGTAAATATTTCTTAAACGACGCAATTATCCTATTCTCAATGTTTGTGGATTATATAGATGCCAAAGAATCGAATAAAACAGAGATACTTTCACCGTAATGATCACGACGAATACATTCAGCAAAGATTGGAGAAACATCAATACTGACTAATTTCTTAGAGCTCTTTAAACGTTCTGGAGCAATTGGGAATGTGTTAGTAGCAATAACTTGATGGATATATTCGCACTTTTCAAGTTCTTCTAGGCAGTCACCTGTAAATAAACCATGTGTCGCTACAACATAGACTCTCTTCGCACCACAATTTTGAACCAAATGTTCAGCAGCACTGATAAAGGAACCTGGTCTATCAATCATATCATCTAAAATAATAGCAGCACGATCACGTACGTTACCGACTAGTGTGATCAATTTTTCCTTGTGGATCTCTTCTTCTTCATCTTCTTCATCTTCAGAATCTAGGGTATCATATGTACCACCAAGGGCATAGGATGCACTTGGAGCCATAGGGGTTGATTCGTCACCTTCATCGGATTCCATAGCAACTTCGTCTGTATCTTCGTCTGCTTCTTCATCACCAATAACATGACCGTTACGGATTCTGGCAGTTTGGATACCGTTACTGAAGATAATATTTTCTTCCTCATTTGGATCGTCACCTTGTCTGACGATAGGTCTACTCTTTCTTAGCATTGATTGTTTTCTTAGTCTTAGTTGTTGTAGATCCTTGTTTTGAGAATATAGATCCTTAGCACGACGACGATCTGTGTGAATCATGGCGAAATTGATCTTTAGAGAGTCAGCTAAAGCGGTAACTCTCTTAGTACCACCAGGGTTCTTAGAAACAACGACAGCATCTTGATAGTCAGGAACATTTTCTCTTATCCATTTAGCTAAACTTGGACCACCATATAGGTTATCCACTGGCTTTGTAAAGAAACCTTGCATTTGAGAAGCATGTAGATCCATAGAGACAACATGGTCTGCACCAGCCATAATTAATAGATTTGCTAACATTCTGGCAGTAATGGCACCTCTATGTTTCTTCATCTTACATTGTTTAGAGTAAGGAAATTGAGGAATAACAGCAGTGATCTTTCTAGCGGAACCACCTCTACAGGCAGAAACCAGAATCAATAATTCCATAATATGATCATTGACGGTTGGAGAACCTGATTGGATGACGTATACATCTTCGTCACGTACAGAAACGCCGATTTGGACAGATGTTTCACCATTTGCAAATCTTTTTAAAGAACATGGAGCAGGTTCAATACCTAGTCTTTCACAGACAAGCTTACCTAATTCAGGGTGAGAATTACCAACGAAAACCTTACACTTACGCATGACTAATGAAACAATAAACGATGACGACCAATTACTGGATAAAATGTAGTTTATTCACTAATGAACAAAAAAAATATGTGTGATGCTTACAATCACTGAAAACTTATAACGTTAGGACCAAATTACGAGGACACCTACATTTAAGAAGAAAAACTACTAAAAGAAAGGCCCAAGTAGAAATTGTTTTACAAATATTAAGTTAAATAAAAGTTATAATCTATAAAAAAGAGCTAAAATTTTTAAACTACTGAAAATATTCAGTAATTAGGAGATGAGATGAGTTTCGTTAAACTACGCTTTGCGAAAAAAAAAAAAAAAGAGACTTCTCTCTGAAAAAAAAATTTTCCTCAGAATTCCGTGCATCCGGAGATCACAGTGTACGTAATTCTGAGCTTAGGGTTTCATTTAGATTTAGTATGCGCAGTCTTATGGCTTGCAATTAGGGTTTAATATATTTCATCACCATCGCAACCAGTTTAGGGTTAATTAGTTAATTAGTTAAAGAATACAGGTATTTTTGAGAGAAAAGTGTGTTTATGACGAGTTCATATTGTTTTCAGGTATATAATTATGTATGCAGGTGAGTCTATATTTTATCTTAAAGTCACTTTCTGTTTGTTATGTAATTTTTGATGCCTACAGAAACAATGTTACAATTCAAGGGACATTCCAGCGTCGGTAGAATCTCTAGAATAACCTTGATTTATTATGTCATTATTATCCAGGTCATCGGCAAAACCGGTGTTGTTAAAGGTATTGTATCTTCCATTAATAGCATCTTGTACCCCGGTATATATAGCTCCATCTTGGTCAGCCGAGGACATTCCTGGTTCTTCAGATGATTCTGCATTACCATCAATCTCAGTTTCGGAAGTAAGTTCTAATCCAATAGCCAGAGCTTCGTTACAGTTATTTACCATGTCATCTCCACGGTTGATCCCAAAATTAGAAAATGTAAATAGTGTCTCAATGTTAGTATTATAATGGCGATCATACATAGAATATTTTGGAGTTAAGATTATTTCCACGCTTGACATTGTAAACTCATTAATATCGAATCCATTTTCAATCTTTGTCCTTCGAGTATCTAGAGGAAAAAATTCATTCAATGTGGGATCTCTTTCTAATGATAGTAATATTTCCAGTTGATGTCCCTCATTCCGATAATTAACTTTTCGAGATGCATGATATATGACAGAAGAATAAGGTACTTGAATACCATGACCTAAACCATCAAACCATAGGATTATGCAGTGGTTTAAGATAAATAGTTCAACGGGATCTAATGAACTTGCATTATTGTTTTCATTATTATTATTGTTGTCGTTGTCGTTGTCATTATGATATAGAATATTATTTGATGTCTGGTCCATGTTGTTCATTAAGCTCATTACCAAATCTCTGCCCCCTCCCAATAACAGATCTTGTGATCTTGCATTTGGATCATATACTAAACTATCTTCTGGTTGGGTACGTTTGTATTGTACATATGGTATAACATTCTCAATAGTTGGTTTCACCCAAATTACTTGACAGTTATTTTTTCCTTTATTATTTGAAGACATAAGGCGTATCCTGAACGTATATATATATATATATGTGTGTGTGTGTGTGTGTGTGTGTGTGTGTGTGTGTGTGTGTGTGTGTGTCTACTGTGGGTACAGTACTGTTCTAGCGTCTAGAGTAGTGGCTATCTAAATAGTATTCTGTAATTTTTCACTCTTTTTGTCTAAGTCATTTAAATGAAAGAGTTCTAATCGAAATGACTCTCTTATATGAGTCCCAGAAGTGAGCTATATAAAATAGAGAGAGTTTCGCTACGCGAAAGATGAAATTCTTATAGAAAGCTATTAAGACATAATATAGATGAAACTTCATGATGAGCAAGATAACAATAGTTATATTAGGAATGTTTGATAGAGAGAAAGAAAATATTTATTTTGCAGGGATACATAGTGACTAATAAAAAAATACAGATATATATATATATATATATATATGTTGTTGATGTGTGTTGGAAGTGAATGATTACACAACTATTGTTAGTTTTAGTTTGCATTTTTTGCAAATACTTCATTATCTTTTTTCTTATATGGATATTTCTTTTCTTTTCTTTCTTATGATTTCAGATATGCTAAATGTTTGAATAGTTGTGTAAATTTATTCTTTCACTACTTCACCACCTTCGTTAATGAAGATAATAGTAGCAGCTTGTTCAAATCCATTGAATGCAGTAGCAGCAGATGAAGTGTAGGCACCTAAATCTGGGAAAAATAACCAATCTCCTACCACTAAATCATGTTTCATGTGATATTCTTTAGTGATACAATCTAATCCATCACAGGTAGGACCCCAAATGGATACTTTGAAAGGATGTTGTTTCGAGGATAATTTAGAGGTTGATTCATTATCGAAGTAATGAAATTCGTTATCATGATATAGAGTACGAGGTACGGGTTCTTGGTGATCAAATAAGATACAATTCATATTACCATATACACCGTCATTGATATAGATCATTGATTCCTCATCATTAACTTTTCTCTTGGCAATGACATTAGTAGCCAATGTAAAAGTAGATGCAACAAAATATCTACCAGGTTCAGCAATAATATCAACATTACAACCAATTGGGAAAAATTCATTTAAAGCCATATTTAAAACATATGAAGCTTCTTTAAATGATTCTAATTGGAAACCACCACCGACATCTAATACTTTTAAAGCTGGCATATTAAATTCATTTTCAACGATATCAAAAACCCATTTAGCGTCTCTTGTGGCTTTATATAAAGTACTAAAATCATTTGCACCAGAACCAACATGGAAACTGACACCACATAAATTTAATTCTAATTCTTTACATTTAGAGACTAATTCTCTAACATTCTCTAAGTCGGCACCATATTTGGTGGAAAGCCGGCATTGTGCTGTTGAATCATCAGTAGCAATTCTTAAGAATAATTCAGAATTTGGATGAAATTTCTTAATCTTATATAATTCTTCAACATTATCAAAAGTTGATTTTAAAACCTTCTTGTCATTAGCAAATCTAATAAATGATGACATTTTACAGGGATTAGCATAAATAATTCTTGAAGGATCAACACCTAAATTTAAAATAGTTTCAATTTCTAATTTTGAAGCACAATCAAAATTAACACCAAATTTTGCCAATCTTTTTAGAATAATTGGATTTGGATTACATTTAACAGCATAAAATGGTTGAACTCTAGGGAGTTGAAATTTCCAGTTTTTATATAAATTTTCTAACTCACCTAAGTCGCCAACAAAGAAAGAATTTTCTTCACCAGGTAGACATGTTTCGTCATTAATGTTTGTAATATGAGAAATTAATTGTTCATTAATTGTTTTATGAGCAGGTAAATGTGGTAAAATCTTAAACTCTGGATTTTCTAACCGTAGTTGTTGTAAAAATTGTGATAATTCATCATCAGATTTATTAGCTTTAATATTAATTGTATTAGTGTCCACTAAAGTAGTTGAAGAGCTTTGAAACCCGTGGGTATAATAACCTTCGGATGCAGTTTGTACAGACATGATTATAATAATAACAAATAAAATAGAATACAATCTGTTTTCTGTTTTATTTATCTCCTTACTAAAAAAAAAAGAATGATTATTACTTAAGGAATCAAAATATTATAATAATTGTACTAAAATAAGTGAATGACTTGATAACAGAAAACTGGACTGTTAAAAAATAAATAAAAATTCTTTTCTCTTATTAAAATTTGAGTAACTCTTTTAAAAAAATAATTATTAATGGTTTGTTTAGTTTAGGGAACTGTAATAATTATTTAAACAGTTTTTTAAAAGACTTGATCTTTTAATAAGTAAACTATTTATATATGTTGATGTAAATAGACGACCCCTCTCTTCCCTTTGTTGTTTTAAGAAAAATTTAAAAATAAAATCAAAAAAAATTACGAGCAAGAATATAAGAAACATTTGAATGGTTTACATCCGTATATTAGTATTATTATTATCATCATCATGTTACATGTTTATGAGAAAATGTTCTCTCATCGCCTATTGGGTCTAGATTATTTTGGGTGTTTTGAATCGTACCTTCTCTCTTTCTCTCTCACCGCCTTTGTTCGCTGATAATTTTCTGAATGAAAAATAAATGAAAAATTTTTTTGTGAAAAAATGAGAAAATTTAATATGCGCGTGTAAGAGAGACAGAGAGAGAGAGAGGCAATATAATAATAATATATAGTTAAAGAATGGCTGTGAACTTGAAAAAAAGCGGAGAAGACGAGGGAAGAGGCTTTAATTAAAGAATGAAATATTTGAAATATTTTGTTAGTCGATTTTGGGGGAAGGGAGGCAGAGGTTCATAGTGTGATGAGTATCTGTCCTTTTTTTTTTTTTTGAGGGTGAAGAGGAGGTCAAGTACAAAGAGAGAGAGAGGTTAGAAACTATTCTTTTGAAGGTTTGTAATTTATTGAAATCATCACGAGAAGATTGGCGATGAGCATCGATGATGTTGCCTTTCTTTTATGTTTTGTTTTGTTTATATCTAGGTGTATGTACGTAGGTGGAATACACCAAGACGGCTCTTAATAAACCATTTCTTGCTAGGTGTTGTACGTATATGAAATATTTAATAGTAAACAATAAATATATGGGAAAAGGGGATCGCGATGAGCAATTATGTCAAAATGTACATGATTTGAGTAGTTTTAAAAAAAAAATTGAATCATCGGAATATATGTAGAAAAAATTGATAAGAATATTATTCAATTATTCTTTGTTTAGGTAGTTGTTGTTTATCTTAATTGTAGTTATGATGATATGTTGGAATATATTTATTAGTAATTATTTAATGTATTTGATATTTGTACAGTATTGTTCATTTATTTCGAGAAGTATAGTAAAAATTAAAATATTGATATAGTTATCTTTACTATGTATGTTTATGCTTGCGTCGTTTCTGTAATTGTATTGCAGAATAAGCATCTATAACCTTCTCTTACTCCTTCTAAACCTGTAACATAATCCTTAAAGATACCATTACTCTTCATAATATTTAACTCACCCTTTGTTGGAATCTTTCTACAACTATCATTTAAACATCTAGTATGTGTCTTCTTAAAACGTAACCCACACGAATTACATAATTGATCTTGTTTTCTAAGAGACCATGATGGTCTCCAACATGGAGAATCACTAGAATGGCATGAAACACATTTACGGATAGTATGAGAATGATGATGAGAATTTTTTCTATGAGTTGTGGAAGACTTATGCACTTGTTTGGTTGGTGTGGTAGTAGTGGTATTATTAGATGAAGAACTACTACGAGTTGGACTCTGTGGAGGTGATTCCACTGAAAATTTATGGTAATTTGGTGTAGGTGGGGTCATTGAACCTGTGACTCTTCTAATCGGTGAGATTGATCTTGACCTTGATTTGTTACCTTTTCTTTTTAATTGTTTCGTTTTATTATTAGTATTAGTATTATTACTATTATCAATTGAGTTATCACTATCAGATGAATTATTACAACTACTGTTATTATTTTGATCTAATTTCATTACTAGTTGCTTTGCTTTTGCACCTATGATTATACTTGATGGTGATGACAAAGTTGATGATGAATAGAAATGATTTTTACCAGCAGAGTTGCTACGTCCCTTTTTTGTAACTTTTTTCGAAGTCTTTGAAAGGATGTCGCGATTATCTAATAGATTTTTGATTTGTAATGCTTTAAAACTATTTGTCTTCTTATGACCATTGTTATTATTATTATTATTATTATTATTATTATTATTATTATTGGTCGTAGCAGTGGAAGTGTTGATTGTATTTTTTTTATTTCTTCTATCGTTGTTATTCAATTTTTTTTGTTCTTTCTTTACCAATTGAATTAATTTATCACTTACAAATGGACTGAATTTTAAAGATTCAGTATTTGAAATTCTATTTTCATTAATATGATCATTTTTTTCAATAGAATTACGTTTAGGGGACATTGGGGGTGTTACAGGAATCTTATATAATGAAGACCCTTCATTAGTCAATTTTTGGAAAGTATCCTTTGGTTTTAATACTGATGGAATATCATCAAAGTTTGTTTGTTCATTTAAATATGATTCTGATAAATTTTTATAATTACTTGTAAATTTACCTAATTTTTCATTCATTTGATTATTTTCAATGCGAATTTTATCTTGAATTTTGTCATATGCATCACTAGATTCACGTTGACACCAAGCGACAAGATTTCTTTTCCAAATTGGAGTTGCCTCAGATGTATCTGGATAAATATAAGAATTTTCTTGAATGTTTGGATTTGGTAATAATTTTAAATGTTTTAAAGATGGTAATTTTAAATTATTTAATGATTCTTCATTTTGATCATTAGAAATTTTTTTAGTTGAATTAATAATTGATTTATTTAACTGATTTAATAAATTTAAATTTCTTGTCATTTTATTATAATTTTCATTTGGTAATGGGAAATGATTTAAATGATTAATATTTGAAAAATTATTATCATTTAAATGATTGCGTGTTAAAATCATTTGAGCAGATAATTGATTTCCAGTATTATAATTTGATCTATTTGGTGATGAAGTTGGTGTAATGAATGAACTTTTTTCAGAATATGTCATATGTTGTGGTGATGCAGGTGCAGTATTAGATTTTTTTTGAATAATATTTTTATTTAAAATTGGTGGTAAATATGATGATAATTGTTGAGATTTTTTAAATTCATTTAAAATTGAGCTACTACTTGTATTATGAGTTCTACCAATTATTGTAGCAGGTGCAGATTTTGATGAATATGAATAAATTTTTGAAATTTTATTGTTATTTTTTTTATTTTGTGGTGGTAATGATGGAATTAATAAATCATCAAAGAATAATTTTGGTGATCTTTCAGAAATATCATTTAGTGAACATGATTCGTGCAATAAGAAATTATTCTTAGTTGCTGAGATAGACATTTGTATTATTAATCAAAGTGAAGTAATTTTGTTTGTTTGTTTGTGTATATTTTTGAATTTAATAGGGAATTCTTTTCAGTACAGGAAAGAATAGAACAAGATAATTATAACGGAAGAGACTGTAACTTCTTGAGACATATCCGCTTATTAAGAACTAGGTATATATATACTCCAATATAAAATACGATCAATTAATTGTTAATCAAATAAACAAACGCCAAACAAAAAAGGTATGTAACTAAAATCAATAAATAGAGATTGCTGGTCTTTTTCTCTTACTATCTGAGCAACATTAAGATGTCTACCTATGACTATTCTCGATAGAAAGGAAAATTATTTTTAAAAATAACTTATTATTACTTAATTTGAACACAGATCAAATCGATACGTATGAAAAGAAAAAGAAGTAATTCAACTCATCTTGAAAGAATTTCCTAATAGGAACACAGACGTCAGAAATTGAAGCAGGGAAATCAAAAAGAAATAGATGGACTTCCCTATTTTTTTGATCTAATAAGTCAATGCAGAATGGAAAAAAATCGTTGCTGGCTTTTTTTTCATTTGGTTCTATTACATATCCGTTTTAGGTAAAATGGACCTACTGATTGGGAATCTGCTGTTTCCCGATCGGGCAATGAGAGAAGCAAAGAACGCACAGAGAATAAAGAAGAAAAATAGAAAAGGCTGGTTAATTATATATATAAATATATATATATATATATATAAATTTTCAATCTTTACATTAAAGATGTGATCTTGCATTTGGA